TATTAATTTACTATCTCTTTGTCTTCGTGCATGCAATCCCCAAGCTGAAATTCGCGTTGTGAGATTTTTAACTCGTGTCTGCGAGAATATCGGTCCGATCGGGCCTGCAGAACATTATCGACTAATCCGACCTTCCTTCACTTACCGGTTGTTGATGTCACTTGAACCGGAGTTGCACTTGCACCCACCGATCACAAACCGTTCTGTAAGGTTATTTTTCAGCCATGTCTGTGAAGGTCAGCATATCCGATTGCTTTGATGGTGGCAATATCAAGTTCATCCGACGTGAACAGAATGAACAGGATGCCGATACAGTGGACATCATTCTCCATATCAAGCCTGATGTATACACCGTTCTAGAAAAAATTGGTCACATGCAGTACTTTTCTTTTCGATCTACCATCAGTGGTCTTGATGGCTCTCAGAAAGTGAGATACGTTCTTGAAAATGCAGGTATGCAACATATTGTGAATATTGATGATCGAATGAAATAACCATTTGCGGATCTCAAAGCTTGCTTGTTTGCTGTTTCGCTTGAATGTATTATTCAGAGGCTGTGTCGTATCCAGACGCTTGGCCTGGAACAACTATTTGCTACTCAACAAATGTCGAAGATTCTGATTCGTGGAAGAGAAACCTTGACACTTATTACATGGCTGGAAAATTGCAATGGGAGCATGTTCATGAGAAGAATGGAAGCACGTTCTTTAGGTAAGCCAACACAATAAAGGTCGGATGATTCACAAGGAGTCCTAGACTGACTTTTAATCACCTACGACCTCGAAGTTACTTCCCCCCGTATTCGTATGGAAGACATCTCAACTTGGTTTCCAAATGCGGTGACTACGCGAATGTTGAATCAGTAGGCCAGACAGTGGATGGACGAGAGATTGAACTTGTTACCGTTGGAGAAGGCAAACTCACCTGCTGGATTACTCATCGACAACACCCTGGAGAAACGATGGCAGAGTACTATGCTGAAGGTGTACTTACGAGACTACTGGGACTAGACACTGAAGGCAAAGTGGATGAGCAAGTTCAACGTATTCTATCCCTTTACACATTCTACATCGTTCCTTGCATGTGTCTGGATGGTGTGGTACGGGGACATTTGCGTACCAACGGATGCGGCGCAAATCTAAACCGAGAATGGACCACAAAGCGATTCTATGAAGCTCCAACTCTGGAGAGATCGCCTGAGGTATACCATGTTTTGAACAAGATGGACGAAACGGTAAGCAGCTCGATTGGTTGAATAGTGTTCATTCATTTCCTGCTTGGATCTAACGGTACAATCGTTGCAGGGCGTGGATTGCTTCCTAGACATTCATGGAGATGAAGAACTGCCATTCAACTTTCTTTCTGGAGCAGAGTTGGTTCCAAACTGGGACAAGCGAATGGAGAGTTTACATGGCGCCTTCGCAGCCGCTTATGCCAGAGCAAACTCTGATATGCAAACGAAGTACGGGTATCCACCTGCGGATACCCGAGAACGCGTATTGGAATATATGAATGTGGCCACTAATCAAGTCGCCAACAGATTCAATTGCCTTGGGCTTACCCTCGAAATGCCGTTCAAGGACTGTCTTACCAACAAGGACCCAGAACGTGGTTGGTCACCCAAACGATCTCGTGAACTTGGAGCTTCGGTTCTGGCACCGCTGGAGTACATTCACCCCTACTTGCGCGCCGAAGGAGAGTTTTGGACCAGTCTTCCTGCCAGCGATGCGTATGTGCCCCCCACAAATGACTACAAAGCGGAACTCAAAGACAACAAGGAATTCGTGCCCCTTAAAAAGCGATTCTATTCCGATGTTTACGAATTGCGAAAGCCAAAGGAAGACAATTAAATTTGTTTTAATAGATGTAATCAAAATCAGAAGTTGACTGTTCTATAGCGTCATGGTACAGACCGATATGGTCCATCTTTATATTCTATCTCTAGATAACATTCGCCCGCACTGCAGAGCTGCAAGAGCGGTTATTCTTGTTTCCTTTTGTCGCCAAAGCAAGTCCTAGATTGCTTCAGGTCATTACAGGAAACTTAACCTCTTGCGTACGCTCTGCCATCACTGGGTACAATAGCTTCAAAATAGCGCGCTTGTTCATCATTTCATGCCTTTTGGGGGAGTTGGATGGACTATGAATATTCTTCTTCATCCGATGATTCAACTCCCGTGACTTCGAGTCGAATATTGTCAAATTTTGATTTCATTTTCCAAGCACACTTCCCATTGGAACATATACTTTTTAGCTCTTCATCCGAGGATACAATTGCTGCATCCTTTTCTACTTTGGTGCTGGTTCCATTCACTTTGTCACTCCCTCGTTTCGCAAAATCCTGAGCCTTTTGCAAAGACCATTGTCCAAATGGTTCCCATCCATCTCTTACTCCGTGTGTCTCTATCATTTCCTTTCTGATATCTGAGTGGCACCTACAACCAAACATTCGTTCCACCAAATATTTTCCATCCTTCTTTCTGAATGCAAAAGGCGCATACTTCTTTTTGCACACTGGTATTCCAATGGTTTCCCGACCATTCCATTTTCCTTCTCCCCACTTTTCATTGATTGCTTGGATTGCCCGTCCTTGCAGCGTATCATTGGCTGCAGATCTGGCAAACATGCTTCCACCATATTGTTCCCCTGAAGGAACAGGATAGCCGCAAATGAATCCCAAAGGTACCCTCCCTGGGATTGCACTTGCGGCTACCATGGATCAGTCTACAGAGAATTGTGAACGAAAAGAGAATTGAGGAGTTGGATGCAACGAATTGGACTACAGCTTCCCCAATACTGCATACGCAACAGCTACACTTTTTCTCGGGTTCGCGATCGATCACTCACCACTTGGAAGTATTCCATAGTCGTCCCCGTAAACTTTCTTTGCTGTTTCTTTCTGTGCCAATCGTCGCTTGGATCTACGAAGTCCTCCCAATCCCTCAAGGACAACTGCCTTTCTCTTGGATCGCCGTCTCGTCATTGTTGATAATATCTGATGGGGTGTGTTTCAAACGTGCAGCACTGCTCGACTGTTTGCCTAACAAAACGTCGGTGAAATACAAGCTCGTAAAAAAGACTGGCAGTGCAATCTGTTTGCACAAACCGAGAAGGATTGAATGGGTTGTGTGCTGTTAGCTTCCTACAAAGATAATGATGTAGTTTTGTGATGGTCAACGCAAAAACCGAGGTGGTGTCTCGGAAGCAGGAAAGTTTTGCTCGGCCCCTTCTCGTTGCTCTCTCGTAGCCTCTCGTACTTCGTGCGTTTCGATTGGAAAAGGAATTTCTGGTATAGAAGCTGCACAAGTACTTGGACCAATACGATCTAATACGATACAAAGGTCCGATGGGCAAAGCAACTTGGGTAGAGACTCACTTATTTAGTAGGCACCTTCGATTGGTGGTGTCGGTGGTGCTATATCTCCAGCCCGAGCTTCTTGTGTTTCTCGTAACACTGTAAATGTCAGTGTCATAACTCGAATGGATTGTGACAGAATTGCAATATCCATCGGAGATAGATTGGAGGTATCGGATTGTTTCAGTAGTCCTTCATTGGATACTGCAATACCCTTCTTCTGAGTCTCAACTGCCCAGTCAATAACTCCACCAAACTCTGACCGAATGTCGTCTGGTATGGAATCCACAATGGAGGATGTTTTTGTGGGATGACCGAGTGTAGCCAACGTCAAATACACTACACAATACCAACCACGTCGTAGTTTGATTTCTTCCTCCATTAGTGGTCGATTAGCAGTCTGATTAGGGCATTCATCGAGCTCTCTTGCAATCTCATCGATAGGAAATCCAAATTCATAACCTGCAATGGAAGCAGCCACAAACATCTTGAGCACATCGACAAAACCCTCTCGTAGCTGAAAACAAGCATTGACAAAGGTGTTTTCTAGAAGTTCAGCAATCCCTGCCGATTTCGTCGTATCTGGAAAAGTATAATTGGTTCCATCGTACAAGGGCCTTTCACCAGTTCCAACACCAGCGTCGAGGATTAGTAGTTGCGAGGAAGAGCCAGATAAGATATGTGATGGTGCTGTCCATGCCATCTTGAATATTGTCGCCTGATTCAGAAAGGCATTTGTGGAGGAGCAAACTGCCAGGAATAAAAATAGCGTGCGGAAAATCATTGGATCTCTGGAAGTGATTTGTGTGTGTGGTGTGTGTGATGTGATGTGTGATGTGGTTTCAGTCTTCTACTTGGAAAGAAGGGGCGATGAGCTTCTGGGATGGTCTACATCTGGGGGAGCTCCCCTCGAAAAGTGAAATAAAAACACAACCAGAAGGACAGACATCACAAACGCATGTCGTGATGGTTCATGCTGATGGAGATTCTGAACAAGAAGAAAGAGATCCGATCGTAACCTCCTTTCTCTCCCACTAGTACAGCTAAGCCTTCACATTCACTCTATCTCATCGATTATTATCCTCAGGAGTCAGTTATACGTCTACTCATTCAGCTCGGAAAGAGAAGAATGTACTTGCATCGCGTTCTTGCACTATGTCTGCTATTCCTTGTATCCGTTGATGGGTTCGTTCCAAAAGCTCCATTGAGGAGCTTTTCACCCAAAAGCAATGTTGCTAGCTCGAAGAATTTCAGGCCCTTGCCCAAAAGTGTGCTCAAATCACGGTATCAAGAGATGACTCCTAGAACCAGAATTGGATTCCGAAACAGATTAAGGTCAGCCTGGCAAAAGGTCATGCCTCAACGCAACAACGATAGCACTAGAGCTGGGCTATCCAAACGACGTGTTGTTTTCGGTGCAGCCGCATTTGTCGTCTCAATGCTAGCTCGTCCTCTTGTGACTCTTGCAATGGGAGGAATGGGGGGGTCCAAGGGCCCTGTAGCACCGATGGAAAGGTAAGACTCCTTTGTCACTTTTGTCAGATAAAAGTCCGTCTGTGAACTCCGACGCTGATCGACCACTGTTTTTTATGAGTAGAAAGGACATGATTACCATTGGAGGACTTTTCTTTGTTCTTTTCGTCGGTCTCGCATTATTGCACGCTGCTGAGATTGCCATTACCACTCTGTATCCCTGGAAAGTTCGCGAATTTGCGGAAGAAGAAGAGAAATCTGGGAAGCAAGGTGTTTTCAAGATTTTGGACGAAGACATCACGCGGGTGTTGACAACAATACTAGTGGCATCGACTACTTGTTCCATTTTTGCCACGACGGTTTTCACCCATCTGGTTGCCTCGGCATTTGGAGCGAGAGGAGAACGATACGGAGCTTTGGCTTTGACTTGTCTGACACTTTTCTTTGTCGAACTTCTTCCAAAGTCGATTGGAGTCACAAATGCTGAAAAAGTCGCTCGAATCATGACACCTCCCATCATTGTCACCTCAACTATTGTGAGCCCAATTGGAATCTCACTTACCTGGCTTGCGAAAAAGACATTGGCACTGGTTGGGTTTAAGAGCAGTGGTGATGGTGACAGTATTTCTGATTCACAACTGCGATTGATTGTCACTGGAGCTCGTGACTCGGGGACCATTGATCGTGGAGAACAAGAAATGATTCAGGGTGTGTTGGAGCTTCAAACACAAAGAGTTAAGGAAATAATGAAGCCTCGTGTCGAAATCATCGCAGTACAGAAAGATATGAGTGTTGCAAGTGTGCTAGGTGTGGTTCGTGAGAGTGGATACAGTCGAATTCCAGTTTACGATGGCGAAATCGATAACATTGTAGGCATCGTCCTTGCCAAGAACGTTCTGGACTTCTTTGTCAAGGGAGTGTTGGTGGATGACGAAGTTATTCGTAAGATCCGAGGAGACGAAACATCTATGGAAGACATGAGCGACAAAGAGGTCACAAGAAAGCTCGCAACTGTTTCACTTGACGACAGAAAAACACAGAACGTCCTCACCGGCTCTGAAATGGCCAAGAGGATGCAGGAATCAATAATGGACGCTGGACTAATTGAATCCTGTTACTTTGTTCCAGAGACCGCCAATGGATGGTCAGTGTTGCAAGAAATGAGAAAGAGACGGGTGCACATGGCTGTTGTGGTCGACGAATTTGGAGGAACTGAAGGGTTAGTTTCATTGGAAGACATTGTCGAAGAAGTTGTTGGAGAAATTTACGATGAGGATGATGTAAGTTTATTCGCTTAATCAACTTGTTTGGTAGGAAGCTGTTGACCTCATTCGTGTTCCATTATGACAGGAGGAAGAGTATGACTTTTCTGAAGATTCAATCACTCTTCAAGAAGATGGTAGTTTCTTGGTCCGTGGAGACGCTGACCTGGAGGACTGTGACACCATCTTGGATTTGAAACTTAGCGAAGAGGACGCTTTGAGGGAATTTTCAACGCTCAGTGGATTCTTGTGTATGTGTGCTGGTGAAATTCCAAACATGGGTGACTTTGTCATGAGTCGAGGTTATAGTTTTGAAATTCTACAAGCCGATGACAAGAAAATTCTGCAAATTAAGGTGGAAAGACTCATCGGTGCCTTTGACGACGAGGACGAACTAGATGACGAAAGCAAGAAGATGTTGCGAGGTTTCGTGAAAAACAAACTTGAAGATGAAGACGATTACGAAGATATGGAATCGGAGGTTGATGATCAACTTGAACAAACACGAGCGGCAAACAAGGAAGCAGCGAAAGAGATTGAGCAACTCATCGAAGGCGGAGCCAAGAAAGCGGATCTTGTCGAGAAGGCTCTTAGCGACATCGTAAGCGATTCATAGTACAGTGGGAGTAGGGTTCGCTTGGATTTTTAAAATCGTTGCATTTATTATCATTTTGAATATTATTTGAACTCAGTGCACAAGACACACATCACACTGACCCTCAGACTACTAAATTGTAGTCCGTTCGAAACGCCCCCCTATCCCTTTCCCCTACTTGGGAGAACCGAATCAGCTTATGATGATTCATCTGATTTCGATGCGGTGGATGCGTTTCTGCTTGGACTCTTGGATGCGACAGTCTCAGTAGCGCTTTCAGAAGAATCATTGAATTCTTCAGCTTGTGAGGGCATTCCAACCTGCTGAGAGTTTCCGTAGCCATAGTTGTAGGCAAAGTTGTTTTGAGGAGACATCATGAATTGGGTTGCGGGAGATGGAGGACCATATCCTTCTCTTGCACCATATCCGTTGTATCCATAGTACTGTTGGCGTAACAGTAATGGCTGGGCGTTCATGGTGTATCCACCTTCTGCTAGCGATGTCTTATCGTCTGGACTACTTGGGACAGTTCTTGCGGGTGTTTGTGGCGAAGCGGTAGCTGTTTGAGGAGTCGCAATCCCCATCATGGCCAATGTTGCATGGTCCAGATGTCCCCAATATGGCGACATGGGTACTTGGTGAGCATTGTATTTGAAAGGTGTTTGCTCGACATTCATCTGTGCATTCGCGTCAGCGTGACTGCTGTTGGCGTGAATCTCTTGTGTCAGGTTCATATGACCAGGTGTTCCTGGCATTTGAACCTCACGAGCAGCTGGGTTGTTCATAGGATGTTGAATCCATTGATCAGGTCCATTGAAGCCATACACGGATGCAGGATCTTGTAGGTTTGGGTCGAACGGTACTTGTGCTTGAGGATGCTGTGGGTACATGAATGGAGGGTAATATGCCTGCTGCTGCATTGGACCACCAAATTGGTTCATTTCAAAATGTTGTGGAATGCCGTCTCCAGCAAAACCCCCATGGATGCCACCGTCTTCTCCAACAAAAACGCCATTGCCCCAATTGTTGCCCCACCAATGGTTGGGTTGGGTTTGATATCCCCAAAGATGGCGAGGCAGTGCATTTGCAGGAGACATACCAGCGGCATGCAATGGTGGTCGGGGGTTTGGTGAAACCCCTTGCCTTGGATACACTGGTGGATGACCATCTCCTTGGCGGTACTTGGGACCAGAGAAATCGTAATTTTGAATCTTGGAATCATCGCGACCTTTTCGTTGTTTTGCGGACACGATGCCCTTCAGTGCTCGTGGCTGACGCTCTTTAGTTTCTGCGCCAGCCATTTGAGAACGCGATGATGCCATTGCTCGCAAGTACTGCTCATCGATTTGATTGCGAAGTAGAGGACTATCAATATCACCAGGCTCCATGAGTGGACGTAGACTGAGGCTTGACACTAGGTCTCGAAGACGAACTTCAGATTCGCGATCGGAGGCAACCCATCCGTTGAAGTATTCAAGACATTGCATCCATTCGTCGGAATCAAATAGTGACACAGAAGCCAAGTGGTCCGACACGGCACAAACTTCTTCGCGAAGGAACACCGAAACGGGCGAAACAGAAGTCTTGACATCAACACCGTTGCGCTTTAGCTTCTTGATGCAACGCGCAAGAAACTTGTGGTAGTGAATTAGTGGCCAAAGATATCTGAAAAGAGAAAGCATTGTTAGACATTACCGGCCTAGTACAGTGTCCTTTTCTGGGCATATTCGACTTACCTCCATCTCTTATTGTGACTCTTCGGCTCAATCCATGGATTCTTGCCACTCTTGGCCTCCCACCAACTTCTGGATGGTTTCCAAAGCTGTGTACGACTTCCGTTGGAAAGAGAAGCCAGCGGGTTCTCGTAATCGCGCTCTCCCATTGCTTGTAGGAATGTTGGCGGGCACGCATTCAGCCATCGGGTTTCTTCGTTGCTGCGGGCTTCAATAGTGTCAAGTAGCCAACGTTCCTCGTCAATCAAGGCAACCTGCATAAACGAATTGTTGGAAACAAAATTTTCATCTGGTGGACCATTGACAGCAACGACGAGAGGATCGTATTCTTCGTGCATGTCTTCTGGGTTTCTATTATATCCAGAATCATCACTGGCAGCCATAGCAGTAGCTTCTTTGTTGATATCGTGGATGACAGCGTAGAAGGAAACACGGTTGACAAGGGCATCAGACAGCTCTCGTTTCAACTCGGGATGGAGATAGAAAGTGGGCACAAGGCCACTGATCGACTCGGTTTTGTCTGGTGTGATAATCGCAGTTGGTTGCAAAAGTTTCGATTCAGTGGTTCCTTGCTTTGGAGCGTTTTGAACCAAGTCTGTAACGCCGGTGGGAGAAATGGCTGGGGGTTGTGATTCTTCCTCACCCTTGATACTCAAGGATTTCTGGAGTGTTACCCCTTCGACATCGGTACCAGGTGGTTGAATGTGGAGCTCTTCAAAAGCTTCCATCAAATTCCGTCGAGGAATTGGATTGGGTGCCCTGTTGGTTGCAACTGGAGCTGGATTGGCAGGAGCAGGTGCTGCAGAAGAGGACATTTCGGCAGAGAGAGATCGAAGTAAGACCGATTCGGCGAGAGGATGAATATTGGCGGGAGAGACAACAGCGGATGCAGCAGTGGCAGCAGTAGTTGTGGGAGCTGCAAAGGAATTGGACCGGAAGATGGAAGCTTCTTGCTTGTTGACTTGGTCGGATTCCGAGAAAAAGTGTGTCCAAGTAGCCATATTTTTCCACTGATTTGGATGCAGCGAACTACAGTATGTGCCAAACGAAGATCCACGCTCCGTGGAGTTGTTATCGAATTTTGATGTAACGCCCGAGGAATTTGCGTGTTATATTTTCGTCCCACGTTGGGAAAGTGATACACACGTTGAACGAATTCGAAACTTCGATTCCTCAATTGAATTCAGAGTGAGATTTCCCAACGAATCAATTGGACGTTCAATCGAAACGACAAGATCCTTCTAGCAACAAAGTCCGATGTGAGATTCCTGGACTTGCTAGGGTGACACTTGCAATTACAGAAGATGTGCGCAAAGATCGACGCTGTCGTCAGTTGCTTGAGATGTGCTCTGGAAATCAATTTCCGTGAAAACCTCTTTGCGAGCGTGCACTGCTCTCTCGTCAAATTTGAATGTTTCTGTTGGGAAAACGCTCGGCACGCATGCGCAATTAGCCTTAATTTAGTACTATTGATTCGTGTAGAGATGGAAATGAAAGTTCTGGCCGTATAGTACAGTATCTTGCAACTAGTCACAAAACGTGCATCAACCATTGAAAATACCACTGAGAGACTGGAATTCTTTGTATTGTAGAGATTGATAATCAGCAATCATTCACATCCGTTGAACTGGGTGGGACAGGAATCGAAAAATCCGACAATTGGCACGCACGCCACGGCATGCGTATGCATGAGCGAGCAATTCCGATGGGTGTCTGACCGACGTACGGCACGGTCGTTCGGAAAAATGAAATGGTTCCTTCGACTCGAGACGAATCGTCAGCGAACACGAATCATCCTCAACTTCCTCCCGCAATACACCCTCCGACCGAACAGCACTCTGTCATCGACTGTAGACTTCCTTCTACGCACCGAATGTCAATACAATAGTTCACAGATTGGTGCTAGTATTAGTATCATCCAAAATTCATCGATCAATAGTCGATCATGTGGCGATTACACTCGTCATCTTCCCTGCGGAGAATACCACCGCGGTTACAGCAGCATCTACACAACTTCGGACCGTACCGAACCTCTGCCTATCACATTTCTGAATTCCCAACAACAAGGCGGAGAGGTAGACGGAGCTTTTCCAGCTCCAACTGGCTCGAAGAATTGGTTATGGATAATCCCAACAAGATTGATCCTAGACGATTGTACAAGTATCTAAGGTTGGAAACCTTTCAGGCAGATGAAATTCGAGATCAGTTTCAGATGATTGAAGCCAAGTACAGTAGTGAGAGTGGTGCTGGAATCAGTCAGTCACAGATACAGGATTTCCTTCTGGATCGAATAGGAGAAATTGAAAACGAAGATGCATCACCGGAAAGCAAATACGACGAAGACGAAACGTTATCCTTGCGTGAGAAATTTGCGGAAGATGAGGCGTCTCGAATGTGGAATCTATTCAAGTCGGATGAAAAGGGAGTCCTGATGGAAAATGAATTCGTAGATGTCGTGGAAGAAAGGGCACGATCATTGGATCGCAAACGGGTGCTACCTCTGACACTATCTATGCTGCTGGTAGGAGCGAGTGTGGGTGTGGTAACTCCAGCGATGCCATTTGTGGTTCAGAACATTGGTTTGACCGCCGGTGAATACGGATTGGTGGTGAGTGCTTTCGCACTGGCAAAAATGACGGGGAATATACCCAGTGCGGTTTTGGTGGAGCGACATGGAAGAAAGCCCTATTTAGTGTACACAATGGCCATGACTGCTCTCGGCGTGGGTGGGATTGGCCTGGCCAACAGTTTTGAGCAGCTATACTTATGTCGTCTATTCACTGGTTTGGGTGTTGCTGGTCTATCTACGGCAGTAACGATGACTGTCACTGATATATCGACGCCACTCAACCGAGCATCCACCTTTGCCCCCATCATGTCTGCCTTCTCTGCTGGGACAGCGCTCGGACCTGCAATTGGAGGGTTCTCGATAGATTATATGGGAATCAGTCCTACCTTCTACGCTGTCGGAGTTTCGTATATTGGCTTGGCTGCAGTCAACCATATGCTTCTGAAAGAAACAAAACAGCTTCATATGGAGTTTCCTTGGCATTCTGACGAGGGAAATGGAGAGCCCAAGGCCACCATTCGAGATTCATTTGAGTCGGCGTTGGGTCAATGGGCACCGTTACTATCACAGCCTGATATTCGAAACGTATGCATAATGAATGGCTTCTACTGGATAGCATTGGCGGGCTCGCAGATGACTCTGTTGCCGTTGATCTTGACTAATCCAGATGGCCTTGCAATGACGGCAACCAATGTTGGTCAAGTCTACATGGGAATGAGTATTGTGCAAGTGCTCGGTAACCCTGTTCTGGCCAAGATGGTCGACAAAGTTGGAAAGGTACCAGGTATTCTTGGGGGTTGCACTTTGATCTCTACGGCGATGGGAACCTTGCCAATGTGCACTGACACGTATCAGCTGGCTGGGATATTAGGCATTTGGGCCACTGGATCTGCTTTGCTGTCGACTTCGCCCCTGGCATTCATATCCGACAAGGTAGTCGATCAAAATAGAGCTCAAGCGATTGCTCTGCTGAGAACCTCAGGGGATGTTGGGTTTCTCATTGGAGCTTCCAGCATGGGAGCGCTTGCAGATTGGACGAGCAGTCTTGATCTGGCAATGCAATCAAGCGCCGGCATCCTCCTTACTGCTACAGGATGGTTCGCTGTCCGAAACTGGCTGAACTTGCAACTCGAGAAAGAAAAAGAACACTCGGCCTAAGATTGAAGGAAATCAGCAGCTCGATTTTTAACAATGTGAACGTCAGAGTTTTGTCTGATCCGTCGAGGCATTGATTCTTCTCTCTGTAATTTTTATAATATATAATCTTGGTTGTTATCACATTTTCATTTCTTGTACTGAATCACTCTCGACCGATATCACAGCAACAATTTTGGGGGAAAGACTAGTGACTCAAGAAGGCGGATCATTCACTAATCACCAATCGTCCATCGGTGGCAAGCATTCAGATGATGCTGTAGCATGCAGCATAGACGGAAGCAATCATTGATCGTTTTGCTATTGAGATCCTTGTTTGTTGGACAACTCTTTTTGATAGCAACAAAAGCGCTCTCCACACTTCAGAAACCGTTTGTATCTCAAGTCACAGCATGGCTCAACGACGAAGGAATCTCATGGTGTCCCGCTGATGTTCCTGTTCAGTTTCAGTCGCCATCCACAGCCTTCCTAAAGTTGGATTCATCGTCCATTCTTCTTCATCTAATTCCGACACCGACAAGTTTCAATGAGACGCTACCGCCCATATTCAATAAACGGCTCACTGATTTGGTGTCTGCTACTGGTTGTGAAAAAGGCTACAGCAAAGTGATCCACTTATTTCAAGACGTCTGGATTAAAAAGAATGAGATAGTAAAGGCTCGACTATCGGTTCAATCTGGGGAAGGAAAACAAAGGAGAATTTTTGCACGGAAAACGACGGTTCAAAGAATCAATGCAACCTTTGCAATGTCATTCTTGGAGGAACATCATTTATGGGGCGCAACTCGGGCAAAGTACTACTTTGGTCTATTCCTGGAATGTTCGGGCAACAACAATTGTCAAGAGTTGGTAGCAGTTGCCACTTTTTCAGCTCGTCGACGAGTGAAGAGAGATGGATGGACTTTTAAGTCTCACGAGCTTCTGCGATATTGTGCCCAAAGGCATGCATTCGTCGTCGGAGGGATTTCGAAGCTGTGTAAAGCATTCATTAACGATGTCAAACCAGACGATATTGTTACTGTTGTTGATAGGGACTGGGGAAATGGATCTGGTTGGCATTCCATCGGTTTTCATACCGTGGCCACGATGGATCCACTTGCGATGATTGTCAACCCCAACGAACCTGGATTGCGTCGTCACATCGTTGGAAATTGGATTCAAGTCGATGATCTAAAGACATTTTCTGAGGCAAACAGTAACTTTCGACGCTTAGGCTTGCCACGAGAAGTACTAAGCAAACTCAACACGACCATTGATGTAGCCGTCATACAGAAGGATTTGGCAAAGGAGAATTTCTTTCCTGTGTACGATACTGGAGTCGAGAGGCTTTTCTGGGTCATCAATTCGACGATCCCAGGTTCTACACAAACACTATGGCAAGAATCAGAGCCGAAGTATGCGACTATGTATTATTCTGACAATATCGGCATCATGTCGCTACTAAGAGACGCTGCTGCAGTGTCGCGCCCACTGGATTCACTACAAAGCATCAAGGACGTAGAATCGTGGAAGGCATCAGGTGTTGCGCGCTCTGCGAAATTGATCTTTTCTGCTCCATCATCGATGGATCCAGATGCTACTGTAGAGGTACGCGAACGGGAAAATGGATGGCGAACTGTTGGCATTGTCGGTAGCAAGAAAAATCCAAGCATCTATCACAGCATGTACAGGGTTGCCAGGAATGATCAGGTGGAGCCAGACGTGATAGTTTCAGAGTTCATTAAAACAATGGCTGTAGTAGCTTTAGCAGGAACTCACCAAGAAAAAGACAAGAAGACTACAAAGTTTTTACACTTTGGGTTTGGTGCTGGGACTCTTGTCCGATATCTTGCAAATAAGGTCCAGAATAGCCAGCATGTGGCATTAGAGCTTGATCATGGGGTTGTCGATGCGGCAAAACAGCTGATACCAGACTGTCCAAACGTCTCAATCCTTTCGCAAGACGCGCTCCAATTCGTTGCCGAAGCAGTGGGACAAAATGTTGAACCTTTTGACTGCGTATGCATTGATGTTTTCGATGAAGACCTTAAGGTTCCAGAAGAGTTCTACTCTCCTTCGTTTATGACCGATCTCTCTGATAACCTTCTCTCTGCAGATGGTATTCTGGTTCAGAATTTTCACAGCGGAGGCAAAAGGCGAGAGACAATCCTCCAAAATGCTGCGAGAGCCTCCTCAAAAGTGTTCCCAAACTCTTGCTTTGTTTTCAGTCTGGATAGCAAACCAAACGGTGGGAATGCTGTGCTGTTTGCATCACACCGTCCGTTTAACTCAAACGATGGTGACGATATCTTGCAAACACTCTCGCACAACGCTTTTCTAGTTCAGCAGAAATTCGGATTGTCCTTTGACGCAGTTGCTAGAGTTCAAAATGCAAGGAGAATTGCATAGTGGTATATGCAAAGCACCACACCATTGATGGGCACTTACTCTAATAATAATTGTATTAACATCGCAAAATGCACCGTTTTAGTTTTTTAACTCAGGTTTGCAACTGACTTTACTGCGCCTCGTCACTATCGGATAACATGATCCCCAAGTGATACTTCGCCCCATATACTCGAAACACTGGACGATGAACGCTTGCGGCGAATAGATTCACCAAATACATCCCAAAAGCCCAGACTTTCGTCTGCTCCAACTGATACTACTTGACATCCATCGGGACTGCACGCAGTGCTCAGAATACGAGAAGTGTGACCAACAAAATCAGTCATCTTGGTCAAGGTTGCATCGTTTCCATACTTCCATAACTTCACCAAATGGTCGTTGAAGCCATGCGCACTACACAACTCATTGCGATGCTGGCTCCAGATAACTGAACTGACTTGAGACCCAGTATCTGTTGAGCTGAGAAGCGCTCCGCTTTGCGAGCTCCAAATCTTGATTGTTCTGTCTTTTGTTCCGCCGCCAGTCGCTAGCACTCCCCGACGATGAGGGTTCCAGTCGATGGCCTTTACTGCACTTTTGTGCTCTCGCAGCCGCAGCCGAGGCTCCACGATTCCATTTCGGGCAGACGTCATTCTCAAATCCCAGATGCACATCAAATCGTCGTTACCACCACTGGCAAGCATATCTCCATCTCTGTTCCACTTCAACCCCGCTACCTTTTGTTCGTGAGCGATACAACGTAAAACCAAAGAATTTGCGCATCGGAGATCATGGTGAAGGATCATCGAGTCTTCTCCACCGGTTGTCAGACAGTGTTGGTTCCATGACAACGATGTAACTCGTCCTTGGTGCCCACGAAGGTTACGATGCTTCTGCCCTGATTGTGTATCCCAGATATCGACTGAAGAGTTGGTCCCCACCGCGAGGAATCTGGAGTTGTCGTTTGAATTGCACCACGAAACGGCTGAAGGGTAGTCAGCACGTCCTTGATCATATGTTGCCAGTTCGAAGCTATTTGAAGCCACGTAGTCATAAAGGTAGACGGTGTTGGCAAGTACGACCGCCAACACATTGTCCTTGTTCCAGCTTATGTGATCCATGTAAAAGTCGTCCGTGATGTCAGGCGCGTCGAGAATCTTGAACGCTTTATTTGAAACAACGTTGCGGGAAGGATTTTGTTGCAGTGACATTCCATTCCCATGGCTTGACCGAGTGAAGCCCACTCCTAGAATGTTGTGCGAGTATGGATCTTCCAATCGTACTCGCGTCTTCGGCACGCAAGATAGCGCTTCACGATTCCCGGACCGAAACAGAGATTTCGGTTCGGCGTTGTCGTCCAACGCCTCGATAGGATAGTCGCAGAGAGAACTCAATAAGGATTTCTTGAAGAGCTTGCTGTGTTGTTGAGAGTTTGGTTTATCATCCCGAGCTTCGTCATCGTTTGGTTCCTTGGAGAACAAAGAACGACGACACAAGCTGACGTTCATGGAGCGACGAGACGGGATAAACCTATCGCCACATTCTACAGTTGTTAGTTTGGCAGTAGAGACCGGTGTTCTTCCAATCCGAGGTGATGGTGACATCCGACGAAGATGCGCCTTCTTCGTTGACGTTGATCTGGCAGGTGTTCGATTAGAATGTGGCGTAGAAAGTAGTTTAGATTGGGAGGAGTTCCCCGAACCACAACGATGAGGCGAGGTTGAAAAGGGAGTTGGGAGGATGGGCAATTCAGCGTTCATGTTCATAGTTTTCTTCTACGGAGCAATGCAGAGAAATTATGACAAGTTTTACGCGTGGGTGTTGTGGCTCACTCATGGTGACAAATCGTGTTTTTTCCACGCTCGACGAGACATTTGGTCATGGTTGGGGAAAAAACGAGTGAAGTGAAGAAAAACCAAAATGTAGTCATTTGGGTCAAATTGCAATGAGACAGACATCTCACCGGTCGACCGACTGGACTACATTGAACCAAGAGTTTGAACATGTGAATGTGGTGACGATGAAAACTAAAACCGGTTCTACGCGGTCATCTGTAGGTACATGTACGTGTACCGTGTACCTGATAAGCGTACTATACCGGTACCAGGTACTGTACCGTACGATAGACGGCACATACCGGTACCGGTATCTCCAAAACGAGTAAAAAAACCACGATTGGTCCAACTGGTCGATTTAACGCCTGTCCGGTTCCCGTAATCCAAATGACTTACGTACGTTTGCCAGCCCATCAAAATAGATTCCAAATCATCCAAGAACATCATTAGAAAGAAAAAGGCTCATTACTGTAAATCTGCCAAACATCTGGACAACTACGATATAAAAATGAAGTTCACCGGTCTTCTTTTCTTCGCTCTAGGCACCACCTCTGCTTTCGTGCAACCATCCCACCCAGTTGTTGGAAAGTACAGCGGTCTTTCTACCAACCTTTTCATGGGGGATGTCACACCTAAAACCATTAAGCAACTTCGCGATGCTACTGGTGCTGGTATGATGGACTGCAAGAAGGCTCTTCTTGAAAGCGATGGTGATCAAGAAGCTGCTGCGAATGAGCTACGCAAGAAGGGTCTTGCCAAGGCGGACAAGAAGGCCAGTCGAATCGCTGCTGAGGGAAAGATCGTTGCATCTTCTGGGCCTGGAAAGGGGGTCATGATTGAGGTCAACTGCGAAACCGATTTCGTTGCAAAGGATGGAAGTTTCCTTGCATTCTGCGACAAGGTCGCCGGAGCCGCCGTTGGAATGTCCGATGACAGTGTTGAGACCCTTATGGCTGAGGAAGTTGACGGGGAATCGCTCGAGACCACCAGACAAGCTATGGTTGCGAAGATCGGAGAGAACATCCAAGTCCGCCGTATGGCATCTCGAGGAACTGCTGACTCTACTGTTGGAGCCTACATTCACATGAACCGCATTGGTGTCCTTGTTGAGATTGAGGGAGGAGATGAAGCCCTCTGCACTGACATTGCCATGCACGTTGCTGCCATGAACCCTCCTTTCGCCACTGCCGACGAGGTTCCTGCCGAAGTTTTGGAAAAGGAGAAGAAGATATTGACAGAACAAGCCCTTGAATCTGGAAAGCCTGCTGAAATTGTCGAAAAGATGGTTGAAGGTCGCATCCGAAAATACCTTGAAGAGATCTGCCTCGTCAGCCAAAACTACGTCAGGGACAGTGGTATTACTGTTGGAAAGCTTTTGGAAGATAACGGTGCCAAGATGATCGGATTCACTCGCATTGCTGTCGGTGAAGGTATCGAGAAGAAGGAAGACGACTTCGCCGCCGAGGTCGCCAAGATGGCCGCCGGGTCCGCGTAAAAGAAATAGAGCGTTACTGTAAATTGATCAATACTAGCGGGCTGTTACAATAGTTGCCAAGGAGAAACAGATATACCCTCAATACGTAGTGAAGCTTTTTGGTGGTGTATTGTCAAGAAAGAAATAGTCTACCATTCGATACACTGCCAACCATTGTAACACAATAGAGCCATGTTACCCAAAAACTTCGTTTTCAAAACAATAGTACTACGACCTTACTATAAATACTTAAGCAGAGAATGTGCATTCACTGACAAGTTGGGTTCCGGATTGTTGGATGATGTACAAGGCAGCAAAGTGTCCAGCCTTAACGCAAGCATCCATATCCTTGCCATCAACAAGTTGTGACAAGAATCCTCCAACAAAGGCATCTCCCGCACCGTTGGTGTCAACGAGGAGATCCTTTGACAAAGGCTCAACTTTGTATTCAGTGACCTTGCCATCACAAGCAACAATTGTCGATTCAGAACCTTGAGTGAAAACGACGGTTCTTGGCTTAGAACCATCCTTCTTAGGCAAAGCAGCAACCTTAAGGGCGATTTCCTTAATGTCTTCACCCATTTCGTGCTTCTTTCCGTAGGCAGCGGCTTCGCTTTCGTTTCCGAAAAGGAAGTCAACATATGGCATGGCTTGAGCCATTTGGTCTCCAAAGAAGTCAATCAAGAAAGGAGCAGAAAGGTTCATGCAGAAAGTCTTCTTATTGGCCAAGGCGTGTTCAGTAACCTGGAGCAAACTCTCAACAGAAACGGTCAAGAAGAACCCAGCGATGTAGTAGAATTTGGCGGATTCGATGATTTCCTTAGCCTTGTCGGTCTCCAAGTGTGTGGGCTTAAAGTTGTTGGCGGCATCAAGATTGGTAACCAACGAACGTTCTCCACCCTTGATCAAGGCAGCACAAGTTCCAGTGGGGACCTTTTCGTCCTTCATGTAGTGAACAAGGACACCATCAGCCGAGGAACAGTCTTCCAATTGCTTGGCGTAGTCGTCATTTCCGACACAACCCATGAAAGCAGTTTGTCCAGCCTTCTTCATCATCCATTGAGCTAAAAAGGAAATCGTGCGTCAGGAATGATTGATACATATTGAATGCTTGCTTTAGGTTCATTGAGGAATCGATCAACTTACCAACACGGATACTGTTTTGTGTGGCTCCTCCAGCGATGTAGGTTGGCTTGTACTTTTCGACAAGTTCCTTGAAAAGAGGTTGGTGCTTTTCCTCGGCCAAGATTGCCGAATCAAGCTTGACGTCATATTTGTCCAAAAACTCTTGTTCCACGTTGGAAGAAATATCGAGCAAAGGATTGCCCATTCCCATCAAGATTCCTGCAATGACAAAGGAAAATGAGAACATGCTGTACTAGCGCAAGTGAAAAGAAATAAAATTGACCAACCACAACTCATCACCACATCTTCTGGATCAGTCAATACCACTGTACGCACCTTCAAATTTCGACATTTTCCTACTGTTGTTTGTTTGATTAAATAAAGATACTTCTTACGACGACGGCTGACCGAAAAAATGAAACGACAAACGTCCGCCAAGAACCGAGAAACCGCCAAATGATGAGGTTGGTACGTTTGCCACATACTCCCTCTTGCACGTTCCTCGAAGGACTTCCATAGGCCCTTCTTACGTGGATACGATATGGTGAAGAGGGAGGGGAGCCAATGCTTTGAGTTTCCTTTGGGGGATTGCTGCAGGTTGCAGATTGATGACATCAAAATCAGAACACACAAACATGAGTAGGAACCACTAATGCGCCACTCTTGCATAGCTGTGTTGCTTGCGATTGTCATTGCGCTATCATATTTCACCTTTAGTTCTATGGTAAATTTGGTGGAAAAGAAACCTTCACAGACTCGACAAACACGACAATTCCATTTTCATCCTGCGAACAAAACAACTGTACCCTTTTGGAAGTACATGTACTCTGATGCTCTTAAAGATGAGGAAGAACAACGTAGAAATGCGTCGCGACTCGGATTCCAAATTTATCATGACAAAGTGGACAGTATTCGAATTGTTGGAGAGCGGCATTCAGGGACCACGTTTTTGGCGCGATACCTTCAAAGTTGTTTCCCCAACATCTCGGTGGATGATCATTTTGTCAACGGAAAGCACTGGTTTCAACCGAGTCCTGAATATGTTGTAGAAACATCCAATCGAATCGGCGAATCCGGTCTCGCTGCAACTGCGATGAACGATTACTTTCATGACAAAACATGGTGGCAGATTGCCCAAGCGGATGATCCATCCAGCTACTTCCAATCAACGCTTGTGGTTGCCTTGTTTCGAAATCCGTATGACTGGATCGAGGGAATGAGACGCATCCCTCATCACTGGCCAAACCATGTCGATTTGATACCGAAAGATAAATCCACATTAGCAGAAGTGGACTACCAGAAGAACAAGCGACAGCGACAACGACACCAAAGACGACTTCTACGCAGAAAGCTGAAAGGGTCCATTGTTCAAAAGTCTTTTGTCAAGGCTACAAGCCTTGATTGGAAAGAGTTTGTGAAACGACCAATGCATCTTTCGGACTATGAGGAGAAGGATAAAGGAATTCTCTGCCAGAGGGGATTTCCTTTTGAAATGGTCTCACCCTGTGATCCAGATCACTCCTACGTTCCGGCAAGCATTCGTCACATTCCATCATCATTTCTCCGAAATCTTGCTTTCGAAGTAGATGATGCCGTATATGAACTCAACATTAGTGGTCATCCTTTCAAGAATCCACTGGAATTGAGATCCGCAAAAATCACAAACATGCTCAATTTGGCGAATGATTGGAACCTTGGTGCGTTTGGAGCAATACAATATGACGAAATTCTCGGAGAGCGTCTTACGGAGCTCGTCCAAAAGATTGGATCAATTGTTGGCTTGGAAAACACTTGTTCTTCCAAAAACAGCACATTTCAAAAGATACCATACAATCATTCTAGGAGCTTTCGCTCATGGGTTCGGGAACATGCAGACTGGAATGTGGAAGCGAGAGTTGGTTTTTGAAATCTTGTGTGCGTTTGCATCAAGTTTCGGAAAATCAAGAGCGCAGCAGATGTCTTTACGGCACAATTACTGCAGGTGTGCCTGGTCGCCCGAGGTTTAGAAATTTCGGCTTTTTCTCTAGGCTGCAGGGCTACAGTATACTGCAGGTGAGTGGCAAAAGAAACAATCAAATTGATGCTCTTGAGAAAGACGTCCAACGTCAGCATGTATTGGGCTGTGTTGGATTTGGGCAAGTTTGGTTAGCAACAGTATCGACCAAGGTGGCACCAGCGGAGGACAGTTCCAACAATGGTGACTTCACTGTAAGCAAAATAATAGTAACAAGGAAAGTCGCACTGAAGGTGCAATCGAAGTTCGATAACTTCGATAAATGGAGGGCCAAAAGCTATTCCTATGCGCCAACTTACTGTTCAATTTTAAGTATCTTTACTTTCAAAGTACTGTACTCCGCAGGTGGTAAAACGGTTGAATGATAGTAGCACTGCTGTTTTAAAAAAGCCTTTGATTCAAAAGAGTTTCAAATGACTGTGCTTCTCAAAAGAAAGGCGAAGAAAGCATGGAATCATACCTTGCCACATGAATTCTTTCATAGTCAAGGTGAGGAGACAACAGTAAAAATAAATGGATTAGCTCTACTAGGACGAATATAAATAATAAAATATTCCACGCTTTTAAAAACTAAAACTCTTTTTAGATTTTATATATTGTCATTTGGACTTGATTCACATGTAGATAAAAGACGACTCGCAAATAGCTTTGCAAAAACTGGTTGGTATTGTTTGAAATCAAACAGCTTAGTTTTTGACGGTCGTGAGGTTGAGGTGGGAAGCTCCCTTTGGAAGAGAGATGTCTTGGCTTGGCTTTGGTTCGGTGTCAAAGAATCCGTACTCACTGTCACCAACATCAGTTCCCTTAGCCTTCAGAGCTCTACGGACACCCTTCTCCAACTCCATCACAACGAAGACGACGAAAGAGAAGAGGGCCGCAATTCCCCATTGCTCTCCCTTCATTGGACCCATGCCGAAGATGACATCGTTCAATCCAGGAATGTATGTAATAGCAACTTGCAAGACCCCAACAATGGCAAGAGAGTACCACGCAAACTTGTTACCATACAAAGATCGAGTTCCAAAGGCACTGTTGTAGGAGAAACGAGCACTCATTGTGATAGCGCAGGCACCGAAAGTTAGAGTGTTGGAAGCTTGAGATCTCATCAAAGGAAGGACTTCATCGTAGTAGTAGTCAGAAGTCTCGGAGTTACCATCGAGGTACAAACTGCGAGCCCAGAAAGTAGATCCAACGGTACAGGCAACCAAAGTGACAGTTCCAAGAGCGATGCGCAAGAACAAGTATCTTCCGATCAAGCGCTTTCCGACACGTCGCGGTGGTTGGTCCATGATACCATCTTCAGCAGGTTCAACAGCGGTAACGAATCCAAGTGTGACAGCACAGATCAAGTTACAGTAAAGCACTTGAATGGCGGTCAAAGGAGTATCGGGAAGACCGCAGATAAGACCGAAAAGAACAGACAGCCCTTGGGCGTTGTTGATAGGAGTGTTGACAAGAAGTACCTTTCGCAAGTTATCCCAGACAACACGACCTTCACGGACGGCAACAATAATGGTTGCGAAGTTATCATCAGCGAGAATCATCTTGGAAGCTTCGCGAGCGACATCGGTTCCTTCTTTACCCATGGCAACTCCCATATCAGCAGCCTTCAAGGCAGGGGCATCGTTGACACCATCACCAGTCATACCACAAACTTCTCCTTGAGATTGAAGAGCCTTGACAATACGAATCTTGTTTTGAGGGGACGCCCGAGCGAAAACGTTGTACTTTTGAACAGCACCCTTGATTTCTTCGTCGCCCATGGCATCGAGTTCAGGTCCAGTGATAGCAGAGCTATACTTCTCGTCGACAAGTCCAAGCATGAGACCAATGGCAAGAGCAGTATCCTTGTGGTCACCAGTAATCATAGCAACACGAACACCAGCACCCTTAGCTTCGGAGACAGCGTCAACACACTCTGGGCGAGGGGGGTCCATGATAGCACAAACTCCAACAATCGTAAGCCATTGTCCCTTGTCTTGAACGAATTCGGGGCCAAGTTGATCACCTTCGCTAACAGCACTCTTATCAAGTTCTCCACGAAGAAGAGCAAGACAACGAAGACCATGGGAAGAAAGGATAGCGATTTGTTCAATCCAGTAGTCACGGTCGATTTCTTCGGTTTCACTGAGCATACCGGCCTTGAATTGTTTGTCACAGAGAGGAATCATACGATCAGGGGCACCCTTGACATGGATGATAAGCTTGTCATCCTTGCCAGAGCCATCGTTTGCTTCGACGGGAGCGTGAACGGTAGCCATGAACTTATATTCGGAGGAGAATGGAACTTCAGCGATGATAGGAGACGAGTCTTTCATTTGGTTGACCTCAACACCACCCCAGTAGGAAGCACGCAAGATGGAAAGTTCAGTTGGGTTACCAATTTCACCTTCGCGACCACCATCCTTCCCAAGAGTACACTTCGAGCAAAGGACACCACCAGCAAGACCTTGACGGAAGAAAGAAAGATCGGGAGATTCGCCAGCGCCAACAGGGAGGTTGTCAACAGCTGCAGGTACACCTGCTTCAATAGCTGCTTCAATAGCTGCTTTCTTTCCGTGTTCAGAGGCGAAGTTTTTGTCAATGACAGATCCACGCATGGTGTATGGGAAGTCTTGCTCCTTCTTTCCGAAACGATCGTGGGTAGAAACACCCGGTCCGGACTTGAGGACATCGCGGGTCTTCATCATCTTGGTGTGATCAGCACGTTCAGCCATGTAGGCATCATCGCGAATAAAGTTCTTGTTGGAACGTTCAGTAGAGTCAGTGTCGACCTTGTATCTTGCGTTGGAAGTGACCCAGGCAACAAGGGACATTTCGTTCTTTGTAAGAGTTCCGGTTTTGTCAGAGCAGATGGTGGTAACAGATCCAAGAGTCTCGACGGCGGGGAGAGCACGGATAATGGCGTTTTGTGAAGCCATGTTGCTCACAGCCCAGGCATAAGTAACAGTCACAATTGCCTCAAGACCTTCGGGGATCATTGCGACTGCGCAGACAAGAGCAACAGAAAGAGACTCAAGCCAGTCACGGTTATCAACATCGGTGGTGAAGAAAGAGACAAGGAAAGTGACAACGGCAGTGATGACAATGAAGACGGCCAACCACTTGGAGACAGTATCAATTTGTTCCAAGACAGCAGTCTTCTTGTCCTCGACCTTGTTCACAAGTTGGTTGATAGTTCCAATCTCGGTGAAATCACCAGTGGCAACAATGAGACCAGCACCGGATCCTTGTGCGACAAGAGTGGCACTGAAACACATGTTGTGACGGTCACCAAGGGGGACGGACTTTGGCTCATCAGATTCAATCTTCTCAACAGTCTTATCAATAGGAACGGATTCTCCGGTCAAAGCGGCCTCAGCACAAGCCAGTTGACTGACTGTGAGCATACGAAGATCAGCGGGCACGCGATCACCAAGAGAGAGCATCACAATATCACCAGGGACAATCTCGTCGGCTGGGACCTTGACTTCAGTTCCGCCACGGACAACAATGGCATCGGCAGAAAGCATAGCCTTGAGGGCCTCAGCGGCCTTTTCGGCAGAACCTTCTTGGACGATACCAATGGTGGTGTTGATACTGCAATCGATTGTAAGATGATGAATGATGGTAAGACAAAAGATTCAACAATTCAAATGAGTCGTCGATCGAATCTACTTACACAATGACGCCAATAATAATACCGACTTGGATACCGTTGGTAACTGGATCATCAGTAAAAACACGGACCAAGGAAATGGCGGCAACGAACAAGAGGATACCAACAAGAACGTTGGCAACTTGTTCCCAGATCTTCGCCAAGAGAGACTTCTTCTCCTTTCCGGAAAGCATGTTGCGGCCATACTTCTCCAAGCGAGCTGCGGCTTCCTCAGCAGACAGACCCTTGGTTTGGTGGGACTCGGCGGGAAGACCAAGTTCAGAGAGACACTCTGCCTTGGTCATGGCATGCCAGTTAGGCTGGGGCTTCAATTCTTGTTCCTCCATGACTCCGTCTTTTCCGCTCATGAGCAAATTATGAGAGGATACGGCTGCGGAAATTTTTCAGATGATCGTCGAGAAGTTTTGCTACGACGGCGTATGAATTCAGGTACTGACGTGACGTAGTTCGCATAATTTACTTCCGAGGCTTGAAACGTCAGTACTTTCGTTTGGAACTTCCGCCCGATTGGCGGAAATCTTCTGGCCATGCCGGGTACGAGGTTCTGGTACGTAAAATACGTACCAGAGCGTCCGTTCGTCAGTTGTGGAACTCATTAGGTCAGGATCTCCACCCGTCAGCCATCCATCGGCCGTCCGGATCGCCTCAAATTCAGTTGTACATCTCTTTTAACCGACACTTACCGGTCAATTCGAAGTTTTTTGTTATGATTGGGAGGCCAACGACGTTTCTATTTAAAGGGACGGGCCAACGATGCAAAGTTTGGAAATCTTGGATTTCTCGACATGTGACGTCATTGACAGCGCGCGTCGACAGCTTCTCGTTTTTGTGAGAATATCGAGAACAACATGAATGACATCAACTAGGTACGTACCAGATCGGAGAACTTCAAGAAGAACGAGACGTATGCAATCAAGAGGTGTAAGCGATCTTAAATTCAACACGATTCCAGGCATGAGAAAGCCTAGTATCATATAATACAAGTGTGTCGTTTCAACAGTGACGTATCAATTCTGTTGACAACGTGAACTAGCAGAATGGGGATTGCTTCCAAGATTTGGGCTTGTCAAGTGTGACAGACTTGCATTCGCTTGAGTATTGAGAAAGTTCCTCTTGGTTTACGATGGATCCGAAGCTGAACATAAATCATGTATCAAAGTGTTGTGGCGATCCAACATGTGATTACCCAACCCAAGGCTTGGTGGTTCCAAAAGCGTTCGTCGTCGACGAGGGGTTGTACCAGGTACTAGGTTCTCTTTTGGTAAATGGGCTGGAAGGATCAAATTGCGATTGTCAAATTCGAAATCTCCATGTTGCATAGCGACAAATATTGCAATCCTTGATTCGTCACCTTCGATAACTGAGTATTCAAAGCACATGATTGTGTCGAGACCTCATCTGGCTGTCTCCTGAAGCGTGACAACGACGTCTGGGTCATGCTTAGAATTAATCGAAGTAGCCAAGCTACACGTCCTCTGACGAAAAAGCTCGATTCGTTTTTCTTCTTGTCGAAAGCAAAAAGACAAACCAATAAGAGACCCTGGAATGCATTTGTCGGTGCAGTGTTCATGAGGCGCCGTCATTGGCACTGCAACCACGACAAAAATGTGTCCATTGCAGTCTACATATTTGGCAAAATGACAAATATATGTTGATCGACCTCAATGCTACGCCCCTTACGACCTATCAGACGATACTATGGTCATACTATGGCAACGGCCCGCAGTAAATAATTGCCCTCAAGACTTTCAACCATCTGCTTCCAAGCGGTTCTTGAAGAATGACATTATAATGACAGATTAGTCAGAATAGACCATTTGGCTACGACAAATTCAAATGCTATTCTGACATGGTCGTCGTCGTCGTCGTCATTATCATTTTTTCGAAAGGGTGTAGGTAAATCTAGCTTCCTCCTGCTTTGCTAATTTTACTGAATATTACCTATGATTGCTTTTGTAGGTCCATGATGAGACACTCCCTGGAGAGCCTGAACGACAGTGCCATCTACGTTGGTCTTGTCATTTGCATCAAATTCCATTTTTTATTTTCAAAAAGGAGAAATTCAGGCCATGCTCATATTGACCGGCATAATGCACAAGTGGATGCATCAAAAGCAATTCGTTGCACCACGATGCAAGTGTCCAATGCATACATTATTCGAGGGAACACGCGGTGCCATGACGATATGCATCTCTGTATTGACAGAAAAGCAGCGCTCGGCAGCAGTGACAGAAAAGCACCTGTCGGTCGTACTTTGACTCGGACATGGATTCAAACATACATGTCGGTACAGAATCAATCGAGGGCACCTGGACTGTGTGCAATGTAGTCATCACGGTCAAACGTACGTTCAAACATCGCACAATTTCCATGAAAAGCGGGCATCTCATAGATGTCCAGCGCATTCTTATACAGTGTTGCACACACCTTTTGCTGAAAGACGAAGTATTGCTACAATGGAAGACCTTTGACAGGCCAAGGCTGATCAGATGCTGTCCTTTGTTCGATTCCTGCTGCCATTAGTCGATGATAGCAAGAATTAGACACTTTCGTTCATGACAAAGTTTTTATGTATACAACAGATCTGAAACAATCTAAAGGACGTGTATCTATTGCGATTATTCGTCCACACCATTTGGATGATTGAGCAGTTTGTTATACAAGTGGACTTAAAGAAGCATCTTCTCGAAGTACCGTCAGTAGACTGTCATGTATTTTTCCGTTACTCGCTATCAGATTTCGTGTTCTTAGATTGTACTCATTCCCAAGAATGTCCGTACACTTTCCACCTGCTTCTTGAACCATCAGAGACCCTGCAGCGATATCCCAAGCACATTCGTCTGGTGTCCAATAAGCCGTCAGCCGACCATTTGCAACCCACGGCAGGAAAACAGCAGAGCTGCCAAGCATTCGGACAGTTCTGACACTTTTCATCAATGGCTCAATGCCCTGTAAGCACTGTTGCAAACTTCCTTCACCAGCTGGGGATTCCATGCCAACAACAGCTTCGCCCAGGGTTTCCTGTAGTCCCACATGAATTCGATCTCCATTCAGACGAGCCCCTCTACCCCGGACGGCAGTGAAAAGTTCGTCTCGATGAGGGTCATTGAGAACCGCAACCATCACTTCTCCTTTATATGCGACAGCGATGCTTGGCATGTTGATGGGGATCCCAGATGCAAAATTGGTTGTCCCGTCAATCTATTAGTCGATTGATTAGTTGAGAGGTCAATCATTACGAGAATTCATCATAGATATCCCCAAGGTACAATATCTCCTGTTTCCACATGATGCGTACGTACCGGGTCGATAATCCAAAGCCAATCAGAATCCAATAGTTTCGCTTCTAGCGCATCAATAGAAGCTTGAATACCAGGCTTGACTTCCTCTTCACCCAAAATACCATGATCTGGAAAGTTTTCTACAACTTTCTCTCGAATTGCCTTTTCACACAAAGGATCAATGAGCGCTACGTTACAACCCAAAAACAGAGAGTATGTCAGAAACGATGAGAATGTTTCGAGATATGAACTCAACTACTTTGACTTACTCAAAAGATCCCGAGTTGTAGACTTCTTTTCAACGACAGCAGAACCATCCGCATTCTCTCGGATGATTGATGCAGCAGCCTTGGAAGCATCGACTGCTGTTTCTAATATTGAGTCTAACACCGCATCGTCCAAGTTGCTCGCGGCCGTACCAGGAAGAATTGTCGTCCGCTGGCTTGAAGAGGAAATTCCGCGCGTGCGACTAGTAACGAACGATAGTGAGACCGGGAGACTCAATAATAGAAATAGAAGAATTGATCTAGTTGCCATGGTTGATGCCACAAGTTTGTGGATTTTGTGTTTTCATTTAGTGCAAATAAAACTATGAAAGATCCAAACTTTCAGGAAATCACAGAAGAGAGTGGTTAACCGAAATATTTCGCCGTAAGCTGCTTCAGCAACTCGTAGGATCCAAATTGCACTGCTGCATTGGGTGCCATTCGAATGATATTGATCGTCATTCCACGGTAAAACCGAGCAATGCCCTCGGCTTGGTATGTCTTTCGGACGCAATCAAAGTATCCTGCATATTCAGCATTGGTTCCACGACTTCCTTGCAGCTGTAAGAGTCGTCGAATTGTGTCATTAGGATATGTAATCAGTCCTGCCATAACCCCTCCGAGGCCACCGAAGACCATCTTGCGCACTGGCGACGTCTTTTCCTCGGTTGGGAATGACCGTTCCAAAAATGCGACGGTTCCAAATTTGATGCCTTCATATGGCAGGGCCCCAATTAACGTAGGGGTGACACCCTTGTACAAAGCCAAGAAGCCTTCATCTCTAACACTAACAACAACTGTTCTGATAATGCCATTGTATTCTTTGTTCATTCCTTGCTGCGCCAATTTTCCAGATATCCGACCTCGGGCAAAGTCCAAAGGGTACGTGCAAGCGGTCGCGCTCATTCCTGCAAAGCCACCGGCAAAGAAAGCATAGAATGGAGCAAGATTTTGGCCCTCAGGTGTCTTTGTCAGCTTTCGGAAAAGCCCTTGATACATATCGTTGGAACTGAATACCACAGCCTTGGCTGGGAAAACACGCAAAAGATTCGCACCATTCCCAGCCCAAAGACCCATAATACCCTCATTCTGGATGATGGAACGATAGAGACTCAGAACCCCAGATGACTGTAGTCCATGTTCTCCTGTCTGACTTAACATTTTAATTCGCTCCAATGGATTCGTTGCCGTTTTAGCAATCATTCCAGCCAGGCCACCACAGATCATTCGTCGTGTCATGTCGGCAGCCGCACCGCCGCTATTTTGCACGGAGGCATCTTTCTTCATCTGCATCTTGGAAGGCGCCAACGACATTGCGCTCATTACTTCTATCTTGGGCGACACGGAATGACGAGGTTACTTTCTGTAGACTATCAGCTGGGCAATAAATGATCTCCACAACCAAAGTCAAACAAAAATGCGCATGGATGATGTTCTTTGCGTGAAAAGTTGCTTACGTAGACTTCTACGGCGCTAAAGCAAAGCGCGCCATATTTTCAAAAAAGTCGAACAAAATGATGGTTTCAGGTTACCGGTACCAGTACACGTGTACCTATATCGGGATGAGGAAACAATACGTCTTGGACGAAGACCGCGAGAAAAGCTCTAAGAAGAACGCAGCCAATCTACTTTCTATCTAATCCTCTCTAATCAGCTCCAACGTTTGTCCAAGACCTTCATCTTTGGCACATGACAACGCGACAATCCGTATGCTCTCATCGTTTTGTCGCACACCCGTAGCCGACATGTTACAGCTATACGTCGACACACCATCCGTGGAGAAAATGGCAAAGAAACGCACTTGTCCTCGCGAGTCTCTGACCCCAGCCCCAATAATAACCTCGACTTGCAGTAGATCGCCAAGCTTGCGGCTTCGTTGACGACATTCTCGTACCGCTTCTCGTACCACTGCGTCCACGAAAAAGGCATCTTCTGTGGACGTTAAAAAGTTGAGGACATTTTTGGGCATATCCATTTGCCCTAATCCATCTCCCAATGTCAGATCTATGGATCCATCCGTAGATATCAGTAAATCCATGACACTGTCGAAATCATAGGTTGTCACATCGATCTCATTGACTTGAAGAAGCACATCTCCTGGGACCATTCTGGTCGATTCGGCCGCTCCACCCTTCACTATCTCTTTTACCTGTACACCGCTATTCTCTGTGCCTCTTTCTTCCAGAATGATTCCCAATGGCTTTTCCAAATTGACCGAGTAATCGCCCAAAGCCACGAAAAGTGAAATGCTTTGACGAGTTATCGGTGCCGCATTCAGCAAAGAACACCCGAGCGGCAACCATGCCAGAAGAAATGTAGATATTGAACTTCTTTGTTGCATTGTTCCCAACTCCTGGTTATGAAAGTAGACAAAACTGGAGTGATGTTGTCCTACCGGTACCAGGTACAGTACAGTACTGTAAGTTGTGACGATGAAAATCTAGAACGGTTAAAAAGCGTGAAGTCCACCGAGTCGACTCAGATTTAAATTTTGCACATACGGGAAAACCAGTACTGTAGGTAGAGGAGATGCAGGCTGGATCGGTTTGATGTGACCATCGATGCAACCAGAAGCCAAGTCTTCCGACCGTACCTGGTACCAACAGTGAAAGTGGATTGATCCTTGCTCTCTAGCTGTCGCAGTCAGGCAATTCGTATCAAGCTCCAGAAACTGGAAAACGCTAACACCTACAGTAGTCAGAATGATTGAAGGATCACAATATGCAATGATAGACGATGATTCAAAGCATCCAACCATACCCCAACTGTTACCTCGTCAGCCTGACAAAGACACGTACCCTATGTTTCTAAGCGTTGATTTGGAGGACATATCACCTCTACGAGAAAACAGCAGCAATACAAGACCAGCAAGCAAATTCGTTGATCTGAAACCGCCAGCAGAGACCAAGTTGCAACACAACAACCCTGAGCTATACCAGAAAAGGGTGTTGTCCGACAAAGCTTGTAATAGTGTACCCTTGTCGCCGCATCCTTCTTTGTCTCAGTCGGACGCCAATACGGAGAGTTTCAAGAGTCCTTTGTCGACTGATACATCATCGGATGGAAGTGATGATGGCACCATTACTCCTCCCGAAGCGAGACCCAGATCAGTGGTAGTTTCTTCCAAACGCGTTGGCAACGCTGTCCGACGAGAACACTCAAAACGGCGGCGGCCATCACCACGAGTCAACAAAAATGGTGGTGGTGTTAATTTGTGGGGTGACAATTCCCCACAGGCGTCGACAGACACGGAAGATGAAGATTTCGAACTTTTGTTGTCCAACAACAGTCCGAATGTCGATACAACGAAACAATACTGGGAGTGGTGCTACGGCAAAGACAATGCAACGGCAGTCAGCCCTGGCCAAAGCTGGTCCGCGAAACGAGTCGCCCCCGCAAAAGGATGGTACGAACCTTTGCATTCGTCGATGCAACTCTTGCTGGTAATTTCCTAACCTTTTTTGTTTCACTTCGATACTAACTCTCCTTGACAGCCTTTCTCGCGCAATTGAATCGTCTTCAACTCCCACAGCGAAATTCAAAACTCCACCTGCTTTTCCTCAGAAGCAACCCAGACGCAACGGAACGAAAAAGAATGTGCAGTTTGGATTTCCACAAGCTGTGGAATATGAAATAGATGAACCATCCCGATGCTTGTCTGTTTTGCCCCTGGATGTCGCAATAGCTCGATACCCAATGGGACCAAAAGAAGACACTCCTGTGGAAGAAGAAATGACGCAAGAAACGAAAAAGAACTCGGCACTATTGGCAGAATGGGAAGACGATTTTGATGAACCGAGACCGAGATCGAGGAGAAATCAAAAGAATCGACGAACTAGTTCCCTATTCAAACCTACACCCATTAAAACCAACGGCGACGACATGCGACCAGATCTCGATGAAGTAATTACTCCATCGCCTTCTGCGGAAGTTTCAGCGACTCTTGCATCCTTGAGCATGACGTCTCCGAAAGTTGCATCGGAGGATGATGTGTATCATGAAAATGATGAAACGCTGGCTTCCTCGTCGGCTAGTGGCAAGAAACCAATCCCTCCTCAATCCAAAGAAACTATCGAAGAAAACGATTCGGTTGGACCAAAAACCGACAGCAGCAGCTCCTCGATGGATATCACACCTACGCAAAGAGCTTTGTCGCAAGATACACAATCTAATCATGCAGACACAACACCACCGCCATCTAGTCTAGGGCTCGAGACGATTCATTCAGTCGGCGGGGCCCTGGATGTTGATTCTCCAGGGTCTGGTAAGCAAGCCGCTTCTCACAGCCCACTCCCAACAATGATGGACCTTGGTTCCAGTAGCGACAACACAGAACTCGAAAAAGAAGCTGAACGAAATGAAACCATTGATATTACAAGAATCTTGTTTAGAAATCCTGCTGAGGACCAAGCGTGGACTTCGGCTGATCTGTTGCAAAATATGGCCATTGAAGACGAGCGCCAGCTTGAATCGATGCTCCTTTCCATTGATCCGAATCAAAAGCATGTCGTATCCACTATCGATACGCTAGTCGTCAAGGCAAATGAACTAGCAGAAAAAATGCCGAAAAGGAAGGGCAACTCAGAGAAAGAAGCTCATAGAATCGTGCACAACGAATGGATTAGGCTAGAGACAGCATTCGTGATGCAACTGAATCGAGGTCTCGAGACAACACTAAACGACATGGCTTCTTTGTCTGAAAAGGTACAAAATCTGCAAGACATACAGTGCCCCGAAACAACAAAGCGCGCGAAACGACGATCACGTGCAAAATCATGTAGCAGGGAAATCGAGGAGCTCGAAAGACAAGTCGTCAGAGAGAAGCAACGTCTTAATTCTCTGGAAGCATGTTTGGCACCTCATGCTGCGATTAGTTGTCAAGGCACCCTTGCAGTCATGGGTTTTCTTTTTGATGATTTCAACGGAGAAATATTACAGTTGTCATTTGAACACGTTGTGACAGGAACGGAGAGTATCGTCATCTTTGATCTGAGGGAGGGATCTTTGACAGTTCAAAGAGCTACAGGGGTGGAAACAAAGCAACAATCGATACCCTCTGATCATGTGGCTGCAAAGTTGCATCATCACATGCTGAATGTGGTAGCAAATGGAGGCCCTACTAGATTTGATTCTTCCAATCTAGCTGAGTTGCAAGATGCTATTGCCTCTGTTTCAAAGCAGCTAGGGGAGATTGATTCGATGGTTGCTGGGTTGCACTTTGTTGCCAAAGATAGTAGCATTCTTGTCAACGCTGAAATGCCAAGCCTCGAGATAGAGCTGCCGAATGGAGATTGTATTGTATTACAGTTTGGAACGGGACCTGCACTTGTACCTGAAGTCTTTACCCTATTCCCTGGAGATGGAGGGACTGCAACTCGGAACAGAATGCCAGATGATGTAACGTCGCACAATCTGTTTCAAAAGCTTTTGGAGCTGTGTAAAAGGTAGCTAAGAAACTTTCTAGTCTTCTGTAAGAGATTTAAATCTAAATTCTGATCCTACTGTATGTGCAGGGGATGACTCATAAAACAGCCCACCACCTTATCACTACTACTTACGGATTTTAGTACTGAAAAAGGCCAAAATAGATTTGGAAACAACGACTATATGCTATGATCATTGAAGACGCACCCGTGTTGATATCAGCATGTCAAGCCCTTCGGAAGGACTCTCCGAGCTTCCTCGATCCATAAGATGGAGGATTCAACTTGGATCACTGGTACGCCATTTGTAAATGATTATTGTATTGGTCTTTCAAAACATAGAGTTCACATCCTTTCCCAAGATTGATCCATCGAAATCTCCAACACCGGTGCCATTGTCGTTGGAAACAGTTCTCGAAGCGAATGGAGAGAGAATTTTGAAACAAAATGACCGATACCAAGAGTTTGTGTCCGAATATATGGATATTGAAGTTGAGGAAGAACAACTCGACGAGCAGGAACAAGGCCAGCCTGAAGAGAGTGCCGCAGAAATTGATCCACTGACGGCAATGGTAATGGAACAAGAAGCACACGAATCTCGAAAGGCTGAATTGTATTTGAAATATAGAAAAGAGAAGGCTCGAAGAAACCGAGGCTTAGCAACCGAGACAAGAGTTGTGCAGGGTGAAACCGATGGAGTCGATGAGGCAACACTAAACATCATCGATAAAGACTTGAACCGATTGCCTCACCCAACAGAAAGTGGCCTAGGGCCAAACGCTCCAAACCGCACCCCAAAACAAGAATCAAGAATGGGCTGGTTGCGAGAGGTCCTATACATATATGCGAGGGAACACCCGCAGATAGGCTACCGACAGGGGATGCACGAGGTTGCATCGTACATCTTGTTTGTTCTGGAACTTGAAAAAAAGACGTACCCAGATCACCCTCTTTTCAATCCGATGCTAAGCGTTTGTTTTGATTTGCTGGAGCGTACATTAGAACAGGTACAAACGGCGTATGACGTTTCAGGCGAGGAATCATTGCAGAGAATGTCAAATTCAATTTTGAACAAGATTCACCAAAACGACCCCGATCTGTTTCGACTCCTCTCAACGAATCCAAACATCCCACCTCCGCCAATTTACTGTACTCGGTGGTTGCGCCTTCTCTTCTCAAGAGAAGTGGCCGGGTATGAGAATGTATTTCGGCTTTGGGATGTTTTCTTTGAGTTTAATGTAATGAAAGTCTTGGAGATCACATGCGCCAGCCGTATTCTGCTGCTACGAGATGCATTGTTAAATCCCTCAAGCAATCCTCTTGATCTATTGATGAATGTCCCCCAGCTTTCTGATATCACGCCTTTGACCGATATGCTACGACTTCTGATGGACCAACCATATCGAGACATGCCTAAGTTTCCTGCTCCCACACTCGATCCATTTTCAACTCCACAACGGCGCACTGCGCCTCCAGTACAACGACACACAGGTCCTCCAGTTCATGTGCCACCACCCCAACCAATGGCGCAACCTTTCCAGTCTCAGCCCATGACGCAATCGCAAGAGTCAACTGATTCTGCCGGGCGTTTGTTTTCTCACATGGCACAAACACTTGGACAAAAGAGTGAGTCACTAAGGCAGAAAATTGTCAGCGAATGGAAGCAGCAGCAGACTCCGAAGGAAATTCACGGTCAATCTCAAGCCAACCACATTTACTCTCCGGCGGCTTCGTTCAAACAACCAGTCTTCACCGACCCACTGTCCCAGCCTCAGCCTAGACAGACACCTAGTATTACCTCCCCCAAGGAACGTCAACACGAAATGTGGTCGAAATTATTGAGAGAAAAGATATGGACGGTTCAAGATTATTTGATGAAAATAGAATCAAAAGAGACGGAAACAAAGGTTCCTGGTGAAATATGGGAAGCATTGGTTGAACTTGACAAGATGCAACGGGAAGTTCACAACTATGCACAGAGTATGAAAAAATAGCTGAATCTGCAATATCTCTATGTTCATTCTTTATCAAGTCCTTCGTGATAAGTACGCTGCATTATGTTATGAAGTAGCTTCTAACTCTCAGTGGAACCTTGTGTGTTTCTTCCAGATGTAGCAGCAGCTGCTTCCATTGCTTCCCGTTTTTCTCGTTCGATACGATTGATTTCCATTTCTTGTGCTATTGGCTTGAAAATATATACACCTGAAGTCACACCGACAAATGAGGCCACAGCGATTCCTTCAAAGTCGCCCGAACGGCGTCGGAAGTAAGGGCTGGTAAACGAAAGAAGAAAGAAAGAGAGTGTGAGGAACAGCTTGTACTCTCATTGACAAAAAACTCGTCCAGATAATCTTCCTCACCCGAAGCCAAGTACTCTCTTGAACCAATTGATTCGCGGCGAACTCATTTTAACAAGTGCCTTGGTTGATACAAAAGGCGTGGTGAAGACCAAAACTCAAAGAAACATGAATAATGGTAATGATTACACAGAATGATGCATGATGATTCATCGTTGTTCTCCCTCAACATACCCCCAATAAACCCGCCCCTCCATTATTTACCCCCTCATCGGACATTGTACTGCAGCCAGTATCAAAGGATAAACATGAAGTATAATGCTAACAGTGTTATATCAGGAAGATAGTCACACTATCAAGAGTTTCATGCCTTCCATTTTTCTTCATGGAGTTGGGTCGATCCTGATGTGCATTTTGGTCTTTCATTTTAGAAAAATGTGACTGTTTTCTAGTTCAATGGCAACGAGACCATCTCAGTCAAAACAAAGGAAAGAATCGCAAGCCTTATAACTACAATTCGTATCTGTTTTCAGTTTCTTTTCTATATGTTAGTTCCTTAATCGGAAGAAGCAAACATTATAGCATCATTCTTTTGTACCAGAGCAGTCAAAGCCATATCTCCCTCGGACTTGAATCGGATGTATCCGCCAAGAGCGTATGGTGTGTTCTCTCCAGTGGCCATGCCAGTAACTGGATCAACGTTGGCAACGTTGATTTGGATACTGGAGTGGTCCTTGGCCTCGATGATGCGGTTGGTGTACGAGCACTTTCGTGGGACGTAAAGGTCGACGTTTTCTCCGGCTTCGTTTTGCATCTTGACTGAAAAGGAAAACAAGCAAGGCGTGAGCAAAGACTGTGGCAAGAGAATGACTCCATTTCCTCTTCAGCATGCAGCGATCGTAACAACTGTAAAGCGATCAAGCAATTTCGGCACTCCACAATATCACAGCATTCTGATCCCAGATTAATCTCCAGTCAGCTCCTATGCTTCTGCCCACTCCGCATGTTTGCTCTTATTGTTGTGTGTATCTCTCTATACGTCTCCAAAATTCTTCAGTAAAAGAGGCACGCCGCCATGGTCTCACCTTCAAAAGTTCGTAAATTTTGATATTGAAAGAGCCGTGCAGCATCTCAAAGCCACTTACCCCTCTACTTATTTGGTGTACGTTTGTCTGATCTACGGATTTGCGGTTCCCAAGCTAAAAGTCGTGTCTGTGTGAATTTCCGGTAAACAAATTCGGCAGACGGCGGACAGACACAGCCGCAGGTTCCAAAGTCATGGGCACATGTCTGAAGACGAATTCACGTGGGACATCTCCATATCTTGTTTCTAACAGGTAAGGAAGGATATTGGGTTTGTGGCAATGATGAATGACGGCAAAGATGCTACAGCTTTCAAGAGATACAACGTTTACCAAAAATGGTTCAATCTTGCAGAAATTCAGAGAAAAAACCTAGAAATCTGTCATTTGAACATGTTGTCGTGAAGGTGACCGATGAGAAGATGTTCATCAGTTGCATTCGTCTGTGTTTTGCCTTGATACATCCATTCTAATTTCTTCTTTGATTAGATAAGCTCTTTATCATGGGTGATCTTGCGGATAATGCTTTGATTAAAAAGCTCAACGAGTTTGGCCTGAAGCATGAGGTTTACTCTCATGCCGCTTGCATGACGGCCGATGAACTTGTTGCCAATGTTCCTTTGGGATCGGACAAAGAAACACACACAAAGAACTTGTTCTTTAAGGACAAAAAGCATGGAATATTTTTGGTGACCCACGCTACAGCGACAACTTTCAACACAAAGCAGCTTGGTGCTCTCTTAAAGCTCGAAGGAAAAGTTAATATGAGATTGGCAGATGGTGCTACCCTTGATAAGCATTTGAAGGCGAAGCCAGGACATGTCGGGCCACTTTGTATTGTCAACGACGAATCTAACGAGGTCAAATTTATTTTGGATAAGGCGTTGATGGACTATGAGGTTATCCACTCCCACCCCGCTCAGAATGACGCATCCGTCAAATTGGCCCCTTCTGTCTTGCAAGAATTCATGACCAAGGCAGGAGTTGAACCTATCATTGTCGATTTTACAGCAGCTCCACAGGTCCCAGCTGGTGGTGCTCCCCAACAGAAGGGAGAAAAGAAGCAAGGAGGAGGTGGAAAGCAACAATCAAAGCAAAACAAGAAAAGTGCAAAAAAGGGAGACACTCTTCTTGCCCTTCAATGGAAGAAGGAAGAAAACTTTCCCATGTGGTACTCGGACGTTATCGTTCTAAGTGAGATGATTTCCTACTATGACATCAGTGGTTGTTACATCTTGCGTCCTTGGTCGTACAAGATTTGGGATCTGATTCAACAGTGGTTCAATGAGCAGGTACGTAGTTGGCTCTATCAGGTTTCAAACGTGCGTCAGATTTATCATGGCTGATTGATGTTTTGATTGATGTTGCTGCTATTCAGCTTTTGGACCTGGACGTCGAAAACTGCTACTTTCCTCTATTTGTTTCCCAAGATCGTCTTGAAAAGGAAAAGGATCACGTCGAGGGATTCGCACCTGAAGTGGCATGGGTCACAAAGAGTGGTGAAACTGAACTTGCACAGCAAATTGCTATTCGCCCAACTTCCGAAACAATCATGTATCCTGCATTTTCGGATTGGATCAAGTCGCACAGAGACCTTCCCTTGAAGCTGAATCAATGGAGCAACGTTGTTAGATGGGAATTCAAGGATCCTACTCCTTTCCTGCGATCTCGTGAATTCTTGTGGCAAGAGGGCCACACAGCACATGCCACCTATGAGGACGCTGACAAGATGGTCATGCAAGCACTTGACTTGTACAAGCAGGTGTACCAAGATCTCCTTTGTGTTCCTGTTGTCCCTGGATACAAGACCGAGAAAGAAAAGTTTGCTGGAGGTCACATGACAACAACTGTTGAAGCTTACATTGCCGGATCTGGGCGTGCCATTCAAGGTGCTACCTCGCACAACCTTGGTCAAAACTTTGGTAAGATGTTCGACATCAAGTTCCAAGACGAGAAGGGTGAGACGAAGATTGCATGGCAAACTTCGTGGGGTTTGACTACCCGTACAATTGGTGTGATGGTCATGGTGCATGGCGATGACAAGGGATTGGTTATGCCTCCTAAGGTGTCTCCTTTGCAAGCTGTGATCGTTCCTATCATCAGCAAAAAGTTGACTGGAGAAACTGCTGATCCGTACTGCAAAGCGATCTTGAAAGACTTGAGGAAGCTAGGCGTAAGTTGTGGGCGGCGAATGTTTCTTTTTCCTCTCGTTGCTTGCACTGACTGTTTTGTCTTCTATAGATCCGTGCCAAGTATGATGATAGAGCCATGTACAACCCTGGCTGGAAGTACAACCATTGGGAACAAAAGGGTGTCCCAATTCGTATTGAAGTTGGTCCCATGGATATTGAAAAGAAACAAACTCGCATTGTCATCAGACACAATGGTGAGAAAATGGATCTTCCCGTTGAAGGTCTCGGTAGCGTGATTGCAACAAAGCTTGAGGAAATCCAAAAGACGATGTTCGAGAAGGCACTGAAGGCACGAGATGAACACATTGCCAAAGTCACTGAATGGAAGGACTTTGTACCCAACTTGGAGCTCAACAATCTTGTGTTGACTCCTTGGTGCGGAGGCGAACACCAGGATTGGGAAGAATGGGTCAAGAAAACCAGTCGGGAAGAGTCGTTGAAAGCTCGTGGCGAAGAAGGCGAAGACGAGCGAACGGCAACATCCGTGGCTGCCAAGACGCTATGTATCCCATTCGACCAGCCAGAACTCCCAGAAGGTACTAAGTGTATTGCAAGTGGCTTGCCAGCCACATGCTGGTGCCTATGGGGGCGATCTTATTAGAAAGGCGTAATGCGAATGCTATGGGTATTGTTTAGTCTTCAATTTTCTGATTCCGATCCAACAGTGTTTATTCGTGGTAGGTCTCGTACGTACGTGGCATGATCCAAGTCAGTTTTCCAACCCATCAAAACGAATTCAATCGGATCCATAATAAAACAGAACAAAGCAACATGAAGATCCAATTCTTGTTTCTCTCCACCTTGGCAGTCGCCAATGCATTCACCAGCCCTGCACCAAACCAAGCTCTTGTCGGCCAAGCTTCTTCTTTCCGTCAAGTGGATGTCTTGATGGCTTCCACGGATGATGAGGATACAGAATCTTTCCTCAATGATGCATCCATTCCCGCCGCTACCGCCGCCATGTGGGCATTAACTTCCACCTCTGCCATGGCTGCTGGGCCAGACTGGGGAATCTTCGAGGGAAGAACACTGTCTCTTCTTCACCCAGCCATGATGCTTGGAATGCTAGCACTTAGTGTTTCAACCGCCATTCTTGGATTCGAATGGCGTCGTCAACGTACCATCGGTGATGATGTTACTGCTCTTAAGAGCGGATACCCTGATCTTGGTGGAGCTTCCACCGCCACGGCCGCATTGGAGGCTGCGAAAGGTGCCGAAACCCCAGATGCTGGCTTGATCTCCAAGTTGGAAGCTGCCCTTCCCATCGATGCTGAAATCAAGGCGTTGCAAAGCGAGCGCAAGGAGCTTGCCGCTAAGGGACCCCGTGATATGCACTATTCACAGGGAGCCACATTGGCCTTCATTGGTACCGTCTTTGCCATTGAAGGTCCATTGAATACCTATGCTCGTGCTGGAAAGCTATTCCCAGGCCCACATTTGTACGCCGGTGCTGGCCTCGTCTGTCTTTGGGCCCTTGCCGCTGCCTGTGTCCCTGCCATGCAAAAGGGCAACGACGCCGCCCGTTATGCTCACATTGGAGCCAACTTTGCCGGAGTCGGTTTGTTCGTATGGCAAGTTGTCAGTGGTGTCCCGATCTTGTTCAAGGTCATTGAATTCACCAAGTGGCCATAAATACTACTGCGCATGAAGATGGAAAGAGTTTTCACATCAATCTCTTGAAACGTAAAGTACAATCAGTAAACTGCTAATAGGCACAAGCTAAAGCAATCGTCGATCCATGCAAAAGAATTTATTTAGTGCGCTATTGAATGTTCTTGTTGACAATGATGAAAAGACTCAAGTCATCATCAGCCACCTGTTTGATTTCTTCGGGTGTACAGGGGACATTGTCGTTGAGCATGGTTGCAGAACTGAATGGATGGAATCAATAAAGAACAAGTAGTAGTGGAAGCTGGTTTCGTTTTACCGTCTCGAAAGGAGGTGCTGCCTGCTTGACTGTAAGCCATCTGGCTTAGAACAACAAAAGTTTGTCGCCACTTTCTCCCTCTTCACCACCTTCCCCATCAGCAGGAGGATCAGTGAACATGAGAATTTGCGAATCCGCGTTTCCAGCTTCCTTGACAGAGTTATCCCAGTCGTCAACCTTTCCAAATTGCGATTCCTTCGTTTCGGCCATCTTTTTCCAATCTTCGTCGGATGCACCCGAGTTGACACTCTCCTTTCGTTCTTCTGCCCGTTTTCTTGCAGCTGCAAGATAATCAGACTCGCTGAACGAATATTCCGTTTTGAATTGGTTCATCTTCTTGTCGAGTCCATCGAGTACAAGACCATCATCTTCTTCTTCCGCAGAAGAAGAAGCATCCGCTCTCAAAAGTGTTGTGCTTCCAGTTCGGCAAAGAGGAGCAAGAGAGAAGGCTGATGCCAGAGTAGGTACGAGGAGGATAAGTAGCTTCATTTTGTTTCAGACGTCGATTGATTGGGAAAGCAGCTTCTAGTACTTCTAATATAATATTATAATAAAATACGATGCGATGATGAATGCATGAATTCTGTGATGGGTTTTATTGAAGCCTGACGTTCGTTGTTCACGGCGCGCGAAAAGAGTGTTACCACGGGTGACAGACAGAAGCAGCGAGCGAAACACGTACCAGCAGCATTGCTTCTCCTTCGAGCCGGTCGCCAACCATCCAGGCTCACGACAATCGTGCACCCCGGAAAAAATTTGATACGAAGAAAGAAGCACAATCAATACACGAGTATTGATAATCTAGATTCCAAACTTATATGAGCGAGGGTGAAACATCGGGAAGAGGATCGAGTTCTTCATCATTAAGGCCTAATTCTTCACGTAGCGGTGGCCGCGGTCGTGGTCGTGGCAGAGGCGCCAAAGGCAGAGGTCGTGGTAGAGGCAGAGGTGGAAGAGGCAGAGGAGGCAGAGGTCGCTCTTCCAATAACGGTACTGCTGCTTCCGATTCCACAGAGACAACACCAAACGGAGAAGGACCAGTAGTGACTGTCAAGAATGAGAATAGAAAGGAGCCGAATAAGAACAAGAATGATCATGGAGAAGTGTCTGCTTCCTCCGAAACTCACACAGACAAACGAGACAATAATAATAATAACAACGACCAAGATGGCCGAGGAAGTAGAGGAGGACGAGGTGGACGTTCCTCAGGCCGGGGTAAATCACGTGGAGGCGGAAGGGGTGGCCGTGGGCGTGGTCGTGGACGACACAACAATGACAGCAGGAAGAATAAAAAACATAAGAACAATGGGTCCGATGACGATAACAACCACAACAAGGAGGTCTCACAAGACAATGAGGCGCCCATGGACTTTGACAATACGGCAGTCTTGGAAACTGGATTTCCCGAAGCTGCTGGTGCATCAGCCTTTGATAGTATGCCGTCGGTGCAGAGCAATGGTGGATTGGATCCAGTGAACAACAACAACAATTTGAACCACGATTCCATTACCAAATCATTGCTCACGGCCCCACTAGATCTACCCACACCACCATCATCATCTAACAACAACTTTTCGGGACGTGATGGCGTCCCAATCATTCTTTCCCGCAACAGTCATCCTCCCATGCAATCATCTGCAGTAGACTACGACTCGGAAGCTCAAAAGCTATCCGAACGGCTTGCTACTGCCGCTTTGGAGGACTTTGATATTGCGGAAGAGAAGAAGGAGGTCACGCAGACGGAAGAAGCAGCTGCAAGAAATGGAGAAGATGCTACTACCAATGGAAACTCCAATCCAACTGGGAAAGCAAACAAGAAGCCCAAAAAGAAGAAAAACAAGAAGGACAAGGCTCCACCACCACCTCCTGTGGAGGAGGAACCGATTGATGTCAGCGCAACAGATGCAATCAAGGCTATTCCAGCGCAAGAAGTCAGTATTACAGAGAATACCACTGTTCAGATCCGTCGTGACGATTCTCCAACAATGGAAGACAATATCGAGGAGGGGCCGGCCAAGATTACGGGTGGTGGCATCATTGCAAACACGAAGGGCAAATCCAAAAAGAAGAAGGGATTGTCCAAGGATCATGCGGCAAATCAAAAGGCAGCAAAGATATTTAACCGAGCTGTGAGACAGTGTGTGGAGCGCAGTGACCCAGATGGTATGCGTGAGATTTTGCAGGATAAGAAGAACCACAACTTTGCTCTTGACGCTAATGTCTTGGAGACGGTAATGAAGGCTTACGTCATGGCAGCCATGTTCGAGGATGCCCTGTATTGTTTGCGCAACTGCACCTTACCAGGAACACTGTCAACAGGGCAAATTGAACGAATTTTGACCTGCCTGCCTCAGAATCTCCGAAATAGTAGTGCTTACTCGGCTGCTGACATGATCAATGCGCTTTGCATTGCTACGGAATTCGACAATCCTACAAGTCGAACATATTTCCTTCGTATTGTGCGAGGTATCGCACTCGAGTTTTTGGAAGAAGTCATGTCTGCTCGAGATCGAATCTGCTCAGCACCCTGTGAGCGATTGGTTCGCTCGGCCGTTTGTGTTGTGGATGCTCGGCTGAAGCGAGGAAAGAAACCAGCTGACCTTTTCGTTGTTCCAGGGGATCAATTGGGTGTCTTTGTTCCGGATTCCATGGAAAACAGAGGAATCCAAGCTGGAGATGCGGTATCCCTCTTGCCATATGCAGGTCCTTATCCAATGTCTGCTGAGAGTCTTGATCGCAACATGATTGAAGCTACAGTCACAAACACCAATCCCATGGTTCTCCGATTGCAAGACAAAACCAATACTAGTCTGTATTCCTTGCTGACCGAAAACATTGATGGAAATGTCTATCGTATTGACAAGCTTGCAAATCGTATGGGTTTTAACCGTCAACTTTCAGCCGCAGTAGCAATCGCTAGTCCACTCGGTGAAAGTGGTACGCGTGACACAAGGAGACCTTGTCCTCAATTGATGAAAGCAATCACAGCTATGGACGAAAATATCAACCTTGTGATGAGCAAGTCGGGAGGCATGTTCAATGGAGAACTTACATCCACTGCAGCGTTGTGTGCACAAGCTGTTCCGTGGAGCTATGAAGACGAGAAACAAGAGGAAGACGGCAACGACGAAGATGCATGCAGAATGGCATCTAGATTGGCACTGGACAAATTCTCGGCTCTTGAAGGGTTGAATGCATCTCAGTCACTTGCTGTCGAAGGTGCTGTGTCAAATCGTTTGACATTAGTGCAAGGGCCGCCGGGTACTGGTAAGAAATTGTTGTGGTATGACTGCTAGATATAATTTGGATCCATTGTTCTCAACTTTTTATCCAGGAAAAACTGCTGTTGCAATTCGCATTTTGCAACACTGGGCCCGATTGGCTGATTCGAACTCTGAAGGAGGCGAAAACCCCTCTCCCATCTTGGCAACTTCTGATTCAAACATTGCAGTGGATAACCTTGTCGAGGGATGTGCAGCTGTAGGACTCCGAGTTGTGAGATTGGGGAGACCAGAAGCAATTAGACCAGAACTTTTGCGGTTCTGTGTTGATCGCCCACCTTCTTCTTACAGCAATGGAGGAAAGCAACAGTCGGGTGGCAATTCGGCACAGGCCTTCAAAGATAGAATGAAGACTCTGAAGAAAGCTCAAATCATTTGTTGCACCTGTATTGGATCAGGTGGTGATATACTTGATGCGATGACTTTTGATCGAGTCCTTGTTGATGAAGCTACTCAGGCAACTGAACCAGCAGTGCTGGTTCCGTTGATGAGAGGATGTCGACAGCTTGTGCTAGTTGGTGACCATTGTCAGTTGCCTCCAACAGTGTTGAGCACAAGAGCAGAGGAAGAAGGCCACGGTGTTCCATTGTTTTCCAGAATGGTTGCATGTGGCGTACCTCCATTTATGCTCGACACTCAGTACCGTATGCACCCGTGCATTGCAATGTTTCCATCTGATTTGTTTTATGGTGGAAAGCTGTTGAATGGAGTTACCGCACCGGAAAGACGTCCACTTGCTGGATTCCCATGGCCGCGCGAAGAGTTCCCTGTTGCCTATCTTCCAGTAAAGGGTACTGAAATGGACGACGGCGTTAGTAAGCTGAACGAAGCTGAAGCAGCCGCCGCCTGTGATGCTGTTGCGGCACTTCTGGCTGGTGGCCAATGCAGAGTATCTGACATTGCAGTTGTCACTCCTTATGCCGCTCAAGCTCGGCTAATTCGACGCATGACACGTCGCCTGACGCAAAATACGGGACCTCCGTACATTGAAGTATCTTCCGTGGATGGTTTCCAAGGAAGAGAAAAGGAAGCTGTAGTTTTTTCTGCTGTGAGAAGCAATGACTACGGAGCCATTGGTTTCACATCCGATTGGAGACGTGTTAACGTGTCCTTTACTCGTGCTCGAAGAGCTTTGATTGTCATTGGTAACGACCAAACATTGCGCCGTGGTGATCCAGACACTTGGATGCCATGGCTAGCTTGGGCAGATGCACATGGATTAAACATGGACAAGCCTGGTGTTCCTCGAGGTCGATACGATCCAGAGCAGCTTCGACGTGTCCGCGGTGGAACAACAGCAGCTGAAATGTTGAAGGATGTTTTGGCAAGACAGCAGGCGCAACTTAAGTCAGCTGAGAAACAACTTGAAAAGGCAGAGAGGAATGCCAAAGGGCACATCATTGGCAAGGACGACGACGATGATGACGATGGAAAGAGTGGTAGCGAGAAGGGGCTCTCCCTTGAAGAAGATCTCGCCATGATCACAAACACGGATGGGAATTGGGATGATTCTGATGAAGAGGTTGACATGCACCGCAGTATGTCTCAGCCAACATTGACTAGTATGTCTTCGAATGGAAATGTTGACGGTAGTGACAAAGGTGGCGCCGTCGACGTCTGGGATTTGTAAAACGATTAATGCACACCATAAGATTGGTTTGCGAAGAAGTAGAAAGTGCTAATTGTGAGGAAATGTGTGAAAGACTACTGTAGCTGTCAGGTTTTATGGCCTTGCTATATTCTAATCTCTACCAAATCTTGATCTGTAATATTCTCTTCTACTCTCAGTAATTCAATCGCCGTTCCGTCACTTGCACGTAGATAAGCTTCTTCAACACTTGCACTCGTGAAGGAACGGGACAGAGCTGCAATGTACACTGGGTCAGTGATTCCTTCTAGTTTTTGGTTCTTTTGAGCAGTCAAAACAGCACTAATGACGCGAATTTTTCGTTCTTTACGCTTTTGATATTCAGAGCCACTGCAGGCTTCAAGACCTACCATGCAGACCTCAGAGCTTCTGTCATTATCACGAGCGAGCTTGGTAATAAGGAGCATTTTCGAGTAGTCTTCTTGGCTCCACCAGATGCCATTGGCCGCAGAAGAATAGAGACTGCCAGTAGGCGAGATTTCGTTGACATCGATACGGTCAGAGAAAGCAACACGCTTGACTTTCTTTCCTAATTGATTTGCTCTTGGAAATTGTTTGAGAGGGCCAACTGACTTCGTTTCTTTCACTCGACAACTGGTGTAGTAGTACTGGTATTCACAATTTAATGCTCGTGGTGACGACGACAGCACACCCTGAGGTTTATTCAACCACGGCATGACTGCATGTATGGTCTGGAAGGAAGCACCTAACACTCTTGGTGTTTGTTTTTTGGATGATGGAGTAACAAGCGGAGTTGCAATCACTGTTCAGACAACATGATCAAAGAAAACTTCAGTCGCACTAATGGTGGGAAGAATGAATGTATGATATATACCGTAGTACATGTACCGAAACTGTGGCACGACTGCAAGAGTCGCGGAAGAAGGCAGACTCAACCGACCTCGTACGTCACGGAATTCGCGCAAACAAAATAAGAAGTTGAAAAAAGAAGATCGATAAAGGTCTATTTTGAAGTTACCAACAACCATTTGTGGAATAGCAAAAATGACATCGCGGATAAAGTCGATAAAAAGCCAAAACAGGACAGTGATACTGGCGGTTCTGATATTAGGCTGCATATGCGCTTCTGTCGATTCCTTTGCAGCACCGTCTACCACCGTGAATGGTGCTGGCCAATTAAACATTGCATTTGTCACAGGAAATGCAATGAAAGTTAGAGAAGTGGAAATGATACTCTCAGAACAAGGATCAACAAATGGTACACATCCTGGTAGTGGGTTAGTCAATTTGCGAGTTGTGAAGGTCGATCTGCCTGAGATTCAAGAAGTAAATACTGAAGCAATTGCAAAGGAAAAAGCACTACTCGGAGCACAGCTTGCTGGGGGACCATGCTTAGTAGAAGACACTTCATTGAAGTTCCATGCGCTGGGTGGGATGCCAGGACCATACATTAAATGGTTTCAGGACAGATTGAAATCTGATGGACTGTACAAAATTCTCACGGCCTACGAAGACAAATCAGCAACAGCAGTGTGTACTTTAGCATTCTGCCCTGCTCCACATGCAGACCCAATCTTATTCACTGGGGAATGTTCAGGAACAATTGTCGCGCCTACAGGGAAAGGTGGATTTGGCTGGGACTCAATTTTTGTGCCCGATGGCGAAGAGGAAACCTTCAGCTGTCTGTCGACGGAACGAAAGAACCAGCTTAGCCACAGAGGTGACGCGGTTAGACAATGGGCTCGTTGGTTATCTGCTAACCAAGAAGCTCTAATGCTACGACAAGATGGAATACCTGCCATTGGACACAAAGGATTGGATTTCAAGTCCTATAGCGCTGAACAATAATGCAATTTCCTTGTTCTTTTGCCATCTTTTTGCCGGGTAGATTCTTGGGATAGGATTATTTCAACTGAAGTAGCATTAATAAGGCATATCTATGTTTATGCGCAGCAACACTATACACAATTGTATGTAGCATGAAATGTACACGTGGAATTCCCAAAGAACCGCGTTTTCAAAAGTCTTCTCTGAAATGAGGTTTTAAGTCAAAAGATGAGCGTTGCCAACGACAAATGCCGTGTAGGCCGAAAACAAGTGCCACAAGGAATGAGTCACAAGGTATCGCCAACCATACTCCCAAACCCAGCCCAAACTCAAGCAAAGTATTCCTGCAGAACCACTGACAACTGCTTCCAATGGTGGCATCTGATGATCCAATCCCAGATATACAAGACCAACCAAAATTGCTGTGCAAGCACAAACGTAATCAATTGATAAGGCCAATCTTACAGAGCTGTCCTGTATCCGATTGTTGGAAGCTTGAAGTTGTGTATAGTGATAAAAGAAGCTTGCTACGCTCGCAATTTCCGTCAATGTACCAAGCAAAACGTCACCATGGATTCCAAGCACTATACCGACGACAGCATATGCAATATTTGTTGCCAAAAATGCTTGACCAAGGGGAGTATTCTCGCTTTCTGGTGATAGATCTGCATAGCTCAAAGCCCATCCATTCGTCAAATTGTCTATAGTCTTGGCAAATGGAGTCAAGGCCTCTTGCGCATTCAAGGCAAATTCAGATTGCAAATTTTCGAACGATGGCATTTCCAACATACGATCCCTAACTTTGCCCTCTAGTGTTGCGTCGTTCTCAGCAAGCTTGAATGGTTTCCAACTCAATACAGTTCTTGCTTCCGAGCAATCGTAGTTATTGAGTCCCATTTGTTGCCATTTCTTCGTAGCAAAAGACGAAGGGACAAAAGCCTCAGAACTTAGAGCGCTAAGGCAAATAGTTGCAGCGAAGATAGAGTGTATCATTTTCATTGCTATGGGTGTTTGATGTACAGAGAGAGTCGGTGGGCAGAAAACAAAAAAGAAAAAGCTTCCGAATTCTCGTTGTTGTGGTCCTTCGCCTTATGTTTTTTTACCAATGCGATGACGTCAGACAGACCGGCAGGTGTGAATCGTGCAAATACGTTGGTCGGATGAATCAAATTCGTCTATTATACTCCACGCGACGCACGATCCATGATGAACACAGAAACTACCGGTTACAATACTGTACCGTACTATAATATACTGATCCGCAATAGAACTTCCAATTCAAACCGTTCGAATTGATTTTGGTGGAAGCGAAGAAATGGCGTCCCAGTGGTAGCTGTGTCATGGCAACCGCTACCCATTGCTACTGTATTCCAGGACTCGTTCATAAAAAAACCAGTGATATTTATACTTCTAGCATTGTTACTTTAAAATATCTCTATATTGATACTCCATGAGCAGCAGCCAACGCAAGCTGCCTTCGAAGTGGACCTACATTCTGTATCATGTTCATGCCAAACGTCTTGGCATGTTGCAGGGGTACATTTTGTGTTCCAAAGATTCGCTGCAAGGCGTGGATTCCTCCTAATGATAAGCTCACGTTTCGCCGTCGATCCGAGTCGTATTCGTTGAGGAATGTTGATAGATCCATTCCAGCATCGCTTGCCTTTTCGAGAGTTTGCACCAAGACCTTGACATCACCAAGTCCAAGATTCAAGCCCTGTCCAGCCATTGGATGTACCGTGTGAGCAGCATCGCCTATCAGAGCCACTCGTCCCTTGATGTATGATTTTGCTTGAAAGCAGGATAGTGGGAAGGAGAACTTTGGAGATACAATCTCCTCAACGCGAGGAGGAGCAAAGAATTTGGGGATGGGGTGGTGAGATGCCATTGCTAGTCCATAGTGTAGAGTGTCCAAGACTCGTTCAGCGCCATGAAGAATATTTGACAATGCATCAGAATTCGAAGATTGTTGTCTCTCCAGGAGAGAGGGGACACGTTCGGGACCCTTCATAAGGCATTCATTCAAGTAAGCCACAAGCTCTTCTTGTGGAGCGTCCTTCCATTTTTGGACCGTATCGGGGTGTGTACTCCAGACAACAACGGCATGACGATCAGAGTACGTTGGTAGTAGTGCCATAGGGCCGCCGTCGGTTAGATACCGTTGGAAGGCTCGTTTGTGCATGGATTCATTCAATGTGACAGTAAACGTAAGAGCTGTCTGATCATATTCTGTTCCACTTCGTGATACACCAACGTTCTTTCGAATCCACGAATTGCCGCCATCCGCTCCAATGAGTAGGGCTGATTGAATTCTTTCTCCTTCCGTAGTAGTCACCGTAGCTAATCCCTGTGAGTCACCACTTGATTCCAGTGAAGCAATCTTGGTCTTTGTCCAGCATTGTGTTTTGCCCTGAATCTCGTTCCAAAGAGCTTCGACAAGAGGTCCGTCTTCGACACACGCTCCTAGATATGGGTCTTTGTCAATGTCTAAATCTTTCGAACTGAAAGTGAGACTTGCCGGAGAATTTGCTTGCCAAACTTGCATAGAATCATAGTATCCAAGGTCCAGCTGTTGGCTCACAGACTTTCCCACTACGTCCAATGAGGCTGGAGACAGCGCGTACGATCGTGGATGAGGAACACGCTCTGTCGCCAAAGGTTGAGGTTTGGGTGAATCTCCAGCCTCCAACAATCCAACACTCAGAGAAGGAAGTCGCTCGTTCAGGAGCCTCGCCAAGCTGCAGCCAACCGCACCGCCACCAGCAATGAGAACATCCTTGTAGATATCGGCAGAAGTTGATTTCCAACGACAAGCAAGGGACTCTTCCAAGGCCAGTGCTCTTTGAACAGCGACTACGCTCTGCCGAGTGCGCAAAACCATGACTCTCAATGTGCGTGTGGTGACGATAAAGAAACAATTTCTGATGGTGATAATGAATTGTAAATGTTGATGGTGGTGTGGGACGATGGTCCGATGAGTCAGTCACAACTACAACGACGTCTGGCCGCAGTTGGATGAATCACATCACAAAATGCAAATGAAGCAAAGCATCAGCTCGTTTCTTCTACAGTAGAGGCTTTGCACGAGTCTTGTGATTGGAACAGAAACCATTTCTCTAAATCTTGTTTCCAGATTCTTGGGTAACAGCCTCAAGCTGTCGGCCCTTATACTACTTACGCGACAGCTGTCGGCTCGGGGATTCTCATCAGCTCTCCGAAATAGACACCACGTCACTCAACACTCTTTTTCTCAATGCTCTACCCGTCTATATTCTGCTGCCGTGGCTTCATCCTCTGTGATTGATGGGAAAGCAATTGCCTCAAAGATTAGAATTGAATTAAAGGAGGAAATTTTCAAATTGGCGGAGGAGGGGAAGCCAACGCCTGGATTGGCTGTGATATTAGTTGGAAGTCGGCGAGATTCACAAACCTACGTCAAAATGAAGAAGAAGGCATGCAAACAAGTTGGGATATCCAGCTTTGGTTACGATTACGGCGAAAATGTGACGGAAGAAGAATTGCTTTGCAAGATATCTGAATTGAATGCTCGTGACGACGTGCACGGTATCCTTGTACAACTGCCGCTTCCTAGGCATTTAGATGAGCACACCATTCTCGAACACGTAAGCCCGGAAAAAGATGTCGATGGATTACATTCCGCCAATGTGGCTAGTCTTGCGATGCAAGGAACGCATGGGGATCGATCTGAAAAGTGGTCCGACTTGTCCAACTTGCCATTCTCGGTGCCTTGCACGCCTCTCGGGTGTTTAGAGCTCCTAGATCGGTCAGACGTGGACATTGCCGGCAAGCACGCTGTAGTTATCGGGCGATCAAACATGGTGGGATTACCAGTATCATTACTTTTGCTTCATCGTGAGGCAACAGTTACCATCGTGCATTCGGGAACTCAAAGAATCGAAGAGCAAGTGTCACAGGGCGACATTGTGATTGCTGCTGCAGGCAAGGCGCATCTTGTTCAACCAAATTGGCTCAAAGAGGGCGCTGTTGTTGTTGATGTCGGGATTAATAGTGTTGACCTTCCGCTTGAAGAAATCACGGAAGGCGGAAAAGCATATAAACTGGTCGGTGATGTCAATTTTGATGCTGTTCGTGAGAAGTGTTCCAAAATAACGCCAGTCCCTGGAGGTGTCGGTCCCATGACAATTGCCATGCTACTTAGAAATACTCTCAGCGCATGCAAACGATCCACCAGATCATAAAATCAACTATCAAGTTGTACGGTATAATGTATTATGTCGACTTTTCGAATTCATATAGAAGCAAGTGTAATATTATGGCGGGATGGAGTCATCCATTCTGCTATCCGATGTTGGCCTAAACTCAATGCACAAAACCCTGAATTCGTACTTTATGAACTCTCGTTATGGCTCAATTTCAGAGACGCCGATCATACAAGGTCCTATTGTACAAATGTAAAGAAGAAACCTTTCTCAGACGCCATGCTGGTGATACCCAATGTTGGAGGAACACGACGGATTTGACATGAATAAATTGCCTTAGTTGTCTGCTCACGACGTTCGAATCATCTCTGGTTTCATATCAACCATCCGCATCAGCTGTCTCACGAAACTCCATCGCTTTGAGAAGGGTGTTTTGCTGAATTGTTTTGCATTATAAATGATCTGACAAGCAAGGCGCGATCATTCACGTCTGCCATAATGTGGATGTTACACTTGCTCGGATGCATGACTGAGACATCAAGTTTTGCAGGACTAAACTGCATTACATAGCCTCACCATACATCCTGATTCGGTTTCCAGGACTAAAATCAGTACATAGAACCATCACCATCCATCACGATTCGGTTTCCAGGACTTGAGCCACTTTACATAGACCCATCAACATGCTTCAAGACTAGACTGTGCCAAACGCCGCCAATGTATCCAGGAATAGACCACTTTACATACATGCACTGGTTTCTCGATCTGAATTTACACTTAGGCAATCAGACACTTCATAACGGTATTATACTGCATCTCCTATTTGGCGCTTCCTATCCTTTCAAGGAAAGAGCTCACAGGTCCGGCGTCGGTTTTTGAGTCATCGAACTTCCAATCACAAAGTTTTCACACCTTTTTCCGAGCCCGTTGAATCGTTCTGACAATTTCTTTCACCTTTTGAGGCGATAAGTTCCCAAGAATGTTGATGAAATTCGACGGCCGTACTTAACGCTCAAGCCCAAAGTCAGTCCTCGCGACCACAACTCCTTCAGGAAAATCCGAGCACACAAACTCCCTCTCCGTTCATGCGTGACTACCAGAATTATTTAGAAATCCCGGATGCTGTTTTGGCGCTCGAACGGAAAACCCCACATTCATTCGTCCGACTCGCATGTTTTTGGCTTTTCAACTTTGCTCATATCTTTTGGGCAGTTTGACGTTTCATCTTCTCAAAACTCTTCTTCTCTTATTTACAAATCAATCATAATGATCTCTGATATGGACTCTCCAATGATGTGCTGTGATGAGCAATGCACTACCCACGAAATGCCTCCATCCCAATATGAAGATTCTGGCCTTGCGATCGATCAGCTTTCAGCAGTGTTGCGAACTGAACAGACTTACGCCGTACCACAAATTCCCTGCACAGCGGCAATGGGACCAATCAGCTCCCTTCCCTACGGGGAATGGCGCCGAAAAATATGCCAATGGTGTTTCAAGGTTGTGGATCACTTTCAGCTGGATCGTGAGGTTGTTTCGTCAGGAATGAACATTTTTGATCGTTACCTGGCTTCGCGGCCAAGACCTTGCGAAGCCGGTGGGTGTGCTTGCCCAGCATGCCAAAAGAATATTGACAGCAGACTTTTCCAGCTTGCTGCCATGACATCGCTCTACATCGCCATGAAGATGTATTCCGATAGCCGAAGGGATTCTCCCTACCGCAACTTGAGACTTTCCGCATTTGTGGAGCTTTCTCGAGGCCAGTTTACGGCCAATGATATCTCTGAGATGGAACAATCCATCTTGAAGGACCTAAAATGGAAAGTGAATCCTCCTACCCCCATGACTGTGGTCCCATACCTACTTCAGGTTATGCCAACCAGACCAATGTCTCCTTCTCTAAGACAACGATCTGATTTGGTCTTGCACGTGCTACATGAACTTGCTCGATACATGTCTGAGCTATCGGTTTGCCTTGGAAGCTCATCCTTCCAATACTCGCCATCGCAAGTTGCCTTTGCATCAATCCTTGTTTCGATGGATCTCTTGACCCTTCATGCTCTCCCAATGAGCATGAGACAAGAGTTCCTTGAATCGGCAATGAAGATCTCTCGTTTCTCGGGAGGAACTATTCTTTCTCCACATGATAGCGCCATCATCACTTTGCAAGCGCGTCTTCGACAATCTTTTTGGCCAGAAATGTTGATTGATGACCAAGAGTGTGTCGACCCAGGGCATCCTATTTTCATGGCCCGTGAATACGGTCTGTTGGATATTGCTACACTTGCATCACCTCAAAGTAAATGGACAACTACCGAAGTCAATGTACACGGATCACCTGTATCTGTGCGGGGGGGATTTTAAGAAGCTTTTGTATATGGGGATTAAAAGCTATTTATAATACATTATAAGACTTTATTTTTTGACATTCTGTTCAGTTTTACCTTTGGTAAGTTTTGAGTGAGAAAGATTTCTCGAGTACTGTATATCAAGAAAGCGTTCTGAATTTTCCAATCGATCGATGGTGATTCTCATTTTCAAAGGTGTGCAGTACCGGTACCAGGTACCCGGTACCAACCGGGTACCCTGCACCTCACTCGACTGCCTTCAACGGAAAGAGAGATTCCATAATATTGCCGAAAACTATCGTCCGTTTGCCAAAAACGACTTGTCGCATGCGACGGACCGACGGTACACGAGAGTTTTACAAATCTTCTCGAAGAAGTCGAGGAACGGGCTGCCAAACGCATCGATTGATAGAAGTTACACTCTACATACTGTACTAGGAACAATTCTTGTATACTATATATGGTAGCATTAATGGCTAGGCACAACAATGCACGTCTGAGTGCTCCAGCTTTTTTTGTGTAGAGCTAAAGAAACTACACAATACTGTACATCAAATAATAACATTTATAAAATAGTAACTTGAGTTCATGAAACAAATGGAGAACTTTGAAAGAAAGCTTCAAAGATTTAGTGCCTTCGACGGCGGCCTGCCGATATCTTATCTGACGTGCCTTTTCCTTTCCCATCCTTCTTTTTCTCTTTTTTGGTTGGCTTGAGTTTCAGCTTCTCGCCCTTCCAAACTGCCGTTTGCTCGTATATGTATGCAGCCTTCACCTTCTTCAGAGGAAGGTTTGATGTTTGAAGAGTTGCATCCAAACTGTCTATGAACATTTGGGCGCGGGTGTTGCTCGAGCCCTTGCCCTTTCCTCCCTTGCCCTTGCCGGTACTGGGAGTTGCAGGGACGCCGCCAGGATTAACAAAGATTGGTGGGGCAGGTGCGACGGATTGAAGGTCGCGAATGCCACGGACACCACGTGCATTACGATTTCCTCTTCTCAGTTTTCGCTCACCTCCAGCTGTTGAGCTAGTTCCTTTTCCTGTTTTAGTAGATGTTGTGCCGGTAGTTCCTTTTCCTTTCGCAGACGTTGAAGCCTTTCCTTTGGAGGCAGAAGGCCACGGGCTAAAGAGGTATTCTTCTTCAGCAGTACATCCATCACAGCGAAGGTTGGTGGTGAAATCAATGCTCAGGTGGTTTTTTCCCTTGCTGTCTGTGATTAGGTTTTGGTTGACCACTGATGCGGATTCCATGATTCTTTCATAGACATCATTACATCCTCCAGTAACTCCGTTGTAGACACCGGTGAGTGCATTTTGAACTTGTTGAAGTTCGGTAGACGTAGCTTGGCGAGACATTCCATCGAGAGCTACCTGCATGAAGGCAGTTGCGCGAGTTGGGTTGGAGCCAGGGAAACACTTGGGGATAGCTGAAGAAGCTGAGACAACGGAATGTTAGAATGAGGTACGTCAATCAACAACAGTATCACAGCATCGAAAAGCTTACATGGAATAGTCTCAAACTCAGTGGATCGAGCTTGCTCAACTCTCTCCTCTTCGACCTGAACTCCGGCGTAGGCTCCAGCAAAGATAGCAAGGAAAAAGACGAGAAACACAGCTCCAATAAGCATGCGCCTTTCTCTCTTGTCTTCGGCATCACGGTCTGGAACAGCAGCCACGAGAACAGCGGCTGCCTCAGAGTCAGAATCGTTGCCTTTGGGATTCGACTCGTCTCCAGTGTCGCTGTCAGTATCACCCTTCAATTTTTTATCGTAGGTTGCATCGAAATTGGCAACTGCAATTGCTCCTGGAGCACTTCGAGAAGTATTGGGTTCATCATCAGAGTCACCAACAACATCCATTCCTTCTGGAGCCTCATCGTCAGACATTGCAAAAGGGTCGAAAGCATCGATGCGGTCTGGTTTGTGTTCTTCCTCCTCTTCTCCGTCTTCGGGCTTCGAAACCATTCCTGTTGCGTCGAGAGCTGCCCACATGTATGTTCCAGCGGCGGCGGCAGTTGCGGAAGCGGCTGCAACGGTGGCAGAAGCTGCGGCCGAGAAGCCATCATCATTGGAGTTGTGAGGTTCTGGACATGTCTCCATATCATCATCGTTGGAGTTGTAAGCTTGTGGAGAAGTCCCCATGGCATCTTCAGTCATCGTTGGATCATTGTCCAAAGGAGCGTCAAAGGGAGCAGGATCATAAACGGAAGGAGTCTCATTCATGGTTGGATCATTGTCCAAAGGTCCACTATTATTATTCATCTTATTGCGGCTCAAGCACTTTATAGGGACTTTATTTCCTTGACTTCTCTGGTTCTGAGATTCGTGCGTTTCTTGCACAACGAACCAAATTTGCCTCTTTGTCTAAGAAAAGAAGTTCAGCATGCGTTTTGGCGCTAGACATCCGTTTGGCGCTACTTTATTTAGCCAATCTCAACGTTTTCCGCGACCAGAACTGATTTGTACTACTAAGTAATCAAAATACGCGCTGCTCAATTCAGCGCACGCGGATAGGCTGGCGACTTGGTCGAATGAATCAATATTTCGACTCTCTCGTTTACGTTTACTGTGCCTTGTCTGCAACAGTCAAGTGGCAAGATAACAGATTTGGATGTATAGACTTAGTTAAACAGACTTATTGTAGACCTGGCAGTGCATGCTTCAGCTTTTCTTGGATCTCTGGTTCCACCTTGCTTCCAGCAGCTGTAGCTTCACTGAATATTCTTCGAAACTCGGCCTTTTGGGCGATAGCATCAGGTTGGTTCATTTGAAGCAGACCAAGCAGGCAAGTGTAAACTGTTTCGTTTTCGGTCATGTCAGTCTTCAAGGGAAGCAATTTCAGAACAGCAGGTAACACTTGGGGCATTGGAAGATGGGTGGGGGACGCCATGATCATGCGTGCTACGCATGCTGCGGTGTTGTCGACGCATGCAGCTGCAGCCTCGGTAGCATTTGGGTCAATTTGGAACAGTTGTTCCAAAGCCTGAAGAATCTGTGGGTACGAATCTGCAACACGCTCGCGAAGGTGCTCGCAGCAAACTCCAGCACAAAATGCAGCGTTTCTTTTAACATCTTCCGATGGATCACCGAGTCCACCAAGAACAGCAGGCAAGAACACCGATTGCCAGTGTTCAAAAATAGAACCTTGAAGTTCCTGTGCAACTTCACTCAACCATCCGATAGCCATCGATCGATCGCGAGGCGGTCGCGATGACTTTGCGTAGTCGCAGACTGCTGGAAGGAATTGTGGCAAATATTGGGCGAATTGGGCACCCATGACTCTGCAAAAGCCACCAACGAGATCGCAGGCAGCTTGTGTTACAATATCATGGTCGTCATCGTCTTCTGGTGCCTCGCCATAAAGCTCATCTGCTGCTTGGCAAGGGGCTGTCTTAGTCAACAACTCGTGTGTGTTTTGCATACATTGCTGGGCAATGGGCATAAAAGAATGTGGCCCACAAAGCTCAATAACTGACTGAACACCTTCGCATGCCTTTGCTACAGTCGTCTTGTCGTCATCCTTCATCAAGGCCATCAACTCCAAGAGAACAGCGGCAACAACTGCACTTGTGTGCTCGCTCATTGGGGAAGCTCCAGAGACATCGCCCTTGGTCCATTGCAATTCACCGTTGTGGTGTGCAGCAACACTTGGAACGACCAGGTTTGGTAGTGCATCAGCAACTTCTGACTTGATCAACGGGTGCCAATTGGTTGCAGCCTTCTGCAACACCTGCATTACGCTCTCCAAATGTGGACAGAATTGCCCACCAGTATGTGCTGCCATTTCACCAACCGCTGTAATAGCTCCCTTCTTAACTTCAAGGAGAGCGGTGCGAACATGCAAGACATAGTTTCCACCTTCTTCATCTTCGCCATCAGAGTCATCAAAAGCATTGAATTGTCCTCCCTGTGGAGTAACATACAACAAGGATTGAAGTTCTCGCTGGTAAGAAATAAGCGGGAATGTTCAAATTCGATTTGATGCAAGCACACAAAACACATACCTTCTCAGCATCTTCGGCAGGTTCGAGTTGTCCCTCGTCTGTGCCAATAACTTGTACAAGGTGTGGCACCAATTCTGGCAAGGCAGGAGCAAACTCTTCCTTCATGACCTTTGCCAAGTTGGCAAACACAGCATACGCAAACTCATGCAAGTCGGTGGAGTCGCGGGTCAATCCTTCACAAGCACACTCCATGGTTGCTTGGAAGTATGGGCGAAAGGTTTCACGACCAACCGCAATCGCCATGTGACCCATACACTCAAGAGCACGTCCGCGCAAAGAGAAGAGTCGCTCTTCAGTCACTGCCATACACTTTGTCATGAGAGTTGCGACGCCACCAACATAGGGAGTGAATTCTTCCTCGGCGGCAACTGCGGTGGCAGCAAGGGCAGCTACAGCCATTTCTTGCACACTTCTTTTGTTGGTACTCTCCAACATAGCCGCGAGTTTCTTCACCAAAGAATCCAATAGCGGTCTAACAGCATCAGGCTCAAGTCTCTCGCAGAACATTTCAAGCACATAACAGGACGTGGCTTGGACAGCTACAGATTGATCATCCAACAATCCGAAAACGATAGGGAGGATTTGTTCGGAATAGGCCAATACTTCTGGTTGGCAGTGCTCTGAGATCTGACCAAGGCAGAAGCAAGCGCACTCTCGAACTTGTGGGTCGCCATCGCGTGAGGCTTGAAGTACATGAGGCATGAGTTCATCAAGATGCTCTCTGAGAGGCTCGGAGCAACCTTCAGCAATAACTCCAAGACCAGCAATACCAGCCTTTCGATGATTCGGTTGAGGAGAAGACAAACGCTGGACACACCGCGTAACGGCCGGTGAAAAAATGTATTTCTTTGGCAGTTCGCAGGCAAGCATATCCAATGTACCCTGAGCCATCGAAGTCTCCGTAGGAGAATCTAATTCATCGGGATCGAAATCGCCATCCTCGTCGTTCTCTAAGTCTTCTCTCCATGCAGGATTCGATTCAAACAAGGCACCGGCTGCAGAGTCGGGGGAATTTTCAATTAATCCAAACAACACTTCCAGAACTTGTGCAACCAAAGCTTCTTCCTTTCCAAAAGTCTTTGGTTTTGCTTCTGCCAGGGTAGCAATGACCAAAGCAGCCGAATCTCTGACTCCCATCTCTAAATCTTGAAGTTTGATGCATTCAAGCCCAAATTGAACCATTGGGATCAAGTGCTGTGTGACAGCAGGCGAAGGTGAATAGGCAAGATCATAAAGAACATCTAAAACAGTTGACAAGAGTTCCTCGTCACTTCTTTGCTGAGCCGCAACTTGCAAAATTGGGGGAATCAATCCAGCAAAAACGTCAACTTCAGGTTCGTCTGCAAGGAAGGAAAGAAGTTGTCCCAAGGCTTTGGTGGCTGCCTTTTGAACTTTGGCATCTTCATTCGGAACAAGTGCTTTAGAAAACAAACCACAGATTGGTTGAAATTGATCCTTCAAATGCATTCCAATGGTATCTGTCATTTCCTGAAGCAACCAAAATGCAAGCTCGCGTGCTTCGGCTTGTTGGGCATCCGCCGCGGCAGCAGCGGCAATAAATTGAAACAACTCGGGCCACGATGTACCTCCAGCAGTGCACTCAAGCTTTGCCAAAGACGCGGCGACACCAACAACTCCATTTCTCACGGTTCGCTCGGGCTCACTTGACAGTATAGCAAGGATTTCTGTTTTCAATGCGGTTTTTGTTGGCAAGTCAAACTTGCCATAATGCCCTGGAAGGCGTTTCCTCAAAAGGATACCAGCAATGTGACGGACTGGTGGAGTCTGTTGGTGGAAGGAGGCGCGTCATTGTCAGCTATTGCCACTGAAAAAACCTATAGGAAAGAGTTGCGAACCTACCTGTGTATCTTTCGACTTCAATATTTCCACCAATGCAGGAACACATCTGGGATCCTTCAGCAACGGTTTCAATGCAACTTCAGCCTGTCGGATAGCTTCTGTGTCAGGCTGAGTGAGCACCGCCAATAGAGCAGAGAGCTGCGTGGCGTCAGTAGACAATGCCATTTTATTAATGTCCACTGTTACTGTTGGCTAAGAAGAAACTTTTGCGCCAAACTAAACAATGGTGGCAGATTGAGTGGACTCTCCGCTTTGAAAAAACAAAATTGACGACTGTCCTCGATCGTCAACTGGGCTGCTTCCGCGGTATTGGGTTTTGTTGGTCGAAAAGGCATGGTGTCTGCCCATCAACACGAAACGTAAAAGCACAGTCAACTAAAACTAAACGGAAGCTGTATGTGCGTTTACTTGTATTTTTTTACTTAACACTTTTGAGCCAACTTTAACCCTATCATAATTAAAATGTTCGAAATTCTGACCGTTGGCGCTTTTTACAAGAGACTAGCCGTTGCCGCGAGGCACACTCGAAGAAATCCGTTACATTTTGGCTCGCTTTGAGCCAATGGTCACGTTTCTCACAGAACACAACAACAATAACATTGTATCCTGCATAGCCAAAAAAGCCAAACCATGAACACTGAAGTGATGAACACCGAAAATCCATCAATGGGAGTAAAGCCTTCCAACAGTCGTCGCCCTCTTCAGCGACTCAGTGTTAATAATTCACCCAAGATGACATCAAAGAAACGGGTCATCGACGGAAATGTGAGTGTCACGCTCTAGCATCCGGGTGATTTTTTGGGAGGGAATATTTGAACCGCGAAATCGAAATAAATCGAAGAAATCGAATTAAATCGACGGCGGTTATTCTTTGCGGTTAACTTTTCCCGCTACGGATCTTTCACCTTGGAAATGTACCAGCAGTCCCACCTAATCCGTTATTGGAGGGAGATTTCCGTTCACAGGATTCGTTGAATATTTTCCGCGCATACTCTCACATTCTCACTTTTCCCCGCTCCTTCTATCCCACACAAATTGGATTTGAATCTGCCTCCATCACAATTTTGCACCACAATACAATGACTGCTTCCACCCGATCCCCTATCTCCCGCCGCCGTCCTCGCTCCTACTCTCCCGATTCCGTGATGTTGGTGCAGCCAACTAAACCCAAGCAATTGATGAAACCCAAACTGGAAGTTCGTTCCAAGAAGGTTTCCGTGCTCTCTGAACGCAATGCCTTTCGTGCTACTGAGACTACTGGCCAGTCACGAAATGGCCCTCTGGATACTTCGAGTAAATCAATCTCTTCCATCTTTGTCGAAAAGACTTTCGATGAAGATGTCAACGATAACTGGACATTGAAACGAGCATCTCCAATCTACGACAGTGATGATGAAGATTTCATTGTCATGAACTGCAGCCCACCCAAGAAACAACGAACATCAAACGTTACTCTTGACTGGGGAAACAGGCTTCCAGATGAGAACAGCGGATTCAACATCAAGCTGTAAAGAAGATATGATACACCCGCTACTATCAAATTTGTATAATAATAAATAGATTCTGAATATTTCATGATTCTTTGAATTCGATTTCATTGCGTTGTATTGTTGTTGTCTAGGTAGCCAGCCAGAGGCAATAGCCACCAATCATGCTGTTCATGAAACTGACGTCCATAGACGCAGGATGTATGATACGTTTTTACTGCATATTCAATATAGTAGATGTTGTTCTCAGCAGGTAAAGAGAGAGAGAGAACTTTATCTGAAGAAAATAGAACCAGAGAGTAGAACTAAGAGTTGCCCTGCAGCTTGTTTGACAAATAAGACGAAACTAACATCTAACATCGTGCCTACTTGGATTTTCTTTTTTTCCATGTAAAAAAAATGTAAGATTGGAATCCGAAAGCGCCATCAATGCCTCCATGTTACGACGTCCGAGTCTGAGCCTTCTATGATACACGTACACGTACCTACTGTAGTGTCAAAAATTCAAAAATCTCTCATGTGAAGATGTACCGGCATGCATTCAACACTGTCCTGTTTCTCGTTTTAATAGTTGGAGCTATAGCTCAGACTACGGCACCTGTTATCGGTGGGTCGGCGTCCCTGTCGCCTTTGTTCCTGTTTCAGTGCCCATCGTGATGCCTGTCACGGTGCCTGTGATGGCCCCAGCAGCAGTACCAGATACCACCCTGCCTGGTGCCAATTCAAAAAAGGCTCCCAAAACTGTCAAGAAGGCAACCTCGGCCTCGTCATCTCGAGGAGCCCGATTACTGGTTGCACCAGTTGAAAAAAGTCAAAGTGCTTCAGTACAATCTTCTTTTTCCTGTGAATCCAGCAGCCAACATCAATGCAAGCACCACGAGTAGCAGATACTATTGCGTATCTCCTTGTTGTAGGTAATGCCTGTCAGATGCCATGAAACCTTTCAGGAACTCGATTGGATAGAAAAGTGTGTTTTATGATGACCGCAAACACTGCTTCTTCTTGGGTTCGTCATACCAAACGATGAGTCTCTCGTCACCAGGCAGAATCATTGCAAAAAGATTGCACTCATCTCGAAGCATAGGTAGTACCAAGTGATCTCAGGTAGCAATCGATTCAAAGTCCAGAGCGGCAACTGGCAATTCCTCGTGTTTCTCGGGATCGTTGAGAGCAAAGAGTTCGCCATTCGAGTCCAAGCTACACGATATTAGTTCAGCATTCTTTGGTCGTAGCTTTTCTCCATTGATGACCACAGTCTTGATGACATTATGATGACACACCACCGCAAACACACTTTCTTGACGCTCTTTGTACAGCCACTGGAAGAACTTCTTGACTTTTTCCTTCTTAATAACTCCAGGAGCAGTATCCCGCGGCCAGGTTGAAGGTTGAAATGTTGTTGTGTCGAGTGTCAAGCTATCGTCGCGTTTTTCTATGTCTTCGCGAAGATCTTGCAAGACAGCTGCCATTTTCCTTGGTATGTTCTCGGGAGCTTTGGTCCCTATTTCTCCAAGATCAAAATGACATATGATGTTTTTATTTGGAAAACCAAGAATGGAGGTGTGAAGTGCCCGAGTAAGAGGAGATGAAAAGACAACTTCGATAGAATCCCTTTCGTCGCCTAAGAACTGCTTGGGGATTGCTCTAGCTTCTTCAATTCCTCTTTCAGTCAAAGCACAATCACGAAGGCTCTGATCTGTCTTTCTATCCAATCCATTTTTCTGCGCTGCTTGTCCTTGGGAGTATCCATGACGAAAAAGATAGACTGTCTTTCGAGGCATGTTGCAAGCAGGAAAAATTGGTGATCCATCTATCCGTCGACGTATACGCTTTGCCTTTGATGGTGAGCTAAAGTCTTTCTCTCTATCCAATTTGATAGATTCTTCTTCTCGCCGATCTGAAGAACCCGCGCTCTGAGCACTGCTCCTCGTTCTTCTTTGGACAAGATCAGTTGCCTCAGTCATGTTTTGGATGCTTTGGTTTGATATTGACTCGAGATCTCCAGTCGTCGCATTCAGCTGTTCGTGCTGTGGCTTCTCATCAGTTCCATCATCACCATGAGAAGAATCTCCCACAGCTTCCTCTGCTTCATCATGGATGGGTGACACTGGGACAGGACTCGAAATCACAGCTCCTCTCTGCATATTGGACGCCTCGACAGTGACTACATCGGATAAAGAGGCGACGCTTTCGTCCTCCATCTTTTCGCCAGGGGGGCTGGCTGCAAGCAGCCGCCCAACTGACCGGTTTGTGAGGCTAGATTGAAAACACCCCATGGTGCCGAAGTCACGATCAGATCAATGTGACGACAAACCGCACCGGTACAATTCCCTCCGATGAAAAGTTTTAGTTTCGAGGTGGTGCGCGCACTTTTCGAGGGGCACGACGTACCCACGAAAAGAATCATCCCAGTGAGGCAGGAGGCAGAAAAGAAAACCAACGTAGTACTCGCTGACATAATGTTTATCTTTATATGCTAGCCAGATTATGTGTTACAAACCCAGTTTCTGATGTCTGCTCTTTTCGCCTGCCTTTTGAGGATTTCTTTTTACCTCCTTTTCCATCATCGTGGACATCTACTCTGGTCTTCTCATCAGAGGACACTCCATTTTGGTACTCTTGGTGCTGGGCTGGCACTACTGCTCTTGCCTTCTGCGCTGGGACAGGTGGAGCAGGCGGGTTGTTTTGCTGCATGCCGTCGAAACTCTCCCAAGTTTGTACTTCTTCCTCTAATACACTCGTGGCTTCTTGGAACGCAGGGAAGTGTGTGAAATCGTGGGGCATCAAATGAAGAGTCTTGAGAAGCGATCGACGAACATTTGTAACGCCGTCGTCCTTAAAGTTAATCGCAACAGGTAGCATGTCGTTGGCGAGTAAACCGACCAAATGAGACCTTTCAGAATCGGACAACCTTCGATAGGGACCATATTCTGTGATATCTTGTGCCGAGAGATGCGTTGAAAACTTGTTTTCGAGCTCCAAAACCGGATCATCTGGATCTTTCAAGCCGTCGCCGAATTGTATAGCCAAAGCAAGTGCTGTGCAGATCTGACAGTACAGTTGGCGTTGACTAAAGTTGCTATTTCTCCCATTTGATGTAAGTTTCCCAGTACTCTTTGACGGTGTCATTTTTAGGATAGATTCCCACAGCCAATGGATGACTTCTTGGCAAGCATTTGCACTCCACCTCTCTTTCGATCTCATCGCATCCCCACCAGTTTTATCCATAATGACATTTTCCGAGCACAGTGCCTTGAGCAAAATTGGAATAGCCCAGATGGCATCATCTCGTACCAGACTAATGGAGTCAGTCAGAACAAGCTTCAGAATCGGCCATAGATACGTGTGAACGAATACTGCGTCCATCATCACCAAAATGTCGGCAATGCTTCTTGATACACAGTTTCTCTGCCTCCAGTTCAAAACCAAAGGATTTGTAGCACTTCTCTTCAAAGCACCGAGAACTTCGTCGCCCTGAATCATTTCGCACCATAATATCAGATACTGTTGACGCGTGGCTGGATCCAAAAGTGACAATAAAGTAGGGAAGTTTCGAATCATGTTCAATCTAACCGATTCATCCGTATCCCGAAGGAAGAAGTCGCGGAAGATTGGCATAATATCAAACGCAGAGATTCGTGGGCCCAAAATATGTGCTACCGTGTGCAGACTAGAGGCTAGACACCGCTTGACTGGGAGTGGAGGTATTGCCGTTTCAGCCTTTTCACCCAAGCCATAGTTTGGATTCAGAAGAGTCTTGAAGCAGTCCTTCAATTGCCCTTCCCAATTCTCTGGACCGAGCAATAGAACCACTGCTGGATAGGAATATGCGCAGTACACCCTCATTTCAGCGTCAGTGTTTTCGTCTCCCGTTATAACCTTTGCCAACCCCGTGAAGTGATGCAGAAGTCTTCCAACAATTGCTTTGATGTCTTCTGGATCTGGACGGTACTTTTGCCGGTGCGATACTACAGCCTTTAAGGAAACTGCTGAGGATCGACTTGCTCCAATAAATTGGGGCAGAGCCTTTTGCAGTTCCTTTATCAACGGTGTTTCAGTTTCTGTGTTGATTGATGCCAAAGTTGGCGTTGGTGCACTCGTTGTTGCGGCAGCTGATGAATTTAACCGACTAACCATACTACTGGCATGTGGGAAGAATTGTGCAACGATGCCGGAATGATTGCTTCCATCAGACTCTGAGCTTCCAGGCAAGATAGTATACAAAGCAGAATCAACAAATGGATAAAATGACGCCAAAAATGGCCCCAAAAATTGCATCATTCCGTGTCTCACAAACTTGTTGGTATCCACCAAGAGAGACTCCGCAATTGGAATGAGCGAATTGCGTCTCAGCGCATTGACTGCAGCAGGGTCTCGTTCTTTGCTCGCTATAATCATCATGGATCGGCTCATATCTACCAAGCATTCACCCGTACTTTTTCTAACTCTGTACACCTCATCCTTGCTGAGAACTTCAAACGCTGGCAGTACTGTAGATTTGGCATCTGCCATTGTTGTTCCAGCCAACACCCGAGGCAAAGCCTGTGCAGCTGCCCTTCGCGCTCTGAAACCAGGATCATCGCACAAGGAAAGAACAGCTGGCAAGATTGATTCGCGAACTACATTGACCGGAACCCCATCTTTTTCGGCAGCACCACCCAACTCCGCCAACAAGTTTGCCGCTGTGATTCTCAATTCCTCCATATGACTTTCTTGTTCAGGTGACAGTTGTCTCTTTGATGATTTCGGTGACATCGCCAATTGGAGTGGTATCGGAAGAATTGCTTTGGCAATGTCGTCTTTTCGAACTTGCATGGCCAATCCAGCCAAGGAATCAGATGCGGACCTCCGAACATCGACATCTGGATCTTGTATTAACTTATTAAGATATCCAACAACTGCGGTCGTGACAATTTCGTATCCTTGCGAGTCATAGACTTTTCGAATCGATCTATCCTCGAGCATTTGTGAAACCTTGTACGGTTGACCATGACCCACATTTGTAACCATGGATACCAATGCCAATGGCAGTATCTGTGATGCTAAATGTTGCCGAATTACACTCTCTTGATCTACAACAAGCTGCGGTAAAAGAGGAATCAATGCGGCGATTGTCATTCTTGTTCTGAATGCGTAGCAATGACAATGAAATCGAATGAATCATGAGGGAATCGTCCTTGGACAAAAATGACATCTCCGTTGCCCTTGCTGTAACATAAATATATCTTACCCAATCACTTCGGAAGTTTCCGCCAACATTTTGACATGAACCAGTCTCTGTAAGGCAATCCCCGAACGACAGTAACGGGCGATCCGATCGGTCAATGGTAAATCATCATCAACGGTCAAATCCTCGAACCGTAGCGCATAGTCTTGGCTCTCGGCAACGGGAGGTTCTCCAACTTCCATTTCCACTGTATTGTATTTGTTGCGTGAGGAAAAGGTGATCAAGGTAAGGATGCAAATTGATTTTTCCTTTCTCCTTTCTCTCTCGTTGCAATTAATTCTCTGAAAGGAACCAGCTGATCGCGTCGTAACCAAGGCAACACTTTGGTGCTACAGTCCAATGTTCAACAAGCAATTTGGAAATTCTGTCTTCATTCCTCCAAGTCGGATTTCGAAAAACGGATGATTTGAACTACTACAGGCACGAATAAAAACGGTGTATGCGTGCGCACCGCTCGTCCGTCGTCCAATCAGGGGGATGTATTATTCATTGTGGCGGTACAAGTACAAGATACAGTATCAGTCTACTACCCTACATCCCTATTGATAGGAAATATCATGCAAAAGAGTGGAAGGACTTGAATGTAGCTTATGATTTTGTTAAATCCTTGCGCATATAAAAAATTACAAGAAGTTGATCTGAGATCAAAATCTTGCTGTGAACAGTAGTTCCATGCTCATGTAGCACGGAACCAAAATATTCGTTTCTGGCAAACTGTTTTACATTTTTAATAGGGACTGCCCATATCCTTTTCAAGGTTGGGACTTTGTTGAAAAGAAATTTCACTGATCAATTTTTGGTATCTATGAATAAGAAAAAGAAAGGAGGAGGAAGGCCGCAAAAAGTGAGATGCCTTGCATGATTGTGTTTATTTCTCGCCAGAAGATATCTATTAATTCAATTCCTTTCACTGTACAATGCACCACTTACGCATATTCCACCGCTGTTGGCCAGAATCCCTTAGCCTTCTTGCTACGAATAACCTTAAAGACATCTTCCTTCTTGATTCCCAATGGAAGTCCTCCAGTCTTGGCGACAAGTAGTTTCAGTTCTTGCAGATCGTTGACCAAGGCTTCTTCATTATTAGGTTCCGTTGCCAGCCGATCCAATACAGTGGCAAACTCCTTCTTGACGAGCAACTGTGCACGCTTGAACTCCATGGCCTTGGCTTCGTTGGCCTTGAATTCATCAGTAGGTTCCACCAGATAAGTTGGGCGGGAACCAGCAGAAGCTAGTTGGGGAACACCAACCAGAGCAACCACCGAAGCGGCGGAAGACAACCATTCTCGGCGACTGCTGGCGTCCAGAGCCGTGTTGGTGGAAGCAGATGTCTGTTGCTGAGTAGGACTTGGCAAAAAGGCAGAAGCGGATGCCAAACTGGCGATTACAAGGGCGGATGTGACCTTCATGATTCTTCTTCTTGTTTTTGGAATGATGATAATGTGATGGTGACGTTGACTAGCAGGTTACTGTACTATACTTTTCCTGGAACAAGATAAATTGTTTTGGGTCGACTGACGATGTTGCAGATGTCAGAACAAATCGGATCGGATTTGTCACTGACTCATTCGATTGAGGGATGCGGACGTCGGTCAGGACACCAGATGGCAAAGATTTTTGAAATTGCAATCGATCGATTCAAGACAGCATTGGCAAGAATAAATAAATCGGGCGCAGTCTGTTCCGCGTAGCAGTCTACGCAATCAGTACGCCGAATTTCAACGAAGCCTCACCGTGGAGTCTGTACCACCGGTGCTGGCAGCAAGTCTTTCGAAAACCGGGACAAAAGCGAGTTCTTCGTGGATCTTGGTACTTTGTCCACGAGCAGAATCAAAAAATTTCACTCCAACAATCACTGCACTATCCAACAACATTGAGCTTCCTATAAAGGGTATATCTACATCGAACCAAGTGCTATCCGTTGCTGCCCGTCTTCTATTGCATAGAAAGAAGGCATCCCTCTTCTCGATTTGAAAAAAGATTGAAAAAGAGACTCTCTAAAGTTATTCGTGTCCTGCTTCTAGTGCCGCCACGAACTGAAACAAAACTGACACCGATAAGAGCCAAAAGATTACTTTTTCTTTCTCTTCTATAAAGGACATGGACGTCATGATGACCGTAGATGCCAATCATAAGAACATCAAACAGGATCCAGAGGCCATTAGTCACGATGGACGACTTCCTGTGTCTCCAGAACAGTCTTCGGCTTCCGATGACACGGATTCTCCGCGACGGGCAAACGTGAAATTTGAAGTGAAAGACAACGACAAAGAAAACTTTGACGACGAGCCTCCTCTCTCTCAACAGTCCATTGGATTCAGTCAAACAGATGAAACCATCAGAAGACTGCATCGAGATGGTGAAATTAACAATGTTGTGGGTTCGCAATCGCTCCTATCTCAAGAACTCTCCGCGTATCGGCATACCGGTACAGAGGAAAATGACAATGGATCAGCCGAAGAGGAAGAAGATCTTGAGGCCATTCATTCTTCTCAAGTTTCACATGAAACTGGCCCTTCCATGGCGAAACGTCTTGGTCTCTTGTCTCAGGATTCCACCAGCGACAAGGAGGAAGAGGAGGAGGGGAAGAAACCTATTGTTGTCAAGAAGCAACAGGGGAAAAAAGAGGCGCCTAAAGTGCACCCTCTGCTCCAACAAGACGATCCCGATGATGAAGAAGAAGAAGACTACGAGTCTGAACAAGAGGAAGAGCAAAAATCTGCAGCTCCACTGACCCCACTTTCTCGAGCTCCTTCCAACCGACTCTCGACACTACGAGACACCCCCATTCGCCAAAGTCAAGTGTTTGGTTCTCTCCTCGACGCTGTCCAAAAACTCACGGAGCAAGAAGAAGTCGATGGTGTGTTTTCGCATGCGGCAGCCCAAGAACAGCTACAACAGCAAGAGCCCTTGCTGCCCCCACCCCTTCCTTCGTCTCCACGCAAACGCAAGTCCTCGCCTGCGGTGGAAGTCAAGGGCACCAAGGCTGCCAACAAGCGCAAAAAGAAAATGCAACAAGAGCAAGAGGCTCAAGAACGAGCTAAACGTGCTGCTGGGTTGGCGGAACAAACAGTGTCCAATCCAGAAATGGCCAAGCGTTTACTTTTGAGTATGGCATTGGTAAGAGAGAATCCTCGGTCGTCTCCTGAAACTTGGCCTTCACGAGGAAGTGTGGTCCAAGAGGGCTTCTTTTGGGCGCATTATCCGCCATTGGAAGCTGGTAAGTGATTGATTATCATTATTTATTATTTACTGATATTTATGGAATAATTGTCATGGCCGCGGCATTTATACTGACAGTCTTTTCTTTTTCAATTCAATCCAACAGTCCTCAAAGAAAAGATGGAAAAATATTACGAACTCTCCACCACCAAGTGCCAGTCGGCCCACCAACAAATCTTCAATAACGGATTGGTGGTCTTGGTCAAGGAAGCTGCCAAGGAACAAGGCTGGAGCTTTGATACTTGCTTTTCGGACAAGTCGCTCCGCGATCGCATTCGTTGCTACTACAAGACGCATATTCAAAATGCCAAGAAACGTCTCAAGACCATGATTCGGAATCCAACCAAGCGTGCCAATGCCAAGCACTTGTGTGAGCATTTGGATCTTATCGAACAACACAAGAACGAAAAGAAGCAAATGGAAAAGAACAAGCAGGGAGGCGGACTAAGTGACGATGATACGGCCACCATGAGTGACGAACCTGAGAGTCCTGACACTCCCAATCGTTCTCGACGAGGACGAATTAGATCACGCGTCAAGCGATAGAATGTGTACGGTACTGTACCGTACACACGTACAATACTCCAGAATGGAACGAGTGAAGGCACCACAGTTGCGCTTTTATCTCGCTATCATGGCAAAATCGGTTAAAAAACTCAAACGTGCAGAATAGATAAATTTACAGGCACTATAGCTACATGGTTAGATTCATTCATTCATTCATATTGTATTGGGGGCAGTGCTCTTCCTCTTCCAGCGTAGAGTTCTCTTTTATAGCATTGACATTGTTCACAAATGCTGGAAGGGCGCAGTTCATTTTCTTTAGCATTCCTTTTCGGAAAAATTGTGATATACAGGCAGGCAACGATTCTTAGCACATTCAATTCACTTCACTTCACTTCGCTTCAGTTCAACAACAGTTTTGCAACCACAAAGTCTACTCCAATGTCATGATTGGAGTGTTGGACTTGAGCGCAAATAGCAGACATAAAAATTCGGAAACACCCACTCGTTTGGATGGAAGTTCGGTTGTGACTCGTGCTTGAAGCAAGGTGTTGAACATCTCTTTCACCACTTGCGGTTTAGGAGGGTTTTCTTCTTTGAGGAAGGCGTAGTCTACCGCTCGTTGAACGTCTTGGAGAGATAGACTTCCTTGTTGCTTGGAGTCAAAGGCGTAGAAGAATCGCCTGGCAAAGTTGAGAGTCTCTCTGTTCAATACAGGGCCAGCCATTTCCTGCAACTTTGACATGGCAGATTCCTCACTTTGAGGCAATGACTTCTTGTAAGCTTCTTCTGTATAGTCCATCTGATTATTGATGGTGTCCCAGGACGAACAAAATATGTACATGTCGTGGACGACATGAGCAATGATGCATGGAAGGATATCGCCACCTGTCATTTGGTAGAACATACCATACCAAAGTCCATTGGTAAACTGAAGGCCTCCCATGACTCTGTTTTGGCTAGCGTTCGCTGATGGCGAGACGTGGACAAGCGCAAACATGATAGCTTGACCCAAAACTGAAATCATTATAGAATTGGACAGACTGAACAAAGCACTGGGGGCATAAGACCGGAACATTAGTTCTTCCGAAAGTCCAGTGCACAAGGCAATGCCTAGTGCTAGTACCGCCATGAGTTCAGGAGCAGTCCCTTCAATGTCTTCGACAGACCTTCTTCTACCAAACAGACTTAGAACCATGTTGCTTGTAGCGAAGCCTGATTGGATGGCACCTTGGTCATCGGACTCTTCCAGAAGTCGTTCCAAGCCAATCAATGGAGCAACAGCGACCATCCCTTCTATCATCTGAAAGGGTGTCGGGCTTAAGTCAAAGATGGAATGAAGACCTTGGCCACCATTCCATTGAAGCAAAGACATGTCAAGAGCTTCAAAGTTCCAGCTCAGGAGCATGGATAAGCCAGCAATTGCGGCAGTCGAAAGCATCAGCATGGATATTTGGTTGTAGCAGATGGAACGAATTAACGGCAAGGAGACTCCCGAAAGTTCGACATCAGTGGGGGTCCGTTCTGTAGCAGCCTGACTTGCAGTTGACACCATGGTCGAGTCTGCCATGGCAATTCTTGATGTCGCGACATCATCTCGATAAAATGCTGAAGTTGTCGTTCTCGATAAGATATTTGAATGCCGAAAAATCAATGTCTTTGAAATCCCATGGAAGGCCTGAGCATTATGACCAAGGAGGAAAATATATAGTGTCAACAAGAACAAGAGTTGTGAACGATAGCGAAGTGACATGATGTTAGTGTCAGAAGTGAGTCGTCCCAAATTGTGAGGCTTCTTTGCTGTTTCTCTTTCTTCGAGATATAAATCGCAATGTGACTTTAGGTGTCACCAATGTATCAATATCAATCTGATGACACGAATTCACGAATCGCACATCAATGCAAGGTTTCGAAGGTTCTAATTCGCAAATCGTTGATCGTTTGATGGTGATGACATCCCCCATTTCTCAGTTCTCCATCATCGAAAAAGTCTCCTATTGTATGTGTATGACACGCGAGAATGCATCGAGTGCTGAATAGTTTTGAATTAAACCAAGGCGGCTTTCGCGGATAGATGATGCCGGCGCATTTTGGCGGTCAAAACTCACGTGGAGAGGCTGTAGGATTGGGATTCTCCATCGTATCGCCTGCGCGAGCCTGCCGAAGATCGTTAAGCTTTACTTTCTGCGATCTCTGGAAACGTTCACGGAATTCTTGCAACTCCATCTATCATACCACGCAAATCAAGTGGAGACGATTCAACATACCGCACTGGACCTCAATCACAAAAAGGGCATAGATACATTGTTGAAGCCTCACCAACATCTTTAAGAGACTGAATGAGCTAGAATTTATAAGAAAGAACAATGACAATTACACGAGTTTGGGTGAAGGAATCAGCCGTTGAGGCTATTCGAAATCCAAAGCAAACCTTCAAACAAAAGATGGCAAAGAGACCAACAAACTCATCACAATTAGCATCTCAGTTCAATAGACAGACAAGTCTTGGACTGAGTTCTACGAGCTCGTTCGCATCATCAGCAGCTGGTGAAGACAGTGCTGACGATGGATTCAGGTCAAATACAAAGTGGGGTTGGACGAGTGGGAGTCTCGTCTCACAGACGGGTGACCAAATGACAATTGCACTGGATCATTTACCTGCAATAGAATCACCCGAGCCACTCGTTCTCCCCGCGTCTGCTTTGAGTTCTGGAGACGTACTCATGGCCAATGAATATGAGCAATCCTCCAAAGGAAAACCACTCTGTCCTGATGATCTGATTTCATTGTCACATTTGCATGAGCCTTCTGTTGTTGAATGTCTTGAGCACAGATACAATGATAATCACATATATACATCCACAGGGCCTGTTCTGTTGGCGCTGAACCCTTTTAAAAACATCAAGGGACTGTATGGAGAGTCAACAATGAAGCAATACTGGGGAAAAGCTGAAAACAATACTACTGAGACTCTTCCACCTCATGTGTACGCAATCGCAGACAATGCTTTTCGAAGTATGATGAGAAAGCTTGATGAGACTCTTGGCGACGAATTCCCAATTGGTTGCGACCAAAGCATCCTAGTCAGTGGAGAATCTGGATCGGGAAAGACGGTAACTACTAAATTCGTCATGAAGTATCTTGCCGCGCTTTCGCAGCGTGCTGGGAATCGGCCACCAGAGAAAAGAGCCTACCAAAAGGTAGCAGACACAAAAACACTTACACAATCTGATTCTTGGGAAACCGCTGGCTCTGATGGATCCGACCAAGGGCTGTTGAATGTCACGAATTTGAATGGAGAGAATGCACAAGATTCGATCGAAGGGCAAGTATTGCAAAGTAATCCAATTCTTGAAAGTTTTGGAAATGCAAGAACAATCCGAAATGACAACTCTAGTCGGTTTGGAAAGTTCATTGAGATTCAATTCACACGCATGGGTCGCCTTGTCGGTGCCCAAATCGAAACCTATCTGTTGGAGAAAGTTCGCCTCGTCAATCCTTCAGCTGGAGAACGTAATTATCACATCTTTTATGAGATGCTGTCAGGTTCCCTGAGTGCGCAAGAGCTACGAAGTTACTTTATCGCTCACACCGCGACCGCTGAAGACTTCAAATTAACTGGTACTGGAACCTACAATCGCCGCGATGGGATTTCCGACAAAGAAACCTTCAGCTCACTTAGATCGGCAATGAAGGCCATGTGCTTTCCAAAGGAGGAACAACGCGATATATTTGCTACGGTTGCAGCTGTTCTACATGCATCGAACCTTACATTCCTGGATTATGACCTTGAATCTGCCCTTGATAACGAGAATGTTCACCTCGAACCTGTGTGCCACTTGCTTGGCGTGACACCTGAGGATCTAAACAGAGCATTGTGTCACGTTACTATTTCTGCTGGTAACGAAGCCAACGTCCAACAGAACTTGCCAGTTGACAAGGCAGTGAAAGGGTTGGAAGCATTGCTTAAATCGACATATGGTACCTTGTTCACCTATTTGGTTAGCCGCATCAATGATTCAATTTCTTACCAAAGAGAGTACGATGAAGATGACAACACTATCTACAACCCTGAATTTGATCCAGTAGCTGTAATTGGTGTTCTCGATATTTTTGGTTTCGAATCGTTCAAGATGAACTCTTTTGAGCAATTGTGCATCAACTACTGCAACGAAGCTCTTCAGCAACAATTCAACGCCTTTGTCCTTAAAAATGAGCAAAGTGAATACGAGCGAGAAGGAATTGACTGGAGTTTCATTGACTTTCCAGAGAACCAAGATGTCTTGGACTTGATTGACAACCGAGGATCTGGACTTCTGTGCATTCTTGATGATCAATGCAAAGCACCAGGAACAACCGACAGATCATTTGCACTAGATGTTATGAACAAGTGCAAGAATCACCCGAGATTCAGCGCAGATAGAAAACAAACTGCTCGGCTTCAGTTTTCTGTTCACCACTACGCAGGAGCTGTTCAGTACAGCACACAAGGCTTTATCGAGAAGAACAGAGACGAACTTCCAAAGGAAGCTTGTGAGCTGCTTCAAGCCAGCACGAATCCATTCATTCGTCATCTTGCTGATATTATTGAGTTCACACGAACTCAAAGAGCTTCGAGCAAACCGAATGCATTGACTCGGCGAAATGATGCTAAGGAAACTGTAGGAGCGGAATTCCGTCGCCAACTACGCGACCTGAGGGGGAAGATTGATCACATGACACCGCATTATGTCCGATGTCTGAAGCCAAATGATGAACTTGTACAGAATCATTTCGATAGGGCAGCAATTGCAGAGCAACTTCGCTGTGGAGGTATTTTGGAGGCTGTGCGAGTAGCTCGAGCAGGGTTCTCAAATCATTACTCACACAGTAATTTCGTTCGTCGATACCGAACCTTGGTATGGAAAGAGATGAAAGTTTCAATACGAAATAGAAAGTCAACAGTTGCGGATCCCTCAAGGGAATGCATGGAAGTGATCAAGCACCTGTGTGAGAAGATAAGCAATGATGACAAAGAGGACGCCACGAACGGAGAAAACAACATAACTATCACCCCTTCCGCAACTGTCAAGCAATACACGTCGACGTCACCAGTCCCATCATGGTCGAAGAAGAGCCAGACCCCAGCCTCAAACCCCGATGCATTGTCGCTAAAACGGGGTGGTGGCATGTCCAGTGAGCTTGCAACGCTTGGAATCCAATTTGGAAAGACAAAAGTCTTCCTTCGCCATAACGCATTCGAAAAGATCGAACAGATGAGAACCAAGGAGCATTCCAGAGCTGCTGTGAAATTGAACTCTGTCTTCCGAATGTACCTCGCCCGTCTTGCTTTTGTGCATGTTCGTAATGTTGTTCGATCTGATATGCACGACTTGATGGCTTTTGAGAATGGCCAAGAGGACACCCTTGATGTTGACGGAATCGAGAGGTTCAAGCAGCTGCGAAACTCATTCAGCGGAGGCACGTCACTAGTGGACCTATGGGCACAGCAGGTAAGAGGGAGTATCCACAATCCGAAACCACGGAACATGTGGGGCCAAGAAGATCCAGCAAAGTCGTTCAAATGGATGCTGGTAGATGGTCTCTGGGTTAAGAATCATGAGACAATAAGTGACGAAGAAGAAACATACTACGATGAAGAAGTGGGCTACGATGGAGAAGTGGTCTACGATGGAGAAGCGGACTATCTTGAGTCCCAATAAAGTGGGGTCATCAAAGCTTTGAGACTTGTGCTCAGCTACAAACAAATTAGACCCCCATAGACTAACAGCAAAAGTAGTGTTAGCTATAAACACTTACGATCAACAGAGATGGATCATACAGATTATATTTTTTTCACTAAACCCTTAAAGTTTTAAAAAGCCATGTTGTATACATTGAAGAAGTGGGCTACGATGGAGAAGCGGACGGACTATCTTGAGTCCCAATAAAGTGGGGTCATCAAAGCTTTGAGACTAGTGCTCAGCTAAAAAAATTAGACCCCCATAGACTAACAGCAAAAGTAGTGTTAGCTATAAAAACACTGACGATCAACAGAGATAGATCATACAGATCATATTTTTTTACTAAACCCTTAAAGTTTTAAAAAGCCATATTGTATACATTGAAAATTGTGCATATACATCCTACAAGTACCCGCCGGACAAGACTAGTCCAACTGCGACTGTACCGACCAAAAGCAATAATGCCACCTTGAACGGAGTGCTGCAAGAAGCAGTACGAGGTCTTTGTCTGAAAATGTAGTTGGGGAGGAAGCAATTATTAGCGCAACCAACCAGTCTTCTTTGGCGATACACTTGTTGGCTAATATTCGACGTACTCTCCGTCTTCCATTGCTGCCAGAGCGCGAAGCACTTGGATTCGAGCAAAGTTTCGACGAACCCAAGCATTCCTTGCAGTTTCCATTTCATTATCACTGTCATCATCATTCGCTTCCTCCTCGTCGGAATCAATGTTTTGAAACGTAAATGATTGGATTGGGGCATTGTGGTATTGGTCTTCATCATCTGACCATGCTGCCTCACTGTCGACATCATCTTCTTCGTCTTCCTCCTCCTCATCCTCCTCCTCGTCATCATCAACGAATTCTTCGTCATCCCCACCATCGTCATCCGTATCCATGCTGTGCCTATTGCATCCTGTGGCTGTGTGTTCCTCTGCTGCTACATTTGTCGCGACTGCTTCTGGTCCGACTGCTTCTGACTCCGCTTCTCTTTGTTCGCTCTCCTGTTGTTCTTTTTCACGGATGCGCTTCTTTTCTCTCTGCCTTCTCTGCTTCATGGTATCACAATCATCCTCGAACCAGTCCCATCGGCACATGTTCAAAATGTAGTAGATGCACTCATCGGGAAGCATGCTGAAGGGGGATTCCCATCTTCTCTGGCATAGAGATAGAACACGGGCGCAGTCTTGAAAATTTCCCCCAAACTTGGTTTGGACTTGTGGGTTCCATAGCCTGTAAACAGTTCCATACTCCAAACGACCAACAAACTCTCGTCGGTCGCGCCATGCATTACCCCAGCCCCAAATGGGATTTTGGCCAAAGATTTCGGGTGAAACATGAGCACGTCCGGTCATGATGGTTAGCTTCTCGTCATCATAGCGTTTTGATGACATGCCGTAGTAACTGTTATCGTACACAATCGCTTCATCGTTTGGCAGTGTCGAATGGATATAGAGGCACTTGACTTGACCAGGGCGCATTCTAATCGGCTGGTCAAATACCAATTCTACGTAACTATGCTTTGAATATTTGTGTGTCTTCTCGTACAATTTGGTCCAGTGCCTCGGATCCAGTTGAACTTGATTTCTACCATTTCCTCCATCTTCGTTGCTGACCCAAACAGTGAGTGGTCCCAACGCACCACGTACTGCGACACTCTTGATGACGATATGATCCAAAGGGAGCAAATCCTTGCACTTTATTGGAAACATAATGCCGCTGAAGAAGAACGTAGGATCGAACAGTTTCAAAGGAAAAAGGAAAAAAAGCGGAAGAAATTAGAAAAGTGGCTGGAATTAGACAAAGAAAGATATAAAGGACATTACGTACCAAAATGTGTGATCTTCGTTGTCTATTTTTTAAAACGAAGCAACGAAGTGATGCAAACACGCACAAACACAAAGTACAGAAGTGAGTATCTTCTTCAGAACAAAAAGATCCAAGTTGCTTCTTTACTGTTCCAGAACATACCAGAAGTGTCAACCGTTACATTTTCATGGACTGTGTAAGTTGCCTCTGTGGGCCTATTGTACGCAGCCATTATTGTACTTCTATCGACAGTGCGACAACAACCACGTTGGACGATGCGGTTTTCAGAAGTTTTGTATCATCGAGCGGCCTGACGATGATGATTCAACCAAATTTGGTACCTACACAATTCCATGTACGGGAAGTACTGCGATTCTCCCACCGGTTCAGTTCTGAATTTCTGCAACAAATTTTGTATTGGTCGGACGGGTCGTACCAAAATAGACTGTAAAGCAAGCAAGGCAAGAACGAAAGCGCTTGTCTTACCAAGGGAACAAACTGAAACATGAGACAACCATTCGATTCTACATACAGTATGTATATATTTTATATCTACCTTATTTGTGCTTGGTTATTGAGAGTATCATTCCGAGGTTGGGCTTTTTAAAAAAAGCCCGGCGAGATCAATGTCGTGATACAAGGAGATGTTTTGCAAAGTATCTACCCCATTTGTTCGTTCACAATTGTGGTTTCAAGAGGGGTGTAGGTAAATCTTTGGCCCTGAACTGTCGCTTCGTACATCAAACCCATAAGTTGTACCGTAAATACGGCCAAACCCTTGGCATACGTTGGCTGCTCTTTCGCACCCCCGATTGTGGATCGACCAGATGGTAGCACACCATATGCTGGTGGCTGATTTCCCATTGTGGAAGCAGAAAGACTAGCACTGGCGGTCAAGGCAACGACCTGGGCGTCAGCTCCAAATTCAAAACTTCCACTGGTAAATCTTTTGTGATCTTCTTCGTTTTCAAAGAAGATGATTTGACAAAAGACCTGTCCACCAAGTTGCAGACCCACGCTGATCTGCATCAAGTTAGAGTAACCAACCAAAGTCTCTGTACCGTCCTTGTTGTTGACATAAACACTTCCCATTCCAAAGGCTCCACCAACGCCAATACCACCCTGTTTTGGAAAATCGTCATTGCAGAGCAAATGAGAACGCCATGAATATGGATCATATTTCCAACTCAGCAGCAACAACAGGGGGGGCTCACCTTGCCAACCTTCTCAAAAATGACAAATCCATATGACTTCTCAAAGTATCCCGCGAGACTTTCGTGCCCACGGAAGGTTTCCAAACCCTTGGCGACTTGCAAGAACTCGTTACTCTTGACCTTTTCAACAGTCGCGTTGAAGCTCTCCTTCATGGCATCTCCATTTCCTTTTCCGGACTTGCTTTGGTTACTGGTACTCAATAGGGGCATCTTTTAATACTTCCTTCCTTTATGCAACAATGTTGTTATTGTGGATTGAGGTGTTGTTAGTGTTTGCAGTCTTGGTCAACCCAATCGTGGTTTTTACTCGTGTAGAGATCCTAACGGATGAGCGCGTAAAACCGTTTTCAGGTGTTCTCATCGTCATCACCAAATGTAGTCCAGTCGGTCGAGGGGTGAGTATCCCATAACGATTTGACCCAAATGACTACATTTTTGGTTTTTCTTCACTTCACTCGTTTTTTTTTCAACCATGACCAAATGTCTCGTCGAGCGTGGAAAAACACGATTTGTCACTATACAACAGCCATGCATCAAACTTGTCATAATTTCTCTGCATTGCTGCATAGAAGACAACAATGAACATGAACGCTAAATTTCCCATCCTCCCAACTCACTTGTCAACCTCGCCTCATCGTCGTGGTTCAGGTAACTCCTTCCAATCTAAAATCCTTTCTACGCCATGTTCCAATCGAACACCTGCCAGATCCACGTCGACGAAGAAAGCGTGTCTTCCTCGGATGTCACCATCTCCTCGGATTGGAAGAACACCAGTCTCTACTACCAAACTAACAACTTCACAATGTGGCGATCGGTTTATTCCATCTCGTCGCTCCATGAACGTCAGCTTGTGTCGTCGTTCTTTGTTCTCCAAGGAACCAACCGATGACGAAGCTCGGGATGATACACCGAGCTCTCAACAACACAGCAAGCTCTTCAAGAAATCCTTATTGAGCTCTCTGTGCGACTATCCCATCGAGTCCTTGGATGACAACGCCAAACCGAAATCTCTGTTTCGGTCTGGGAATCGTGAAGCGCTATCTTGCGTGCCGAAGACGCAAGTACGATTGGAAGATCCATACTCGCACAACATTCTAGGAGTGGGTTTCACTCGGTCAAGCCATGATAATGGAATCTCACTGCAACAAAAACCTTCCCGCAAAGTTGTGTCAGACAAACCGTTCAAGATTCTCGACGCAGAGGGCATCAAGGACGACTATTATATGGATCACATAAGCTGGAACAAGGACAATGTATTGGCGATTGCACTTGACAACATTGTCTACCTTTATGACTATGCCACTTCGAATAGCTTTGAACTAGCAACATATGATCAAGGACATGACAACTACGCTTCAACAGTCTCGTGGTGCAACTCAAGTGAAAACTCGAGATTTCTCGCGATCGGAACCAACTCGTCAGCCGAGATCTGGGACGCGCAATCAGGACAGAAGCTTCGCAACCTCCGTGGGCACCAAGGACGAGTTCTGTCGTTGTCATGGAACCAACACTGTCTGACAACCGGTGGAGAAGACTCGATGATCCTTCACCATGATGTCAGATGCCGATATTCGTTGGTTTCACGCTGTGCCGCTCACGAACAGAAGGTAGTGGGATTGAAGTGGAACAGAGATGGAGATATGCTTGCCAGTGGTGGTAACGACGACTTGATGTGCATCTGGGATTTGAGAATGTCTCCTAGCCGAAACCGAGCCTTGGAGCCTCGTTTGCAGCTACGGGAGCACAACGGTGCAGTAAAGGCCATTGACTGGAACCCTCATCGTCGGGGAGTACTAGCTAGTGGTGGCGGAGCGAGAGACAAAACAATCAAAATTTGGAACTCGCAAACCGGAGCGCTTTTCAGCTCAACAGATACTGGGTCTCAAGTCACTTCAGTTATGTGGAGCCAGCATCGCAGTGAGTTGTCCAGTGCACATGGCTTCGATGACCATTTGATGAAGCTATGGGATTATGGACACGATTCAAGCTTGACCAAGACGACGGATTTTGTGGGTCATTCGTCACGTATTCTGAGCACGGCGTGCAGTCCCGATGGATGTCAAGTAGTATCGGCTGGAGCAGACGAAAGTCTTTGCTTTTGGGATGTTTTTGACGAACCTATTCGCAAGCGTTTATTGCCCTGTGCTTCGAGTATATGGGGCGAAGTATCACTTGGGGATCATGTTATCCGATAGTGACGAGGCGCAGTAAAGTCAGCTGCAAACCTGAGTTAAAATACTAGAACAGTGCATGATGCGATGTTAAAAATATGGAAGAAGTGTCAATTTTAAGCAACTAACAAACATACAACTTTCATGAAAAGCCATAAGTGGAAAATACGTCCTACTTTGTCTATCTAGTCTATCTTTCTGTTTTCGAATAGGTTCAACATACATTACAAGGCAGCGTTGATATCGGCTTGCAAAATGACTGGATGGAGTTTTGGTTTGACCAAAACAAAAGAACTTTGGGTAAGCCGCGGACCGCACTAGGTCCCCTCCTCAAACAGATGTGATACAACTGTCTCTACTTTAGTCCTAGGACCACGCTTTTGGCATCCTCTTTTAACGTTTTAAAACCTTGTTTTATTGTGTGGTTTCCGGATCAGGCTCAATTATAGGCACGTTGTACTGCCCAAAACAATGTAATGCAAAATAATGAAACATGCGATGAGATGATTCTAAGCTATTGCAGCCCTCGCAAATTCAAAACATGAACGCGTCGTAGGATCTCGTCAACGGCGATGGGGAGAACAAAGAGCAAAGCCGTGTTTCCAATGCCCATCTGAAACACATGCTTCGTCAACAGTACAAACATGAGAATTGAAGCCACCACGGAGCCCAGAGCAAACCCATATCTTCGAAGCCCCACAACGACTAACGTCACGCTTACTGTCACAACGCCCGCCTGATATTTGTTTTCCGTCACATTCGCCATCGCCACAAACAGAACCACCCAATGGACAATGTGCGAAACAAATGCATGTCGAGCCAGTTTCCATTCGTTGATCTCCACAAAAGGTTGTTGGCATACTGGGCAAGCGATCTTTCCCATGGTATTAGTGTAGGCTTCCCAGCAAGACTGATGCAGGTAGTGTCCGCAGGAGTGACCTACCACCAATGGGCCGCGGCTGTCATGCAAATTTTCGAAACAAACAGCACAGTCCACTGAACGTGCGTCTATTTTGCAAACCTTTTCGTGCTTTTCTTTATTCACCGTCTCAATACTTAGACAGAGTCAACAGGAATGACAGTGCCAGTGACTGATGTCCAGTCCTTTGCCTACACGACATACCTTGCAATGAGGGCAGTGATAGATACCATCAGGATGAGATTTTCGGTACACCGAGCATTCTAAGCAGATGTATTCGGCAAATGAGACATGGCAGCCATCGCATTCTTTTGCTGGTTCTTGTTCCATTTCACAATCTCGGCACCGGATTTTAGTGACGTTGGATCTATCGAGGGGCTTTCCACAAGACGAAGAATTTTCGTCGTGACATCGGAAACATCGATAGTATCGGTTGCAGCAAGGTGTCCAGATTTCACATTTGTTTTCGTAGTGGCTACAACCATCTGGCATCTTTACATGGGTATGAATATTGAAACAATGAGTGGCTTATTTCTCTTTCTCCAAAACTCCAAACCGTCAATGTTTCATTTCGGCCATCATTGGTTCGACTGCTTCGAGCAAATGGTCGAATGAGTCAGAATGATGCTCTTCGAACACTATTTTTTATACCGGTATATTTCGGTCTGACTCTTTTCACTTGACAGAACCTGTGACAAGAACAAAACGTTCCGAACTCTCTTGGGTTTCAAGGCCATTTCTGCAAGTAGTGTGGCAGGAGGAGATACGAGAGCATGAGCTTCAACGTAACAAAGCTGTCAGCTTTGCGCCGCAGCTTGAATCAAGAGAGGCGAAAGCTGCTCCTTGCCAGTCATCATCAACAGAGGACTTCACGAATAACTGAATCATCAAAATTTTTTTTGTCATCGTCGTCATCATCATCGTCGTCGTCGTCGTCTGGCAGCAACGTTCCAATGTTGAAGGCGCTTTCTTCTCGTCTGGAAGAAACTTTCAAAGATTCAGTCTGGCTGATTCCAAGAAAAGGTACGGGATTTGACAACTTTCTCCCCAAGGACAAAAAGGAAAAAGAAGACGAAGAAGCAAATGCGGAGAAAGACAGCAATGAGGAGTCCAGCAAAAAGAAAGACGGAACAGGTGAAGCAAAGCCCGGTAAAAGTTCCGATGATGATGCCAAGAAGGGACTAGGAGATGCCTTTGATTCATTCCGGTCACAAAACAAAACATCTGGGGATGGTAGTGGCGGCAGTGACAACAATAACGGCATTCCCCCCAACTTTTCCAGTGCCATGATGGCCGGGATCCTGATGATGGCTATCAGCTATGCCATTGTGCGGTCAGATGATGATACCTCGCCAGCTGACTATTCAACTCGGGAGATTACTTGGAATGACTTTTGCAATCATTTGCTCGAGACTGGTCAAGTGGAGAAGATTGTGGTCACCAACAATCGCACTCAGGCAAAGGTTTACCTGAAACCTGGGTCCAAAGGTTTGCCACCAGCACAACCTCCGAGATTCCGCTATGCAGAAAGAAGGCAACAAGGAGCGGATAGTGCAGGAATGGGTACAATGAACTCCACCGAAAGTTTTGAAACCTCCATGCCAAACGAGTTGTACTCGCGCAACAGCTTTCCTTCAAAGGGTCAAAAAGAGCAACAAATTGTATATCGATTTGCCATGGGTAGTGTGGATGCCTTTGAGAAGAAACTCGAGGAGGCTCAACGGGTGGTTGGAATGAATCCTCTTCAGGACATTCCCGTTCAATACACTGCCGAATCAAGTCTGGCAACTGAAGTTATGAATGTAATCCCTTCACTGTTATTGATGGGAGCAGTGTTTTACTTTATGCGTTTTGCAGCAGGATCCATGGGTGGGGCCAACCAAGGTGGCGGTGGTGGAATGGGCGGGATTTTCAAGATTGGGAAGTCGACTGCCAAGAAAATCTCTAAAGAAGATGTCAAGATCAACTTTTCCGACGTCGCTGGGTGTGATGAAGCCAAGAAGGAGATTATGGAGTTTGTTGCTTTCTTGAAGGAACCAGAAATTTTCACAGATTTAGGAGCAAAGATTCCAAAGGGAGCCTTGTTGTGTGGGCCGCCTGGAACAGGAAAAACTCTTCTTGCCAAGGCCGTTGCCGGAGAGGCAGGAGTTCCATTCTTCTCCATTTCTGGATCAGACTTTATTGGTGCGTATCATTTGTTGAAGGTATTTACGAAGTGCATCTATCCTCACTGAATTGCTTTTTTTCCAAATACCAGAAATGTTTGTCGGTGTTGGTCCTTCTCGTGTCCGTGACCTTTTCAAGGAGGCAAGAGAGACTGCGCCTTGTATCATTTTCATTGACGAGATTGATGCAGTTGGAAGACAACGTGGCCGTGGTGGAGTTGGTGGTAATGATGAACGAGAGAATACACTGAACCAATTGCTAGTCGAAATGGATGGTTTCAACCCATCTACAGGTGTTGTGGTATTGGCTGGTACAAATCGTGTTGATATATTGGATCAAGCCTTGACTCGACCAGGTCGTTTCGATCGTCAAATCACCGTCGACAAGCCTGATTTGAAGGGACGGAAGGAGATTTTTAAGGTACATTTGCAAGGCATCACATTAGAAAACGATGTTGAGGACGTGGCAGGCCGTCTTGCTGGATTGACTCCTGGATTTGCGGGAGCAGATATTGCAAATATTTGTAACGAAGCTGCAATTCAGGCTGCTCGACGAAAGGGTGATTCTGTCAACTTCGACGATTTTGAGAAAGCTACAGATCGTATCATTGGTGGATTGGAATCCAACAAGATCATGAGCAAGGAAGAACGAAGCATCGTTGCCCATCATGAAGCAGGGCATGCGGTTGCTGGGTGGTTCCTGGAACATGCAGACCCACTGCTAAAGGTCACAATTATTCCAAGAACAAGCGGTGCGCTTGGTTTCGCTCAGTACCTTCCAAAGGAGGTGGCTCTGCGGACGCAGGATCAAATCATGGACATTGTAGTCATGGCACTTGCAGGCAGAGCCGCAGAAGAAATTTTCTTTGGCCGAGTCACAACTGGAGCATCGGATGACTTGCGTCGTGTTACAGATATGGTCTACAGTACCATCCAGCTTTACGGTATGAACTCTCGTTTGGGCCAGCTGGCATTTCCCAAGGACCCGAATGCAATGTTTGATGATAGACCGTACTCAGAGAAAACTGCGAAAGCCATGGATGAAGAAGCGAAACGCATTGTTGACGAAGCATACCAACGAACACTCAATTTGCTAACAGAACGGAAGGAAGAGGTCGAAAAAGTTGCCGCCCTGCTATTGGACAAGGAGACTATTAATCACGATGATGTGCTCGAACTTGTTGGACCGCGTCCCTACGCTGGAAATCCCGAGTACGATGAATTTGTGAGAAAAAGGAAGGAAGTGCTGAAGGGTGCAGACAGCAGCTCGCCTGATGATGATGGCGACTCTGAATCCAAGAATCCAGAGGACGCAGTCACTCCTGGTTTGGCTTAGGCACTGAACAAAGCGTAAACTAGCTCAATATTTTCTACTAGAATTGGATATCTAAGCATGACATGTTGAAGACGGGGAGATTGCTATAGCACAACATACAAAACCTACCGATACATACAAATGTACCGGGGGAGGGACAGACCAAATCACCGCGATGATTCACCACCAAAAATCGAGATTCACCACAAGGAATCTTTGTCGTTTGTCGAGCCCATATTGAACTTAGTGGTAGCTGGTACTTTTCTTCAGCGAACGCTACAGGTGTAACCGCCACCCTTGCTATTCAAAACAGCAAGAAAGTAATCAAACATGGTGAAGTGCGCAGTCAACGGATTTGGTCGTATCGGCCGTCTTGTCTTCCGCTATGCATGGGAGGACCCCACTTTGGAGATTGTGCACGTCAACGATCTGTGCTCCTGCGAAAGTGCTCAATACCTCGTCAAGTATGACTCAGTGCACGGAACTTGGGACAAGGAAGTCGAAATGAAGGAGGACAGCTCTGGTTTCACTGTTGATGGAAAGCTTGTCACTTTCTCTTCAGAACAGGACTTCACCAGCGTCGATTGGGCTGCTATGGGAGTTGAGATGGTTATGGAGTGCACTGGAAAGTTCTTGAAGGTCAATAATCTTTCCCCATACTTTGATAAGTGCGGTATGAAGCAAGTCGTCGTTTCTGCTCCCGTCAAGGAAGAAGGGGCGCTCAATGTTGTCTTGGGATGCAACCACCAGAAGCTTAGCAAAGAAACTACCCTTGTCACCAATGCATCTTGCACAACCAACTGTTTGGCTCCTGTCGTCAAGGTCATCCACGAGAAGTTCAGTATCAAGCACGGATGCATCACAACAATTCATGATGTTACAGGTACTCAAACTTTGGTTGATATGCCAAACACAAAGAAGAGCGATCTTCGCCGTGCTCGGTCTGGTATGGTGAACTTGTGCCCAACTTCCACAGGATCCGCTACTGCTATTATCGAAATTTATCCCGAGCTAAAGGGTAAATTGAACGGATTGGCCGTTCGTGTTCCATTGTTGAACGCCAGTATCACTGATTGCGTTTTCGAGGTCAACAAAACTGTTACCCGAGAAGAGGTCAACGCTGCCTTGGAAGCTGCCTCCAAGGATGGTCCACTTAAGGGAATTTTGGGATACGAAACCAAGCCACTTGTCAGTACCGACTACACCAACGACACTCGCAGCTGTATCATTGATGCACTCTCCACCCAGGTTATTGATGGCACTTTGATCAAGATCTACGCATGGTATGACAACGAAGCCGGATACTCCAAGAGAATGGCCGAGCTTTGCAATATTGTCGCTGCCCAAAACATCAGTGGCACAGAGCCCAGCTTCAAATACGAGTAAATGTATATTATTAGCAAATTGGTAGGTACATGTTTGTTTGGCATGTATTTCGGTGGAATAGCAGTGCAGCAAATAACTTCTGTGAATGAAGAATCATGACGAATGCCACCTCTACTGGTCTTCATATTATGTCCACAACAGAAACGCTGCTATTTGTCAACTGATGTAAAAAAAATTAAAATCCTCCAAACTGCATTTGTTGTATTGTAAGTCTAATGTTATCTAGTTTTATGAGCCTGAGACCGCATAAGGGTTAGCTTCCCAATCTGAAACGTTGGTCTTCAAACACTTGAGACTGGTTTAAAATCAGGCGGTGAACAAAGGGGCATTTATCCAATGAATTCCCCATCTGCCTTGTGCGAAACACTGTTGACAGTTCCGCCGCTTTCCTTGAAGTCAGCCCATGCTTGGTAGTGAGATTGTGTCTTGTGAAAATCCACAGCAGCTGGGTTCTCGTAGACCTCATAGAACCAGAACTTGTTCTCATTGTCCTGTGCTCTAAGAACATCGAATCGGATGCATCCAGGTTCCTTGCGAGACGCTTCGGCATTCTTTTGGATCATGGTCATAAACTCATCCATGCGATCTGGCTTGATCTCAGCTTCAACGATGACAGAGAAGGGCTTGGACATTAGTGCTGTGCCGGAGGTGAATTTTCTTGTCAAGGGCGAAGAGGATGGTTTTAATGCTTCTCTACTAAAGGCTTGTGTGGAACGGAGGAGCAGAGAGGAGACGATGAGAGGAGAGAATGCCTTCATGTGGTGATCGGTGACCAAAGATATTATGGATCCTTTTGTTGCTTTCTGGCATCTTCAACTACAGTAAACTACGCGAATTCCTACCAGAGCCCACGTACAATACATGCGGATCTTTTTGATAAGTTCACCGAAGTTAAGATTGCCGTATCTACCGGTGCAGTACTATTTCAAATTGTTCGTCAATAAAATCAAAGAGCAGTCTGCATTTTCAATGCAAGAAGACAAGCACAGCTTCAAATGAGATATCGCTGGAAGATATGTTAGCGCCAAGAACACAGTATGTTTGGCACGATCATATTTGCCATCCCATTACGAATGGATAAAGAATCTTGACTTCGAATGATAGGACCTACCTTGTTTCTATAGAATATATTGTTTGAGGTCACACTCATTTCAATGTTTCTGGCTGCCATACTGGACTGGTATGGTTGGTCCTCCTGAAACGACAATAACAAGCTACTGTACTGTACCTTAGCTACTATACCCTTATCGTAGCAGTCCGATTAATCAATCAAGTTCTGAACAATGTCTTGCATGTGTACGCAATGGTTCATTTCAAATCCATTCAACTGCCAACAAGAACGAAGAGAACACATCACATCAACAAAAAAAAGCTTCTGCAATGAATTATTGCGTTCGGATATGTTTCTTCCTCCTCGTTGCGCTGTCAGCAGTACATGCTTGGTTGCTACCCTCAACGATGCAGACAGAGGCTCGGGTTCATAGACGTCGACAGCTCACAAACCTATCTGCTGAGCGACGATTTGCTCAGCCGAATTCTAGAAAGAACATTGGAGCCGACTCCAAGCTTTTGTCAGTTCACAAAGAACGACTCAGAACTGCTGGACGAGTTGGGACGAAACGATTTGTTGACCCTTGTAAGGTGTTTGTTGGAAACCTTCCCTTCAATGTTGACGAAAAAGACGTGGCGAAGTTTATTCTCAATTCGATGGGTCAATCCCGAGTTATTTTGCATTCTTCCAAGGTTATCTACGACTGGAAAACGGGCAAATCAAAAGGATACGGCTTTGTTCAATTTATTGATCCTATTTATGCAACGACTTGTATGGAACAATGCGATGGAAAAGAGTTCAATGGAAGACCTTTGTCAATTTCGCAAGGACAGAGGAAGGAGCAGGAGAACGAATTGTACTTGAAGAAGAAAAAGAACAAGCCTTTGACTGAAGAAGAGGAAGTCATTTCGAGCGCCCTTGATTTAGCTGAGAGTGGCGAAGAAATACCAGTGTTTGGAGGCAGCGACGAAGATCTGGAATTGGACGCTGCTCTGTTTGGAATCGTCGGGGATGATGATGACGACGACGACGACTACGATGGCATCTTCTTGGAGCGGAAGAAGTTTGATGACAACGATATTGATCCGAATCTGAATCGAGAACAAAGAAGAGAAGCTGCTCGTCGCCTGAAGCGAAAGAAGCTCCCCAGCAAGGGTTTTGGTTAAAACAATATATATCTTGTTTATTTTACTTCCAATTTTAGTGGTATCTACCGTGATAGCTCAATGGTAAGCCGCAAGTCTCCCTAGCACAAGTTCTAGCATCATGTCCATATCCATCTATCTATCATCTGGTACCATTGTTATTCTCTTCAATCATCTTATCGTGTCGTCGTGCATCGATCTTGGTTGACTAGTTCGATTCTTCAAACATATCCACCCACATCAAAAAAATCGATGTCATCAAAATGGAAACATGATGATGTGGAGGGATTCTTTTTGGCTATTTCTACTGCCATTTTGCCTCAGAGCTGGAGTTGCATCTTGCGATGAGCTCTACCCAAGTGGGCTCTACTGGAATATCTCCGTGCAGAGTGCCGACGGCACATTTCTTGTCCAGCCGACGGCTCATTTCTTGTTCGTTCCAAATGGTCATATTTGTGGTGTTTTGGGTCCATCTGGTGCTGGGAAAAGTACAACCTTGAATGCATTGGGAGGATCCATTCCACCACAGAGCAGCTTGTCAGTGAATGGAAACATCACATACTATGATGCAACCTCAGAAACTAAAACTACTGGAACAATCAATTCAGGGAGTGTAGCTTGGCTTCAACAGCATGATTCATTCTTTTCGATGTTGACAGTGAAGGAAACTCTAGATATGGCTGCTTTCTTGGAACTGCCTCATTTGATAGAATCGCAACGAAATGCCCGAGTTCAGAGTATTATGGAGTCACTGGGGTTGACGAAACTGCAAGATCGCCCCATTGGCGATCCAACAACGAGACACAAAGGCGGGCTCTCTGGGGGCGAGCAAAGAAGGGTATCGCTCGCAAGGGAGCTAATTTCAAATCCCAAACTCTTCATTGGAGATGAACCTACTTCAGGACTGGTACGTGATGCATTCTCAACGCACAGTGCCGCCTGAACTATTCTGATAAGTTTTGCTTTGTTGTAGGATTCGACCATGAGCGAGAAAGTCATCCGGCTGGTCCAGAAGATGGTCCAAGAAAGAGACATTCCGTGCCTCCTTTCGATCCACCAGCCGCGCTCTTCGATCTTTCGAATGTTGGACGAAGTTCTCTTGCTTGCTCCAGGTGGACGCGTTTGTTATCATGGGAAATCAGAAAAAGCGATTGGTTACTTCCGAAACTTGGGATATGAGTGTCCTGAAGAGACTAATCCCGCCGAGTTTCTTGTAGACTTGGTGTCAATAGATGTGGAAGACCAAAGTACCTCGATACAGGATGAAATCAGGATAATCAAGCTGTTTGAAGCATTCCAAGAATATCAACAAAAACGCCGCCACAAATTGTCGAGCATGCCGCCCATTACAGCTGTTGCTGTTGAAGATTGTTCTACTACATCGTCAAGAGGCAGTCGACGAAGATTTCATATCATCCGTAGATTTGGAAGACTCTTACTTCGGTCATGGAGGCAAAACGCTCGTAATAGAAAAGTCAACATCCTCCGACTGCTTGCGTCAGCTGGGAATGCAATGCTTTTCACTACGATTTTCAAATCTATCAAGAAAGGTGTCTTTACGGCGAAATCAGTCGCCGAGAGAGTGTCCATGCTAACTTTTGGGATTGTAAATATGAGTATGATTGCTCTTCTAAAGACGGTTGACTTGTTCTCAAAGGAGAAACCGGTGGTCCAACGCGAGCAATTGCGACTACAGTATTCAAGTCTGGAGTACTTGTTTTCAAAATCCATAGCTGAAATCCCTTTGGATGCGGCCTTTGCGGCCGTATTTACCACAGTCCTAAAGATGACAAGCGGGATTCGGACGGGCTGGAGGGCGCTGACCGGTACATTTGCTCTGATGACAGTGGCAGGTGCATCATTGGGATTCGCGATCGGCGCCGCAAGTCCGTCCGCAGACGTGGCACTGAGTTCTTCGGCCATGATCATGGTTGTGATGATGGCGGTTGGGATCATCAACCCGAGTGGGGTAGACCTATCAGATCCGCCTCCATTGTTGGTGCGTGCTCTAAAGCAAATTAGTCCCATCAACTATGCCGTAAAAGCTTTGTGCCTATCTGAATACAAGGACGCAGAGTTTGGAATCGATACGGGGGGAAAGCCAGTCAATATTTTCTCACGAGCACGAATAATGATGCGAGACTTGCCCAAGATGGGAGGTCTTGCACTTGTCAAAAATGGAAACCAAGTGCTACAAGAACTTGGCCTCGCCGATGAAACATATGCAGGCGTAATGAAGCAACTAGGGGTGCTCTCACTCGTCAATCTGGCTATCAGCCTGATTGGATTACAAACGAAAAACTCGGGCCTTTCCCAAAAGTGCTAAACAACGTCTAAACTTCCAATTTTGTTGCGCTATTGCCAAGCTCTGTCATTGCATTCCCCATCGCTTCCCCAACATTCTGATAGGTTTCAGCATTACCATTGTAATGACCGTTCGATGAACCGCCTTTGCTCATCGGATGTGAATAAACAGTAGCAACATTTCCCCTGAATTCAGGATGCTTGCCTGCATTACCATCTACTGCTAACATGGCATCCAACAAAAGCTTTTCATTTCCACTTGCATTTCCCTGATCTGTTTGCCCCAGCGTTGCAAGTACAAACTTTGCGTTTGGTGCGGCGAACTCGGTCCTCAATTGACCAATCAAACGAACAAGATTGTGCTCGTAAAAGGTTGCATAGGAGTCATCGTAGCGGTCCTTATCGCCTTGCCACCAGAAGAAGCCCTTTACTTCGTAGTTTGTAGCATTGGGGTAGTACTTGTCCAACTCATTCAAGACAGATTTCGCATTAGCAATATCCGTATCATACTGTTTTCCGGCATACCAGTCAGCAGTCGGGTCAGGTTTCGGTGCTCCTTTGTCCCAATATGCCGGGCACTCTCCATATGCTGCATATGTCCTATCGTGGAAGTCGTACCTTGTACTGCCAGGAGGAAGCAAATCCCATCCAAGGCTGCGATTACCGATGCAACTTTTGAGAAGTAAGATTGGAGCATCCGATGCCTTTTCCATCATCTTTCCGATCCCTAGTTCTGGTCCAATTGTGTCAGATCGGCTTGCATTCAGGAACTCGTTGTTGTAAACATGCATCTTTCCATCACGTGCATCCATGACACGAACATTGCGAACGGTGTTCGAGGTGACCCAATGCTTTTCCTCGTCGATCAAATAAGGGTACAAACCTTTAGTCATCACAGCGTACTCTAAAGTTCCATCTTTGTCACCATGTACTTTTCCTTCACCCAGCATATTTGACTGACCCATCAGGATGTACACTTGCACCTTTGCAAGCCCAACTTCTTCTTTTTTGTTCCTTCTATCCAGACGAAGTATCTTTGTCAAAACAGAAAGAATACGTTGGATGAGAACTTTCAGGATTTCGAAACAAGGTTGAAGAGGATGCATCGTGCAACTTTCTGTTTGTATTTGGTTTGTGCAATCCAAAGGGATCTGTGACACACAAAATTGTGTGTCACAGATCCTGAATTTTATGTGCAGAAAGATCGCAGATTTTCAGTCGGATTGATCACATTTCATGAATTCCATCGACATGACACTCCAAAACTACCGCGTACAGTACAGTACCATACCAGGTACAAGTACACCAAATTTGGATTCACGCAGCACTCAATCCCTGAGCATGAAGAATGCAAAGACCAGAAGTGGCCGAGCGTTTCCAGTTTCGCGAAAGCCGAAACCAATAGCTGTTCGTATGGATCACGTCGAGTTCCTTCGACGCCGCCGGTCTCCCCGAAAGCATTTGGACAGCAAAGAGCACGATAGGACACTGAAATATTTTTTTCGAAAAGACACACGGCGGCGTCAACGACAAGAGATGAATCAAGAGAAAGAACCAGAAGTTGTAGAAGCAGAACAGACGGACGTCGCCTCTCCCCAACGGCGTTCAAATCGAAATCTTCATGCTATTCGGCTTAAAGGTAGTGGAACATTCTACCGAAACCTTCGAACGCTTTTCTTTGGAAAACGATCAGACACAGGATACCAAAACATAGGTGGCAATCGAATACAGTGGCTGCGAGAGTGTGATAACCCCCCTGTCTATGTCATTGATGACTTCTTGACACCATCCGAACTAGAATACTTTGACTCTCGTGTAAAGGACTTGAAATTTGAAAGAAGTTTTGTTGATAACATGGCAATAGACGAAATGAGGGGAGTCGATGATGCCACAAACCTAGACGATAAATCAAAGAAGAGACAGCGGCGGACTATTCTTGACACTACGCATCGGACCTCAAGATTCTTTGCATTCAGAAAGCAGCAAGATGCCAAAATAGCATCCTTGGAACGACGCATTGCAGAATTGCTTGGATGTTGGGTACACCAAATTGAACCATTACAGCTTGTGAGATATCTCCCTGGAGAATTCTTCAACGTCCACCACGACATGGGCGATCTCATGGACGATGATCAAGTCAAGCTCCCAAAGAAACATGTTGCGGTGAAGCGTCGAGTTTTGACAATGTTCTTCTACTTGAATACACTCACCGAAGATCAAGGCGGATGCACACATTTTCCAAAGTGCAAGAATCTCCGAGTGCAGCCTAAAAGAGGAAGAGTTGTGATATGGAGCAATGTGACAGCAGAAGGATTGCCAGACCCGAGAACTATTCATGCTGGGGAACCAGTCAACTCAGGCGAGAAGGATTTTGCAAAGTATGGATTGAATCTTTGGATTTGCGAAGAGTGAATGACGGCTGGAGGAATTTTGCTTTCAGAACACTTTAGAACGATCTGCTACCGTGGATCTTAGAAAATTGAAGAATGCACTGATATGAAACAAAGATACTTATAATAGAACCATAAAAAATCCCAATTTTGGAATGAATACAACAGCTGAAAATTATAACTTATTCAACGTATAATGTGCACAGTAGGCCCCTTGTGCGCTGCCAAGGACTTTAGAAACATCTCAATCTATCTAGTCGATATCAACAATACTCTCGTCTTCGACGTCTTTCGTGTCCTCGTATCCTCCCATGTCTTGATATCCCTGTTCGTCCTTTGTTTCGGAGACAAATGAAGAATCATCATGAGCTGGGATATCCGGACTGGGACTGTCCGAGTGCGAAGTCTCCGGGGTAGGTACCTGGCCATTCGATTTGGATTTACGACCTCCGGCCAAATCAGGGTCTATTGGCCCCCAGTAATCCAGGGCAAGGAGAGGAGCGTCGTCTTCTGGCTCGTCTTCTGGAACATCCTCGAAACCACGATCTCCACTTGGATCGTATGCACCATTAGGATCAGCATACCATTGCTCTGGGTTCTTCAGTGCATTGCAGAAGTGAGGATTGTCAACCACGTTACTTTTGACTTTGTTTGGTGGAATGAAAGGCGCATTGTTGAAGAACTCCTCGTCTTCTTGTTCTTTCTTCTTTTTGCCAAAGAAATCTGGAACTCCAAACAAGAGCGCGAAGAAGCAGAACAGACAAAGGAGAATAAGGATGACGAACATGACAATGTAGAAGACACGCAGTGGCCACGGCGTGTCAAGCCACCAATTATCAAGATCATTGACAGGGTCCCCATTTCTTCCAGCCGGTGGATCGTCAGTCGTCACAGGGAAGAAGAATTGAAGCTCTGAGCTACCAGCAACGGATGGATCAGTTCCATCTGTAGGGGCAATACCAATACGCTCCGATCCAAACTGGAGACGAACTGTTGCTTTTCCTTCTACTGGGATAGCCTCGTTGAAGAAGTCATCGTGGAGATACGTCTTCATGGCACACACTGGGTCACCTGATTGACAAATCACCAACGTGTCGATAAATGCAAGCCCGCCATCACCAATGGCAGTCTGAGAATGCTCATTAGGCTGGTTGAAGACAAAGTTATGAAAGTTGTGCAAGAAAACTCCATTCTCTACAGCTCTTGAGTCTGGGATGGCACACACACGAACGGCATCTCCTCGATACAAGGGCATCTGCTGCTCCTCTGCAGTCAATTCTTGATTTTTCTCGTTACAGCGATACATGAGAGCTTCATGATCATTCTGTGCAGGTAACAGTTTGATCTCAATCCCAAAAGGATACTTTCCCGCATCCAAACCAGCGAGGTTTCCAAGGCGTCTCTCGTCCATTTCAACAGGCACTCGGACAGTGCGACGACGACGTGAATTATAATTGTACATGAAAACAACTTCTCCAATCGCTCTGATTGATCCAGGACCGGTGTAAAATATGTTGCTTGGTGTTGTGTGTACGCCACAAACAACTGAAGCAGTTGTACAGTTAACTGTCGTGATTCTGGGATCCGCCACGACACCGCGGTCGCGAATTAGAGCCATCGTTTCTCCAGAATCGTCTCGAGTAAAGAACAAGTTTTCAATTCTGTTGATCACAACTCCAAACCTTTGTGTGTTCTCATCAGGACTGACACAAAATCGAACCGCATTACCCTGCACGACACCGTCATTCGGTGCGACATAGTGGCCATCAGCGTCACACAAATCTGTTCCTGCAGCAAATTTTTGTTCTTCATCCTCCAAGAATCCAGTAATACCAATGCTTCCCTTCAAATCGACGCTGACAATAATTTCATGATCCAATTTGTTCATAATCTCCTGGGTACCAGCGTCCCGGAACTGAAATCTCACGCAGTATGCAATGTACGATTGGCCGTTCAACTCGTTAACAATTTCGGATTCAGAAATGCCTTGAACTTCCATGAAAATGTCAACATTCATCTATGATTTATTTAGGGATTAGAAAGATCATACAAATAGTCAACATCGAGAAAAAGGAATCTTGGATCTTACCATTTGACCTCCGTCTCCGTTGCCAGTTCCCTTGTAAACATCGGCGTTGAAGTAAGGCTCATCAGCGCCCACCCAGGTGAAAGGGACTGTGCATTCTTCATCCTTGAAATACAAAATTTCAACTTCCTCGGGCTTGCGAGCTGCGGGTACAGGGTAATCCAATTTCACGGTAAGCCCACTGAAGGCTTTCAGAGGTTTCCCGATCGACCAGGCAGCATTTACACCCTGAACCACGATGGCGAGGAACAAGAGTAGTAACCTTATCATTGGGCTATAGCAGTGTTGTTGAAAGCTTGATTTCACAAAGGTTCCAGCAGAGTCTTCTCAAGGTGTTCGTCCAGATTTTCGTTTGCGCCTCCTCTCCCTCTCCGGTCATCGCATAAAACCAAGAACTCTTTGTTGTGACTCGACTAATCAGAGTATTTTGATTGGTCAATCCGTGTCGAAAAGATTGAATCCACAATTTTGGAAATCAGAAACGTTTGGACTAGTAGCAGAGTAATATATTTTGCTACTATCTCTATTCCATGACCACTTATACAATATTACACATTACCTGTAAGCAGCCATCAAAGATTGTCTTCCCCTTTGAATTTCATGTCATCTACCAAGGGTCCTGCATCGAGGAACAGTGTTGACGGAAACTTACTTTGCAGCTTGCTACTGAATCCATGCTTGAATACAACTGCTCCACTTTCCCCGAACTCGGTTTCATACCTTCCAATTTGCTTTTTCAGCGAGTTGGTAAAGTGTTTGTTCTCTCTCAATCCAGATCCATAGAAACTCTTCACATCCATCCAACGAATCAGTTGACCATTTATATAACAATCATCCAATATCAGGCAATCAGGTGTGAAACTGATTTCTGCATCTCGCAGCGTTTCTTCTGAAACATAGTTTATCTTTTGTTCGTTAAGATAAGTGTAGAGAGCCTCCTCCCACAGTACGGGGGTCGCGGTGCTTATTTGGAAACCTACCACATCAAATTCTTTTGCAGTTTGGAGTTCGGAGAGTTCACGATCCGTCAAGAACTTTCCGATTTTATCAGGATCTTTTTCGCTGATGATAGACCTGACAATCCGTTTTTGGTCACCAATACGCATGTCTGGATAGGCTCTAAACACCCTTTCTGCTATAATGGCACGTAATATACTGACAGGTGGCTGGTCGATGTCTTCTGACAATTCCAGTAAGGACCACCCTTCATCTTGGAATTTGCGCCTGATATCGCCAAGCTTACTTCTGTCCTTTAGCATCCAAGAACTCCGTACTACTTTGGATACCATCAGCTGCCGCCGAATCAGCAGTCCTTGTGGCAGTGTCATTCCCAATTTTAGGCATTCGTCTTCCACTTCCTGCAACCGATCCCCATGCAGCATACAAAACTCTCCCCGTTGCATCAAGACTCCACTTTCTAGTAAGTCAAGTTCTTTCCTCAATGGTATAGGCGTCGGCACTGGATCCCATTGTAGCTCTCGTGTAATCCCCGTTTTCTCAAAAGAAGACACTGAGCTCGACAATGTCGTCGTACAAGAGGGGCTCTTTCTGCTTTGGAGAAATCTGGCGCTGTCAAAAGACACACAAAGTTTCGCTAGAAGGCAAAAGTGAAGGACCGCGTGTATCATCATTGTATGCATCCTTTGATTATGCCGCTGCCTTCGAAGATGAACGCCACATTTCGCCGTCAATAATAATCATCATCAGAAACCTAAAATGGCGCATGTGCTTCCAAGTAGAAAACCAAATCAGTCTGAAATGACTAATCCGACCACATCAAAGAGATTCAGTGGCCAAATTCAAAAATCATTTCAAAACAGCATTAGAACGACAGTCAGTCATACCTATAGACGACTTTTCCCTCTTCCTGTAACGATAATGAGCGTTATGTCTTGATCTGTGCTGTGATTGAGTGACCTTGGGCTGTTCAGATGAACCCAGCGGCCTCCATCGCACCATTGCAAGGCAGGATCAGTCATCGGCTTGAACTGGACCATGAGTGCAGCAACGTGGGTGTGAGAAGCGAAAAGACTTCTTCGAGCAATAAAATCAAAAGATGGAAAGTGTGCGGCTTTGTATTTCTTCCATCCGAGCGTGATGGAACTTTTCCAGAGTTTCTGCTCTCCCTTCCTTATGGGATACGAAGGTTGGCATGTGAAGCGACGATTTCAAAGCAAACCGTGGTGCTAACGCGCTACACATTCATCCATTCAATAGACGCACGTCAGGCTGGTATTATGCCTTTGCTCGAAGTGCACTCTGGAGGTATGCAGGTGAACGAGGCGTCTGATCGATGCCGGAACCAACAGAAAACCATGAACCCCCCACATCCAGATGCGTTCACGTTGCGACAATTTCGCAGATACGAGGCGGTGTTTGCTAAAGAGATGAAAGACAAGGACAAACGAAAGAACGAAACCTATGATATTGCTGCAACTGTGGATGCTATCTCTCCAATCATTTCAATGCATCCAACATTTCCTTTCGCCTTTGTGGAGTTATATGACGCTCAGTATCCTGAAGAGACAGCTATCCTTCTGTTGAAAAGTCATGACGACTTTATTTACTCTTATGGAATTGCTCCAGGGGAAACGATAATCATGTGCAATCTACGTCGAAAGAGTTGGAGTGCTCCAAATGATTTCAGACGAGACAAGAAACGGAGATTTGAGTTTCTTGGGGGTCGAATACCATCACTTGTCTTCATTACTACTGCCAGCAGTAAAATCGAATCGCCGCAAAGTGGATCTATTCCTCCTATCCCAGCCACCACAGTCCCTCTAGTGTCACTGGAAGGAGAAATAGCCCACGTGGAAACCACGTCAAATAGAAAAATGCAGAAGGCTATCCACTGGGTGATGATTTCCGGTGATGGATGTGAAAGTCCAGGAGTGAAGCTATTCTTGACTTGCTTTCCGATGGATACAGCGCTTCAACTAAGCCTACAAGCAGGGGCGAGAATACGCGCGATCAACGTTCACAAATTATGCGACAGGGGGCTGGTATCTTCTGATTCCGCCAATTTTGGAGCATGTCTACGAGCTACCGTTTCAATAATTAGAATGTCATCTGAATCAAAATGTCAAAAGGAACGCGGCTCAAAAGGTCGGGTACCTTATTTACGGTCTAAAAGCGACAGCGACCCTTCTCCGCCTCGCTTGCAAAAACAGGCAAAGCAATGGAACATGTCTGGCACCGGATCTATTTGGTATCCAGTACCATTCCAATTGAAGAGAATCGAAACAAGCTATCACGAATACATCTACCAGGACCACGTTGATGAGTGGCTACATGAAAACTTTTGTCGCGACGCGACCTCCCAACTACCGGCACTGCCCTCCGCGATCGATCTAGTTGGTAGCGCTCAAAGGAGTGCCCATGTGCTCAAAGGTCAGACTCATCGCTCTGCAATACGGAATCCTTATGCAGAATTCTTTGATCATGGGGATGAGAGACTTGGACCAAACAATTTGGGAGAAAGATGTTCCGGGTGTATTATGTCAAGGCATGACTATCTAGATAACTTTGAAACCATGTTCCTTGGCTTGGGGAAGATCAAAAGTGCTTGTGTTGAGTCATTTATGAAGGAGTTTGACGTAAGTTTGCGAGGTGGAAATATGCTGGGACTCCCAGTGGTATGGAGTGGATCAATTCATATCCAAGCCCACGACATCATCTCTTCGAGTGGCCATTCTTGTGTTGCAGGTCAAATGTGCACTGGTGGGCGAGTGGTCGAAACCCGCTCGGATGGTTCAACACCCGCCTCTATTTCGGACAGTTGGTGCCAGATACCAGTGCTTATGAAAAAGGAATCGAATTGCGCAAAAGGTGACTTTATCACACTAAAAATTGAAAAGGCAGTTGTTTCGTGCCTTTGCCTTAGATCACCGAAGGGGTTGGCTCTCTCGAAGAACGACAACATATCGAAAGCGCTGTCTCCAGTAAAGACAGCGTTCTTCAATAACGAGCAGTTAGGTGGTGGTTGCACAGTTGTTCGACATCATGGCTATATGATCATCGTTGCCGTGCACTTGGTATCAAGTGAATCACTGAATTTCGATTCAACACAAAAAGAGATTGACCAAGAATCCTCACAAAATGATGGTAGAAGAGAGACCATTGCTTCCCTTCTATCAGATCCACTGTTGTTCAGTGATTGCCATGCTGGTGATTACACTAGCGGCATTGTTCTACGTCACCGATTTGCACCAAAAAAGATCAATCCGATGGGATACAGCCAGTGCTGCGAACTGAATGTCTGCAGCCTTACCGAAGAGATTCACTTACAAAATCTGTATTTGAATGGTTTGTCTCATCTGCAAAGCATTGATGTTAAAGTTTCAGTGCTTTGTCCCGACAGCATCAGGGACCGCTTCAAGGAAGCCTTTGCTTGCATTTCAGGAGGTGTTACGTTGGCCGAAGATGAATGTGCATTGGGTGCCTCTTGGTGGACCCTGGCTGATTCTGGCCGTACATGCGCTTTGACAAGTGGAGGATACGATGAACTTCAGCCGAATGCTCCAAAGCATATGCATAATCAATTGGGTATAAGACTTCGAATCCCTTTGAGTGCGATGCAGCTTGGAGGCCGAGGATATGTACGATGTTCAGTCCATTCCACCGAAGTCGAAGCTGATTTTGCCCCGACGATGGGTACAGTGGATACGCCCTCGGACGTATCGTCGGAAAACCTTGCTGGTAACGAGCCATTGTCAGGCTTTCACTTTTTGGGGTGTAGACGTGTCTACGATGGAATACTGCAACGCAGACCACCTCGGAGACTAATATTTGGTCCAGACTCCTTACGGTCCGTTGGATCATTGCTGTACCCGCCTCAAGTGCCTACCGTCGAAGTGTCCACTCTTTTCAGCCAGCTGTGCCTATCATTGCGAGGGAAGGACACCAACCACATACCATTAGCTCCCTCTCTTGTGCGGCAGATCTCCCATGCCAGCTTTTTGGGTGTTTTATTCTGTCAAGTCCAATGTGTTTGCTCCAAATGCTTTAAACCATTGGAAGCTACCCGAATCGACAAACACAAGAAACGAAGAAAAGAGGAATCATTGGAAGAACAAAGTTTTTGGCACTTGCCTCACCCCAATCGAAGTCTGGAACTGGATGTGTGGAACAACGAAACCAATTTGGATCGGCCTTTCCCCATACCGCAGCCAAAGATAGCAAAACACATTCGAGATTCGCCTCTGAAATGCCCCAGCGGCCATTCCTCTGTTTCCTTTGAAGTTCGTTGGGAATGCAGTGGCATCGTGGACGATGGGACTGGCCAAGCCAAGCTCTACGCCGAACGTGACGCCGCTCTGACATTGTTGGGAATGGACGCTTTTACGATTAAGAACATTGAAGAGGGAATTTGGTCCATTCCCAGTGGCACCATCCAATTTCAAAAGTCCGTACCTCCTCCCGAATTTTTACGAGCCAAAGTAATGCACTCGGTCATTCAGAATCGTCGTTGCAAACGCAAAAATCCATTGTCCCTATTGGAACCAAGCTTTCGTGCCGAATACTTGCTGCATCACCACTGCCGATCGTCTCCACAACCCCGGCGACCCTTGGATTACTTTGTGAGGTGCAAACCTTTGTCGGACCAGATCCCTCACTTGCACCATACCATGGTGGAATCCTCTGTAGTGACAAGAAGTGTCAATGGAAGTCGAGAATATGCCTTGGCAATCCAAGACGTGGCTACTTATTCGTTACCGCCACTCAAGTTGGTGCTAGTGGATTGCGCCATTCCTAGCGACGAAGATGCAATGCCCCCCTTAACCCATGACGGCTCATGATGGAAGCGTGTATTCGTCATGGCTATCATACTTTCTTTTCTTTGACTGCTGCTACATACTTCTGAGTCTAGATTCCAATGAGTTCATCAGCAGCAGTATGCGCACAGAAGCCTCGATTCAGTTCAAATAACCATATAATCTGTACGCATAATCATCATTGTCTGTATTATTTAACAATCAATCCCACGTATCGTTACGTCTATCCATTTATGTCTCGTGTGTCTGTTTAGCACGCCCCGACAACAACGGAGAGATTATTCTTAGCACGGCAATGACGTGATGATTGATTGGTGACCAAATCTATTCACCAAGCTAGACGCAACACTCCTCCAGACCACTCTCTTCCCTCTACAAACGCCTCATAATACACATTTAGTCGTTATTCGCCATTCCCTTGAACGACGAATACGGCTTGAATCGAATACGCTTCTTGGGAGGAATATACAATGGAGCCCCAGTATTTGGATTGCGACCATTGCGACCCTCGGATTGGAAGCGCTCAAAGGTGCCAAACTTGCTGAGTCGGACAGGTTTGTCATCACAGACACTCTCGACAATGGTATCCAAAACGGTGTTCAAAATACGTCCCGACTCGGCCACAGTCAAATCGTGGTTCTTGGAAATTTCTTCAATGATTTCCTTCTTGGTAGTTACAGCATCGCTCATTGACCGAAGTGTGTTGTTATTGGGAGCAATGCCATTGCTGTTTGTCAGGCGGCTACCAGCCGACCGGATAAGAGCGGTCAATCGAAGCATGGTGTTGCTTGTTTTGTATGGATTATTTTGTTCTTGCAGTGTGAAGGTAGCACAATAGTATGACTGGATGTCAAAGGTTCTTGCAGATGCCAACCCGCCTGTTTGTCACAAGAAGTTCAAATGGTTTGAGTTTGACTGCGCCAGGATTTTCAATTTCTCTACGTGTTTCAAAGTACCACGTTATACGCAGCATTTGAAGATACGATTATTGCATCGAACTAGTCGGAGAAGATCCCAAACTAACGTTTCGATCGCAGATTACCAACGACCTGCAATGGACATGAAAGGGAGCCAAAACGCTCACAAGCCATGCCTATACACAGCAGTAGACAACCCATATACGATAATTTCCACCATGAACCTACCATAGGCGTGACAACCACACCAAAACGTGATCTTTGCTGCAAACCCAAGAATCATGTCAGCAGAAGATCATAAAATATTGTCATCCGACTTTTTGCATCAGTGTCAAAGGTCTACAACTCTATTTTATTTCTCAAGAAGTAATCATCGATCACTCTCCTTCAGATTCATTCATATCCAGCAAGCAAATCGGTATTACCAATGCTTATTTCCAGCTCCATGAAACTATTTCCAGCTGTTCTTTTGGTATCCTCCTGCTTTCAAGCATCAGATGCCCACCTTCATGCTGCTTCCTTGGAAAGCAACGTTGTACCTTCCAGTCAGGGTGCACATTCTCTTACGTTTCAAAGTGACGAATCCTCCCATCTCCTCCTCCCGCCATCATCCCCGGACTGTTGGCTGGAAACTTTCGAAGAACTCTACCCTCAAGATCTTCGTCGTGGCAATCATCATCATCATCATCACGCTGGTCAGCCACCACTGGACTTTTCCACCTGTGTTCAGATGGACACCCATCATCAACAAGCTTTGGCACTCCGTCTGACCAAGTGTCATTTGGAATCCGTGGGTAGATCCTTGGAGACAACAACAACAACTGAGGACGGCATGAATGCTTGTGAGGACCTCCTTAGACCGAGCGGTATCAAAGATTGCCTCTCCAACCTCAGCACTACTGCGGTCACGATCTATGCTATCTTCTTCAAGGATCTACACTATGTGTGCACCCGTTTGTTGCAAGAATCTGTCACCAATCGCTACTACCAAACTGCTCAAGACTTGGAACAGGTCTCCAAGTTGGCCGAAGACCGATTGCTAAACATTTTGCAACAATTTGAGGATTTTTCTGTGTTTTGGAAGGAAAAGGAAGAAAGTATGGTCCACTGGTTTCACGAACAAGCCCAATTGTCGGCAAATCAAGCTTTGGAATTCCAAGAACAAATGCAATCTAAGCAACACGAAGACTTGCATCGTCACAAGGAAGAATTGCAGTCTTTGGCGGATGCCTTGCAAACCACAAAGGCATCGATTCAGCCATGGACTCAACTTGTCGGTCTAGTCTTTCGATACATCCCCATCGGATACTCCATTATCAAGATTGTGGCAACCATGGTGGGGACCATGATGATCATCATGATTCTGACCCCTCACAAGGAGTTGCGACGTACTCGACTCAAATTGTTCGTGGTCGTACTTCTAGGAGGCCTCGGAAGAATGGTACTGCTATGGTTGGAAAATGAAGATGAGATTGGATTTACGGATACCGAACGATTGGAAATATCGGAAGGGTTGCAAAACTTTCTAATGTCCTTCTTGTTTGCATGCTACTTGTCTGGTCTTTCATCCTTTTGTTGTGGCTGGAACAAGAACCAGCAAGACGACAACGATGATGACGAAGACGAAGAGAACAACAACAACGGAGAGGAAGAGTCTTATAATCACATTTCATCGTTGCAACGAGAAAACGATTTGATGGAACGTTTGCGTCTTTACAGCTACCAACAACAACACTGGAATGCCACGCTGGTACAGCAGCAGCGTCAGCAACAACATGAACAACGAGAGCAGGCTACTTTGCCCAATGTCGACGTGCGTTCGATCCTTCCTCCGCGACCTTTTTTGATGACATCATCCGCAACACCTCCTCCTTTGATTCACTCCCCGGAATCTGGCTCTTTTGCTTCTGTACCACCGATTGTTGCCGCTCCATGGAATGCCTCACCCTCGCCTTGGACTCCCCATTGTCCCATTCCAGTCTACCCAGATGAAATCACATCGGATGGATACACAGCCATGTATGTCAACAACAACCAGAACAGCGCGTCAGTCCTTCCTACTGTTCAGGAGACAATAGATTTGCCACCTGACGAACGCGACGACGAAGAGGAGAGTGATGGAACCAGAGATGATACTGGTGCTATTAGCAGCCGAAAGCGAACTTGTTTGGAAATGGAAGAAAGTGCCGATGAGGATTTGGACGCCGGACGAGAGGTTGCAGTTGCCAAGAAACGACGAATTGCTCGACCCAAGAAAACAAAATCCTAGATGCATATGCATGCTCCATAAATTATTGGGTCTGTTTCAACATTAAAATATACTGTAAAAGGAATAAATGTATACGTACTATTTATGCAAAAAGATGAGGATCGGATGTGATTTTCGACCAACACAGCACTCCTCCGTCTTCCGAAACTGTTGGGATGGTAGTTTATTTCTCGTGGTATGAAGTGGTGGCCCATCGACAGCTAGGTATCTCAGTAAAGCGCTGGAATTCCTGTCTGCTCTTTGTTGCCTTCGAAACGCACACCGGTAGTACTTTGGTACTGTATCTCCCCTCATCAGCTGGTAGAAATTCTTTTTGTTCGAGTCAGTCGAGTGCCTAAGCAAACGTATGTTCGTGCGTGCGCGAAAAGCTACAGTACAGTACTGTACACGTGTACGATTCGATACGAAGTGAATGAATGAGTCAGAGAAATCATACATCATCAAAAAGATGAGGGGGAAAATCGAATGACAAACAACAGAACAACTTTGGACAACAAACTGACGACGATATTGTTGTTTCCTGACCACATTATCGAACTTCCTACTCAAAGTTCATGCTCTCGACAATGACCAAACTTGCTAGTCATCCCAATAATCGATTCCGGCACGTTGCTGCCACTGCACTCTTTGCTTTGGCGTCCAGCCCCTCGGCCGCCAGTTTCTCGTCCCCCTCGTTGGGTTCGTGGGGATCATTTGTGAGAGGAGGCAGCATTTCAGCCCAATCTCCACTTCTCACTACAAGGTCTTCGTTGGTGCAGCGATCCTTGGTATCAACTACCACATCAGATATCTCTGAAGCTTCTCCCATTGTCAGCGACATCATGACACCTGCAGAAAAATTAGAGGCCCTGAGAGCCAAAATGAAGGAGCTCAGTTTGGATGCGTTCATTGTTCCATCAGATGATCCACACTTGAGTGAATATGTTCCAGAAGCCTATATGCGACGAAAATTCATGACCGATTTTGGTGGAAGTGCTGGAACAGCGGTGGTAACCCAAGATGAGGCGCACCTGTGGACGGATTCGAGATATTGGAACGAAGCGTCAATGAATATTGATGGATCTTTGTGGACACTACAAAAGCAAGGGCAACCCAAAGTCAAGACCATTGTTGAATACCTAGGGGATTTGGCTGCGGAAAGATTTAAGAGTCATGGCGCTCTCAAGGTTGGCATTGATCCATTTGTGGTATGTAGTGACTGAAAATGCAAGGGACATATTTTTGCAATGGGTGTGTGACTCATCATATCTTTTTTCTCAATTCCATCGTCATCAGCACCCAGCTTCATTTGCCAAGGATCTCAACGAGGCGTTTATCGAATCCGCCAAGAAAGAGCTGGACCTTAGCGATGATGCCGATCCCATCGGAGAGTTGGTTACTTCTCATCCTAACTTGATTGATCCCATCTGGGGAGAAGCTCGCCCAGAAGTTCCGTACAATCCCTTTCGACCACATCCATTGGAGTTTGCTGGAGTTTCGATAGCGGAAAAGGTAGAGAGTGTCCGCAAAGAAATGGAGGAGAAGAAAGCAACCATGGCTGTATTTGGTGCCCTTGATGATGTTGCCTACTTGCTGAATGTTCGAGCGATGGGAGATGTCGATACTTGCCCAGTTGGAATTGCGTATGTGACTGTGACCAATGATGAGATTACGTTATATTGCGATTCACGCAAGGTTGAATCCGCTGAAGTAAAGGAACACCTTAAGGAAGTTACTATTAAGGAATACGATGCGATTGTGGATGACGTCAAAGAACATTGCGAAGGTGAAGGAAGGAAGGTTTGGATCGACTGCTCACGATCCAATCTTGCCATCAGTGCCGTCATCCCTGAAAAGGCACTAGTGGACAGTCAGAACGCCATTACTCCCATGAAGGGGTGCAAGAACGACGCTGAATTGGAAGGAATGAGAAAGGCTCACATCGTGGATGGTGCTGCGATGGCCAAGTTTATTGCTTGGCTCGAGAATACCATTGTGAATGAAGGAAGATCGGTCAGCGAGGTCGAAATCGATCGAGTCCTGACAGGATATCGGGCAGAACAACCAGGATTCTTGGAATGCTCCTTCCCCACCATTGCTGGTGTTGGTCCTAACGCTGCCATCATTCACTACCGTGCCTCGGAAGATGAACTCATGAAATACTTGGATGCTTCGCAACCAATACTCATCGATTCCGGTGGTCAATACACCTACGGTACAACAGATGTGACGAGAACGTGGCAGTTTGGAGAGGCTACTGAGGAATTCAAGGATACATACACCCGAGTGTTAAAGGGTAACATTGGTGTCGACTCTATGATCTTTCCCGAGGACACTCCGGGATTCGTCTTGGATGTCTTTGCACGAAAAGCTCTTTGGGAGGCCGGCAAGGACTACGGGCATGGTACTGGGCATGGTGTGGGAGCAGCATTGAACGTTCACGAGGGGCCCCACAGCATTAGCCCCCGTTTTGGAAACAAGGAGGGACTGAAGAAGGGAATGGTGGTCAGCAACGAACCAGGATACTATGAAGACGGTAACTTTGGTATCCGAATTGAAAACCTTTTGGAGATGCAATATGTCAAGCCCGAGCACAACGACCCCTCTTTCGAAGTTGGTCCTGCAGAAAAGAAATTTTTGAAGTTTGCTCGATTGACGATGATTCCAATTCAAAAGAACTTGATCAAACTCGACTTGATGACCAAGGCCGAGTTTGATTGGTTGGATAGCTATCACGCTGAAGTTTTCGAGAAGGTCAGCCCGCTACTAGAGGCAGACAGCCCGGCAATGAAATGGCTGGAAAAGTCTTGTGAAAAAATTGATAGATCATAAACCATTTATTGTACAATGATATTTGAAAAGTATACAGAATGTGCTTCCTGAGGTAAGGAAGTAACCAACCTATGTGTGACCATGAAGCTTTGCCCCATCTTCTTCATGTAACCACAGCAAGGCAGCTTTCGCCGGTCTTGCTCGTTCGTCCTTTGAAATGGACTCCAGGATCTCTTCGTGCTCTTCATCAAAAAAGAAGCAGCCATCACACCGAGATGTGCCGAGAGAACTCTTTTTTGGGATTCCAGAAGCTGCATAGCTCCTAGTTGTAGGCGTTGACAATCCGAATGCACCAGCGAGAACATTGATGCTGTAACCGTACGTGGCAAGTTGTGACAGCCGCAAACCATTGTAGCAGAGCTTTCCTCCAAACTCTTCTACCTCTCTTACAAAATCAGATGTCAGTATCCCAGTACGGGGACCAAGATTGTCGATCAAAAGAATAGGCGACACATCAAATGCAAACAGATCGTAATGATTCTTTTCAGCCAAAAGGCTAATCATCTTCAGCTGTATCTCGTCAAGCATCAGGGCCTCGTCTTCAATCGACTTTTCATCTGATGACGTTGCGCCTGCGACAAGCCGTTGCGTCGACCTCATCCATAGATCATGGACCTCCATAAACGCGTGATCCTTGCCATCCTTATTGTCTTCTCCATCGTTGCATATTTCGCGATCGATTTGCGCAAGTGTTTCTACTAAGTTGCCACCTTTGTTTGTTTTGAACAAAGACGGAATAGTGAAATCATTTTCCTCATTCACCACACCAAATTGGGGCAATATAAACACAGATCCAGATGAGATGTCGCGTGACACAGCCACGCGGTGAGCAAAGAAAGCAGTATCCTGTTAGCAGAGCGGAGAGATTAGTATACTAGTGGAAACAAAATAAACTTTTTTTTTGGAACGTACTTACCTGGGAGATTGCAATTCCTCGTTCGATTTCAAATCCACTCAGGACCCATCTCGTTGGAGCAGCATCGAATGCCATATTAAGCAACGCTTTTCGGCTAAAAACCTTTGATTCCCGGCTAAAAATTGCCCCCACAAGGCAGGTATCCATTCCGTAGTACGAGAGGTCGGATCCTGGTCCGAGCTTGGCTCGTAGTTTTGAGATCGTTTCTGGAGTTGCTGCAGACACATGAATGACTAGAACACTTGGCTGTCCTTGCCAGCGATTAAGATACATCGCAAGGAGGTTCAGGATAGGCGATAAATTGCTTGAATCGGCAGCCTGTTCCGCCTGAATTTGTAGCGTCAGGACCATTGTAACCTCTGCTTGCATATCAATCTGTGTCCATGCTGGAGCACCCGAAAGAATCTCGACGGTCTCTTGATCACGCCATGACGTCATTTTATGGCATTTTGGAGCTGGAGGCGTAGGAGGTTTCTTGCGCGGACCAGATTCTAAACAGTAGCTGTGATCAGGAAGTTGCTTTCGATTGTCTTTCTTGACACCATTCCATTTAAACAGAGGTATTCCCAGCGGGGAAGGTAGTCGGGGATCTTTTCTTGAAAATTCGTGTGGGAAAATAGGCAGTACTCCTTCCTTGGTAAGGACAAATGTTTTCAAGGCTCCACCTCTGTGAAATCCAGTGAGCTGTGTCGTCCTATAGTAACGCTTCCATTCTTGAAAGTGGAAGAATGGAGCAGTGATGATGTTTCCAGGAAGTTGCATCTTTTCATGTTTCTGTTTGTACAAAACACCGTTGATCCAGAAAACGGTTTCATCAGATTCTAAGGAATCTACGCAAAGTTTCGACTGATACTTCTGTTGCGCCCAGTACATGCATTTTGCCTCAGGATTCTCCACATGTTCCACTTGCTCTCTTTCTCCATATTCCCAAACTATAGGCTTCTTTCTATCATTGTAGTCCGTTTGCATGTCAAACCATTTATCCGCTATCAGTGCTAGCGACTTTCCATCGGAATCCGCACTTCCAGCTTTGAAGACTAACGTGTGGGCGTCATTCCTGCCTCCAGTGCTCACATATAGTCCATGTGTATACATTGTGTCTGATTCTCGAACATCTGTAAATGCCTTTACAGCATACTTCACCTTAATATCTGGCTGTTGCAAGATTGCGTTGGAATAGCACCCTTCAGCCGATTCAAAGTGCAGCTGCCGATTTCCCGACATGATGTCAACGAATCTCTCGTCCATATGAGTGAGATAAGTGCAAGATCTCCATAGCTGATTGATCTTTTGGTTATTTTTGTGAAATGTAAATTGGCCTCTCAAATACAGTCTACTTTGGTCCCCGAATGAATACGTAACGATATCCTAATAAGAGTGACGTGAGATAGGTGGTGTCGGTTGATAGCAATGAAGGAAAGACGCCGTTCAAGTTGATTCAGACTTACAAACTCTGTCAATTCATCTTCCGTGATAAATCTTGGAAGGTCACCAAACAGAATATCTAGATCGGAATACCCCCAGTGCGTATATCCCTTCAGATAATCTGAGAAAATATGACCCAAAGCTGGCTTAAACTCAACCATGATGTATGGATACGCATCAATTAGCTTGGTGAGAGCTTTTGCCAGTTTCTCTTTACTTCCAAACTTGATGTCACCTTCATCCACTTTATCGACAACCTTGATCAGCGCTCTTGAGAAATCATTCATCGTCTGGAGAGAAATAAATATCACATTTTTCGGACACTTGTCCCCATGGTATCCATCAAGTACCCCGTTGTGAATCAGCAGAAAATCTACAAGAGCACTTGAACCAGCCGCTGAAGCACAAAACAATTCTAGATATGGAGGAACAGCTTCTGGTCCTTCTCCAACAAACGGAATGATGATTGCAATCCTATTTTTGTGACCTCCAAGCCTGGTTGACAATATTGGAAGTTTTTTGTTTCCTGATACTTGTGGGTTCGACAGAGAGGTGAACATTAAAGCGGCTCCCAGAATAAATATAACAATCAACAATGCAATCTTTAAGATCGTCGACGACCGCAGATTCGTCCGATTCCTGGCATGGCGCTTCATCTTGCTCATTGTAGCTTGGTTTCGGTTGAGATTTTTGTTTCGTGATGCATCATGAGAGATTCAGACAAAGGAAAGCATAGATTTGGAGAAAAGGAGATAACTTTGGCCACGTCCACATTTTCATTTATCTACTTTCTCAGATGGATTCAAAAACCTACCGGTACAGTAGTATAGAAACATCCCGAATCGACTCCAACCATGAACGTACGAGTAGTAGATCACGAGGGCCCATGGCATCAAGGAGCCATGAAAGCATACCGCGCATTTCCTGTAGATGATGAAGTATATGAGCTGATAAATATCCCCGAGAATATCAGCCATCAATGTCCAGGAGGTTACGACGGGTCAATGATGCCATGCTTTGAAGATAGACCACTGTGGTGGAGAGTCCTTACGTGGTTGAAGGAAATATTGCTGAAGATGGCGCGATCATATCATGGTCGGCCTTTTCTTCTGTGTCTCGCACCATTGCTTGTTGGCATCTGCATTGGTTATGTCATGGGTTGTCAGACAACAACAGACCTTAAAAGCAAGGGTACGACACGCAGGAAAAAGGTAGCTACTGATTGGATTTCATGGACTACCGTGCATGCACTAGGGATGGTTTCGCATCTATTTATGTTCACCACTGGGGAATCTTATACTCCTAGCGTGCAATCAGCTGTCAAGAAGGAACAACCGAAGAAAGCAACATCCTCTGAGGTGCACCCGTCAATTGTTTCCGAAACCCGCGAACACTTAGTACGAGCCGGTCTGAAGAGTGACAACGGCACCCATTCAGAAAGCGGCGTGGATCGTTGCAAGGTTCCTCAACATGTGGCTGTTATCATGGACGGAAACAGGAGATACGGTAGGGAAAAGTATGGGAGCGTTTCAAAGGGGCATTGGGATGGAAGCTCCAAGCTTGTAGAATTCGCCAAATGGTGTATTGCCGAACATGTGTCAGTCCTGACAGTCTATGCCTTTTCGACGGAAAACTGGAGCCGAGATCCGTCGGAAGTGGCCTCGTTGATGGCAATTTTCGCAAAGTACTGTGACGAATTGAGAGTCGAAGCTCTGGAGCGGAACATTAGGATTATCGTTCTGTCCACAGACTCTACAAGGGTACGAAAGGAACCTAATGCTGATGATACGTGTTTGAAATTTGCATTGATTCCTCACGAACGTTTCTTCTCAGATCCCAAAGCATGTCAAGCAAGGGATTAAACGAATGGTTGACGAGACTCGGCACTGCACTGGATTGACGATGAACATTTGCCTTAGTTACGGTAGTCGTGGGGAGATTGTGGAAGCTACTAAATCCATTGCTAGAGACATTGAGAAACGAACCATTGATGTAGATTCCATTGACGAAGAATTGTTTCAAAGCCGTCTCTTGACGTGTCACTCGGGCGATCCGGATGTGTTGATACGAACATCTGGAGAAGTCCGAATCAGCAACTTTCTACTCTGGCAATTGGCCTATACCGAAATGTTCTTTCTAGACAAGCCTTGGCCCGCCGTTGAAAAAGAGGATCTGATGCGCGTCATTCGAAGCTATGCCCAGGGCAGAATACGGAGGTTTGGAAAATAAATAAACGAACAAATTTATTAGAATAGACCGTACCTAAAACGGAAACGGTAACAGCAATCATTTCATCACTGACAAATCATTTATAATACATTATATTCTAAATTGATGAACATTCAAGTACGATATACAGTCTGCACAAAACATTGTAAACAGATTGCACCATCAAGTGTCGCCACTCTTAGGCTTTCGATCCCTTGAGAATTCTCAGAATCATGTTCCATGATTACTTGGTTGACTCGTTTATTTTCTCCTTCTAATGTTCATCAGATATGATGTGAATTGATCTTTTTGCGAGCTCGTGAATTTTTGGCTCTTTTGCGCAAACGAATGGTGAACGATGGCTGCCACAGAACTTTGGGCTCCTCATCGTCACCAGACAGCGAATGCGCACTTTTCCTTCCATGCATTCCCAAAATTTGTGTGCAATCTCATTGCTCATCCACTACTGGGAACAGGCAAGAGCGAACAGTCAAAGAACTTGGCCCCTCCTTGACTGCCTCGGACCAAAGAAACATTCATTCGCATCTGCAACGTAAAAAGTCAAGAAAGAAATAGAGAAGAAAGGTTAGCGCAAGGAACCAAACGAAAAATTGAAAAACTTTAAAACGCAAAATCGATTCGCACCTTTGTTTCAGGGAGTCGGGTCAAATAGACGTAGCCTGCCCAACAGTCTTGTCCAGGCAATGGCTTGGTGGTGATTGCAATAGTAGTCTTGGCTGGTCTCTTGAGCATTTCACTCATGGCCAGAAATACTGCTTCCATGTGATCTCTATGCAACAAGTTGAATAGTGATAAATTCTTGTTGGCGTCCGTGTCTTGTTCGGTAGAGAGTTCGGAAGGCACCTCGTCTGGGACCGAGGTGAGGTGATGACAGGGGAGCAATTCTCCTTTCGAGTACCCTATAACCTTGAGAAACTCGGCATTGCAATCTAGGAAGCGACCATCAATGCTGGCTACAGCGAGTGGGACTCCACAAGATGCAAAGACGCTTCGATAATCAATATTGGGTACTAACACGCCTTCCGAGGATGATGGTGATTCGTTGGCATGGCCGTTCGCATCCCCAAGGCTCGCACCATCAATCATATCTCCAGGTGGGTTTTCACCCGTCGTGGAAGCTGGCAAGTATTGATTATTGACAATTTTATTTGTCTTTGAGATAGTACTGAGTAGCTTTCCATGCTCCGCATCCAGAGCAGCAGACTTGGCTTGAAGTTGTTTAATGTAATCCGCAACCGTCACCAGAGTCGAGTACTTGTCTGGTTTGAAGGCAATATTCGCGCCTGATAGAACCTCGCGAAGGTGATCTATTTGCTGCGTAATTCTCTGTGATCGCTGTTGCTCTCTTACATTTCGACCCTGTCTTCGTTTGTGTCTCTCATCATCATCTTCCGAGACCGCAGTGGCATCCCCACGCATTCGTTTCGGTCTTGCAGTGGTACTGCTCTTTGCCGCCTTTCGTTTGTTCGATGGCTGTCCGTTGTGTTGTTGTTGTTGTTCTTGCTGGTGGTTCTGATCAGGTGCTGCAGTCGTAGCTGGTGGATTGGAAAAGGCTACAGCAGAGGAATACTGCTGCTGAGGAGCCAAAGCAACCGATTGAGGAGCGAGAGGTGTTGGAGAGAAAGAAGCAGCGTTTCTTTGGTTGTAAGATCCTTGGGCAGCCGACTGACCAGGCAGAGCAATATTGTAAGGTATGCTTGCGAGCGTGGGATACACGGTGCTGCTAGCGGTGTTATCCGGCGCACGGGCTGTTGCAGTGGTAGTGGAAGTGGGGTTCACCGCTTCCTCCCCTGTCATCATTCCAGGCACGCTAGTCGTGTCCATTGAATAATTTCTTAGGTTGTTCATACCATCCGAAACCGTCAACTCGTGTTGCATCGGGGTTGTTACGTCAGTGAGATTCTCGCTGTACAGAAACGCATCGAGTGACTCATTGAAGTTGAGATCATCAATGGATCCTTCGTTACTCTTATCGAACATCATTCTGTTTGCTGACTGATTTCCATCACTAACGTCGTTATAAACTGGTTTTCCTAGTATCGTCGTGTCGCTGTCGTTGTTGCTTGTATTCATCGTCTTCCGTGTTTAATCTACTTTTTGTTTGGGTTTCACTCGTTCCTGCAGCTGCGGACGCCTCTCGCTGCTGGTGAAGATCAGAGGAGGTACCAGAGTGTCTGTCGTACCTGGTTACGGGAGGTTGCTATAGTTGTGGTTTCATCATGCCATATGGCTAAGTGTGACGTGATTGGTTGTTCATAAAAATAGCTGCAGGAATGATTTAACGACCCACCTTTCACGTTAAGTGTAAGTTTAAGAGACATGAGATCCAACTGCAACAAGAACCTGCCACGTAAGCTTTTGTCCAGACTTCATTAATTGAAGAAGCATGTTTCACCACCGTCGATCACGACCACAATCGAGTTCGGTCGAACGACGGTTGATTCGCTCTTTTGATTGTGTCAGTGTTCCCGCAGAATGTCGAAAGATTTAGAGAAACCAAGTTGTCAGTTTTTGAGTCAGTTTTTTGAGAGTTCCTTTTTCCACTTCTGTAAAGTCCTGTAGCAAAATACTAGGTACACACTACCAGGTACCTGGTACAGTCTATCGTTGGTACAGTACGAGTACGAGTACTCTTTCACGACTGGAGAAATGGTGAATTCTGATCTTGCTTGAACAATGATTTCTCTCCGGCAACCAGTGATGGTCTTGGAAATAGGGAGAAGAGGAAATGACTGCACTACTGCCTTTTCAAATCTTTGAACTTTTTTATTAACTCAAAAAACAAGATACGAATGATGTTACTGTAGGAGGATCTACTGGTAGTACTTTTAAGAAGATAGCTACTAAAAGAAGAAGTGGTATCATATTGATTCTATACCTTCCAAAATGATGCTTGGTGATGAGGCATAGTGTCGCGCTGTGATTACATCTGACGCTTTTTAAAATCTGTCAACTTCTTTTTCTACCTGACTTGACATATGCACCACTCTCCTTTCTAGAACATCTTCTTTCCTGCTGATTGAAAAAATTCGCATCAACGCGATTCTTTGATTGGTTGATTCATTCATTCGTTCATTCATTCATTCATGCATTCATTCCACGCGATTGATAGCACATTTTGACCCATGAGACTTCAACACAACTGTTTGGCTATTGGCTCATAGTTTCTGCTGATACAGCTACTAGCTACCTGTCCAATAAAATCTCGCTCCCTCACATCGACCTTACAGCATTGTGGCTCCGGCTCTGGCTTGCAAGACAACATTCGGATCCACCGGCGCTACAATGACCATCATAATCACATCATCAAACAAATGCCATTTGGTTAACACCAAACGCGCGGTGTATTGTCGTCTGTCCAGTCTGCCTCCTGTTGCGTCCCCACCAATGAAACACCAATGGTGGAGAATGAATGAATGAATCAATCAGATCCTTTCTGGCCAATCAATTCGACATCGTCCATACTTCTTGAGAAGAAGGGAACGCATTGATTGATTTTCTCTCTCGTCCGACGCGCGATGACCCATGTTTTCTGATGCTCAATCATGTGGATGTACCTTGTTGGGTGCTGCTGAACAACAAGCTTACAGATAGACATATGGGGAGCGAGATGCCAATCAGTTCATCAATAATGCATATCATGGCATCCAACACAGAGCTTAGATAGCAATGGGTGAGTCGTTGCCATCATTGTAGCATGGGAAATCCCCGTTATCCTTTAGGCATGGAAAGCCCCCGGTCGTCGTGCTCGAAACCGAGTTGGCTGTCTAGCAAATTGCAATCATGTTGCTGGCATGTTGGAGGAAACAATTGCAAGCGTATGCACACCTCAGACAGCGCCGTTTCAAACAGTGATGACGCTTTGCGGAGTGTTGAAATGCTTCTCGCAGCATTGATATCAAAAGGCTTTAGCGTCACTGTAACGGCTTCAACATCCGGAATCATCGACACTCCGAAAAAAAACTAATGTCTCAGTCGAACCCGCCGGGCGTCCTTAGAGTAAAAAGTTGCCGGAAGTTTGACAAATCACTTAATGGTCGGACTTACTAAAGCCGAACCTTTCGATTTTCTACATAACGGACAAAATGGTTCCGGCAATTACGACACAAAGGGTCAAGTAGATAGTGAACTTCGAAACCAAAGCTATGTACCTACACACTCCACAACTATAACAGCAACTGTTCTGGATCCGTTGATTGCCACATTTTTGAATTTCGTGGCTATCGCTTGTATCAAGTTTTAGCAGTGCCCATTAAAACCAAGAGATAGCGCCAGTAAGGGTGACAAAGTTGAATACATCTAGCGAAGAAAAGAAGTCTCGCCTGATTGTATTTTGTGTAGTTGTAGATGCTGGAGTGTGTTTCAATGAAGCCTTATGGCGCTCATGGAGACAGAATCAATGTAAACAGTCCTAATCCTTTGGGTTGTCCTCCTAGTCTCGGCCATCATCAAAGCCAGCAAAATAATTTAGAGAGGAAACTCTCGGAAGGAAGCGATACGACTGCCGGTCACATGTTTGGGGACTTTTCGCAGTATCAGGCTCATAACAATCGTCGAACGCCTTTCTCAGAGGCAAGGGCAGTACAGGTCCCGCTTCAGCAAAATAACCAAGATGCTAGCACTATAAACTTACAGGAGCAACTCCTTTCGTCGCTGGCTTCACAAATCATGAGTCAGCGATCCATGATGATGAACTACAACCTCCCCAACACTAACCAACAGTTCTTGGGAACGAATCTTGGTGAGGAAAGTGCTCAGGGAATGGCTGTTGGACCAAATTATGCTAACCGTACTATGCTTTCAATGGCAAGCAATACACAAACAAACAACAGCAATCATCAAGCTCGTTTCCAACAAGCAGCTTGTACTCGTGTTCCCTGCCAGGCTCGTGGCATGTCTACTGATCACAATGCTCTGGTAAGATACTTGCAACTATACCTGGTACTTTTGAACACTGAAAGGATTATTTATCCTCACTATTTTTGTTTTTTGCAGACCTCATATTTGGAGATCCCCACGGATGCAGTTCATGGCTTGCATCTCCTATGTTCTCACCCCACTTGCCGTACCGCGGGTGTTAAATTTCGCTACTGCTACTATTGCAAGAAACCTGTCACCAAGCAAAATTTTCGTTCTCGTCACCTTCACGCTGATCTAGCTGAAAACGAAAAGAAAAATACAAGTGCACCTCTACCGATCATACCGCTGCTACCCGCAAGTACCGGTGGCCCTGTGTGCCTCCCAGCCTCCACCACCTCGGCTCCACCATCACCACCGACCGCTCAGCAACAAACTAAGGCAACTCTGTTTGGCAACTCTGAGTCGACCATCTCACCGAGGTCGAATCTGCAATCTTTGATTGACGCCGCCAACGCAAATAAAAAAAGGCCAAGAGAAGAACCACTGTCAAACACCCAGCAGCGCCAGTGGGCCAATCTGCTTACTGAAAGACCTTCCAACATGATGCTGACTCCGGGATGGCTTTCCAAGGTCATTTCCACCAGTGCTCCCAATAATCCTCGTGCTCCCGGCCCATTCCCTCGTGCTACACCAAGTCCACTCGACCAGGAGTCCAGGTGGAACCAGCTCCTCTTGGAACGTCCCGATGGAAGCGAAGATGGTGAAAAAGTCAACACCTGGCTAGTTCAAGTGCTCGAAGTGAGTGCGCCAACCCACTGGAAGTCTCCAGCGTCTTTGGACTCGTATGAGGGCCTCAAGCAGCGATTGAACTCTCCTTCCAGCCTGTCAGGGGGGAACCTACAGCAACCATACTTGACAAGTGATGACATGGAACCAAACATGGAACCATTCTCCAAGAAGAAAAAGATGTAAGGGGTGAATGCATCAAGCAAGACGACCTTTTTTTTATTCAAAATTTTGAAAACTTTTCGATCCAAACCAGTTTTGTTCGCCTACTTGTAAAAAATATTTTAAACCATCGAAAGACTTTTGATCACTGTGTTCAGCTAGAAAGCAATAGGTCCGATGTCATGATAGCCAACTTCTTGGCAGTCTAGCAGACCACAGAGTTCAGCTCCTGGGTACAGGTTCAGCATTCTTCTGTAAGAATTGCAAAGCCACGGAGTGAAGTGTTGCATTGATAGTTAGCTCTGGCAACAGAGCTAGTGAAGAAGAACATGGGAGCCCAATCATTTGCAGCGGTCAAGATTATATTCCTGGGAAGCTGAACAGAGCAAGTGAAGAACTTGGGAGCCCCATCTTTTTCAATGGTCAAGGCTACATTGATTGCAAGTTGAAGGTTGAAAATAAGAAGACTTCTGATTTTTTAATAAAAATTTATTCAGTTTTAAGGCAAATCTACGATCCAATTATAGCTAACTTCTTGGCAGTTTAGTAGACCACAAAGTTATTAAGAACCTTGATGGAAACTAAGTATTCTTCGGTAAGAACTGCAAAGCTAAGGAGTGAAGTATTGCAATGCTTAGCTCCGGCAACAGAACTAGTGAATTACATGGTAGCCCAATCATTTCCAGTTAAGGCTACATTGATTGCAAGTTGAAGGGTGAAAAAGAAGACTTTGGATATAAATGTATTCAGTTAAGGCAATAGCTACGATCCCATTATAGCTAACTTCTTTGCAGTAGTAGACCACAAAGTTATGAAGCACCTTGATGGTAGGCTAAGCATTCTTCGGAAAGAATCGCAAACCTGAAGAGTGAAGTGTGCATTTATTGATAGTTTAAGCTCTAGTAACAGAGCAAGTGAAGAACTTGGGAGCCCCATCATTACCAACGGTTAAAGTCACATTCATGGTAAGCTGAAGGGTGAAACAGAAAAAGAAGACCAATAATTAGTCAAACAAGAATCAAAAGAAGATTTCCATGGATGAGATCAACTTACTTTGATGTTGTCCCGCTTGGAAACAACCGGCCCAGTCCAAAAGGCGGGAGTTGCTGCTGCCGAAGATGGACTATTTCGGCCCAGGCCCAATGGTGCTTGGTCCGTTGGACCTAGCATCTTAGACATGGCCCGATACATTTCCTCGTGATTCTGTACCAGATTAAATAGATTGTTGTTCAGTAGATCATCCCGTGGGAACCCAAGAAGCAGCTCAAACTCTTCATTGCAATCTAGCAAAATCCCATCTAGGGCTGCCACACCTAGTGCGGCTGGGCTCTGTTGAAAGACTGACTTGTAATTCAATCCTTGTACAAAGACCATTTCGTTCTCGCTCCCAGGGTCAGATGAGCTATTGCCAGTCAAATTGGTAGCATCCGTTTCATCAGCCGAGCTGGGGGTGTTTCCGGATTGAACAATCTCATTAGTTCTACGTATCGTCGTAATCAACTTTTTGTGCTCAGCATCCAGCATGATGGCTCGCCCCTGTAGTTGCTTGATGTAATCAACCACATTCAACAAGATCGAGTACTTGTTGGGCTTGAACGGCACATTGGAATCGGACAACAGGTCTCTCAATTCTTTAACTTGCTGACTAATCTTTGAAGATCGTTGCTGTTCTCTAAGATTCCGCTCGTGTCGCCGGCGTTGAGCAGGGGTCATATTGGATGTGTCAATGTCTTGTTCGTTATCAGTGTCAGCTGGTGGGCTACTGCTGCTCGTGACCTGGTTGGTTCCATTGGATCCCATGGTAGTCACAGAAACCACAGACGGTTGGAGACCTCGATGCTTCTTTCTCGATTCCTGTTGAAATTCTTGAGTTTCCCGCTTTCCTGCAGGATTTAAATGCTGCAAGAATGCTGGCTGATGATGAAGCATTCCATTCAAGTGCTGATTGGTCCCAGGCAAGACTTGAGCTGGAAAGTTGGTAGTGATTGGCATTGTTGAACCTGGCAAGTAAAATCCCTGCGAGACCACGGTGGTTGGATTCACTCCAGCTGCGGTGCTCGCAATGGGTTGCAATTGCTGCAAGGGATTTGTACCATGATTCAGCAGCATGTAAGGATGCGGTGTAGCTGCGGTTGCTTGCGCGTTAGCATGCTGTGGTAACGATTGCAATTGATGAGCGTTGGCATGCTGCGGTAATGATTGCAATTGATGCGAGTTGGCATGCTGTGGTAATGATTGCAAAGGATTGTATCCCTGAGGAGGCTGCTGCAATTGATGTTGCAGAGCAACATGGCTCCTTGCATCGGTTGAACCCGGATGAGACATTTTGTTGCCTTCACCACCAACTGATGATCGTTGTTGAGCTGTAAGCGCGTTCATCAATCCAGCAGAGGCAGTGAGTTGTTGTGCATTAGCTTGCAAAGGGTCAAAGGAAGACACGTCATAGAGGTCAGAAGAGGATGAAACTCCTCCCTGCAAAAGCTCTGATTTTCCGTTTGCAATGCCTACTTTGGCATTACTATTGCTAGTCATTTTCTTGGGGGTTTCAATGCGGTTGTAATACTATTCCTGGGTGCTTTGGGTTGCCTTTGAGGTCTTTCTCTTCGATTATTACGATTGGTAACTGGTATCTTGTGTTGCGTCGCTGCCAGCTGTTTTTTTCTTGTTGCTGTCCACAACAAGAAGCAAAGTAATCTTCGAAAACACGAAACACTTTTTACGTGGCGTTCGGTTTTCCTGATTAGGGGCGAGAGCTCCATAACGTCATCCAAAAACAACGTCATCGCAAAACAGTTTTTAGCTTTTCTATCTGTCTGTCTGAATTGCTGGTGTGAGCTCATAACCTGATTGGGTACACGTGAAACAATTTGGCTGTGCGCGCGGTATCACTATCGTTCATTGTTGAATGTCATCCTCATGTCTGTATAGTGAATGAAAAATGCACAAAGACACCGGCGGCTTTATCATCCTATTTGCCGTAAGTTCTAGAGTAGTACTGTACCGGTACTTTTGATCAAATTCAACGGTTTTTGTGGAAAAGTTGGTGGTGCTTCGATGGATTTCTGTGAACAGAGCATCCATACTATACCAGGTAGTGAGTGTACCGGTATGAGAAGATAATGGAAGGACAAGATGGAAACAGTCCGAAGAGACGTAAAAATAGGATCAACCGTTACATTGCATGTAATCGTCCATCAATTAGTTTATAAGACATACATTTCCTTGGGTTGATTGTTGTCAAAATAGGTAGACCATTTTTGTTGCTTTCGCCAATTCGTCTTCCAATTAGGAAATTTTGATTGTCAACGGTTCGACGCGCGCGACTTTCCGTTGGGTTTCGTCGTTGAGTGACACCGCTGGAGAGACGATCTCTCCCTTGTGGAACCAACATCCATGAACCTTCCATGAACCTTCGATGAACCATCATTCATTCAGCCAACATTTCATATAACACGATTGAGAGGTCGAACGTGTTGAGTACCTTTCCAAGACACATATTCCACTTGTCGCGGTTTGTGTTTTATTGGAAAAGTCCATTTAGTGATTCCTCAATCGTGGGAAGAAAGGCAGGTCGAAATTCCACCTCAGCGTTCGTAGAGCTCAAGTTTGCGTAGAAAAGCTACCAATCCTACGCGAGAATTCGGAGAACACCCATCTCATCCACCCGCTGACACGAGACGCATCAACTGCTCCCGCAAAAGGCAGACCAAACCAATACTACCGTAGTAGCCAAACGCAACAAACAAGAGTTAGGCAACAATATCAAACGTGAAGACAAGAAGGTCACGTTGGAAAACTAGTTTACTGGCTTCTACGCGTGGCATTTTCAAATCGTGTCAGGGTCAATCAAAATCAAAACCACGACTCCGGTTAACCTTAGAAATCAGTGGAAAAGCAAAGAAGAGGAACTTGCTGCTTCAAGAAACATCATCAATTGGGCGACTGGAACTAACGAAGAACATATTTGTAGCGCAACAAGCACAACGAATAATACCGCAACAATTCAATCCCACAGAGTGACAGCAGCAGAAATAGCGTTGGGTTTATCCTCATCATACAATCTGCTAGACCGTAGTCGCAATCACCAACAGATGGGGACTGCAACAAGACCAAGTAATCAACACTGGACAACTGTACAGGGTAGAGACAAGGAACAACATATCGTAGAGAACTTGCACGCGCTCAAGGAAGGGACCGAGGAACCCGCAACAAGCACTCAAGAAGGGATGGCAGCGTCTCCGGGAAGGTTAACTCCCATGCACGATTCAAGTGATTACGCTGCCACAAGAAATGTTATTGGAACGCCCTCCACTGTATCGACGGCACCGTCAACAGATGACGCGTCCTTGATGACAGATTACAAGCTAGATGATACTGTGCTTCCGCACTTGCTTCAACCAGGACATAGAAGGAACCACTCAGGTAGCTCTTTCGGAGAAGAAGGTTTGCTGCTGGGTGGACTTCCGATGCCAAGATCAACAGATATTAACAACCCATGGCACCAAGCGTCGCAACAAGGACAACGATCTTACGGAGGACCTAATAGAATTCCGCAGAATCAACAAAGAGTTGCAAGCTTTCGAAATCAACTTCCAAATGCTGCTCCTAGTGGATGGAATCAACCTGTGCATCAGCAACCATTCAAGTCTGACGGGCAATATGAACAACAGAATCGAAGAAGGCCTTTAGAAATTGAAGTGCGACAACCGCAGCAATATGGACAGCAAGGTTATGTTCCGTACCATCAGCAGCAACAACCACAAGGAAGACGAGGTCTCAGCCCAACTAGACAAGCTGGCTCCCATAGTCAGCGTGCCATGACTCCTCCAAGAAATTTTAGGGGACCTCGACAGCAAGGTCAATCATCAACAGGCCCCAAGAGTACACCGACAAGCCCACATCAACAAACATCAAATCCTCAAAGGTCAAATGCTGAAGTTCTGAAAACACTTCTCAGGAAAAAGGCTTGTTTGTTTGAACCAGACACATCTCGAGCGGTAGCTTTGATTACGTGGCTCGTTGGTAGAGAACTAGCAATGGGATTCGGTTTCTTTTCGCGCCAACAGCTGCAGTCAGGAGTCCATGCCTGTGTTGCAAGCAAAATAGAAGGCGGAATAATCACCCGGACCAGAGTGAATCGGTGCATGCAGATCATTCTCAACTCGTGTTTTCATTATATAATTCCAAGAGCTGATGGAACGGAAGAGAAGGGTGACTATTTCCGCAACGGATTTGCATCCAGTGTGAAAGATGACTCTTTTATGCTCAGGTATCTGTCGCGATTGTGGAACGATGTTACTGTTGACCGAGATACTGTCATCCATGCAGCACTGCACGATGTCGATGAAAAGCAACACACGGCTGGCGAATACACGCCAAAGTCCTCCCCGAAGCTCTCAAGCACTGAAGCCCCCAAGAGTCCACCGCACTTGGGTGATCATCATGATCACGAATCCAAGAGGGCAGTCTTGCTTTGTTTCAATGAGAATGTGCGATCAGCCGAAGATGTATTTAGATGCCACAATGAATTCATTCGAGACACTGCAAATGCCGCTCATTTGCAGTTAACAGCATCAGAATGGAGATCATTCTTTGGTCGAGAAGCTGGCAATGGAAACTACCTCTTGGGCAAGATTGGCATTCCAATGACTCCTCAAGATTCAGCTTCTGGTCAAGATGTGTTTGGAAGGATGTCTCCCGAAGAAGCAGGAAAATTCCGAACAAGTTGGTGCTGCAAGCGATATGACCATGACCACTCACTTTGTGGATTTGCTCATGTCGATGTCAACGGAGGGTGGCTTCGCCGCAATCCATATCAATTTCCGTACCAGAACGAGATGTGTCAACATGTTAGCAAGATCGCTGATCCAAAGCTGGGTGCTTTATATTTGAACAAGTGTCCACATGGGTTGCAGTGTGACAAGGCTCATTCGAATGAAGAAATGATGTACCATCCCAACATTTACAAGTCCAAGGTTTGCCCCTCAAGCAGCAACCACTCGTGTCCGATGGGAGATGTTTGTGCCAATTTTCATCCTCAAGAATCGACTCGTCCTTCCAAAAAAGTGACGGAGAAGCATTCCACACCTCGGCATGGCAAAAAAGGAGAACAGCCTGCCAACACCAAGACAGCGCATTTGGCTCCGAACTCTGCTCCAATCGTGTATGCGAGCCCAGCCCCTTTCTCAAGCTTTGAACAACAACTCTTGATGCCAGGGCTTCAGAATCTTTATCGCCGCAACTCTTCAGTGATTCGAGCTCACTTGCGATCGAAGGACAAACCTTCTTGCTCGTACAGTTGCTTTGGCGATGATGCTGGGATTAGCACAGAAGCGAAGGAGAATTCACGATCTCATATTGGGTTGCCCTCAGTGCGGAGGGCATAGGGAATTAGTCGTTCCCACTGGCGATGTCGAGCTACCGCTTAGTGGGACGATATTGTGTGTTATATTTGTTTTCGCAAGATCATCTCTTTGATGTATATGAGTTGACTTGCCCATGCCACAATCGCGAAGATTTGGAGGTCTGTTTTGTGTCAAATGTTGATGGTGCTGAACCGTCTCTATATGTAGTAATGTTAAAGATCAAGTTGTAATCAAGCTTCTCGAGTAGTTTCCACTCTGTAGAGCCTGTGATCCAAGTAGAGCAATAATGGCCATGGTCCCGAAAAGTTGTAGCGCCTCACAACGAAAGTGAGCCATCTTTGGGATAAATGAAGGACAAAACCGACAGCAAACAATGAGCGAGTTACATGTCACTTCCTGATGGGATCGAGCCCCTTTGCAATGCAGAGTTACAATAGACAGACGAAATAACTTACAACAACGAGAAACTATTCAGAAGAATTCATTGGCTTTCGAAACATTTAGCTTGTTTGCTTCGAAAACACGGTGTTGCTTCGCAACGAGAAAGCTACTGACACATTACCGTTGATGTATGTTGGTCCTCGGGACATGCAATTGTGCTTTGGCATCTTTGAAAGCACTTTGGAGGTGCCTCATGGTGCTAAGATGCCGACTTTTTCCGATCTATGATCGTTGTTCACATTCTGTTTGTCCAATCAGTTTCGTATCCAAAAACGATTGCGAAGGACTAGTAGGAAAGCTACGTACAGCACTTCTGCTTCGGCAGAATTGGCCACTCCCCAAAAATAACGGTATGACTTATTGTCACAGTACGAAATCTACGCTTCAAAAATAAGTGTAAATGCCGCAGATTGATATTTCCATAACGCGGTAAAAACTGTACATTGTGTCAAATCAGCATTGAGATTCAGTATGATTTGAACGTTTGCAAAGTTAGTAAGTGCAATGTGGCTACCGCACTACAAATAGACACGCGGAAATCAACGTTGTGGAATTGTTTTAAAATGGGGGCAAAGCCACTCCGTTTCTACAAAGAGGGGCGGGGTCATCAAAGGGATTGATTCACGAGTGGCCAGATCATGGATAGGCACTATGTAGGTTGCACCGTATAGTACATCCAAACTTTAATTGTCATGAAAACAAGCTGTAAACTCGCAATAGGTATTACAATAGTGTTTCAGTAAAAATAAGAATATTAAAAGTATGATAGGCACCAAGCGAATTCCGTCACAAGCGTCAATCCGATGCATGAGTGCTGCTTCCAGCGTGACACCATGACTGAATAATCTCAAGTGCTTAATGCCAGGTTCATGCCTTACTTGTCTCTCATGACATAACCTCTTTTCCATTTCTAAGGCTCTGGGGTTTTCTTGTTCCAGTCTGGAGCATTTCCTTGACGAACTTTCTTTTCAACACTACGCACGTTCGTATGTATCGTGAAAGCGTCGATTGCACGCATTCTCAGAAGCATGCTTGGCAGTGTCTACCCTTGAATTAGCGCTCTAAGGTCTTCCGGAATTGGAGGAGCAATGGATGGGTAAACAAGCTGAGGTATAGAGTCACCAGCAGTCGGATCGCTATGACTAGACAACAACTGATCACCCCATTTTCGAAATTGCATTTGTTGGGCAGTTTCGGTTTCCCCAGGCAAAGCAGAAAATGCTGTTGCAGGATTAGAATCAGGTTTAGAGACGCCTCTTCTTTGTTGTAGACGACGGCCGCTGGAGAGAGTAATATGAGCGGTTGAGTGGTGATTGTTTGAAGACGTCAAGCCAGATGAAAAGACGTCAAATCTAGGCAGGGTGGATTTCACTTTGCTGGCAGAATCCTTTGCCATTAAGCTTGTAGGTTGACTCTTCTTTTTCTTCCACCAACCTCTGACTTGTGCGATATGGTTGAGCACTGCTTCTGATGTTTTGATGTTATTGGATTCTCGAAAGGCTTGGAATGATTCGCTAATTGCATCCCCTCGTGGATAGCGTTCAAATTTACCGACAATTTCAGCATATCGTCTCAATGCTCGTTCCACTATGACAATGTAGTGGTCGCCCTTGATCAAAGAGTTACGCGGCAACTTTTCCATTGCAGAGCATACCAGGTCTGAAAGAGCGCAGCATGCAAAGATACATTCTGCTGCGACCTCCAAAATGGAAGGGATCAACTCGCTTCTTGGTTCACCGTTGATTTTGAAGAATGAAGATGCTTTCTGTAGGCTCTCAATGGCGTCTGTTTCTCGCGATGCGTTCCATAGACATACACCTATCCAGCGGTGAGACAATGATTCGAGCTGGGTAGCACGAAGCGAATCCTCATGACACTCGTTCCAGTGAGATGAGTGAATTCTAGAAGCTTGTTCGTCTTCCAGAGCTTGCTGCCGCAAATCAGCTGTTATGCTTTGCACAACGTAAAACTCCTTGAGTGCCGAATTCACTATCCCCTTGGGGATTTTATTGTTGTTGACCAATCCACGCTCTACATGACAAATTCCACCATTGAGACTTGCCTGAGCAAGAAGGAAAAGAAGATTGCGTCCGATCACATGTGACTCAGGAGTATCGTCATTGCTGGTAAGGACAACTCGATTGTGGGAATCCTGTTGATCCTTCACCAGCCTCTGAGCTTGTTGAAAGCTCTCCTGGGCCTTTGGAAAGTCTCGTTTGGACCAGAGGTATTCGTTCCCCAACTCCATGTGTGACTGCCGAAGACACTCTCTGGCATCCCAGACTTCGTCATCGTCACGGTCTTGTCTTGCGAGGACTCGTTGGAGAACTTTGCCAAGGCTTTCATTCTTTTCCTCTAATTCATTCGATGAATCACGTTCTCCAACAATTTCATGCTCCAGTTCTTCCCTTGATGTCTCAAGGCCGGCAGCATCCACCCCCATTTGGGCTTTGATTGCATGGACAGAATCTTCCTTCTCCGCTTGAGCCGTTGTTGTCTTAACCTTAACCTTCAATCCTGTGGCATTCTGGTTTGAAGTCTGTGTTTCGAGACGCTTTTTTCGTCTCTGTGGAGCTGCAACACTGTCGCTGTCGCTATCCGTATCTTGAATCACCATTCTGCGTTTCTTGATTTGTTTACAAGATTCATTTGCAGAAAGGCTTAGTTCGTATCGCTTCCAGTCACCAATTGTGTCGTAGCTAGCGGGAAGAACAGAATCCTTCTCGAGCTGGAAGTTGTCAGCCCTTCGCTCGAGACTGATGGTTTGCTTTCCGTAGGCAACAAACAGTCGCTCCATCTTGTCCTGTGTTGCAAAGCAAAGCTTCTTTGGTTTTAGCCTTAACTTGATATCTTGCAAAATAATATTTTTCAAATTTTGTACCTCTTGTTGTAGTTCCTTTACAGCAAGTTCGTGCTGCCCCAAGAGGGATTCCAACAATTCTGTGGCTCCTTTGCGCTCCAAATAATCCCATGGCGACTTCATATACTGCTTCAGAATCGATATCAGTCTTGCTTGAATCCCAACAGTTTCGTTTGCAAACTCGTCCCAGCCAAAACCAGAATAAATGGCATCCGACTTGTAAAGACATGTATATCCATCACCGCGTTCTTTCAAAGTGGAGAGCTTGGATCGGTATTTTGTTTTTCGAGCTTCTTCTACATCGTATGGATGACGACACTCGCCACTCGTGAGAAATATCAGACCATCCGACATTCTCAACATGTTTTCCATTGAATGTTTGAGGACACGGAGTGGCGAATCGACAAGTCTTGGCTCGATTCGTTTCCACTCGATGCGAAACCATTGGACCATTGCTCCCAATGATTGCCGTCTTACATGAAGCTCGTTCAACAAATGCCGTGCATGATTCAACAAACGGCGTATTTGCTGTTTTGATTTCTCCTCCACAGTTTTATGTTTGTAGATCCTGGTAATTGTTTTTTCTATGCTTTTCAATGCAGATTCGATCTCCATTTGGCTCATTTTTTTGCCTTTTATAATGGGTGCTCGTATTTTTATCAAAATTCCAGTTATCATCGTCTCTGAGGCATGGGAAAAGCTAGAATAGTACTTTCTCCCTTTTTTCAGAAAAAAACATTTGAGAGTAAAGTTGAGTAACTTTTAGTGAATTTGTAAAAAACGATTGTCTACATGCTATCTATGACGTCCCCAAACTTGTAGGTAGCTGCTTAGCCTATAGAATGAGATCCTGATAATCCGTCAACTCGCTCATCAGCGACCGATTCGAACCAAAGGATCGACTGGAATGCATTTTGTGATCACGAAGTTCGTCTGCCGAGTAATCCATCCCCGACAAACTCCCAATCGACATGGACATGACTGAGCTTTTGGAAGTACGCCGAGTCTTTCGGCCTGCCTTTTTACGGGGAAGGGAATGATCACAGGATTCCGATTGTAAATCGTCCCGGATAGCCGAATGGTCACGCAGTGCCGAATGATCCTTTAGCATTTCTTCCGAACTGTCATCATCAAAAACATGGGGGGATCCTCTATCATTCAGTCGGGTGTGATAGTCTTGTAGTGTCCCATCGTAATCACTGAAATGACTAAGCTTTCCAGAATCATGAAGATGGTCCGTTTGGTGGTCCGCTAATCCATTCGGGTGGTGGTCCTTCTCGGTCATATCGGAACTGGAAACTACCGCTGGTTTGATTGCATCCAAGTCATCCGAGGAATTGGTGGCGATCATTTTTGGAATCTGGGACTCGACAGGAGATTTCGGTTTTTTCCTTGTGTTTGTTGTTGGTGCTGCCTCTTTGTGTTCTGTTTCTGCTCCTCCTTGTGTTTTCTTTTGGTGCTCTTGTTTTTCTAGGTGAGCGCTGTATTCAAGAATCGCAGTATGGTCTATTTGGGTGTCATTGTTGTCCAACGGAATTGGATGGTGGTCATGATGGTCATGATGATTGCTTGTCTCCTCAGGCAGGGGTGCAAAGGATGCCGATGGCTGGTGCTCTGGAGTCGTCAGATTCTGCCGTTGCACCATGTTTGGTGGTGGTTGAATGAGTTGAGTCAGATTGGGTTGAACTGGTATTGATGCCATCTTGTGGACCATCATTTGCCCTGCAACAACATTGGGACTGCTATGAGAGATAGCAGGACTATTACCATGATGCACAGCCGGGCTATTGCTGTGCATGGTAACTGGACTGCTGCTGGACACTACGTGATGCTGCCCTGGAGATACGCCACCATTTTTTATACCCAGTTGCGAAAATCCCGTGTTGAGTGACATGCGTCTAGCGGCGTCGGGAGTTCCTGGAGGAGGCAAACCTTGTTGGGCGGCAGCCTGCTGGGCGGCTGCCATGGCATAGCCGTTTCGTTGCAACATGAGTTGCTGCGCCATTATATTATTTTTTAGCAATTGTTCTTGCATAGCCATTTGTTGTTGTAGAAGCATTTTTGTTTGATGCTCGAGGACTTGCTGTTCATGAAAGGCTTGTTGACGAGCCATGTGCATTGCATTTTGTTGCATGGCATTTTGTGGCATGGGCTGCATTCCATTTGATTGCATGGCCGTTTGTTGCATGGCTGTTTGCTGTAGTCTCTGCTGTTGCTGGCCATCAGGCCCAGACATGTAAGCTTGTCTTAGGTTTTGTTGCTGACGGGCGTAGAGTTGTTGTAACCCAAGGTCACTTTGATGGCTTTGGGCAGCCTGCACAATCTTTTGCTGCGCTTGGGCCGTTTCGCTCGGTACTGCCCCTGAGGTGCTTTGATCGGGAGAGGGTAAAGTCTTGACAGGAACCTTTCCTTTGGTCTCACCGTTCACTTTTCCCTCGCCCTTGTCGACTCCAGGCTCTGTCTTTTTATCTTGATCCTGCTGATACTTATTCAAATACGGAACAACGTCTGAAGTTCGCTCTCGCAGGCACTGAGAAGCCTTTTCTCGTGCCTTTTTTAATGAGACTTCCTCGTAGACTGCGGGTTCTTTGGACCTAGAATCCCCACCTGAAATCTTTTGTAGAAAACGTCCTGGAGGATCCAATTTTTGCCAGATCTCGACCACTTCCCTAGCAATTTTAGGTTTGTCAACTTTGCTGCAAGCAAGGTACCGCTTCTTGTGATCATTGACAAGCTTTCGAAAGTTCTTATTTCCAATGTGATTGTTCGTTCCGCCTCCTCGACCTAGCAAGACATCATGGTGACTCGCACTTGTGATGCCTTCTTTCTTTTCTACAACAGCATTCGGAGGCCTGTTTTCAGTGACAGTGGCCATGATGATGATGTTGTGGGGTACAGTCCTTTCCCTTGCGTGCTGTACCAGTAGATCCGATACTGAAGATGATACTGTTACGATACTGTACAGTACAATACTGGACCCTTAAAAATAATTCTACGTGAGAAGAGCTCTAGTCTTAGAATCCGGATTAACTAGTGACCGACACGGAGAAAGCCGGTAATCATTCCACACATGAAGTCACCGTAGCCGCTGTGCCAAAAAAATTTCGCGGGATGTGATCAATTCAATCAATCTAGTCACCCTCCCGTTCGACTCAATCGACCGCTCAGAAAAAGAATTTCATCATCGAATCTTCAATCGTATTTTGCAATGTTCTGATTTGGTTACGTTTTTGAACTTTTGATTTCTTTCTCCACATATTTAAGCCAATGAGGAACAATCCAATCAATCCGTAGTTTCAAATCAAAGCCACGGAGTATCAAAAGCATGCCGGAAGACACCACCACAGTCACCACGAGACCAACAAATGACACCCCCACCACGGAACACACAAACAATGAATTATTGCCTGAAGAAAGAATGATCAACCAATCTCTAAGCTTTGCCAACAGTACAATCTCGGATGGTTCCTCCTCCACAGCGTCCACGAACCAGGATCGGAACAGCAGCAGACTGTCACACATTCCCGGGGCCGTAGCCAACCTGTGTTCCGCCACCTTGGGTGCTGGAATATTAGCCTTGCCCTATGCTTTGTATCAGGCTGGTCTGATATGCGGGAGCATTCTGCTTGTTTCGAGTGCCTGGGCCACCATTGCTTCCATTCAAGTCTTGGTGACTGCCTGTGACAAGTACAAAATGGCAACCTACGAAAGCATTGTTGAAGAACTATTGGGAAAACGAACTAGAAAATTAGTGGAGATTTCCATTCTGCTGTTTTGTGTAGGAACGGCAGTTGGTTATGTGATTGCCGTCGGAGATGTGGTGGAACGAGTCGTTGAAATGTCGCCAGGCCAAAAGAGAATGGCCATGTCATTTGTTTGGCTCTGCGCCATGTTGCCTCTCTCTTGTTTGAGACGTATGCAAAGTCTGCAATGTGCTAGTGGAGTTGGAATTGCTAGCATTGTGACGCTGTTGTTGGCAGCTACTGTCCACCTGATTCAACATTCTCATGATGATACAACTACTACCGGTGGTGCACAGACATATGATCTTGACGCATCTGCATCCTTCACACTGGAAGACTTTCTCAAACCAGCCGAGGGTGGTTGGTTGGCAGTACTTCGGGCCTGTCCGATTGTATTCTTTGCCTTTTCCTGTCAGGTCAATGTTTGTCAGATTTATGATGAATTGCCGAATGTGGGCGGTGGTCCCGAGGCCAAAGTCCGAACAATGAAATGGGTGACTTGGCTAGCGGTTGGCTTGTGCGGAGTCTTGTACACGAGTATTTCACTGGTATCCTTGATGGACTTTGGAGAAAGCGTCATGCCAAACATGCTGTCATGTTACACTCTGACCAGCAAAGAAACACTACTTCATATTGCCTTTTTGGCTATGGCCTTGGCCATTGTCATGGCATTCCCACTTAACATTTTCCCAGCTCGGGTCAGTGTCACACAAATGATTGGCAAGCACCCATGCAATAGTATTGCGGTGGATGATCAAGAGTGCCAACAATTACTACAAGCCGAAGAAGCTTGCAGCATTACACGATACACTGAATTGGAACAAGCCAATCAAGACAGCGCACAACCACAATTGCTACCGCAAGAATCCTCCATGACGAACGAGAATGCAGAGAGTCTATACTCGGAGGAAGAAGTTGAAGACTTTCAAGCTGGTCAACACGCTGTGATTACACTACTGTTGGCAGGGTTGGCCTTGGGTCTTGCTCTAGTGATTCCAGATATCTCTGTGGTGTTCGGATTGTTAGGTGGAACTACCAGTGCTTTGTTGGGGTTTGTCATTCCAGGTTTGATGGGATTGACGATGGACCAAACCGATATTACCTCGTGGGTCCTCGTGATTGCGGGATCCATTATTGGACTCTTGACCACGGGAGTTACCATCTACTCTACGTTTCAATCTTAGATGAGATCAATTGAAAGTGCTACAGAACAATATATACTTGTACTCAATAATAACAATAATAAGCATGCAGATAAATGAGCCATAGCACATGGCTGGTATGATATGCAGCACTCTTGACTCATCCAACGGTACTGTACCAGGTACTATAGCTACTCATTTGAGTACAACAAAGTTGGTGTATTGGCAAGATGCTTTGAAATTTCATTCACAGCAAGCAACAAAGGGTCTACAGCAGCTAAGCGAGTGGGTCATCCGTTAGGCTGTCCTACTGTTTTCATTTTAGCGTCTGGTCTTATTCTCACCCAGCAGATGGCCGTTTTAGGGGACAGATTGAGAAGGTCATGGGATCCCGTCAAAGCAATCGTGTGAGGCACGTCGCTGATGGGCGGGACAGTTTTGCGACTAAACTCAAATTTCGATTTTATTGCGTCCCGCCAAAAGCCAACTGCCGTTGACCAAAAAGTAGTGTGCACCAGCGTGCACCGAGTGGCGAAATTGACATTCAGAAGAGTCAAATTTCAGTCATTCTAGTCGTTCTCTCCTTGCAACGGAAGTTTTGCTCGTTGGTAACGTCTGTGACTCGGGCTGCCACCGACGCGCGGGCGTTTTGTGGGATCGATCAAAGGGCTGGAGATTTGAAATATTCTCGACAAAACAACCACAAAAAGAAAAAAAACAATCAAGATCAAACGATCTCATTTTCATCACATTATTCATATCATCATCCACAATAGACATTATACACAAACAAACAAAACAATGCATTGCATCTACTATCCATACCAACAATACCAACAATACCCCACCAATTATCAGGTATACGCTGAAGAGCGAGAACAAGCCCCAATCACTGCATATGAGCCTTATTGCTGGAGAGAGGATGCCGCTTCCCCACATCTTATTGAAGACAGCGACTGCGAGAAGCCAAGAGTGCGATTTGCACCTGTCAATAAGGAACAAAGCATGGCACAAAGCCCACCACCACGATTCGAGAAATTGACTCGGGAGATTTGCTATGCTCAATGGTTTCAAGCCAAGGAGCTCTCCATCATCCGAAAAACAGTTCGTGCTGATGCTGCCAACGTTTCATCCAAGGTGGACAAGAGCGGTCTAGAGCGATACACTTGGGAAAGAATATGCGAAAAGAAGAAGGCTGTCCAAGAGGTTATCCAGGCTCAAAAACTGAGCAAGGACCCTCACTATTTGAAGAATGTTGTGAGAAAGCGATCGGTTCAAAGCCGTCGCTTGGCAGCATATGAGGGACAAAAGATGTGTCATGAAGCTTACGGCTTCCCAAGCTACTCTACATATGAAATGGAACCCGCTCAACCGGTTTCTTTGAAGCGCAAGCCATGGGACTGTCCACGTAACAGCTATGAGGACCAAGGGAGACGTGTCCGTCAACGAACCCTTATGCCTACCGTGCCAACAGCACAACAAAGCTGGCCATTGTACAATTAAGGGAAAGGGAACAACTACTGATAGAATATAGATTTTGAATTATAAAAAACAGATTTAGAAACACGTCAATACAGTTCTTATTACCACATAACTCAACAACATTATAGTATTTTCATCGCATCTACCATACTCTGTTATAGCTTATGTGGTGCTAGAGGAAACTACCCAGAAGAAGAGTAGTAGCGAAAATAAGGCAATTCGAAACGGTGAGCCAATCACTTTCGACAATAATGCGAGAACTGGATTGCTAGTTGCAAGTTCATTCATTCTGGCAGTTTCGTGAATGACTGCACTGCCCCTTTCGCCTTGTTTCTTTGATTTTCGGTTTTTCTTCTTTGACTGTGATCGCTTCGAAGATTTGGGTTCGAAAGCTTGAGGACTGGTGGGTTCCTTTTCAAGCTCGATCTCGACTGCCTCGATGTCAGTTTTTGTTGTTTCACCAACTGGAACATTATTGGTGGACTCATCGACTCTCGTTTCCCCATCAGGCTCTGGGAATGATAAGACCTCCTGCTGTAGCAAGATCTCATGATTTATTTCTATTTCATGTTTGCCAGCATTGAACTTTGCCCACCATTTTAGACTCTCTTTTGCATAATCCAACGTTTCATTTAGCGAGCTGAGCTTCCCGCCAATCTCTTGCGGGTTGGTGAGCATGTGCAATCGAAGTGCTTGTATTATAGCCAGTATCGTCCACCGTGGTGTCCAAGACTCTGGATGGTAGGAAGAAGCAGACAAACAAATATCATGCTGAGGGACGAAACGCCCACTGGGTGTCCAAAGCTGCACTCGTGGTGGTGAGGCTGGATAGTCCTTAGGTAGAATGATACGCCCATGGTATATACCGCGTTCATAAATCCCACATCCACGAAATGAGAAGTGCCAATGTCGCAGATTGGAAACCAATGGTCCAACACATATGAGTTTCCGATACTCTTGATCATTCACAGTTGCACCTTTCTTCTGCTTGACCAGCTTTTGTTTGGCCCAGTCATAGCATATTCCCATGTTTACAGCATCTTCGTACTCCTTCTTTATTCGTCTGAGCGTTGAAGAAGATTTGGATGATGATGATGATGACCCTGATGATTGTGCAGTTTTGGAAGTTGTCGGTTTCTTTTTCTCAGCCGTTTCTTTTTTCGACCGTTTTTCTGGTTTGATTAGGTCTAAAGGATCTTCCGACAATGGGCTTGAGATCGATGAATTTGTTGGTTTTTCAATGGTTGCTTCATTGTGTGATATTTCTACATCGCCCTTGGCATCAAATGGTAGGCTAATGCTGGCGGATGGCTTGTTGAATCCAGATGACGCAACAGCATCCTGTCTCAGAAACAAAGCCGATACCCCAATGAGTCCGTACACTCGCTTCATTCGCTTTTATACTCTCGGATATGCTTCTAAAAAGTCAGATTTGGCTCTTGTTTCATTGATTTGGTTCAAGAAGGATGAATAGCAACCTGATGATGGCTATAGATATTTTATGTGAGAAAAACTGTCATGAGACCGATGAAACGGGACTTACAAAGGCGTAAATGTTGAAAATCACACTATCATACGGGCGGTACGCTACCGGTACCAGGTACCAGGTACCTGGTAGGTACCAGTACCGGTACCGGTGGCTGGCACCAGGGTGCGAACCGATACTGTAGGTAACAGCCACGATCAAAGGAGAAACGGTTTTTGTTGAAAGAAATGGTAGAACAACAGTACCCTGCTCTTGTTGTTTTCGAGTGGTTATCGTTCTATCGCTCAATATTGCAACTCAAGAGCCACAGTTCAGCTGGAGTAAGGCTCGAGGGAGAGGCTCGCATCAAATTTCCAAGAGTCGATATCACTACTAACGGAGTAATGTTAGTCGAATTAGTCATTTACATCAGTTGGGTTGCCATCCGCATCAACCACAAACGAATTCAAAACTCCATCAACATTCTTCGCCCTCGTGCTATTGACACATCCGAGGCTTCAAAACACCATGATTCTGCGGGTAACTGCGAGCACTCAATCACAATTCAGTCGCATTCTATTCTTTCTCAGTTTTGCAATGCTCGCGATAACAAAGAGATGTCACGTCTTTTCTTTCAGATTTGCCAGAGTTGCAATCAACTCTGTCCCTCGAGGCCTACATCCTCCTGTACCTCCCGGGCCTCGATTCTCCCATGCGTTGGAAGCAGTGAAATCGAAAAGTAAACCTAGGTCTTTGGTCGTTCATGGCCCGTCCGACTTTTCCATTTCTTCGAAATCCAAAACGGACCGGCCATTTAAACTTGTGATTGTTGAATCCCCAAGCAAATGCAAGACAATATTCAACATTCTGCAGGATTACGTGAAGGCTGAAAACTTGGATTATGATTTTGTAGTAACAAGTTGCATGGGACATATACGGAACATTCCGCAACAGAAACAAGTCAAGAACCAACTCGTTGCTGGAATTGACATTGAAAACGGATATAAACCCACTTACACAATTCTTCCAGAGAAAGAGAAACTTGTGCTTGATCTGACTGGTCTTACGCAACGAGCGCAACAATTGATATTGGCAACAGATGATGATAGAGAGGGAGAAGCTATGGCATGGCATTTGATACAAGTGTTGTTGGACGGAAACTTAGAAGGAGGTGCAAATCAGCTTCCTCCTCTGCGTGTCCGATTTACAGAGATAACACAAAAGGCAATCCTCAAGAGTATACAGGCCCCAGAAACATCTTTAAATGGTAATCTAGTCCACGCACAAGAAACAAGGAGAATTCTTGATCGTTTGGCTGGATTCACAGTTTCTCCTGTGTTGTGGAGAAAGATTGCACCTGGTTTGTCTGCTGGTCGAGTGCAGTCCGTTGGTATGGCACTGATTGTCCGGAGGGAGCGCGAACGTCTATTATTTCAAGAAAGCGAGTACTGGGATTTGCAAGCTGATTTTGCAATTCTGAATCAAAACTTTGAAGGTCAGCTCGTAGCTGTAGATGGTCAACCATTGGCCTCAAGCGGCAGTGATTTTGAAGCTCGTCAAGCCAACACATTGACAGCCTCCTCTAGCCATAAACTACATTTGCTCGATGATGATGCAAATCAATTGGCACATGTTTTGCGACAGGATGATTGGTCATGGACGATCAATGATATCAAAGCAACAAAGCGAAAACTCAGTCCACCAATACCCTTCATCACATCCACTTTGCAACAGGAAGCAAACACGAAGCTGGGATTATCCGTTAGTGGAACGATGCAGACAGCTCAACAGCTATACGAGAATGGATTCATCAGTTACATGAGAACAGATTCAAATCATCTTTCCGATGATGCCATCAACGCAATCGAGACGGAAATCACAGCCGATTTTGGCCCGAGCTTCTTTGATCCTTCAACATATAAAAACAAGAAGTCAAAGAAAAAGAAGAAAAAATCTACGGATAGTGATAAACCTGACCCTCAGGCGGCTCATGAAGCAATCCGACCGGCAATCCAGGCGACTGGTCGATTTACCAAACCGTCGGAACTTCCTAATAACCTTGATGGTGCGGCAAAGGAGCTTTATGAACTGATTTACCAACGAACAGTTGCTTCACACATGCCACCTCAAGTTTCAAATCAGACTTCAATCCGGATTTTGGGAGAAGACGACGACAGATCGGTTCTCTTTCGGAGCAGTAGTAGCATAGTGATCAAACCTGGGTTTTCTGCCCTATACTCTCGAAGCAAAAGTACCGAGAGCGAACTCCCTGTACTCAGGGAAGGAGACAGTATCGATTGTAAAAATACCACTGCGCTGATGCATATGACACAACCACCGTCTCGATACACGGAGGCGTCTTTTGTCCAAGAGCTAGAGGCGCTTGGCGTTGGCCGACCGAGTACTTATGCTGGTACTGTCCAGATTCTTCGAGATAGGGCATATGTCGGTTCACCGATCAAAAGCGGCTCATCAAACTATCGTGGTTCTTCGACACCCGTGGCCGGTGCTGCGATCAGTGCCCAACGAGCCGCTGGAGGAGAAGAATTTGTTGGATCTCGTAGTGCACGAGCTCCGATGGTACCGTCATTGACAGCATTTGTGGTCACGTCATTATTTGAGAAGCATTGTAATATGTATGTCGATCCTTCATTTACGGCCAGGATGGAAGATCGGCTGGACAAGATTGCAAACTCGGAAGGAGATGTCAGTGAAGAAGAAAGAATATCATATCTTGATGAATTCTTCCAGGGATCAGAAGGTCTCGCATCTAGAGTCAAACAAATTGATGAAATGGTTGATGCTGATGATGCTCGTCGCGCTTCTTTGCCGTCATTGGAAAGCACCATTTCAACTCAAGTAGATATTGGGCTTTTCGTAGGGCCTTGGGGTCCTTATGTGAAGAAACTTGTATCGGAATCTGAAAAGGCTCCAACGGCAAACCTACCGCCTGGGATGGCATCTGACCTCTCAACAATAACGCTTCAGAGTTTAACCAGTATACTGGCAACTAAAGAGGAAAATGGTTTGATTCTCGGGCAACATCCATCGGACAATCGTAACGTTAGACTACGTACAGGAAGGTTCGGAGCTTTCTTGCAATGGGGCGAAGATGGCGATGAGAACACAACCACTCACACTCTCCCGGTGCACATTCGAAACATGAAAAATATTGATGTCGATCATAGTGGAAGCTCTCTGAGTGACATGTTGGGTCTCACTTTCGATGAAGCCGTGCAATATGTCAATCTACCACGAGAAGTGTGCACAATGGAAGAGCTGCCAATTATTGCGGCAATTGGACCGTATGGACCCTACTTGAAGTATAACAACACTTTCATGACACTAAATAAAAAAGACGGCGATGTCCTCACAATCGATCCTGAAACGGCTCAGAACTTGGTGAAAGAAGGCATTGTCAACCAGAAAACAAGTAAGTTTCTCGTATGGTATGATGCACTTCCGAGTCAGAAATCTCAATTCTGCTGTTTTGATAGAACTAGGGGCTGGTGTACTTGTAGTGTTAGGAGAAAAAGCAGGAAGCAAAGTAACCGTCAAATCAGGGCGATTCGGTCCATACATCAACTGGAGGAAAGTCAATGCAAGACTTCCCCCCGAATACCTTGAAGATCCGTCGGAACTTCCTTTTGACGAGGCTTGGCAGCTCATCGAAGAGAAGGAAGCGAGTGATCCCAAAAGGGGAAATTCTCAAGGTAAAGACTCGGTCCTTTTACCACCAGCTCCGAAACGACCGCTTTCAGCATATTTGCACTTTTGCGCTGCGAAACGCCCGGAAGTCTCTGCCACAATGACATCCCTCGGAGAGACTTCAAAAGAGCTCGCTCGACTTTGGGGTGAGGCTTCCGAGGGGGATAGGGAGCCGTACAATAAACTGGCAGGAGCAGAAAAGGCAGTTTATGACGAAGAGAAACAGAAATGGACAGCAGAATGTCAGAAAATCCTAGGAGACGGGGCCTCCAAGTCTACACGCACAAAGGGAGGTAATGTCAAAGGTGGAAAACCAAGTGGACCTAAACGGGCTTTGTCGGCCTACATTTATTTTTGTAAGGATAAGCGACCAGATGTTGCCAAAGAGTTCAAGTCCCTTGGAGATGTTTCGAAAGAGCTTGCTCGGCTGTGGTCCTTGGCAAGTGAAAACGAAAAGAAGCCATACGAAAAGACGGCAGCCAAAGACAAGGAACGTTACGAGAAAGAGAAACTAGAATCAGGTAGTTCCAAAACAGTCAAAAAGATTGCAAGGAAGAAGAGTCAATCAAAGTCCAAGAAAACAGCGGGGAAAGTGAAGAAACGTAGGCCTACTGCATATATCCTCTTCTGTTCAGAACACAGAGCTGGAATCGTTGATGAAGATGGAAACAAACTTCCACTTGGAGAAACCACTAAGCGCCTGGCAAAAATGTGGAAAGAATGCGATGATGTCGTTCGGGACAGATTCGTGAAGGAGGCCGAGAAACAAAAAGTGGCACTATAAAAGCAGCAGGATGCAAAAAGATACGTTCTCACAGGGCTTGGGGCTCGCTTGAACTTGCAACTGGAATAATACAAACAAATCTGCAATTGTAAATGCCACGTCTCAGGATCTACAGTACAGTCAGTACCTAGAACCATAACGTTGTTGTTCCTCCCATTTCACACAAAACATTACTTCTGTACTGGAAGTCGTGGATTTGTTCATTCACGAGTAGTTCAAACGTTTTGCATCATGATTCATTCTGCACATCGCAGTCGGAGAAAGAAATATCCACCGGAGACATCAGAATGCAGGCGGAGACGAATGGTACATTGCGCTTTGTATTCTGCGCATCTGGAATATGCCTCTGTTATTGGTTGTATGGCTGGATGCAAGAGTCATTGATTTCGGGCTCAGACTTAGGCGCTACATTCTTGCTGGTCCTGCAAACACTCGCAAATGTGTTGATTTCAATAGTGTGGGGAAGTGTTGCTCGGAAAGACGATGATGATAAGAGTTCAATATTTGAGCTTCAACACAAACTACTTTTCATGACATCTTCCACCTATGTTTTTGCAATGGTGTGTAGTAACGAGGCACTGCAATATGTTTCATATCCCACTGCTGTTTTGGCAAAATCCTGCAAGATGATTCCAACAATGATAATGGGGTTTCTGGTGGAACGCAGGAACTATTCAATTCAACAATGGATAGCTGCTTTCCTGATCAGCATTGGCATTGCTTCTTTCAACTTGCTGAGGTTACAGGACAAGCAAGATGAAAGTGAGGAAAGAAACGGCGTCTCGGATCAGCATTGGAAAGGAATGTGTCTGCTTTGCGCCAGCTTGTGTCTAGATGGCTTCCTGGGCTCCTTTCAAGGAATGCTAAAGTCACGAGGGCGCTCACCAACGGCAAATGAGACCATGTTTTGTGTCAACTGCTATGCATTCACATTGATGTTGCCCATGTCGATCGCCAGTGGTCAATTCAACGAAGGAATCCAATTGCTGAAAGATGACCAGAGCCTAGTATCAATCGTTCTCCTGCAAAATGCAATAGTTGCTGTCGGGCAAATTTTCATCTTTCTGACGATCACCTGGTATTCCTCGTTGGTATGCACAACTATCACAACAACAAGAAAGTTCTTCACCATTCTCTTCAGTGTTCTCTACTTTGGCCATCGGTTCAACATATGGCAGTGGGTGTCGGTTTGCATGGTGTTTGGCGGTTTATATCTGAGTATTGTCGACAGAGGGGAACATGAACCGGCGGTGGAGAAACAGAAAAAGACTGACTAAATTGGAGATAGATTCAACGGATGTTTTACACCATACAATTTTTGCTATACTTGATCTATTAATTGTCCCCCGTTCCCCCATTCATTTCTTGATTAAGCATGAAAAGCTAAGGATCCCAGCAGAAGAAGCACCGGGGCCGCAAAGAGATTTCGCCATCTCAAAGACTGAGCCCCAGATCTCAAGCTATCATCATGTGTCCGGTTCTCTGCTGGAGTTCCCAACCCAGGCACATCATCAAGGTCAACATCAGGATCGTTTGGCTTTTCGACCGCCAAGGTGCAGCCTGCGACGAGTCCACCAGATTCACATGTGATTGGGCAAGGTTCGCCAAACTTGCAACATCCCTGAATCGCACCATTCCCACAAAAATTGTAACAGTCACAATCTTCTTCTATCAGTGGGATATCTGCGGTGAGAAAGCTTGAACACTGTCCAATGTTGACATTGACAGAGCATTTCTGAAAATCACTGATTGGATTGTCGCTTATGCCTATTTGAGGGTATCCTGAGACTGTAAACATCACATTTTTACCCTCCTCTTTGAAATCAGCGATTGTGATACCGATACTAATGATGTTGCCACCTTGGTACGAATCTGTGTTGGGGTGCACCCCTGCGCTCCCTGGAACAAGTTTCTTGCCGAAGGTAAAGAAATCATCCCACTGGCCATCGTTGATATCTTGTTCCAACTGGTACAATCCATCCGCTTGGAGAAGAGCTACTTTATAGTGTTTTCCATTCTCGGGCCAACCTTCTTGATGGGGACCTCCGGCTTCCGAATTGGAATTCTTGGCCTCATCAATATGCCAGATCAATGCACCACCGGCTCCATTCCACATCTTTGCATCATAAAGCGTTTTCTGTCGATTCTCGATCAGCAGGTACTCTCCGCGAGGATATGGGTCGTCAATAAGGTAGACTTGATTTTCTGTTGCTGATGGTTTCAGCAAATAGGAATCACTTTTTGTGATTCTTGTTGGCGTCAACCAGCCAAGTTGGATTTTGGACCACGGGTCGAGGGAGCCAGGAAAGCTGCCATCATCACCTTGTCCCCATGGATTGGACATGATGGAGAACGCACCAACGCCTCCACCACGACCAGACCGGCTCACATCATAAAGATGCGGAAGAGAAAGGGTATGGAGCAATTCATGAAGCACCACTCCAATTTTGGTGATGTTCTTTCCGTTGTGACCATGAAAGGCTGAAGCTACAGTGTATGTCCCAACCGAATATTCCCCATGAATCGAATTCCACATATTTTTTTCGGGCGGCCCCATCGAATGCGACCAGATTCTATCTTGCGGAGCCGCCCCCAAGGGATCAGTATCTCCGTATTCTGCTCCGTAGCCAGAATGCATCACAATCAAACTATCAACCACTCCGTTTTTATCCTCATCGTACTTGTTCCAGTTGAATACATGTTCCAGATCGGCATGGAAGCTATCTAGAGTGTCTAGAATCGGAGCAAAACATGATTTGAAATCTTGATTGAGCCCGGAAGTACCTCCAGCACACTCTTGTTCGGTCTTGTTTGTTGGAAACCAAGAAATCACGTCCGCATCAATGGTTAGGGACTTGAATGAGCTGACCTTGAGATATGTATTGATGGATCCGGTTGGGTAAAGAGTGGAATCCAAACCATTGGCATTGAAGAACTTGTCAATGTCCGAAGCTTCAATAACTTCTCGAGTATCGTGGTTCGCGAACCGCAAGAGAACTACCAAAACTTTTAGCCTTCCGCGGCTCTTGATGGAGCCCAGAGTCCGACGTGCTTGTCTTTGTAGTGTTTCATCCAAGACTTGACACGTGCGGTCATCTTCAAAGCGACAGAGTTCAGGATGTAATAGTTGTGCTTCGTACTGATGTTCTGTTCTCAATTGCCGCCGAGAGTCATGAGAGTATAGTGGAAACGAAGAGTCAAACTCGGCGTTAGGATGCGGTGGGACAACTGCCACTGCTAAGGAGTATAGAAGTGATAATACTAAGACCTTCATATAGCGAGATGTTGATGCTTTCATCTTGCCATTTGGCATCATCGTGACAGCACTTTTCTTTTTGCGTTGACAAGAATTGTTTCCGTTTCCCACGATTTCCAATGGCAGAAATAAGGCGAGGTCATTTTGACCATTATTTATTTTATAGGTACCGGTATGTAAAATTTAGTAAATTTCTATCATCAAGTCGATTGGGTCAAACACTCGGATTTAATTTGAACAAACGACTTGAAACGACACTCCAAATGAAATGTTGCATGCGAAACAATGTTGGAAGGCAATTATGCAGGCATTTCCGACGAAAGTCACGCAGCAATGCTTGGACGTGTCGAAGCGTCTATCATGGGCGAGAGCGCTCTGATTGATCGTGAAACTGGCCGAGTCTACTGGGAAGGAGGCTCTGGATCCACTACGTTGTTTGAAAGCTTTGGACCAAAGATGGATCAATATGGATTGGATCATGCACAGACAGCTTTATTCACAGGATTGATTACTCTTGCTTTTTTGGGTGTCCTTGCTGGATGGATGCGCCAGTTGCTGGATCAGTGGGCCCTGAATACCAATACTCAATCTGCTCCAATGAATTTGATGTTTCGAATTGTCACGTGGACTATTTTGCGGCTCCCACGCATTGAAAACCGATGGCTTGTGATCGCTTCTATTGCCCTCTACCTGATAGAGTCTTACTGTTGTGGTACGCGATATTACTTGGCAAACGCATTGTCCAGTCAAGAAGAGCTGGAAGAGTACATCAATCAACTCCGAATCGAAAATCCTGTGGTGACCTGGAATGTGAGCTCGTTTCACTTTGAAAAACGCAAGATCTTTGCTCTATCTGATTTCTTGCGGTCATTGAAAAGAAAACTGAGCTGGCAGGCAGATGCTGTTGACATGGTTCTCGCGCATAAGAACCGCAAGTCCATGTTTCCATTCACCAAGAAGGTTGTAACGCATCGGGCAACCGCAACTTATCAATATAACGGCTGTCTCGACAGTACCATGGCAGGCATTTGGCGACGTGCGAGAATCATGTCGACGAATAATGCTCCCTTTGCCAAAATTGCCCTCACAGTCCTATTAGTGCTCGCAGACAAGAAATCAAGAGAAGATTACTTTAGACAACAATCAGATTTCGTGAGTGAACATGGTAGAGGGGATGAATTTACAGAGTTTGCAACTCAAATACAAGTCAAGGGTTGCAAACCTTGTATTTTGGCGGTTCGTCCAGTTGATGGAGTAATGTCGACAAGATTATTCCGGTTGCAATCATTCTGGTTCTGTACTTTCCTTGGCCTTACACTACCATACAGAATTTGGTTCAAGCGTCGATGTGATTTCTTGCGGTTAACGATTGTCAAGGAAACTTCTTCCTATACTAAACCTGGGTCATCGAGTAGAGGTTGGTTTTCGAAAACCCAACCAGCAAAGTCACATTTTCAGTCCTTCATGCAACGACAATCGCTGTATACGTCAGGGGTGGCGTTGAAGGAAATTGATTCAGTAGAGACAACAGCACGTCCAGAAGACAATGAAGAAGATTGATCCCGAGGAGTGCAGTAACTGCATGTTACTGGGTACGAGGGAGTCCGCTATTGTTGGAACTTCTACTGTATGATACATTACGATTGATACTATTCGGTTGAGAAAGATGGTACAAGTATCCCCCGAAGACAAATTTAATCCGGGGATCCACGTGGAGATCGCGCAAACAAACTTCAACAAAAAATGAATCATCATCTTCATCGTCTTTCTCAAAAGAAATATCTCTGACTACTCGCCTGTTATGGATAGAACCATGCGCTCTTTTTTTATCATCGTCTCTCTAGCATTCTCGGGTGTTAGTGCCTTTGCACCACCTGGCCCTGCAGCGAGAAGCAATTTCCAAACTTCCTCTGCTCTAGAAATGTCGAACGGTGGTGTTGTGATTACAGGATCTGCAGGTGGTGTCGGTTTCGCATACGCTGGTGAATTCATGGATCGTGGATACGATGTTGTCATCTGTGATGTCAAGGACTGCGCTTCTGCTGCCGCCGCATTGGAGTCTCGCCACCCCAATGGAAAGGTATTCCACACCAAGTGCGACGTTTCTGATGCCGACTCTTGTGCCAAGCTTGGTAAATTCGCCAAGGAGAATCTTGGAACTATCAACTACTGGATCAACAACGCAGGAATCAACGGTGGACGCAGAGATCTTCGCGACGTTCCTGTCGAACAAGTTGAGCTTGTCGTCAAGGTCAACTTGCTTGGAACCCTTTACTGCACCAAGGTTGCCATGGACATCATGGGAGAACAGGTAAGACTGAAATTAGAATATTCGACTAGTGAAGTAAAAGGGCTATGGCTAACGAAACATTGGACAATAGGCTGGTGTCACTGGTCACATTTTCAACACTGTTGGATCTGGTGTCAAGGGAGGAGGTACTCCAGGATATGCTTGTTACGGAGCAACTAAGCGAGGATTGCCTCAGTTGACTGCTACTCTAGTCAAGGAATTGGATGAGGGAGTGCAAGGATACGAAAAGAAAAAAACTGCAGGAACCGTTCAAGTTCACAGTATGTCCCCTGGTATGGTTTTCACAAAACTTCTTCTTGACAACTCTACCCCAGAGCTCAGAAAGTTCCCGTTTGGAGTCTTGGCTGCTCAGCCTGAAGAAGTTGCTGCCGACCTTGTTCCCAAGATCCTTGCAACGACACAGAATGGAGGAAGCGTTGAGTTTTTGACAACCGACCGAATCTTGACAAAGTTCTTTCAACGATTCGTGTTGCAACAGAAGAGCGAATACATTGACGACGACGGAAATGTGATCAAGACCCCAGGGGCCCAATACGATGAACTTGGTGTCCGACAGCTATATTAGAAATGCAGATAACAAATATAGTGTGTCTAAACAAATTATTTTACACTGTACATTTGACATGAGCACACTCTCGTGAGTGCACAAGTTGTACTGATTGAACTGTTCAACAGTTCCCAGAACATAGCATGATGTGTTGATGGAGAGTCGACTCAACAACTGTTTGTGCATGGTCACAACCAATTCTGTAGCGTTCAGCATCTATGCAAACAGTGTGAACAATTGAATCAGCCCCACAATAGCTCCCAAGACTCCACCAAGCAAAATTAGCTGAATCTCATCCTCTTCAAAGGCAGGATGCAAGACACCCTCAAACTCAGCTGGCGGTAAAACCTTCATCTTTTCTCTAATCGTATCTTCCATCGCTAGCGCACTCTGCGTATATTCATAACTTGCATCAATAACATCTGGGATTTTTTCAACTACCTTCCGAGCAATACTTTCTTTCATTTCCAAGAATTTCTCCACACCCATTGCAGCTATCGCCAGCGGCTCAATTTCTACAAGCAATTTATCTGTGAATGCAAGAGTGTGCGCTCGTAACATAGCGGAGAAATTTTTCGAAAGCCTCCCCGTGAAGACTGCCCCCCAGATTGCTTTGATGTGCAAAATTTCAACGCAAATGACTCTAGCGAAGACTTCGGATACCTCTGCCTGCCTCTTCAAAAAGATTCCTTGAAGGGTGAATCCACAAAACTTTTTGGGTTCAATGGGAAGAAAAATGACCTTCAGTGCCATCTGACGAGGGAAGGCACAAGTTGTTAGCCTAGAGTATTACACTCGTGCAAGCATCAACAATACCATATTCTTACCCAATTTGTTACCCAACCGACCAAGAACCCAGCAATGGGCAAAATCCAGTCAGCAGGATAGAAGAACCACACTGCCATTTGGATCAGGCCAAAGAGAAAGCCATAGTAGAATCCCGACTTCCTTATGAACACAAATTCTTTCTCTCCGCATTCTTGAAAGACTTTCACGATCAAATGTTTGTTTTCCACACACGCAGTCACCGACATTTCCTTAATGTCGACAACATCTTCAATATGCGCTTGCATATCCTTCATGAAATCGACCAAGAATTTATTGCTTTCATCATCTGCAGTCACGACAATATCGTCTCGCACCTCCTTCGGAATATTGTTCCACGTCTGTGGCATGAACTCGTTGGCGACCTCATTGATAACCTCATCCATCATCAACAGCACAACATCATCCATGACTGCAGCAAATTTCATCGGCTCTAACCTGGAGAAGATCTCATGAATGCTGAAAAGTCTTTTAGTCATTAGCTCAAAACATGTTGACGCCATTTTTTCTGCCTTCGTCGGAATGATTCCCTGCCAACCGAATAAACCCCATGGTTGGTTATCCAAACGAAACAGTTCAATGCCAACAAACTCCAACGGATAGAACGTGAGATGCAGAGCAACCACATTTGTTGCGTAACCCACAAGACCTGCAATTAAAGGAATCAGCGCATATTCCCACCAATCATATTCGAATGCCATGCTGTCGAGTGATCTTGTTTAATTCGTGAGTGGGATCTGAGAGAGGAAGCAAATGGAAGTGGAAGATATAAACATCTTCCATCTCTCGTCCGTTCTGTTTGCGTGCACGCTCTCATTTGCACTTCTCTAGTTTTTATATGGGACCAAAACCTTCTTTTAGTAGTGTTTGTTATTATTGCATTTCTACCGTTTCTCTACGGTACGTGAACTCGGTAGCTTTTGCTCGATTCAACAGAGATAGATTCAGTTGCAGTCTTCCACCCTGATTCTTCGAGTTTGTCCAGAAGAATTGGAAAATGCTCCAGCGTCAGTTGATAGCTCTCTTCCACTCTAGCGGTTCCAATTGGAGCCCTCGGTTTGAGATTTTCCAGCTGATGTGCATGAAACACAGCCCGTATTATATCTTCCCCGCTTGCTTCTGAAAGAAATACAAGGTGAATTCGATCGGAAGAGTGACGAAGAACATACTTTTCGCTGGGTGTGGATTGCAGGATCGCATTCCAGTCCTCAGGGTCTGGACACACACTTGTTATCGGGCTACCAATAGACAACCAAGCCCACGGTTTGTTTGCCCACGGGAGAGGGAGGAATTCTTCTTGAACCGCTACTGTTTTGGGTGAAAGAATCTCGCCTTCTTCAATATAGTGTTTCAGCACTAGGTGCAGCCGCTGTCGATTGAAATGAGACAGTGGAACTTCTTTCAGGCTAAAATAGTTGCATCCTTGATGTACTGCAGCCAGCACACAGAATCCGAGGCTAAATTTGAACGTATCGTGCCCCAAAAATGACGACATTCCAATACCAAGAGTTGTACCCATCAAACTAGCCACAATGGCCTGCGAACCAGCTTTTGCAGTAACGTCTCCCAAGTTTCCCTGAATCGCCAACGAGTTGTGAATGGCAGCTTTACTTGCACTTGCGGTTAGGAAGCCAATGTTCTTCCCAACATTTGCAACACTTGCCACTGGCAACACCAAGGAGGCGTGAAATAGAGGAGAAAGAATCTCTAGGAGCGTCGCACCGTCAAGAGTCATTGCAGAAACCATCCTCCATCGTCTGTGAATTGAGGAAGCCCAAGTATATTTAATAGATTCTTGCAGAGAATAGTGACACGCAACCTCATACTGCACAATTTTACGCACTTTGGATCCGTATCGAATGATTTCGTTTTCCCCATTTGACTGGCGAATAAAACACCGCCAACCTGTCCAGCAAAATCCTTCATCACCCAGTTAAAGGCTCCTGCCATAATTCCAGCCTGATGTGCATTCGCACCTGCGACTCCGACTGCCAAGAGTAGAGTCTGTGTCGACAGTACCATCGATGCACTGCCAGCTACAGAAGCTATGAAGTAATAGGATACAAACTTGAAGTATCCAGGAGCTACGCTTTTCGGATATTGTGCAGGCAGAAAGTGCGCCATAGCTTGTTTCGATAGCTCCATGACATCAAATGAAGTGTCAGACTTTTTCGGCAAGTGCCTCCATTTGTTGGACGCATCTCTCTCGAACAAAATACCACCGTTGCTTTCTGGGTCACCGTCGCCCAACGAAGGAGGGACTTGCCACACTCGATAGGACGACTCTTTTGTGGCATCTCTTGTTGAAGAAGTTGCGAGAGTTCGAAGTCGGTTTGTTCCAGATCGACATCGAAAACCCGATGCCTGGTAAAGGATACTTCCACCACGTTGCATGCGACTTCTTTGTGAGAGAATGATATCGATCGAATGAGCCTTGAGACTCTGATGACATGAAAGTAAAAAAATGATGCTTCCTATGGAATTCGGAATCCGGAAGCCATGCAATAAAAACCAACAGACGAGACCGCCGCAGTGACAAGAGATTAGTGAGGCAAATCAACCTCTACTCTTGCTTGAACCCGCAGGAAAATCTGGTTTTCTTGTTTATTTCAATTTAAATTGTTTACACTACTGTTAGTGGAGTTCTACTTGTCATTATTGATGCATAAAATTCCTTTGAATGCTCACGAACAATGAAACGAGAGTTTAAAATCCATGTTTTGAAATGAAATCATACTTCCTGCACGACTTCCTCAACCTTCTGCTCGTCCAACAATTGTTCGTAGCCTGCTATCAAGTGGCGCATTCGGTATTCTTGCTTGGTGATTAAAGCCTTCAGTTTAGCATTCTCTTCCTTGAGACTGTCGAGTTCTGCAGAGGAGGCAGTGTTGGTAGTTGCATTTGCCATCGACTCACGAATCCCTCGTAGAGTTGTCAGCATTTCTTCTTCTCGCTGACGAATGGCATTTTGATTTGCTTCGAATTGAGAGCCCTTTTCCAATGCTTCGATACGCTTTTCCAAATCGACCTGAGATAACATTTGAGAGACAAAAACCGATGATTAGGTCAACATTTCTGTCATAAACCCAACTATAACACCTCCAGGCGTTTTCTTCCCGATATTTCCGATTGGGTACGTACAGACATTTCGTAGTTTTGCGTGGGACACAGAGCGATGATGAGATTCAACGAAAGGATGTGAATTGGCAGTGAATTGGCAGTGAATTTGGTGTGTGGTGTGTGTGTCGAAGAATAATCCTTTGTTCGGATGAATCCGACGACTAGATTAGTCTTCTCTATCTATCAGAAACTGTCATGATTGACATCCACATTATTTGTCACACTTATTACTATCGTCTGATTTCTGTTCCCCACATTTAATGAAATCAAGTCTGTGACCCAATTCAACCAGAGGCAGACAATTCTGACCTACAACTTCAGCTTGGGCACAATTCAAACGCTTGCCCAGCTTTGCTTCTGAGTTAGAAATCTACTACATCTTCGTACCAAAAGCCAATGGCAATGAGAACGTAGGTTGTAATCAGCAAAGATCCAAGCAGCCAGTTAGATTTTCCATCCAGAAGACAGATAGACACGGTGAAAATGGAAAGAATATAGACTGTAATCTCAAAGTGGGGGAAGTTGAGTGTCATGTCCTTGTCAGCTATCCAGCCTACGATCACAGTAACGGGCACGACAAAGAGAGAAATCTGTGTGCAGGATCCGACAGCCACTACAATTCAAGAAAAAGAAACAAAAGAGTAAGAATTCTACTACATATCAAGTATGGGAAGGAAGAAACGAGCAAACGAGACACTTACCACCCATCGAAAGATCCATCTTGTCCTTCATAGCGACTGTCACAGCAGTAATGTGCTCCACTGCATTGCCGACAATAGGGAGTAGGATCAAGCCGACAAAAGTTCTCGACATACTTGATTTCTGGCAAAACTCATCAATGCTTGCCACGAGGAAATCAGAAAATACCGTCACTGTCAATGTGGTTATAAGAAGACCGATTAGAGCGACCCTCAAAGAGATTGAAGCCTCCTCTTCTTCCTCTTCATCATCTCCGCCATTTTCATTGCTCGAGCTGTCACTTGAGCTGGCCACGGTGAGATGATTGTGGGTGTACAATTGAAAGACCAATAGTTGAATGTACATGAACAAAAGAAAGACTGCTGCATATCGTGAGATGGCCAAGACACCTTCGTCATGAATTTCATAATATGCAGCATATGGAGTAGGTAGAACAAGAGCAATGCTACTCAGAGCTAGCAGTCCAATGTTCGCCGATGCATTGGTAGCATTGTAGGTTTGTTCCTTGTATTTCAGGCCGCCGAAAAAAAAGCAACATCCTAAGACAAGCAACAAATTGGAAAAGATAGAACCCAACATACTTCCTTGTACGACTCGAATTTCATTGGCTAAAAGGGCTTGGATTCCAACCACTACCTCAACCTAAAGATAGAGTTAGTTGCCAATCCAGAATGAAATATGACATAATAAGCACATAGCCAGCGTACCATGTTTCCAAAAGTTGCATTCAACAACCCACCAAACGTTTCACTCGTATGCAGAGCGGCCTCTTCGGTAAAGTCGCCAAGGATAGAGGCCAAAGGAATCATGACACAAAAATTGAGCCAGAAGACCCAGCGGGCACCCCAGCCGAACGCGTGCGCCATGTATGCAAAGGGCATAAGCAACAAGAAGACGCTAACTGACTTTTCCAGAATAATTGCACGTAATGCTATCTTGAGCGGAATTGGTGCATGGTTATGTGACAACCCCGTAGTAGAATCTTCCAGAGTGCCATGGTCTTCTTTCGGTCTTCCGCCTGGAAGGAGTGAACTTCCTTCGCTCTTAATTTCGTTTTCCACATCCTCTTTTATACCTGTACGCATGGGGCTACCATGTTGAATAGGCTGTTCGTTACGTTCCATTATCATGGACAGACGGGCACGTCGTTCCGAACCTTGGAGACGACTGACAATAGCCTTCGAACTTTGAGTTCCGACGTTGGCAGTGATGGAGCTAGTATTTTCATGATTTTCTGCTTCTTGGCCCAGTCGATCCACCAGAGCTCGACGGGCGGTAGGGGATGATAGCACTGAGTCTGACGCTGACATTGACATTTGCGTTTCAACACTAAACAAAGTAATCGATCAGTATATCGGGTTTTCCTGAATGGGTTTGATTTTCGTTTTCTCCTGTAGATCAGTAGGTGTACTTGTATTGTAGATGGCTGCAAGAGAAATTGGAAGTCATTATTATTGGATCGCTTTCTGTAGATATGGAAGTCCGTCCATCCTTTCACTTCATGTTCATGTTTTAAATTTTCACGCTCGTGACTGAATATGATTCATTCGAGTGCTTACGTCAATCAGAAAACATCGGAAGCAAGACCATCAAATTTAATACAACATTACCACCATCCAGGGAGGCGACAGTAAAGAACTTAATCTACTACTTGGGATGCGGATGGCTCAATTGCTACTATTGACGTGTGTGTCAGCTGTCTACGTTTCTGGTTTTTCGTTGCATTCAAGATCTTCCGTCAAATACAGCAGTTCAAGAAGCATCATGACTCAACCTCAAAAAGCATGTTCAAAAGGTTCATCCGCACAGGAGAAAGAAGTGTTCGATGAGGTGACGTACGAGGCCGATCGACTCGCGAAGGATGAAGAAGCTATGCAAGCTATGAAAGAGAAATCTGAGGAGGAATTTTCAAAATTAAGAACACCTTGGAAGTGGACCATCCGAAAGCGAATTTGGGATCTGATGGAGGCCAAGGACATCGCTCAGTATCCACGCCCTGTTCACCACCGAATCCCCAACTTTGTTGGCGCAGATGAAGCTGCTGCTAGGCTGACAGAACTTCCCGAATTCCAGCAAGCTGCGTGTATCAAAGTCAATCCAGATACTCCACAGCGCCCTGTCCGACATGCTGTGCTAGAACAAGGCAAGACCCTGTTGACTCCTCAACCACGATTGCGAACGGGTTTCTTTTCGACCCTCTCCATGGATACCTTGCCTGGGGTTGAAATCAATGGTTGTACCAATTCCAAGGGTGTGGCCAAGTTCGGAACACAGGTAACACTGCACGATAAGTATACAGTGGATTTAGTTGTAGTAGGTAGCACTGCCGTGTGCCCCAATACTGGAGCTCGGGTTGGTAAGGGAGAAGGGTTTGCTGAACTGGAATGGGGAATTTTATCTCAGATGGGCAATTTAAGTGCGCAAAACTGTCTCGTCGTCACCACTTGTCACGACATCCAAGTGGTCGAGCCAGATTCAGAAGATGGAGGAATTCCAGCTGATTCTTTGACGAAGCATGATGTTCCTGTCGACATTATTGTTACACCCACTCGGATTATTCGGGTCCCAAATCGTGCCCCCAAACCGTCTGGAATCATGTGGGATTTGCTGTCGCCACAAAAGCTGGCCCAGATTAAGGTTTTGCGACAGCTCAAGCGTGACATTGAAGAGCGCGATGGCACTCAACTGCCGTCGGGACCTGAAGAAGTTCTACCTCCTATAGCGTCCCGAAACAATCGAAGCAAGAACAATGGTCAGAAGAAGCAAACAAACGGCAAGGGAAGGCGACGGAGACCACGGAATTCGAACAACAAAAGCGGCCGAACTTCAAACAACAACTCGCAACGAGAGACCGCGTCATAGCCTAGCATTGTGCTATTCATAATCGTTATGTTTCTGTAGATGATGGATGTTTGCATCTACTTTTGAAAATGCTAATGCAAATGCGTTTTCATATTTGATTTTATCTGTACAATAGAATGAATCTATTCATCTATTCGGCCTTTTCCTCCCCTCTTAGAATGTTCTCATCGACCCATGGCGCCAAAGCTAGGGCTGCTCCCAAGCGAACAGGTACGAACGCACGGGCGACATTCGCGCCAGCAAAGATGAAACCAAGTACAGCTGCTCGATCTCCTGCTTCATTGATGACATCAGGCCAATGCCCAGTCGTTTGGTAAAGTGCTGTACCAGCTACGGGGAAAGCAATAATCCAGAAGGCAAGTTCTGTCAAAACGTAGGCCACAGTTCCTGCAACACCAAACTTCTTCACGTCATCCATCGAGAGCATCTTTTTCTCGCCATCGTCACCGCCAAAGAAGCTGAAACCGCTACCTTCTTCACCCTGTGATTTTTTGTAGTACCCAAACGCAGTGATGGCTGGAATGCTAAAGACCATGGCCAAAGCTGCGGGAACTGAAGGTTCAAAACCCAAGTCGATTCCCAATTCACCATACTTGACAGCATAAGAAAGAAAGAGTGTCATGGCAGTAACCTTTGCCACCAAAACCAAATTACTTTCCTTTGGTTCAGAAATCGCCAAAGGCATGGCAGCTGCGCCATTACTACCAACAATACCCTCGTCGTCGGACTTGTCAAATGGATTCAATTCTCCAAAGCTCCACCCATTGCTTTGTGCGATACGAAATGCTGCAATAGCACATGTCAAGTTCCCCAAAAGTGTGAAACCTGCTTGCATGGTAACAAGAATTTGAAGAACGGAAGCATTGTAGAAAAAGTGGTAAGTGCATGCGCAGATTCCAGAGGCGTGAAGTGGAAGCATTCCCCATGTAAGGCCCTTCCATTTCTCGTTTCCAGTGACTTCAGAATAGTTCCAAACCAAGTTCATGGCGACTAGATATTCAATGACTGACGAAAAGTGAATAATCCAAGTTGGAATCGATAGCGAATTGATTGGATCTTCGTGGGTAACCCATGGGAGGGAGTTGACAGTGCTAGATGGAAGATCGCCAAGTCCGAGCATGAATTCAGAGTGGGCTTGGAATCCAAGTGTTGGACCCAAAGCCATAGCAGCGATGAAAAGAGCAAAGATTCCCAGGGAAGCGGCGCGAGGAAGTCCAATGCGTGCTTGGTCTGACTTTGTTGAAGCCTCCTTAAATCCCAAAACCTATCACACAAAGTAAATAAATACATAAGCTTCAATAAAATTCCTTTTGCATCGAGCAAACAGCGCTTGGACGTGACCTACAATCATGATATTTGCAACGGTCAAGAGAAGTTCGGCTCCACCATGAAGCCAGTCAACATTGGCCAAAGAAGTTCCATAAGTCAATTTGCTGATGATACCAGATGGGATGGTAGAGATAACGAAAATCAGAATAAACTGAAATCCGAAGTTTCCAACATCTGGAATCCGGTTTTCCTTGAAAGATAGGAAGTAGAGGAATGCAAGGTACGGTAGGAGTGACGATTGGAAGAAAATTCCAGCAAGATTCTGGCCTTGATCAGTAAAGGAGAGCAGGCTGGAAGGTTGTGACGCAAAGTTCGAGATACCGTTTCCGATGCTGAAAACTTGTTCTGAGGATTGTTGCATAATTTGTGATGTAGATTCGACAACTGATGAGATTGCAGTCACATCAATCACTGAAGGATCCATCAAATTAAGTACTCTGTCGCCATTCTTAATGAAAGAGGTGGGCACAAATCCTGAAACTGCCCCCGCTAGGACTGCGGCTATGAACAATTGTGGAAGCGCCATTCTCTGCTCAATGTGTTGTTCTTCGGTCAATAAAATGGATGCACGTCGTTGATATTTTATGTTTCAAATGGACGTATTTGGGTCATGAGCTCGCCGATCGCAAAACTTCAACAACCGGGTTCCAAGTTTCAGTTGCTCTGATTCATCATCAACGTTCCTTGAAGTCGCAATCTGGATGCATCGAGAATCACATCGATCGAAATCAACAATGATGCTCTCTTTTGCAGCTCTTTGCTTGGCCATCCCAGCAGCCACCAATGCCTTCGCTACATCCGGCGCTACCGCAAGCGGAAGTAGCTTTGCTTTGTTTTCCACCCTCGAGGCGCCGAAGAGAGAAGCTCCAGGAGCTGGTTATGTTCCAGAATGGGAAAACCGTCCGGGTCTTAGTGAAGAAGAATTCATGAAGAGTGATATGTCAAAGCCTGATTTGAGCGGGATGTGGGAATGCCCTTTGACAAAGTGGGATTCGGACAAGTAAGTTAATAGGGAAAAAACTGGAACGATCATGTGGACATGAAATTCAAAGGATTCTCATCACAAAATGGTTTTGTAGCATCGACATTAAGCAAGCTCAGAAGGAAGCAGCCCAAGCCCCTAACTGCCCATTGGAAGTTAGAGCTTCCGACAGTGACAACCAAATGGGAGCTGAATATTTTGCTAAGAACAAGGACAAACTTCGTGAAGATTTGCTGAAACATGGTGCCATCTGGTTCCGTGGTTTCGACTTGATGAAGGGAGTCGCTGGTCACAGAGAAATGTACGAGGCGCTAGAGCTACAACCTTGCCTGGATCCGCTTCACTCCTCTGGACTTCGAAAATTCTCGTCCGAACGTGATGCTTTGTATGAGGAGGTATGTAGCTTTGTCGTTTGAGACGATGGAAGTGTCGGCACGATCTTACTTGCGTTCTCTTCACAGGTCAACAAGCCATCCCTCCGAGGTCACTACATTGGTTTGCATTCTGAGTCGACCACAAAGCGCACAGCTGCGTATGCTGCATTTGTTTGCTTTCAAAAGGCAACAGAAGGTGGTGGTCGCTTCTTGGTTGCTGATGGTGCCGCCATCCTTGCCGAACTAGACACTAAGTTGTTGGAGAAGCTTTATGAGCGTAAGATTCGAATTTCTGTTAGTAACTTGGACATTCCCCCCTCTCTTCCAGGATTTGTCAAGGAAGGCGTCAAGGGACTGGTTGATGCCGCTGTCGCGCCCAAGTTCGATATGGATCTTGAGATGATGTACGAAATGGATGGAAAGCCCGGTCGTCTCCAGGTATGTATTTTTACCTTTTGCATGTTTACAGTTGTGAAGATTGAGTAACTAATGATCTGTTCTCCAATTTTGCTTCCATAGGCTGTTGAAATCGCCGAGTCTCCAATCAACAGACACCCTGTCACTGGTCTTCCAGTTTGGTTCAACAACGCACACAACCATGCCCGCAAACTTCGTGACCGAAGACCTTGTGGTGTTCCAGAAGTTGGTATGACTGAGGTCTTCTACGCGGATACCATGGACACTCTAAGCTTGGAAGATTGCCAAGAAATCAAGCGAGCCAGCGAAAAGCACATCACTGCGCTTGCAATGGAGCCAGGTGATGTTCTCCTCGTAGATAACTACAGGGCATTGCACGGTAGAGATGTTTTCCAAGGAGACCGCTACCATGCTGTCAGTTGGTTCACATGGGACGACAACGAAGAATGGAGAGGTGACGAACGTCGTATGGTTGAGAAGAACGGATTGAACAAGGCTATGAACTCTATGATGGACTGGCTTCCCAAGGATTTCGAATCCAACCAAAGCTAGTTGAAATTTCTTCCGATAATACCGGTACATGATAGTATTGTAGATTCCATTTTTTTTAAGCCTCTTCTGTCATGCGTGCGTCAGAAGATTTATCTCCGGGTTCATGACAAAACCACACGTCGCATCCTGATTGGTCAACAGTGATGATTGATTCAAAGCACTCTCTTCAATCAGTTCGTATTGGCGAAAGAAATCTGAACCAGGCTCTGCTCGTCGCTCGTCGCACATTACAACACTACTGTGTCCCAAATCCAGGAAATATCCTTACCATCTCATACTCCCAATTAATCGTCGCGTTGGTAGGGTTAACGGTAGTATCCCAAGATGATGATTTCCAACGTTTGGTTTCTTGTTCTGGGTTCACTAGCCTTGTCGGACGCTTTTTGCCATCACCCATCAATCCGAAAAGCATCTGTTACTCAGCTGGCGGTTGTTGATCTTGAAAAGACATCTCCGGCAGAGGAAATGGCCAATGGAAACATTCCAAAAACATTGCGCATCGAAGGGAAGGGAATCCCAAATAGGAAATCAAAGCTGGAGATGCTTGATGCAACAACATACGAATCAGAACTGATCAAAACATGGGAAACTGATCCTGATAGACAATCTGGTTTTGATTGGGAAATCGAGAAGCTTCGACGACTCTTTGCTGGGTTAAGAATGAGAGAGGATGGAACTTGGGTTAAGAAGTCATCGGCTTTCGATTTCCTGATTAGCAAACAGAGACTACAGACATCTGATGGATTGAAACCAGTGAATGTGCTCGATGTAGCGATCCTCTTCTCGATGCAGATTCTATCCTCCATTGGCCTAGGCCCTTTTCTGGGTATGGATCCTGTACCCACAGCTATCATCCAGAAGTACGAAGGCTCCTTCCTGTCATTTATCAAGGGAGTGCTCGGTGGAGATCTTCAAACTTTGGCTGGAGGACCTCTCTTCCTACTTTTGAACAAGTATTTCTTGGAATATGGCCCAATCTTCAATTTGGCTTTCGGCCCAAAAGCATTCCTAGTTATCAGTGACCCTGTCATGGCAAAACACATCCTGAGAGACCGAACAACAGACCAATACTGTAAAGGTATGTTGGCAGAAATCCTTGAGCCAATTATGGGGAAAGGGCTTATCCCTGCTGATCCCATTACATGGAGAGTAAGTGCAATCATCGTATGGAAAGTATGTGTGAAACGCATGGCTCAATCTCATGCTCTTCTTTATCAAAGGTGCGACGACGAGCGATTGTACCAGCTTTTCACAAGAAATGGCTCAATAGCATGGTTGGCCTCTTCAACGCAAGAGCGCAAATCCTTTCCCGCGATTTGGAAACCAAGAATAACCAAGTTGTTGATATGGAGGAGCGCTTCTGCTCTGTCACATTAGACATAATCGGAAAGGCAGTCTTCAACTACGATTTCGGTTCGGTGACAAAAGAGTCTCCAATTGTCAAGGCAGTGTACCGTGTACTCAGAGAAGCTGAACATAGATCGTCCTCTTTCATCCCATACTGGAACCTGCCGTATGCCGATCAATGGATGGGAGGCCAAGTAGAGTTTCGACGAGACATGACAATGTTGGATGATATCCTTGCAGATCTCATAAACGACGCCGTCGCTACGAGACGAGAAGCATCTGTCGAAGAGCTCGAGGAAAGAGAAAATTCGGATGACCCTTCGCTCCTGCGTTTCCTTGTTGACATGAGAGGAGAGGACCTATCATCAAGCGTCTTAAGAGATGATTTGATGACCATGCTGATTGCCGGCCATGAAACAACTGCAGCTATGCTGACGTGGACGCTTTTTGAACTTTCGAATGCTGAACCTGGTATGCTGAAGGAGGTGCAAAAAGAGGTTCGAACAGTGCTCGCCGACAAGGAAAGCCCTGACTACGATGATATCGTTGCAATGAAGAAACTTCGGTATGCATTAATTGAAGGCTTGAGGTTATATCCTGAACCACCCGTCCTAATTCGAAGAGCGCGGACTGAGGACTGTTTACCACAAGGTAGCTCGGATATCAGAGGCGGAATCAAAGTTCTTCGAGGATCTGACATTTTCATTTCCACTTGGAATCTTCACCGTAGCCCCGATCTCTGGGAAAACCCCGAAAAATACGATCCTACACGATGGGAAAGGCCATTCAAGAATGACAAAATTCCTGATTGGAATGGCTACAATCCAGATAAAATATCTGGACTTTACCCCAATGAACAAGCCACCGACTTTGCATTCTTACCATTTGGTGGTGGGTCAAGAAAATGCGTTGGGGACCAATTCGCAATGATCGAAGCTGCTTGTACAATGGTACGTTCCATTCGCGTTATGATAATTCCTCTACCTCTTCTTTGTACTTACTGATCATTTCCAACCCAGGCTACTCTTATGAACAGGTATGACTTCGAGTTTGAAGGAAGCCCAGACGACGTTGGAATGCAAACTGGTGCTACAATTCACACAATGAATGGCCTAAGGATGAGACCAAGGAAGGTTTCGGTGAACGACCCCCTCCCTTCTGCAGATGGCTGGTGGGAGAAGCAGCACTTGAAACGAGGCCTAAGCGCTAATGGCAGACCTTTCGAGTCCACCGAGCTCCTCGAAAATCAACACATCCCGACACCAGAACGTCCAGATGACCCTGGAAATAGAGCAGCTCCTTAGTGTTGTAAACGAGTACAACTTCATAGCAATGTCCCTAATAGAATTGAAAGTATCACTATTATTTTGCATTTCTACTGCAGATTGAGCCAGAAACGCCGCAAATACGATCCAGATATTCCGGGAACTAATCGATGCACATCAAGCTCTCTCTTGTATCGACTCCAGTCTTTGGGTTTGTACCTTTCGCAGTGGGGTGTTCGCACAGATACTTCTTTTGGTCTTTGCGTAGGAATGTATCCGTCCAATCCGAATTCTCAATCGACTTCACTCCCTCGAACAGAGTCGCACCTGAAACATACATCTCTCGAACTACCGCATTTTTCAAGTTTGCTCTATTGAATTGGGCCATCTCCACGTTTGCCAAACTCAAGTCGGCACTTCACAACATTTCTGTGAGCTCAATCAAAACAAAAGTCAGGCTTTTTAAATCGAGAAGTACTTACTCTTCAAAGTTTGAGCCATCCAAAGTCGCATCGAAAAAGGAAGAGCCAACCAAGTTTGAGCCTTTGAAGTTTGTATCACGAACTATGGATTGTTGAAATGCTACGCCTTTCAGGTTTGTGTTTGAAAAATCAGAGTTGTCAAGGTTGACACCTCGAGTGATGGATATTGTTCTTCCTGATTGCAACGTACTGGCACCACCAGTGGTGATCTTGGCGTTCGCGCTGGACTCAGCTCCACTACTACCGACAGCCCATGCTGGTGTGCCCAAAGTCAAGGCAGCTACAACCCCGAATGAAGCAAATGCTTGAGCAATAGGCAATAGTCCTTCTGGCAACTGCGATTTTGGATTCTTCATTGTGTCCAAAGTAAATCCATTGGTGCTCATGGCAACCAGCAACGCGACGGTAACACGTAGCATCATGCTCAGGCTGAAGTTGAAGGGAATGTGGGAGATGAGATTTGCGGCTTCGGCTGATTTGTTGTATGCAATTCATGAGAAGCTTGGATCATCGATCTTCAGACTGCACTCGCCCTCGTACCAGGTACCACTACATGCTGAATCATCGTCGATGGATTGATTCACTCGAATCCATCGAAAACTAATTGTGCACCATGCAGTATTGCTTAGATACGAGTAGATACCAAAACAAAGATAGTGACACCTACCGATTTGGAAAGAGAATGTAGTATAGCTAGCGTAGTTATGCAAATGCATGACAGAGGAAAAGCGAAATCCAAGCCCAAGGGTTTACACTTCAACCTGTTGACTGAGGATCTTGATGAAAAACACAGGTGTAGGAAAACGGTCTAACCCCTTGACAACATTAGCAACAGTGTTGCTGCTGTTGCACTTGTCGGATCGTAGCAATCATTCTGTGAATCGTGAAGCTTGGTCCCACTTTGATCAGCAACCTTCGCATCCTTGAATTTCTCATCGGCAGTAAGCGGAACTGATAGGTCAAGGATTTCTTTTTGTTTCTGTCGAGAGTTGCATTCTGATTCTAGAGACAGGAGGTGAGGGATCGAGTGAAACAAATGGTCTGTTGAATGATCATGCAGTGCATTTGTCTGGATTTGTTCCAGTTCCAAGGATCTTGCGCTGACGCCAATATCTTCTTCAACGGTAGAAATTGCCATCTCCTTGCGATGACGACGTCCCTCTGCAGTCTTTGCTCCTTCACACGGTTCAACTCTCTTGAGTCGAAGGACAGCAGATATGTCATTCGGCATGCCTTCCTGGGCTAAGGAACGGTTCACCCATAATGCTGTTGTTGATGATGACGATGATGTACTGAAACTCCTAACGTGTACGAAGCCGTAATAGTTCAGCTTTTCCGACGACTGTTAGTCTTATAGTAGACATTTGAGCATGCAAGAGTCGCCCTGTTACAAACGTACCTGTCTTCGAAATGTTTTGAAGTTTTGAGTGCTGAAGTATTTTGGGAGCAGCTTCTTTGCAAAGACATCTGTTGAGTACAAGACAAGGAGACCTTTGCGCCATTCCACCAATCCAGAGCTTTTTTCTGCTTCAAGCATATCATAAAGGCGTCGCACAAATTTGTTGAGCCTCGGGATACCTGCTGGACTATTCGGCTTGCTCACAGTGGCTCCGGGAGCCACGTTGGCCTGGGTACTAGATGTCCTGGTAGCTGCTTCTTTTCATCAATTGTGAGCCAAAAGGGGTGAAGACAACGCGAAAAGCAATAGTGCTGTGTGTGCGGGCTTACCAGGTCGAGGTGCTAGAATCGGATGATCTTGGCTTGTCCCAATGGACGTTGTTCCGATGGCCATTTTGAGAACCCTTTTCGTTAGATTGATTGAATCTTCTTCCACTGCACTAGTCGTGTCAAGGAATGGTAGCCTCCCAATCGTTTCACGCTCGGAAGCTGTTGGGCTGACAAGCGGGACGCCCCTGGAATACAACATAGTATCAAAACCTTCGGCTCCGATTGATGTGAGGGGTGTCTTCATTACGGATTTGGATGGTGACTCAGCAATCACTGATGGCTACATTTGTGCAGATATAGTTCGAAGTCAATGAAAGATAGTTTGAGAATTGATATCCTGATCCTGAAGAGACGCTCTTGTGAGTTCATGCACTTACTTGTAGCAATTGGATAGGACAAGGTGAAAAGCAAATGCAGATGTGTTGTCGATGATAAAACTATCGAAGTTTTCTCCCTTGAAGGCGAAAAACCTTGACATCCACAAATTAAAGCGAACTGCTTCCACAGATCTTTCTTCGTACGTTACTCCTTTTATCGAACTTTCAATCTCAACAATCTTGACCTCACATGTATTTACAGTACGGTTTCCAATCATCGAACACCAATAACCGTTCCACCGATATTCAGAATGACGATGTGTCAAAGCAGCGATATATATGGCGTAACGTAACTGATGGATAATTGACAAAATTGATTTTTGACACCATCATTTTTAAAGTTAGTGCTCTCGTACGTCATAATCTGTCATTTCTTGATCTCCTATGTGTTCGACGTCAGCAACTTTTCGCAAATCACGTCGATAAAAAATAAAATAACACTCAGGCTCATCCTCTTCTATCGAATTGCTTCCTCCAGAGGCTACAGGTGCAAGTATTGCTCTAATCACAGTATTTTTATCGAACCATACATTGACAACTAAAGATTTACCTCGGACACCGCCCCTTTCGAAAAACGGAAAACAGTGAGACTACTAGTACTAGCTACTACAGCACTGGCGGAGGAAATAGAGACCAATGGATTGGTGCGGTGTATTTGGCGAAGACAAACAACTTACAACTCGAATGCATCTACTGAATGGTTCTAGTGGACGGACAATAGTATTGCTAATGGTAATGTACCTGGTACCAGGTTCTGTAGTATCGGGCGAGAATAGCTACGACTACATGTACGAGTTGTGTGCTCCAACTGTGTCCAATGAGTCAAATAGTCAAATAAACGAGACTAAAGTATGTACCGTAATGTTCGTACGCGCGGAAATCCGTGTCCACATTGCTGTTGCGTTACGCTGCGTTGTTCGGTTTCAATTTCAACAATCATAGCAACTAATGTTTGGAATGGAAAACACCGACTTCCACTCTGGAATCTTGATTTCTAGATCTGTGAGATCACATTTTGCTTGTTTGACCTTAATACCATGTGATATCCCGGACATAGCTAAAACAGACAAATCTGAATACACTTTGATTCGATTGCAGTTTTACAATCATATCAAGGAATTGCGAGCATTCTTTCGAAGAGGTTATAAGCTCGGCGATAAAATCGAAATCAGGAACTTTAGATGGGAGAACATTGGAGACAATGAGCAACAGACGTCGTGGACAAAACCAAGAATAGTCGTCGATTTCAACTCAATCGAAGATGTCAATAATCATGTAACCGTGCGCCACAGCCAATACTGGAATATGCAACAGTGTCAGGCATGGAAAAATCATTTGTATCCAAAATTGAATAAGAATAAAGTCCAAAAAGAGCAATTGGAAATTTCGGAAACAAAGGCAGAAGGGAGCTGCGATGACTGTAGGCACCATGGCAGTGGTCTGGCAAAAAGATTTCAAGCATCCATAGTTGCTTCGTTTCTTATCCACGCTACGATGTTCAAACTTTCCCACTCGGAAGACAAGTACTGGCCAGGAAACATTGTTCCAGAACCAAATGAATGGAAAGAGGTATTTGGTGACGAAAAACACCAAGGATTGAAGCAGAAAGCATTAAACTATTTGAATTCAGGAGCTGGTGTTGTCGATGCCGCAGGGGGCTCAGGTCATGTGTCAATGGTATGTACTTCCCCCTATTATATTCTGCCATAATCGAGATGACGTCAGGGCTCACATTGCGTAGGCTCTTGGGATGGAAGGTATCAAGAGTACTGTTGTAGATTCTAGAAGTGCCGTTGGTAAGCTACCAGGACGGGACAGAAAAATCTGGAACAAAGCCTTGAAGAAGAAGAAAGTCACCACAGAGGTAGAGGTACCTGGGTTGAACTATTGCCAAGTCATTCCTTTTGATAGCCACAGGGCATGGTTTGGCTCCCGTCCAGAGGGCGTTGACAAGTCGTTTCGACACCCTGATGAAGATGATATCCTTCTTTGCGACAAGGATTCGGAATTGGTGAAAAACGCGAGCGCAATCGTTGCCCTTCACCCCGACGAAGCCACGGGCGATGTCGTAGAGATAGCTGCTGAGAAGAGAATCCCTTTCGCTGTGGTTCCTTGTTGTGTTTTCTGTAGATTATTTCCACAGAGGCGAAAGTCAAATGATCAAGCTGTTAGTTCGTATGAAGACCTGCTGGAATACTTAATGAATATTGATTCCAGCATTCGACAGTCAAAGCTTCCGTTTTAAGGAAAGCACAAAGTTCTTTGGTCAACATTTTAGGTCAAAACTATACAACGCCGAATTTACATATTTGCTAGGGTAGCAGCCGACCTAGTACTCTCTTGGCGATATCTCTTGCTCCCACTTTATCATATCGACTCTTGAAAGTTCCAGTAACGAAGTTGATTCTGTAATAGTTATCAATGAGTTCTTCGCATTGTGCAAGCTCGAACGCAGTGCCTCGCTTCATACTCGAAAATATCGAGTCAAGAGAAACCCCCAAAGCTGCTTGCAAGTCTTCGGCAGACTTGGATGCCTTAGATGCTCTGTCAATGGACTCTTGCACCGATGTCAGCAGTTCTTCGGTGAGGATGTCGTCGCCGTTTTCCTTAGCTTCTGTCTCTTGTATGGACGAGAAGAAGGACCTGAACCCATGCTTTAGTTGCTCAAAAACCGATCCTGATTCTAAAGAACCAAATACTGTGTCCTTCACTGATTCAGCACTGGATCTGGCAGTGCGTAGAAGGCTCCCAAGTGACTCCTGGGGCAGTTGTTCGAGATGCAATTTGCGCAGAGCGACTATAGAAGAAAGACTCTCAATCAATGCATCGTCTTGAAAGGGGAGGAGGGAATATACCGCCAAGAGACGACGAATCACTTTTGTTTGCAAAATTGCAGCATCCTTCCTCGCAACTGTGCCAATACATGCAAGAATAGCATCACAAGATTGTTGCAGGTCTTGCTCAATCGAGGCTTCGCCGATTTGAGGCGGTGATTCTTCTCCTAAATATTCTGTTTCACCAGTGGTGGCATCCGAGTGCTCTTCGCCCCTTTTGCCTACCTTCTCGCTCTTCAATATCTCTGACGAAGGTGGGTTGCCACTGCTTCTTGATGCATCATAAAGATGTCCTGGAGTCAAAGCTTCCTTTAGCAATGCAATGGACTCTGCGACGTAGCATAAGTCGTGGGACTTCAACATTGAACCTTTTGTTAGTATAGCCTTGAGGATGTTCAGAAGGAACACTTTATCGGTTGCGAGATAATTCATGATCACAGTCCCTCGAAGCTAGACAATTGGTGAGAAAGTGAGCTTTCCTTGAACCATTCTTTACACTGAGAGCACACTTACAAGTTTTAAAATTGAGGGTAGCGGGAGATCCTCTACTTCTGAAGGAGATAAGAGCGCCGATTCGCAAACAAAATGCCTCCGTTTGTAGGCTGAACACTTGGCATCGTCATTAAACCGGTGTTTCACGCCAAGTTCACCCAATGACCAAAGTAAAGTACAGATCTCTGTCGAAGAAGCTTGCGTAACATCAATAGACGAGTCATTCGCTTCGGTACCATTGTCGACGGCAACATTCAACAGCTGCAGTACCTTCCGTGCAAATAAGCCCGTGACCAGGTCCGTCCGATGCCCATCTCCCTCAGCAAGAACAGTCGCTTCACATAGGCTGATGACATCATGTATTGAACATTCTTTCATCAGGCGTGCATTCTTGGAAGCAAGAAGACGGATAGCAACTCTTGTAAGCGACCATGCTCCCTTCATACTAGGATATTTCTTCGATAATCTCTGATATCCGCAGGCAGCTTTACACAACGTTGCCGGATCAACAGTTAGATCTCTCAGTAGAGGCTTTCTAGATTTTTCTAAGATGGGGGTCAAAGTACTCTCGTCTTCATCTTCCCCGTCATTCAATGCATGCTCTAGTAGTTGTTGTTTCAGTCTCGGTAAACCGAAGAAGGACGAAAACACGGAGGCGTCCCTTGTCTCGTATTGGGTTATACTCGTTTTCCCTCTTTCCCACTGGTGCAAGGACTGCTCAACTGCAGCCAGAATACTCCCAAGAGCGTCCGCAACTGACAGGGTGATCATTGAATCATCGTCGCTACATAATTCCAAGAATGACCATGCTATGCGAAGCTATTCAAACAAGTAAATCGATAAGAAATAGTAACAGCGAGCTTGTGACTGACAAATAGCTTACCATATCTTCCGTAGCGAAGAGCTCTGGATTTGACGCTGCGGCTTCTAATGATAGCCTTGCCAATTCCATCACTTCGGTGTTCCTTTTTAGCGTTTGTGAATGCATCGAGTTTGTCGACGCAATGTTCGCCATAGCCCACGCCAGTCGACCAAGCTCTGGGGGTTGAAATGATTCCAATATCTGAACGGACTTTTCACAGTCTGATGATTGCCCTTTTGTAACCCATTGTAGTGCACTATGTGATATCCACGACAAAACACTAAACGAGGCCAAAATACGCCCGTTGGAGTGCGGTTTGGTTGATATGTCTGAGGATTTCGATATTGCCCATGCGAGATTGGCAAGATCTCCCCCGCCTAAGCGTTTCGTGCCGTCCAGTCCCAACCGTTCAATCAAGCGAACGACTATGCCGACAATGCGCACTTGCAATGGGTCTCTAAGCTCGGTCACCGACCATGCCATGCTTGCTAAATCATGCGGCGTAAAGATTGGAGAAGATTTATATCCGCGGGGTCGAGCCACTCCCTCACTAGATAGCGCTTCAATCGAATTGGTGCCCGTCACACTTGCAGATGCAGTAATGGTTTCTTTCTCAATCATTTCTTTGCCTGGAGCACTTGCAGAAGCCAGAAGTGCTGCAGCATCAACAACTTCTATTTCTTCGACATTTTTCTGATTTGAAAATGTGGAATTCTCCGCAGGAAGAATCTCGCCAGTTGACTCAAATGGATCACTTGGCTCCATATTAGAGGCAAGTAATGATGCGGCATCAACAACTTCCACGGTTACCTCATCTTTGTCGCTTTTGATTTTGATGCTAGAGGGAGATTTTCCATCAACATCTTCTAACGATAGCAGAGAATCGTGCTCCAGCCACTCGAGCAGCCGATCAAAAGCTATTTCTCCTAGTGCTGAAGCTGTTTCAGAAAGAGTGATCTCGTCCGATGCTGATGTGTTGTTAGATCCATGAAGTGCAATAGCCCAAAGAACATCATTCACTTCCGTTGGAGAAAGCCAGTCGAGAAACGCATCCTTTCCATTCCCCGTATCCTCCGAGCGGGCATAGGCGGTCTCATTCTTAGATGAATCGATTTCATTTTCTGGTGCTTGATCTACGTTCTCAGCATCGGCCAACCTATCAACGACATCGTGTACACCAATCGGTAGGCCGGGCTCATAATCCGCAGATTGAGCCCTTTTTCGCATGTCGATTGGGTCTTGACAAAGGATCGAACAACATGTTTCAAAGAGCGGAACACTCCGCAGTCCAGTGCATGCTTTCACGCATGCAAAGGCCCACATTGCAGTCGCGGCGTCCTCGGCCAATTCTTCCACCACTTGATTCAATCGCTCGCTTGTTGTTATGTGCGCATTAGAAGGACCAGAGAACAGGTCATCTTGTCGGATAAGTTGGAGCCGCGCCAGTAGGAGCTCACGGACACGGAGAGATAATGCCAACAGAAGATCTAGTATTTTGACATCGGCAATAGTCTCGAGATGAGAGCATCCGAGGACACTGATCCCCCAAGCGGCTCTACACGCATCTCTCACGTTGAGTCCATCATCAATGTGGGCATCTTCTTCATCCAGAACTTGCTCAATGTCCGCGACAGCATCGCTGTTTTTCTCCAATTGCCGGTTTAACGACTCCTTCTTCCGCTTCTGAATGTTGACTCCGTTGAGAACGCATTCTACAAGTTGTTCAAAACGCCTGTCAGTTGTTAATTCTGGACCAACGGAGTGCGATTCTTCTGTGCTACTCGCCCTCATAATTGTTTGTTTGTCGTAAATCTCAGAAACATGAGCCAGAGTTCCGATAATGCAGGCTGCGATGCTCGAATCTATATCGGATCGTGACGAATGTACTCTGAGGTTGACATCGGGCGAATGCTTGATGGCAGGAATCTTTGGTGCCAGAAAATGAAGGAGCTTTCGGGGGTGAGGCAATTTCTTATTTTCTTCTTCTACAGCCAATTTCAAATCCTGCAAATAGTCGGAAGACCGGGTGGTTATCAACTGTAGCAACTCAATGGATTCCAATTTCAGGTCGATGGAGGACCGTCTCAAAAGATCAAGGATGACATCCTGGGTGCATCGGTGCCCCTTTCTTGTCAGTGTTAGTATAGTAGTGCTGTCTTTCTGATTTGTGGCCTCAGGAATTTCCAATGGTGATGAGGTTGCTTGGTCTACTTTAAGATGCTCTTCAACTTCCACGTTGTTATGACTAGAACCACCACCACGAACTGTAGTACGAACTGTATTGGGAAATTCCCCGTCTTTGAGATCTTTATATTGTCGTACTCTATATGTGGCCCCTGTATTCCTTATCATCCAACCTCTCCAAGCCTTCCATGATCGTGATATTGTTGGTGACGCCGATTGACCAAACGGAAAGCTTTGGAAGTAGAAAACCAGGATAAGGAAGGCCTTTGCTCCAAAGATATTCATTTGAACGGCTGAACGATAATCAGTTCTTTATCTTGTCTTGACAACCAATTCAACGCCCCTTGATGGCTTGGGCTATTGTTCATTCTATTTCAAACGAATAAGAGTAGCAATATCCATCAAAATCATCACAAATTTAGAAAAAGTGGGTACATACTTAGCTTCCTTCCACGTGGAAAATCTGCAAGAAATGGGAATGAATGTAACTCAAGTTCAAAAGCAATGTTCATACCGGTACAACAGCAAGCTACTTTATTCATCAACGGAACGAGGTGATGAATCTGTTGGATCAACGAAGTGGGGCATTAATTCTATGGGTTTCGTTTGTTTCTTAACTATTTTAACAGATGATGTCGCTGCGATCGTCCAAAACGAGGTGAATGCTCATTATTTCGCTTCGAGCTCCGCCTCTCCAACTCGACAGACGACGCAAACAGCTTCGTACCACCTTATTCTTTTCCAATATCTACAATACAGTCCTCGTGTGATGATAATTTTATAATGTGACAAGCAGCCAGAAAAATTAATTCTGCCAGGGGAACTTGAAGCCACCTTCCTTTCGCTTTCTTTCCTTCTCTAGGTCAGCTTCATCTACCCAGCCGCTTTCGAAGTAGGGCATAGATGTTTGCTTGCTTTTGCCTTCTTCATCAACAAGATTGTTAGCTTCAAGAGAGAACATCATTTTCCCTGTATCTTTATCCACTCCCTCGAAATCTCCAAGGAAAGGAGCGCCCATACCAGCAGTTATTAGTTGTGCCAGCCCTTTAAGACCGATCTTTTCCTCCTTATCACCCCCCTTGTCGCCATCGTCCTTTTTGGGTTGAAATGTTGGGATTCCAAAATTGAGAGCAGAGGTTTCAACTCGAGTAGACACCGAATTCTGTGCGGGAACAAATGCCTCGGCTCCGATAGCAGCCAATGCCAATAGAAGTATCATCTTGCGCTGCATATTTTGCCTGTTTTTGTTTTTTATGGGATGTAGTACAGTAGCTGGATTGAAATGGGAGGATATCTGTACCTGGTACCAGCACCCAGGTGCGACAGCTGGTGTGTGTGGTCAATTGATTGAGTTGCAGTTTCTGCTTACGTCATCAGTCGGTGGAGTCGAAGCGATTGGATTTTCGACCGCCGCCCACAAAAGAGAACCCGGATACCTACAGTGTACGTCATTAAGATTCACATTCTAGGCCACGTCCAAGAGTTGCGTGGTACTTCGACAAGAACAACGAATCGATCGGCAACGACGACCTTGAATCGGAATCCCACGTGCATTTGCATCAGATACTGTCAATTCTCACTACCAGATACACCACGATGAAGACATTCCAAAAAATCGCCTTTCTTCTCATTGTTGCCCTATCGGCCGTGAACGCATTCACTTCGGTTTCCTCCACCTCTGGATCCAACTTTGTCGTTTCTCAACGAAGCCGCGCTGCTCAAGCAACTGCGTGCCCCGCACGCAGCGGAGTTTCCAGCCTTCACATGGGAGGGAAACAATCCAAGTTTGGAATCTTCTCTCCTGCAGTTTACGGAGCCAAGATTGTGTTGGGAAACGACAAGCTCCTCAAATTGAGAGGACAGGCTATTTCGTTGCACAGTCAAGCTATTGGAGAATTCTGCCTCTGGGCTGGTGCTTACCACCTGAGAACGAAATTGATCAAGATGGCCAAGACCAATGGTGATACTTTGGGTTTCTTGGTATAACTACGAAATCTTATCCAACAATCTTTATAGGATGATCCAATCGATTGAAAGCTTTCATAACGATCATGCGTCCTGTGATGCCAGACCTAGCAGGTACCTACTGTACTAGACCAATAAAATATAGAATTGAAACCATGTGAAAGCTGATATGGGTGACCTGCAGAACTCTAGATTGGTGAATGTATGAACGATGTCATGAAGAATTCAAGAGTGGGTAATTTTTTAAAATGCAGTGCCGCGTTAATAAAAATTCAAAATGGAAATTTACGGTTTAGGAGTACGAGTAGTTAGTCGATTTCAATGACCTCGATTTCGTCATCATGACTGGTCTTTGCTCTCTTTGCTGGTGCTTCTCCTTCTACGTCCAGAGCGGGGCGCTTCTTATCCCCATTCTCTGTCTGGGCCTTTGCTTCGTCTTCGTCAATCATGACTATTATATCATCGTCATCATCATCGCCGTCCTCTTCCGTAGCAGGCTTGGCTGCTGCAGCAGCAGGAGGAGGCTCTGCTGTTTCTTTCCTTGGGGGCTCGTGACGGTGGGGTGGAGCATCCCCTACAATGAAGGGATTGTCATCTACCTCATCGCCTTCCCAGACATCTTGGTGCGTCACAGTTACTTGAATTGTCAAGTTTTGCGAAGCGTCGTCAACTTCTACGACAGATCCGTGTTGAATGCCACCGCAAGGCAGCTTGGAGAGTACCTTCTTCAAATTCGATTCATACTCTTCGGAGTCTGCGCCATCCCCTTCTTCCCAGATAAAGTCTCCACCAAGTATGATGGTAGGCTCTTCGAATCCCAACCGTTTCTTTAGGATGAGTTTCAAGAATAGTTCCAAGGTAAACTCATTCACATCTAAAGTCAAAGGAATGTTAGCGTTCTTGCAGACAAAGCAATTGGGATTCGGAGGTTCCAACTGGCTGGCTGTAATGTAGAGGCCATTTCGTGTATTGTTCCGAATGCAATTGATGTACTTGCAAATGTCTTTGAGATCCAGACCATCTCGGTTATCTCCCTTGAGAATCTGTTCCTTCAGAATCTTGAAACATTGTAAAACTTGGAGTCCCGCACAAATGGCATTGGTCGTGGCGATTGCAGGAATGATATTTCCTGCAATTCCTTTGGCACTATACAGGGACTGCAAAGGATCAATTCCAAACACGTGACTTCTCAAGTTCGAAGTAGCGGTTACAAAACGCATTGCCATGTCTTTGATTTGTTTGATTCAAGGAGAAGAGCGAAAATAAGATGAGAATATTCTTCAAGATATTTTAAGAATCGCAAAACCGCAAAGGAAAGCAAAGCACGCACCATCATCCTTGTCGAAACTCTCCAAGACTTCGTTGCGTGGCATTTTGGCAGCCATGCAAACGCAATCCACCAGCTGCGCCACACAGTGCTCCGTGGACCAGATATTGGTAGTCGAAGCCGAAGCACAGTCCTCCGAGCTACTGCAACCTTTTTGTAGAGTGTCATTGGAGAGTGGTGTGGGTGTCTTTTTAGCGGCCTTGTACCGGCCCATATCCAGCTGTTTTTGAATTTCTGTCACGTACAAGGCTTGGAGGACTTCTTCCACTGCTGCAGCGATTGCTTTCGGGTCGGTACCTTCGTCCCAAAGAAGCTTTCGTAGTTTCATCACAGACTCCATATAGGTACTTGGTTCTTCTCCTTCTAAGTCTTCGTAGAGCATACTCTCTCCTTCCTTGGAATGAAATAGAAGCTTATAGAGTTCTTTACCCCATACAATTGTATGAACCGGCATACTAGGGGTCGATCGAATGGTACAAATGGGATAGACCTTTTGGGTTTCTTGTGTTTTGCATTCATAACAAGCAACTTGACTTGGTTTGTGAATGACAGTAACTTGTCCCAAATAGCCAGTTGTTCCAGCCTCAACCAGTGGGACACCGGCTGCCAAGCACAACCGGTTGACTCTTCGCCGGGCTTCAACATTGTCCAAGGCATTGAGTACGAGGTTGAATTGTTGGATAAATGGAACGTGAAACTTGGATGCATCGCAAACATTGCCGTGATGGGCCTTGTAGATTACCTCAGGCAGGTTATCACTTTCCCCACCTTCCAATTCAGGCACCATATCATGAGCAACTTGGCACCCTACGGTACATTTGGGCATCCCAACGTGCTGGCTTCGGAAAAGCAATTGCCGATTCAAATTGGATATGTCAATGGTATCCAAATCAATGACTTCGACATGTCGAAAACCACTGAGACTCAGATCCTTGAGCAATTCGCAACCAATGCCACCGCCACTGAACGAAGGATCAGAATCGAGGGGAAGGATTAGATTAGAATGGATCAGTGAACAGACGTGGGAGAGTTTAGACGCAGTCCAAAGTAGAACACATTTTGACCCCCCATCAGAACCAGAAAGATACAAAGGGAAATAACACTATCTGCACTGTACCGTGGCTCCTTTCCGACAATCGCAGTGCCCCGTAGTCTTCCAAATCAACAACTTCAGGAACGACTTACCCAACCAACAAGATCTTGGATGTTTGGATCTTGTGTAGCATATCTTTGCCAACAGTGGCTTCAATTCCTGCTAACGGATTCATAATTCAACCAGCAGGCTACTCGTGGAAGCAATGTTCTTACTACCGGTTCGATGCAGACAAAGAGGAAAGCTTTTCCCTTGGGATTAGTTTCGGGGTTGGGAAGCAATGATGGTTGTGTGTTGAATGAATGTTCCGGTTTTTCCCTGCGATCGAAGTGGAAGCGAACGAAGCACAGAGCGGTGTTCGAACGAGTCAATTACTGATTTTATGGCGCCATTCGAACTCACTGATGGATGATATTCTGCTTCGATTATTGCATCCAAACACCATTTCATTATTAGACGGATGCGGCCCCTGGAAACAAGCGACAAGCAATATCTTATAAATAGCTTACCAACTATTTTATTGAAGGATTGTTCAGGTCATAAAGAGAGATATCATCTTTTCTAGGTGGAATACTTGCTCGCGCATTGGGCACAGACATTGCTGAGCACGGACATTGACGACCTACCGGTAGTAGTAGCTACTCATATCCGTATCCATGTGCGTGAATGATCGAATTATATCCTTTAACGCTTGGTATGCCCAGAAACGTTCCCTGGTATCAACTTCAGCATCCGATACGAAGGAAAAAAACAGTTCCGCAATTGTTTCTACGCCCTTGATGGATCTACGATCGGCAGACGACCGCGCCAAACGACGACTTGCATTTCCCAACGATACCAACTTTTCAGTGATTCCATTTCCGATTGAATGCTTGAAGGAACGATCCTTTGAACTACCAGGTAACCCCGCAATGTTATGCCATCTCCTGCACGAATGAAATAAATTGTCTAATTTCATCACCACACTCGCACGACTACTACTCTGCAACAATATCAATAAAAATGCACAGCCAGACATGTGGAATTTGCCATTCTAGTACGGTCCAGCGATTTGCCAAAGGCTTCTTCCTTTTTGTTGGGATCCACAGACAATGCTCGTAAACGAGCGCAGAAACCATGGTTGGTAACGAATATCCTGATTGATGATGCAGGGCTCTGGGAGCAGGCCGAGAAACTAGGTTTGGTGCGATGTGACGAGGAGGAGGTGGCCTATCCATTACCGCGACTGTGGCAACCTGACAAAATGGTGGAAACCGTCGTACTGCCACTACTCATGGAATCCCTGAGAAGCGTGGAAGATCCGAGCTACAAACAAGAGGGAAATATGACGAAGTATGACCACGCTATCGAATCGGACTACGAGGTTTGGGATTTGGCCAGTGGGGCTGCTCGAGACGTGACATTTTTGGCCGAAGAGTTGAAGGCGGCGCAAGTTCCGTTTCGACGAGTGGTGGGCATTGATCATCGGTACAATGCCAAGGAGCAGGGGATAGTGAATGCATTCTGGGAACGACGAGGGGTGGGAAAGTTGACATCGTGTATCAAGATGGATTTGTCCACCTTAGAGAAGGGTGCAGAAGAACTATTGAAAAATCGAAAAGTAATCGCGCTCTTGGCAGTAAGATTTTGGAAGCCATCGTTGGTCGAAGCCATTGCTCGAAACAGTAGTGGTAGCCTGAAGAGTGGGACAATTTTTGCCATCAGCCATTTCTGTAAACCCTACGATGGGGCACCATGGAAGTTTGAACACCCTACTGAAAAGACTGTTCTGCAACGAAGTCAACTGAAAGAACTCTTTGAAACAAGCAAGGGCGAAGATGATAGTGCTACTTGGGAGATTTTGTATGAGGAAATTGCCATGGATTCTGATCACGGCCGGACTATGATTCACTTTGTAGCCCGCTTACGATAATGACTATCATGAGCAAAACATAATTGTACAGTACGATACCGCTAGTGTGCACACTACCTGATCTTAAAATACTCCTTTTCATCTACCAAAATTTTACACGTCGTCAACAGACGAAATTTCGAATAATCGGAACCTACAGAAACGACCAATCAGAACAGAACACCATGAGAATTTACCACATCACCAATCACAGAAGGTCCAAGCTACCGGTCCACATATTGTATTCTTCTACACCCAACGTTAGAATTCTGTTTTGGAAGCCAATTCTTTTTCAACCCTCTCACTTTTTGCATCCTACTCTGCGTCGCTCAAGACTCTCCAAAGCTGATTCGAGAATGACCATTCAGAAGACTACACAGTCACGGCGGATGCCAATGTTGGCATTGCCCCTGCTGACAATGTTGTCAGTTCCAACATGCACTTACGCTTTTGTTCCACAAGCGCAATCGAATCGATGTTTCGTTTGGGATGGCTCGTCGTTGAGGGATCAGAGTTGTCCAATTACACACAACATGCTGAGCCGTGGGGAGTATTACAGTCTACGAATCAGGAAAAGAGATCGGCTTCGTCGAAGGTATGTCCAGATCATTGTTGTACTTGGCAAGCATTGGGGCAATTTTCATCGTCGTCGTTGTCGTCGTCGTCGGAATTCTCGTCGATCGTCACTGCGCCGTCATGGCTTGTTTTTCAATTGCAACAGATGCTCATTTCACGTCTCGATAACTTTTTCTTTCAAATTCTATGCACATGTACTACAGGATCAATAAGCAAGTTGGCAGTTTGTCGTTTCGTAGCAAAAAAGTGACGGCACTGTCGCTTCGAAATGAAAACGACGACGATGACGATAACGACGGTGAAAAATCCAACGGATCAAATCCAATAGAGTCCATCAAGACATCTATTGATGGAGTCAAATCTTCGATAGAAGAATTCATTCAGAAACTATTCGACAAGCTTCCTCCACCCGTAGCTGCCATTTTGACCAGCCTTTGGACCAAGTGGTGTGATTTTTTCCCAGCCTTCCGCAATGGGCTCGTTGGATTCTTCTTTGGCTGCTTTTTAACGCTGGGCGCCATTTTGGTTCCTGTCTACTCCAGCGTGGAAACCTTGTCGGAACCTGTGACTCTGTTTGAAACCATTTTGTCCGACCTCGACGCAGGATACGTCGATCCTGTCGATACGAACAAATTGTTTGAAACTGGGGTTTCTGCAATGCTCAGATCACTTGATCCATACACCGAATTCGAGGCACGAGAAGAGGCACAACAACTGACCGAAGGTATTCGTGGATTGTACGGAGGTGTCGGTTTGGTCATTGCTGGCGCGACGCCCAAGGATATTGTTCGAATGCAAAAAGCCGCATCGTCCCCAAGCTCATTGCAGCAATCTGGAAGTAAGCTACTGCCCAAAGATGCGATCGAAGACAGCAGGCAGCTGGAAGATGGTGACATGAGCACAAGCAGCAAAGCTTTGCAGGACGATTTTGACGACGAGTACGACGACGACGACGACTTTAACTTTCAAAGCAGAAAAGACGAAAAGAGAGCTCTATTGAAGGCCAGAGAACGTGGAATTCGGGTAGTTTCTGCTTTTGAAGGTTACGCTTTTGATTATGGTTTACGAGTCGGTGACAAATTGAGAGCTGTCGACGATCTTGAAATTACCGAAAATACGTCCGTGGAAGACGTTCGCAACGTTCTGCGTGGTGAACCGGGCACTATGGTCAGCATCAAATTCGACCGTGTAGGTGTTGATGGGACGCAAGAAATCGCCATGCCACGACGAATTGTCCAATTGCGAGATGTCAAGCTCGCTACATTTGTTGGGGATCCAAAAGACGGCATTGGGTATATTTCGTTGTCTGGCTTTTCTGCCAATGCAGGTAGCGAAGTGCGCCAGGCGATTCTCGGATTGGAACAGACCTATGAAGATATGACCAATGGAGAGCAAACCTTGAAGGGTCTCGTTTTGGACATGAGAGGGAATCCTGGTGGTTTGCTAACTTCTGCCGTTGATGTTGCCTCACTTTTGGTACCAAAGAACAGTGACATTGTCTCCGCAAGAGGGCGAGGATTTCCTGGGGTCACTTATCGAAGCCGAGTTGATCCCATATTGGAGCCGACGACGAAACTTGCTGTCCTTGTTAACAGAGGCACTGCAAGTGCTGCTGAGATTGTTTCTGGTGCCGTCCAAGATCTAGACGTTGGTGTCATTGTTGGCTCGGATCGCACCTTTGGGAAAGGATTGGTGCAAAATGTTGAAGATTTACCATTTAATACAGCCTTGAAGTTCACAGTTGCAAAGTATTACACACCAAGTGGTCGTTGCATCCAAGGCATCAACTACAGCGAGGGTGGTGGACTCAATGAGGGCGAAGGCAAGTTCCGGTCGTCGAAAGTGCAAGAACGGGACCGACAGGTCTTCTACACCAAGGCAGGACGAATTGTTAAAGATGGGGGAGGTGTGGAAGCTGATTACAAGGTTCCAGCACCCAAGGCTTCGGCATTGGAAGTAACGCTCTTACGGTCAGAAATGTTTGGAGAGTTTGCTGCACAGTGGAGCAAAACCAACGAACTTACCAATGACTTTCGGATTTCGGACAAAACATACAAAGATTTCCAGGATTTTGTGGAAAAGAAGAGGGTTTCTGGGGACATCAAGTTGGACGGCATATATTTGAACGCTTTGACAGAGTTGAAGCGTGTCTTGAAGGAGAGTGGATACAAGGGATCTGAGAAAGAAGTGGAAACACTTCAGGCTAGCATTGTGAGAGAAATCAAGAACGACTTTGAGAAATACAAGGACGATATCAAGGAAGATATCACCAATAGCATTCTTGCAAGATATCTGCCAGAAAGTATGATTTTGCAACGTGGTCTAAAAACAGACAAGCAAGTCGGTGAGGCTGTGAAATTGCTCAGCAACGACAAATCATTCAACAATGTGCTTGCAAAGGGAGGTGCAAACGATCGACTAGACGGTGAAAGACTCAATCTGGCATCTACGAATGTCGAGGAAAACACAGATGACAGGGGTTCTCTTCAAGTGAAGTGGTAAGACACTAAGACAAGGAATAGACAATACTGTAATAATATGCTACATATAACCCAAAAGCGTGTTTCGCTTTCTTGCGGCAATTCATAACGTTCTTCACCAAACTATATCTACCTATGCGACAAATCGGTTGGCTGCACTAGCTTCGCGGGCAGCCTTTCTTTCTTTCATTTGGCTGATGCGATCTCTAATCTCCTGCTTTCTCGACTCGATTGTTTCTTCTTCGGAACCAGACGGTACTAGAGAAGAATCGACGCGAACTTCCTTCTGATGAACACGGCGGTTACCTTTCCTGTGCCGTCTGTACCAAGATGACTCGGGTGCAGATGACGCACACCGCAACAACTCGTCATCGGAGAGTTTCAAACAGCGCTCTGCTAGTTCGTCTACAAGATTGCTTGCTTCCCCAAGTGTTTGCAATTTCTGGTCCCCACCAAGACGATCGCGCAAGTCTGTGTGCTCGTTTAGGTATCTGTACAGAAATTTGAAAAGATGTCCACGAACAATCTTGAAAGATCCTCCGTTTCCCAACACACCTGGCAAGGGTGGAGCGACATTTTTGCAGATATCAAGATACTCAGTCGCAAAGGATATCTGTTGCGTCAGTCTTTCTCTAGGTGAGAGGCCGGAAGATTTTGGTGAGAAGACGTTTGGGGTTTCTAGAAGGGCTTCTGACGACATTGCAGCTGATGCCCCAGTTTTCCACATAACTTCTTGAATATCCTCGTAGGTTTCCATCCCACCATTGGCGATGACTGGAAGATTTGGATTAACTTCATGGGCCTTGTCAATGGCAAGCTTAATTCTATCCACATGAGCAGCACCGACTTTGGTCTTGTTCTCGACTAGAGTTCTCCCGTGTATCGTCAGAAAATTGATTCCAGTATTGACAAGCTTTGGTATTCTATAGCAGAGTGTTTCATCATCCGTCGGTAATCGTATCTTTGCAGAGACAGTAGTAGTCTCCGGAACCGAATCTCTAAGAGATGAAAGGATGTTGCAGACCAAGTCAAGGTCACGCTCCATGAGAAACGCGCCGTAGGATCCTTTTTTCTTGGCAATTTGTTGTGGGCACCCAAGGTTCAAATCAAAGCCAGTCACTTTGCCATCGGTATGCTCGAGGATCATCAAAGCCTGCTGTACCAAAAGATCTGGCTGATTTCCAGCTAATTGGACAATAAGCGGACTTGCACAGTCCCCTTCCTGTGGACCCATCGGCGGCGGAAAATCCCCGAGACATGAAAGCTGAGACCGAAGAAGATCAGGATATTTCGCCCCAGCTTCCCATAAATCCAAGTGTGACAACCTAAATGTTTCATCGTTGATATAATTTTTACAGTGCAGCATTTGTGTAAACGTTAGGTCCACATCATACTTTCGGAGGAGGTATCTGAAGGGATAATCTGAAGCAGCAACCATAGGGCTACAAGCTATGAGTCTGTCGTCATCTTTCACTAAAACAAAATATTGACAAGCGAAACTTACGCCATTACCGTTCTGATTGGAGTACTAGGATGAGATGGAAGAATCAAATCTGGAGCATTTCCGTTCTTTTGATCTGAAAGAAAGGTTTCGTGCAATGAACGATGATGCGTATTGGTCACTCTTACCCTTGGTTGAATTCTACGAAACGTAGGTGTAGTAAATGCGACAGCAGATTGTCGACAGCAGATCGTCGAGTATGACAACACCGACAACATATAGCTCCTTTTCTTCAATTCTTTTGAGCATGTTTTCATGGCTTGTATTACCTCTAAAGGGGCTCCAAGCAATCTCTGGTTGTACAGTAGTTGAACAGAAAACTAGTTCCGTACCAGGTACTATTGGTCAGTGGTAAAAATGGAAATGAAATACATCTCTGTCCTTCAACCGTAACCATCAAATCGGGAATAATCAGAAGAATTTGGAATCACGGATTGAAGTTCTGTCAGAGCTGAAATTTAAAAAACGAGAAAAACATCGAAGAGCGAGCTGTCCACTGAAACAATCTGTCGAAAAAAAGCTTGAAACATTTTCTGGCAAGATGATGCGAGAAATACTAATAATAACCATCATTATGTTTATGTTATCTGGATGGAGCAAGGCTCTATTGAGCCAACGTAGTATGGTCTGCCGACGGACGCCGCACCTCAGCAAATTCCATCTCCATGCAGTTGATGTTGGGAGGACTCAAGGCAAGGATCGGGCCAAAGAATTGAAAGTGCTAGCTACCAATTTGAAAGTAGACGACAAGAAATTGAAGACAGTTCTCACTCAAAAGCGGTTAAAGATGGATAACAACACGGAAAAAGCGAGATATATTGACTGGCTGCTTCAAGAGCCCAAGAGCAAATCAGCTAGCATGGAATTTGCGAAGACCGAATCGAGCACGAAAAAAATCGAATCGAACGGAGGGGGTCGAAGCTTTTTGTCGTCGGAAACGTTTGCGGACCGAGAAGATCTTCACCCAGACTCAAAAAGAGCTCTAAAAGAAGTTCTTAAGGTCGAGACTATGACAGAAATCCAATCCAAAACCTACGGTGTTGTAACTTCTGGAAAAGATTGCCTGGGACGAGCGAAGACAGGGACAGGAAAGACATTGGCATTCTTGGTACCCGCTTTGTCTCGCATACTCCAACACCCTCCCATGGAGAACTCTGTAGGAATCCTGATAATCGCCCCTACCCGGGAACTGGCAAATCAGATTGGGGATCAAGCTGCGAAACTGTTAACCTTCCATTCTGACATGAACGTTCAAGTTGTATTTGGTGGAACGAAAGTTCAGCGTGACATTAATCAGTTCAAACGAAAAATCCCTACCATCCTTGTTGCCACACCAGGTAGATTGCTGGATCATTTGGCATCTACTGTAATAAACGGAAGGAGTTTTGGAAATGACATTGTCTCTCGGACCCCTTTGGTTGTACTGGACGAAACAGACATTCTATTGGACCTTGGATCCCGTCGAGACGTACGTTGTATGGCCACTCTGTTGCCACTATGCATTAGACACCGTGCAGCTTATATTTTTCTTTTGTTCGCCCTCTAGATTTCCAAGATTTTGTCATATCTCCCGCCGAGAGATCGTCGACAGACTCTTCTGTTTTCAGCAACCTTGCCACCCGATCTTAAGAAAATCATGGAAGAGAATATGAAGAAGGATTTTGAGAAGGTGGATTGCATCAACGAGGACGATGCGGACACCAATGCCAAAGTGAACGAATCGCATATAGTAATTCCCTCAATGGAGCGATTCGTATCTTCTGTGGTGGAAATAGTACACCTCGCCATAAAGGAAGATCCGGGTGCAAAGATTGTCGCCTTCTTTCCCACTGCACGAATGGTGGCGTATTTCTCTGAACTTTTCAATGAAGGTCTGCAAATTCCAGTGATTGAATTGCATTCGAAGAAGAGTCAAGGGTATCGTAACAAAGCAAGCGAGACTTTTCGCTCTGCATCAAGTGCCATTTTGTTTACAAGCGATGTATCGGCGCGCGGGGTAGATTATCCTGGCGTCTCGCAAGTAATCCAATTCGGAATGCCAGACAGTCGAGAACAGTACATTCATCGTCTAGGGCGGACTGGTCGAGCAGGGGCAGAGGGGAAAGGATGGCTAGTCCTCGCACCATTCGAACGACAATTTATTCATCAGCTTAAGGATCTTGATATTCCGACAAATCAACAACTTGCGTTATTGCTGTCCGACCAAGTGGACAAAGAAGTTCATAGCATGTTCATAGCAGCAACGGACCGAATCAGAAGCAGCAAGAAGCGGCAGGCCAGTGCCAAAGGAGCATACCAAGCGTTCCTTGGAGCCTATCTTGGAAAAATGAAACTACTGAAAATGAGAAGTAAGGAGGATTTGGTGGCTCTTGCAAACGAATTCGCCTTTCAAATGGGCTTGCCTGAAGTCCCTTCGTTGGGAAGTAGAATGGTTGGGAAAATGGGCCTGAAGGGCGTCGCTGGAATAACCATAGCGCCTGAATCACCTGGTGATAATAACAATAGCTACGGGCGAAGGCAAGGAGGCGCTCCAAGAAAAGGAAATGGCATGCAGAAGAATTCCAGAAAACGACGATAGGACAATATACAATTGTAACCCAAGCAACTAGAAAGATAGTTCAGGACATGTAATGTGACATTATTGTATTCACAAGATAGCTGCAGAGCTCAGGAAAATGTCTGGAAATGGGCAGTGACGGTACAACACGAGAGTTCATTTCATTTATAGAGGTGCTTATTTCTCTATATCCCTCACAGGAGAGTCACAAAGCAAAATAGAAGAATCAAAAGAGCTTTCAAAATGTCTCTGCAAGATGCAGAGCTGTCCAATGGATCAGAGTATGAAATGTCGCAATTGTATGATTGGTATAGAGTCTCCAAATCTTCGAAGTATTGTTCACTGTACTTTGCCAACTCAGTTGCTGTACAGCTTGCCCCTGTGCATGTTGGGACCTCGTGGTGCGTTGAAAATAATCGCGCTGCGTTGGCTCCTGTCTGGCTATTGGCTGCTAGGTTACAGTCGAAGAAAATGCCGACTTCCTCGTAATGACCTCCTAGCTTTTCAAAGTGTCAGAGTCAAAAAGCCAAGAAAAAAATCAATCGGTGCAGCATTCACTAACCTTCCCACACTCCTCTTCGATTGTGTTCGGAATGTCGCTATTGTAATAGATATTGCAGAAAATTGTCGTGACATCTGGGTTTGTGTTGGTGTCGACTTTACAGAACGACGTTTGATCGAGCGTTGAAATTGTAGTCGCCATGTTTCTGTTTGCCATCTCGAACGATGAGTCATCATTGATCGTCTTCGTTTCATTGAAGCATTGTGGGCTCAACATCTGATTGAGGTCGTTACTAGTGACATGAGCGATGAGTAAGAGTAGAGACAAGATAGAGCGCATATTGAGATATTTTATGAAGAATATGGTGATGGTGGGTCATTCTTCATTTTGTTTGCAGTACCGGTACCGTTAATTAACCTGGTCTGCCCGCCTGCCTGCGGATCTCGATCTACTGGCAGACAAATCAGACTGCAACCGTACAGTAGTGTTTTTCAGAAGAACATTCTTCATGTACAATAATAACTCTATTTAGATAATGATTGATTCCTACGATATATTTTGCGCCAACCCAAGCACTTGTGTCATTGCCCAATCAATGTCCCTTATTGTCTGCTTGTTTAGTAGCCTGTTTCATTTTCGATAGCACTTGTCGACGCACATCTGGGGCTCCCTCTCGCAGAGCTTGGCAGATCTTCTCGTATGCCCCCTTGTCGTTGATTTCTTGCCAAATCAAACCTTCAGCTGTCCTCTGTCGTCTGACAAATCGACCCCCAGCTGCTTTCACAAGATCCAAAATCTTCATGGCAATATGCGGCTTGTCGCTACGTTTTGAACACAGATAGGTCGTTTGATGGTCTTCCACCAGCTCACGAAATACTTGATTTCCGTAGTGGAAATTGGTAGGAGCACCACGCCCACATACAATGTCCAAGGTACGAAGGTCACGTTTGGATTCGATCGAATCAGTGACCGCCGATGATGTACTGCTTGGAGTTGGGCAAAGCTCTTCGCGGCTTTTGGACGGAGAAGGACTAACTTCTGCCGGTGCAGTTTGGCTATACTTTGGCGCCTCCTTTACTTGTTGACTTTTGTGTTGTTCCTGATATGGTGGTGCCTCTTCCTGGTGCTCTTGCGACTGGTGGTTGTGATTGTAGCTGGGGTGCGCTGACGGAAAAGGCATTTCAGGGTAGTAGGAGCAGTAGTTCGAAGGGTGCCACTGACCGTCATAGCTAGACTTTTCCGTGCCGTACCAAGAGCCCGGTGTCATAAAAGGGGGGAACCAGGATGATTGCTCTGCGCGTGTTTGTGGTGGTGGCATCTTGTAGGGTTCACCATTGGGATAGGGAGACATGGGTCTGAACTGACCGTGATCATCATGATTGTATGGGGTCAAGTTAGGCTGCGGATCGCGACGACCAACTTTTCGTAGGGTGCTGATATGCTCCTGTGTATAGTGGCTACTTTCTGACATTGTGGAGGGAACCGATTGGATGCAACTCTCTGGAATGGGAGATCGATTCGAATGTCTTGGAGTTCCAATGTTTTCCTCCATTGGAAGCTGCTGCTGATCGTAAGAGGAACATGGAAGGAGATCCATAAGAGGCTCAAAGATGGAGCATGGATTGTAATATTCTGACATCATTGTGTTCGTGTTCTTTTCAGTCGACGGTTGATTGCGTTGACGATGAATTGTTTTTTGTGAGATGCCAATGACCCCAAACCCACTTCTTCCGATTCCAGTCTTGGTTTTCACCGTGATTAAGTTTAATGTTTCCATCGCCAGATCTCCATGGAGGAGGTGCACTTTGAGGTCATGCTGGTGTACCTCGGCTGCTGTCAATCACAAAATGGTAGTAATTTTGTTGGCCGTTGAACTGAGTCGTGACTTCAGTTTAACAAGTTGACTTAGTTTGGGCGATGATTTCACCTCGGCTTGCGCTGTCACCCTAGACAGTCTGTCGCAAGATAACGTTCGGACACATGTAATACCTGATAGCGTACAGACTGCCTCAAGTGGTGCAAAGAACACAGCAAAGAGCCAACCAAAGAGCTTATTTCAACCCCTTATTCAACTTCAAAATTCTGCAACTATTTCACCGTCACATCTGAAGTGCCCAAGATACAATTCAAACTTCAGGGAATTCACGTATCCTTTGTACCTAACGCGAAACTTCGAGACAACACCCGCTTCCATATTTGGATTGGCATTTTGTTGTGGGTGAAATATTTCGTTTGATCAAGTTGAAGCGGATTTGGTATCCCCTACGACTGCCACTTTAATTCTGCCAGCATTCGACACTTCTGGAACACTAGTGAACAAAGCATGTCATCTGAATCCGGGAAAAGCGACGACAAGAAAGTCTTACATGGGTTCCACATGCAGATTCCAACGCAACAACCCAAACTACACAAGAAACGAAAACGGGAGTTAGGCAGCACACTTGATCTATCGAGTTCCTCGTCTTCCAGTTCAGACGAAGATGAAGATACTAAAAGGGCACCTTCTAGCATGAAACGACTCCTTGGAAACGGCAAAGGGAGAGAACTGCACGCAAAGGAAGAGGAGAGCTCTGGATCAGCGACACCGGATGAACCCTTAAACTTGCTGCGAAAAGGGCCGGCTCACTTGCAAGCACAACAGCCCGAAGGTTGGAGAGTGAAACTCTATCGATTGAATGCGGACGGTTCATGGGATGATTGTGGAACTGGTCGGATAGCCTGTCTGTATAAGCAGCAAACAAAGGAGACCGCGAATGCAGCTGGAGACGCTTGGATTTATCAAGAGTTAAAAGAACCTACATTGTGCATGCAATCAGAAGTCACGGCTGCTGCAGCGAGAATACTTCTACGAACAAGGATTCTACTACGAGATGCTTATCAACGCCAAGGCGAGAATATAATTACCTGGTGCGAGCCGTATCTCGAGGATGGAAATGCGTCTCAGGGAGTCGATTTAGCATTGAGTTTTCAAGACAATTCGGGATGCTTGGATATTTGGCGACAGATCACCCAAGTGCAATCCAAGGCTGCAGAGCTCTTCCGTCGCGCTGGAGTTGGAGCAAGTGTAATGAACGTCGATGCGGATACTAGCGAACCTGGAGAGACAACTGTCAATGTCAATCAAACAAATGGAACGGTTGGAGCTGTCACCCACACGGTCGCTGTACCTCACCCGACATCGCTGCAGCAACAAGAGGCATGGGTGAATGTAGCATCTAAGATGGAAAAACAATCTATGGGAGGAGATGGAAACCAACAAATGCAACAAATGCAACAACACTTTGAAGATTCCTACAACGAAAACAGTCCGCTCCAGCAGCCATTAAACTTGACGCAGTCACCACAACTTCCCAACCCTCCGACCCTCCAGAAGTTGGAAGAAATTGCAGATACCATTGCTTCAATCCAGGTAGGTTAGAGCTTTGCAAGTGCTTGTATGTATGCATCAGATACACTCACCTATTTTTTATTACAGCATCTACAGCAACGCGAGGCTTTAGCGATGTTCATCTCGCAGAACGAGTGTCAGTATCTGAAATCTTTGATCTCTCTTTTTCCGTCTGCGGAGGCTCGCGGTGATTACGCGTCGTTAGCAACTCTGGCTGCTTGTGCCAAAACAATTCTACTTTTGAACGATCCTGCACTGATTGAGCTAATAGTATCCGACGCTCAAATATTTGAGGATGTATGTGCAACCTTGGAGTATGACCCCGACCTTCGTGATAAAGCAAACCACCGATGGTTTCTCAGGGAAAGAGCGAAGTTTCGAACGGTTGTTTTGATGGATGACGAGGAACTTGTCGAAGCTATTCATCGTTCTTTCCGTGTCACATATTTGCGGGATACCCTCTTGCGGCCGACGATGGATGAAAGTAGTCTTTCGACACTCTCATCATTGCAAACATTCACTCACGCGGACGTAGTTAAGGGAGTCACAAAGTCACCAGTAGAAGCCGAAGACAAGAGTGAATTGCTGAAGGATAGCTATTTGGCAAAGATTATTCGAGTTCTCGGACGCGAGTTGCTCTCAATATCTGCACTGGAGTGGGAAGAGGTGGAGTCATTGCCAGCCGAGAGTGATGTACAGGCATATCTCGTTCAGCGAGCTGAAGATATTGCAGTAGATGCATCGACAGTTGCCACACCAGCGCCGTTAACACAATCACGAAAAGCGACCATATGGAAGCAACATCTGATGCCTCAAGATGTTTCTCTTGTGTCACGTAGAGCCAGGAGGCGAGGTAGCCTCTCGTTTTTGCGGGAACTGTTCAACATGGTTCGCAACTCGCTCCAACAAACAGACCAAGATGATTTCTTTGCCGTGCTTGTCTCGATGGAAGTCGACCTCTCCTATGGGGAAGATGGGGAACTTGCAATGGAGGAAAATAATAAGGGGAAGGTGGTCAATCTTCTGTCGCTATTGGGAACGATTCTTTCTGATCCCAATATAGATGTCACTGAAAAGGGCTCTGCTTTGGAGATTGTTGCTGGAATTGCTGTTCATGATACCAGCTTGATCCGTAGTCGTTGCCTAGATTGCTACGAGTCAGCAAAGATGGAGACGTCACAGTCAATGCGCCCACGCCCAAACGAGAAAAAGCACATTATCTTTCAGTGCCCTCCAAATGACCTTCTTGCTTCACTCTTATTCCTCCTAGCTACAGAGATAGATGCAGGAGTTCTCCTTCAAGTATCGGAGATAATGCGCATAATTTTGGACACCGACATGATGGGAGATCATGGACCAATGGGTGCAAGTTTTTCTGACAAATCCGAAGAAATTCCGCCGAGTGGTCAGAATACCTCCCATGAACACCCGAATCATCAATCTGGCTCAACAACAGAGCAAAACAAGTTTCTTTCCATGTTCTACGAACATTACATTCAGTGGCTCGCTGCGCCTTTTCAATACGCTATATTCTATCCTCTTCTTCGCATGCGGAAGAAAGATGTCTCACATCAGCCGCCACGGGTGATGATGCAAGCACTTGAGGACTTTGAGAAAGGGAGTTACAACAAGAATCAAATTCTTCGAAGTGTTCCCTTGTCTGCACTGCGAAGCTCATTTGCTGTTGAGCTGTTGAGCTTTTGTGTCCGTGCTCATGTCTATAGGATGAAGTGTTATTTGCTTCGATCAGGCATTTTGGGAAGCGTCTTGAGACTTCTCAAGCCAGCAAACCCTTCCGAGCCTCTCTCTGGAGACCGATGCCTGAAACTAGCTGCATTAAGGTTCTTGCGTGAGATTTTGTCAGTAAACGACGAGTTCTACCATCGGCATATCATTCAGCATAATCTTTTTGGTCCAGTGTTCGAAGCATTTCGCGCCAACCCAGTGGGTGACAACTTGGTGTCGTCAGCAACAGTTGAAATGTGCGACTTTATACACTCCGAGAATATCAACTCACTGATCGAGCATATCGTGACAAAGCACCTCTCAGTGGAGGGGACTACGAATCCAAGTCTCGAAGATCTTTCAAGCACCTATGTGAACACGCTTACCGTCTTGCGAACAGCCTACGAGAAGAATCTCAAGGAAGCTCCTATGAGCGAAAGCGTCGACGGTAAAAGTGAAGCAACTATTAACGGTGGTACCAGATATACCGGTGGAAGTGAACGTACTATTTTGAATGAAAAAGCATCCGAGGATCAGGTAAGTTGCTGGATCTTTTGATTGCAATATGCTGAGCTATCATTTCCCTCAATGTAATCTCCTGTAGCGGAAATTCCGAGAAGTTGACAACGAAGAAGCTTACTTCGAAGGTGATGACGACGACCCGTCATCTGGAGACTATCGATCAAACACACAAGACGGTGCATCAAATTTATTCTCGTTTGTCCAAACAAGCATGACTCGAGGAGGATCAAGCTCTACTTTTGCGGGAGATCAGCAGACGGCTCAAGGAAAAATGGAAGAAAAGTGTCCTGGGAACTAGAAGCCAGAATGAACAACTCATGGTGCAAGCAGTCCTACAGCAGTAAGATTCAATTGCTGCCAGAATTGTCGAAGCAGCTTGCTTGCTTGCTTTTGGCAGTCCTTTGCACACCGCAATATTCAAGCCAACCAACCAAGTTACAATTGATCCACAAATGGCGGAGGAAAGTATATAAACTAATTCAGTACAATGAGAACGAAGTCGATGGAAACTGCTGTTCCGGTACTAAAAAATATCTCTTGCTCGATTTCACGTTCAGAAGCTTTGGAGTTGGGCTCATTTGATTCTCTGCTACCCGTTTTGGAACTGAACAGTGCAATATAGGCGGTGCAAGTTACTGCAAACAGATAAAGAAATCCTGTTGTTGAAGCCCCAACTGCTTCTGTGTCTCGTGTCTCTACTGTAACTTAATCATGCTGACAATTGCCACTGACTTCGAAGGAGCAGAAATTAACATGCACGACTAGTTTTTTAACGTTAACATTCCTGCTCACAAAATGCGGCTTCCATTCTGCAGCAGAAGAACTCGCAAGAAGATGTGGCCAAAGCTGTCAATGATTTGAGGCGGGCGCGGAGAAGGGTCAGAATGGCCAACGGAAGGAGGAGGACAAACCAATCAATACACTTACCATAATCGCTTGAACAAGTTTCCAAGTTTGCAACCACATTGGATATTTCAATGTTTTTGGGTAACCACATCACCACCATCTCATTGTAGGACACATTGAGATGTATCAATTCTACAAGGTTCCCCATCTCCTCTGGAAGCTTCGAGAGAACGTTCAGACTGACGTCTAAGAAAGAAAGGTTCTCCAGATTGCCAACTTCCGCGGGGAGTGATGCCAAGGTGTTGTTCCGGAGATTCAACTGGTCTAAAGACTTGAGCAAACCCACTTCGCTAGGAAGTTTTGTCAACTGGTTGTTGCTTACAAAAAGCGACTCCAACTCAACGAGACTTCCGATTTCAGTAGGTAGAACCGCAAATTGATTCAAACTCAAATCTAGAATTCTCAAGGAAGGACTGAGCCTTGGAACCGACGAAACCACAACTGTGTAGTTCCAAGTTGTTGCGTTCGTTTCAAACATCAGATCGTTGGTAGCGATAACATCTACGGGATTACCAGCTGTCAGATTTTGGACAACAACCATTTCACGAGATGACAGTGCATTTGCTGCAAGGTCCAAGTACTCCAGTGAATGAAGATTCACGAGCTCGGTTGGCAAGTCTGAAAGCACATTTGAAGAGAGATCAAGAAATTCCAACGAACCAAGCATTCCAAGCTCTGATGGCAGAACCGCAAGATTGTTAAAACTCAAGTCTAATGTGACCACTGACGTGAGTCTTCAACAAGAGGCAAGAGTGAGAAAGACCACATGAAATGATCAAACTGATTTGATTTCCATCCTACCTTCCGAGCTCTGATGGGATAGACGACTCTACCACCATATATGTCGCATTGGCTGATGTTGTGTTCATTGCAAACCCATCTTGAGCACTATTGCTATTGTCCATGGTGAAACTGCCAACTGTGTCGTTCCGGACGACTTCATACTCTCGCGATGACAGTGCATTTACGGCGAGATTCAAGTAAATTAATGATTGTAGATTCCCCACCTCGCTTGGCACATCTGTAATCATATTCGAAGAGACATCTAGAAGCTCCAACGCTCCCAGACTCCCGATCTCAGTTGGTAGCAGCACGAGATCGTTCAAACTCAAGTCTAGTGTGAGCATCGAAGATAGACTGCCAATTTCAGACGGGAGCGATGAGACCACAACGGTATAGTTTTTCACCACAAAGGTGGTTAAGTTCAAGTCCTGTGGGCCCGTAGTATTGCCAGCTGTGAGGTCACCCATACTGAAGTTGCCATCAGTGTAGTTGCCAATTGTACTGTTGACAACAACCGTTGTGTTCTCAATGACAGCAACCTCCTTATACGACAGGGCATTTTCAGAGACATTTAGGTAGACCAATGATTCAAGATTTCCCACCTCACTTGGGAGCTCCGTGAGAAGATTTGAGTCCAAACTGACATGGGTGAGCGATCGAAGATTTCCCACTGAGGTTGAAATCATCGAAAGGATGTTGTCACTAAGCCTCAAGACTGACAACTGTGCCATGTTTCCAATGGAGTCCGGCAACGAAGCAAGCTTGTTCGAATGCATGTTCAGGCTTTCCAAAGAGCCGAGATTTTCTCCAAACTCAGAAGGCAAGTGGGTAAGTGCATTGGAAAACAAATCAAGATTGGTCAGTGATCCCAAATTGGAAATTTCGGATGGAAGGCTCGTGAGTGCATTGTATTCCAAGTGAAGAGAGCGCAGCATTGACATCATTCCGATTGAGGACGGGATTCCCACAAGGCCGTTCGACCTCATGGAAAAGGAAACCAAACTCGTCAAGTTCAGGCCAATCGTAGTAGGGAGTGAAGCAATACGATTTGAATCAAGGACCAGATGTTGCAACGCATACAAATTTCCAACTTCGCCAGGAAGTGATTCCAGGCTGTTGTTGCGGAGGTCGAGGTGCTGGAGAGCCCCCAACTGGAATGGCAAATTTTAAAAATTGAGAACAAACTGTGCAACTAAACTAGAAGCCAACGCAACAGAAGCTTACCTCTCCGATGGACTCAGGTACCTTCACCATTCCAATCCCATGCAATTTCAGGGATTTTAGTTTGGAAAGGCTCCAGATTCCCGAAGGTGGTTCCTGGAGAATCATTTCATTCAATCCACCAGAGTTGTCCAAGGAGAATGACTCTGTTGAGGATACAAGCGTGAGGGCGGCAACGCTGATAAAGAACATTGCAAAACCCAGAAAACCTACCTAGATTGGATAGATGTTTCAGGTTGTCGAGCAGCTTGATTTCGCTTGACGGAACTCTGGTAGCTGAAATCGATAGGCCCAACACCTCTCTTCCACTTTCATCACATTCAACAGTAAAGGTATCGGAAGTCCAACCATTACAATGATCCCAATCAATTGGGATGGACACGTCCCCGGCCTCGGTATCAATGAATGCACTCAACATAATGCCCACGGCATATCTTTCAAACAGTTTGTTGCGTGCATCTACATTTGTGTTATCTTGCTGGAGACGTCGACACATGTTGTCTGAGAGTGCGTCATTACCAACAAATGTCAGATCATCCAGCGCGACAAAATTTGATGACTGCGTAGCAAAAAGATCAAGGACACACTGTGACTTTGGAACGTCCCAATGTACTGGTAGCTCCGGCACAACTGCCGTTCGAAAAGGTTGATCCTGCTCGTCGAACGTCAAAAAAACACTGGTACCGCGTTGGAGTGACGAAAATCGCAGAGTGCATGCGACGCCATGGGGAATCCTGATCCTTTCGGCAAAGTTTTGAGCGACGTCCCCGTCTTCTGCATATTTGAATGTTGGACTCTGCATATACACAAAGTCGTCACACTCCACATTGATTGAAGGGAACTCAAAAACTGACTGATTGGTTTCGGCGTCGAACGAACGGTGTGGCCTCACGTCGAGGGTGAATGTTGCGAAGCTAGGGTCGGCACAATTCTCGTATCCCAAAGGGTCTGTACCTTGCAGTCTCGTCGCGTTGTTCTGGAAATCAATGCCAAATGGAGTCAGCATATGATGGCCAACACACGAATCGCACGTTCCACCACCTGTTTAAAAGCAGAAAGCAATGAGGGGATGACTGGACAAGAGGTGCAACTAAAAGAATTACAACATACAGCAGTCTCCACCTGCGGAACAAAAAGAAAAGAATTGAGGCGACGATTGCATACGATTGCATAGAGAGGTTTTATCAATGAATCATGCCATAACATACCATCGTAGTCGTTTTCGTTGTTGTTGAAGTAATCGTTGCATCGTCCTAGAATAATCAACTTGAGTGAGATCGATTGCCAAAAGAAATAAACCAAGACCACTGTGTTCAATCTTACCGTCCCCCAGAGGCCGTTCTTGACACAATGGGCCTGCTGCCCCATGGGCACAATTACAAAAACCAGTTTCGTCTAGTCGGAGATAACGCAGTTTAGTCCATTAGTACAAAATAGTGCATGAAGGATTTCGTTTCCCAAGAATCAGACTTACCGTTGCAGATACCTTCATGAAAGCATGGATTGGTCAAAGCATTACAATAGACACAGACAAAAACTGTCTCAACTGGGCGGGCCAGGTCTGCCGATGGAAAGTTCAACGTGGCGTTGGTTTCGAGTCTAGGGAAGTACCACTGCAGGCTGAGAGGTGTCCCTTCATCGTTGGCAACCTCTACAACCTCGCTGATATATACTACCCAATCAACATCCTGGTTCAAAACGCTAAAACCTTCCTGTCGGTAGAAGAAATCTTCCAGATCCTCAACTGTCAAATTGGCGATATCCCGCAACCCAGAAATTCGGCCACTTTCGGTCTGTACCCATCGCCGTCCAGTAAATAACGCTAAAGAAAACACTACTCTCTCCTCTCCTGAAGTGAGATCATAGTAGACTGGATGTGATAGAGCATGGGGGATGCTTTCTCGGGATGCGAAACTCTCACGAACATTCAGACTGCCAAAGAAAGTGGAATCGTCTGCATTCTCACTATCAGCGAGACTCACCGTCTCACAGGAATCCCGAGTGGCCTCAAACATGATCCTGCCGCACTCAGATGATGCATTTTCAACCTCATTAGCTTCAAGATAATCCATTGGGAGTCCATCAGCCGTATACCATTTCGATGCTGTTGCTTCCAGAACATCAAAGGTCTCGGTTACCAAACTTCTGATCAACCAATCATCACAGGGGTCCCTTAGATCTCCAATATAAAACGTCCAGCCCCCTTCTCCGTCGTCAACATCATCGCAATAACCAAACTTTCCGCCTTGGTCCTCAAAGCCCATCTGGCGATAAATGAGCCGGTCGTTCCCGAAACTTGAACGATGAACCTGGTAGCATCCGTTGAAAAGTCCCATGAATGGTACTACTTCATCGCCGAATTCAACTTGCAAGTCCTGCACAGAATACACACCAGCTACTTGTTGACCCATAAAATAAAAGTAAAAGAAGAACATGACCACCAAAATGAAGAGAGAAGTGAAAATGTGAAGAATTTTCTTTTGACAAATCACAATTTGTACCATTCCCTCGCGGCGTCCTTCTTGATAAAAGTCTGTCGCTCGTTGAGTGAGGGCATACTGTTTGACCTTCCCTCCAAAATATCCAGTTGCGGACAGCCCAAACGCCATATCATCCAAATCAGAGACAAATGCAACTCCTGTGGGAAAAGAGGTTAGCGTGTATCATTTGAAATCTCATTTGAAACATAGCGGGGGGTGCCAACCGCAATGTATACTCACCTAGGAAATTGAGAAGCACATCAAAGACTGTTTCTGATTGAATCAACAACACAAAAGCGGCAAACAAGTTCAGCGATCCCTGAATAATACGAATGATACAAGTAGCATTCCACTGTGTGGTGGTGATCTTTGCAAATCGATCATCAGGTCCTTTGAAATGCGAAGGTACTCCATTGAACAGGGTTTCAATTCCTTGCAAAAGATCGGCCTGGCTGAAAAGGGCTATAAAAATGGCCAAGGCTTGTGATAGACGGACCGTCAGTTTGACATTGGCCGGAAGCATCATGGGATTCTCGCTGTATTGTTCAATTAGAGAAAATTATCGTGAACCAAAATGGCGCAAAGTACGGTACCCCTTGAAGTCATCAGCTCATGTTCTTACCCAGTCCAATCAATCTGATCGGCCAACAATAAAATGCTTAAACTAGTTTGAAAAGCAAAAATCACAACGAGGGAGAAATAGAATGGGCTCGAGTTCCACTTCGAGGTGACCAATATGGCATAGACATCTTCTTCAAACTTGAAGGATCGCTTGTCCATTTCATGTTCAGATGGCTGGTCAATAGCAGCCGGTCCCAGGCCAATAGATTGCCACTGACCGGCCTCGTCATAATTCGCAGCTGGATCTTTCATGTTGAAGCGCTTCATAATTTCTGGTTCCGCCATAACACGACTTTCCAGCTTGTCGATCTTTGCCTGCATTCGACGTTCAGACTCTTTGATCATCCTTTTCATTTTTGATTCCAAACTATGGCCAGATGAGCCACTCTCCTCATCCGTCGCAGAGCGGCTATCCACTTCACCGTTTCCCGAAACGACGGATCCATCAGCCATGCTCATTTTCCACATGATTTTCTTCCTTGGGAATTTCTATCCATCAAATGCCTCCAAAAATAGCTCGAAGTTCTTTTCCCTTCGATTCAGCTTCAATCGTATGTACAATGCCAATGATGACTGCGTTGCGTCCATGTATAATTGCGATGTTCAACTTTCTCTTGATCTTTTTTTCTACTGTACATGTTGGAGAATCTCCAGAGCCTGTTTACTTGCCTGGCCTACTTTCGCAATCATTTTGAACCCGAAACTCTACATAGAGTCTTTTTATTTATAAATCTTGGAGAATTGAGTCTTGCTTGAAATAATACAGAAAAAGCACTACGACAGATGAGAAACGGTTCCTGTGAGGTTTGTACAGTACCGTACAAATCATACACTGTACATTTTGTACGTGTACCGGTTCTTACACTTTCCGATGAATGAATGAATGAATCAATCCATTATCTACATTTTAGTAACGTTTTTCTTCTAGTAGTTGTCATCCACCGTCTGCAGCACTCCAAAACTATGGTTGCACTGTCACATGCCGGTATATTGGTTCTGATATGGATATCCAATTTGGTTTCTCCTGAACACGATATTTTGCGACTACCTATTGCGAGTGGATTTTCACTTAAAGAAAGTAAATCGCCAACGCTTGAAAGAGCTGCTGCAAAAGCTGAGGCCAAGCTTAGAGATTTTGCAAAAAAAGAGAACGCCATCATCGTTGTCGATGGTAACAACGTGAGAGGAAGCGCAAAATTCCACTGGAATCCAGTAGAAGTACATGGACGTATTTGTTCCTTCTGTCAAGGAATCGGAATATCAAAAGTGGCTGTGGTTTGGGACCATGGGATCAAGAGATTTGCGGCATCAATACCAACCAACGAAACGGTTGAACTTGACATGGTTGTAGTATTTTCGGGCTTAACACAGCGGGCAGATAATGTCATGGTAAAGGAGTCCGCGCATCTTGCGAAGTCATTTTGTAATGAGGACTGGGCATCCCTTTGTTTTGTGACTAATGATATGGGATTACAAGGAAGATTGATTAAACGTGCGAATGCAAACTCACCAAAGATGACCTGTCCGCGGAGGCCACTATTGATGGGCTCGACCCGATTTGTGGAGATTCTGGATTCCTACCATAATGATGGAAGCTACGGTTGCGGTATCGATAAAGAGTCCTGTCGAGTATACAAAGCTCAGAAATCCTTTGAAAAATTTGCAAAATTACGAGAAGCAAAATATAACCCTTCGCGAGAAAAGACTTGGCAACGATGTGTCCTGGGAGAGGAATTACGTCGTTCATATTTATGCAGCTACCAAGATACTGAATTTTCCAATATATTCTCAAGTAGTTACATCCGAGATCTCGAAGAGCGTGGCTACTTGAATCCTTCGGTGGACGACATTGAGGAAGGTTTAGCGATTCGTGGGCCCCCTAGACTTGACAAGCGGCAGTGGGGCATGTTGATACACTACAATCAGTTCATGCAACAGATGTAGCAACTGAAAATCTTGTCGTCTTCGTTGGATCATGTAGATGGATCAATGTTCTGAGGTCTGAGGTCTGCGTCACAACTCTAGCTGTAGTGTTGTGCTGGGAATTCTGTCACCTGTTTTGCAACTTTGATATGGGACTTCATGGGCACAAAACCCTGGTCCGATTGGCTGTGCAGCAAATCCTTGCTGCACCATTCGACAGCGAAAATCAGAAATCCGTTGCCTGACGTTTTCCTTGGCAATCGAAATATCACCAGTCCACAGTCGTTCAGCCATCGCAGACACGCGTGGATATATTCGGCTAATGAAATTGCTTGCATCGACATGCTCTCCCCACATACTTGCGTGGCCACCCAATAGTAGATCTGTGCGTCCGGTAAAATTACTCGGATTACAGGAGTAGAAGTTCTGCCAATCCAAAGTAAGGTGGTCCAAATACCAACAACCAGACAGTATCACCTTGAAACCTCTTCTTGTTGCATCACTCATGGTCTTTGTATCAAATCCTTTCCAAACGTCAATGATTGTGGTCGCTGTTAGTGTCAAGTTTAAATTAAATACCTCCTGCCACACAATCGGAGTCCGACCAACTTTCTCCACTATTTCCAGTAGTTGGGTTTCAAACAGCTCGAAAAGGCCTACACTCGAACTTATATTGTGTTGCTGCCTCCAATGCACAATGTCCTTGGAGTTATCCCAGCAACTCAGATCCACCTCATCACCCCCAACGTGGACAAAATCGTCGACAAATACATTGCGCAAATCTTGATAGATGTCTCTTATGAAGTCATAAACTTTTGGGTTTGTTGGATCGAGGGGGTCTGAAGGATGAGGACAGCATGACCTAAAGCAGAAATAGAGTTTGTAATCACATTTAAGTCAACGCAACGGAAACAACCTCATACGTACATTAGATCCGGGCGAGAAGCAGCTATCGACTGTGTGTGCCCCGGCATATCCACCTCTGGAATCACTCTGATGCCTCGCAGATATGCTTCATGAATGACCCGCTGAATATCCTTACGAGTGTATACCATCTTAGGATGATAAGCACCTTTGACGGCCAGTTCTGGCATCGATTCGATCAGATACGGAAAGCTTTGGGAATCTGTCATGTGCCAATGTAAGACATTTATCTTGTTCATCAGCATTGCATCGAGGTTGGCTAGGATCAAATCCAGCGGCAAAAAATGCCGCGATGTATCGATCAGCAGTCCTCGGTATTCATACCTTGGAAAATCTTCGATCCCAATGGGGATGTTGCGAATAACGTATACGGCATCGTCACCTTCACCATCAAGCCACCCAAACTCCAAGAGCTGGCCCAATGTTTCCAAGGCGTACAAGGCTCCAAACACATTTTCCGATTCTATGACTACTAGAGAGGAATATTCATTGATGGAGATCGTATAGCTTTCGTTGACACTGTGAGTTAGCTTCACATCATCTGAAGATATGTGTACCTCAATTGTTTCAATGGCCTGAAGTGTGTGATTCATGGGATTAATCTTATAATCGGTTGCGTAGTTTGGAAGCCGGCTCAATCGACCATGGAATCGATGGATTGCCGCATCAATGATGATTGTGTCTTGGCCAAAACATACCAGTTTGATACTAGAGGCATTCACGACACCCATTGTACGACTTTGTTCACCGTACTTCTCCAATTGTGCTGCTGGAAAAAGTCGTCGAATCGGATCACATTTTTCTGGAGTACAGGCGAGGGCTACGAGTACTAAGGAAAGGTAGAAGGCAACACAGAAAGTCTTTAGTGGCGACCACAAAGTGCAGCACGGCATGGCTTTGGAGTTCTCGTAAAGAGAAGAGTTGCAGTGTTTTCGTCATTTGACCTCCAGTTTCCCATTTCTCTTCTTCCCAATTGTCAAATGGCGAAATGGAGCAACGAATCAAAAGATCGATCTCATCCTCCACATACCACCACCACTGCATCTTGGCTGATCTTGAGCACTTGAACTTGACGTGATTCATTGCAAAATCCAACAATTCACAAACTTTGCAGCATAAAAAATGGAACCATGCTCCGCTCATTCAAGTCTCGACTGCGAAAACATCAACCACGAGATGGGCCTACATTAACATCGAATGCGGATGAACAGCATGGACATGATTTTGACAAGAAAAAGTACTACAACAAAGAGAAATTTCCACTTATACGAGAGGCTGCAGTGTCAATCTTGATGTCCATGCGTCAGTCGCTATTTTGCTGTTGCGGAATCTGGATTACAGTCATTATCATTGCAGCTTTGGTTGTTTCGTATGGTCATCATGTCATTTGTGTTTTCAACAAGGCATTCTGTACCCCACTCAGTGAATATATCTATAGGTTTCCAATGCTACCGGTACCAAGAGAATCAATCTTGAATCACCCCTCTGACTTCCTGTCTACGCCAAACAATTGCGCAAGATTTGAGAAGTACATGAAGCTTTGCCCCAAAGGCAAGCAGCTGCTTTTCTTGTTCGGGGAATCAAGAGGTGGATCAACCTATGTCTACGATTCACTCGATTTTTCGGAAAGCATCATGATGAGGGGAAAAGAGGTTCGTGGCAGATGTGCTTTCAGTTTGTTGTGACGGTTCGAATGGGACACTTACGATATCGTTGGTTGTGTTACTTGTATCGAAGCCTCTATATCATTTCTCAAATGAAATCTGCAACAACAATCCAATGCTTAGAAATGCTGAAAAGTGTACCTTTGACAACTGGTTGAATGCGCTGTACGAGAACTCTATGTATAAACACAAGGGATTCTTTGAAGATAGCAAGAATAAAGCAAAGATTCTGGGCACGAAAATCAACATTGAACAGATTCCAACAGAGTTCTATCGTGATCTTGGAGCTTTCTTACACTGTACGAAGGAAACCTCAATAGTGCTCCAAGTCACGCGGGCGGCATCCATAGCATCCTTCTTGAATTATCAGGTATGTTTATCATTCGCGCTGTCCAATTTCGTAAGGCATCAGATATTCTCAGTCTGTTGCGACGATTGTAGGCTGAAGTTCCAGAACGAATCAGGTCTATTGACCTTCATTTTGGAGGAGATAAAGTTCCAGCTCCCCTGGGGGAGCCATTGAAGCTTGATCCACATCTAGCTGCTGACTGGGTGCAGCAACGGGACTCGCTAAGTCGCGAGATCTTCCAACGCTTGGCGTTTGGTTTGTCGATTAAGTTTACCCACTTTTACTACGAACAGTTGCACGGTGAGTTTGCTGAGATGCACTGGAGTTCATTGTTTGCTTTTCTAGGTGTCGTACCAATTTCGATCGCTGAAGAACGTAGTCGACGTGTTCATACCATGAAGGGAATACGTACAAGAGAAAAAACACACGGATCAATACGTTGTGCCGATCGAATATCCAACTGGAAGGAGGTAAAGGAAGCACTGAATGGAACTTTAAGTGCACTTGTTTGCGAAACTGCTTCGTAGTGGATGGGACCAATGAAAACAAGAGGGACAGATTAATCGAAGTCTCTTCGCAACTATGGTTTTATGTATTGTGCTCTCAGTGCTCCATAGCACCCCAAAACAACAAAAGCATTGGACGATGGTATATCGAGTGGATTGTGATGACAGACATTGTTCAAAAGAGAGTACATATTAAAGAAAGAAAAATCTACAATATCATCACCCGCGTCTGGAAAACGAAATCAAGTTGCTCAGACCAAGCTTGTCGAAACCAAACCTACTTCAATTGCACATGATCCAAGCTACTCTAGAGACAGTAAATACATTTTTAAACTTCCTTGATCTCAATCTTTGTTCCCTTTCGGATTTGTCCCCAGCCGATGAGACGCCAGTGCTTATCAACACGTCTTGATAAAGCAATCTTTTCACCTTCAGTTGTACAAACCGGTTGTGTGAGAGCAATCTTAGCCAAGTCACCCTTGACGGCGTTTACTCTTCCTCCAGTAGACGTTGACCCGATATTGACCATCAGAATTTCGTTCTTCGACAGTTTTTGAACCTTGGCTTGCTTTCCACCATCACTAGTCTTAACACCCAACAGTCGTCTCAATAAGTAGTAAGAGATCTCGATCTCGCAGAATACATCAGGGAGCTGTCCCTTGATTCCAAGAACTTGTCCAACCAATCGATCGGCACGAGTTAGCGTAGGATCAATCCGAGTACCGACACCAATCAAACCACCAGGGACAGCGAATTGGAGATCGTTTTGTTCTGCATACAACGAAGAAATCTTGGAGAAGATGGGAGAGCATACCATTGTGGTGTTACCGTTGTCATCCTCTTGCTTAGTGACGATACCTGGACGAACCTCAATTTCATCTCCAACCTTGAGGACACCTTGCAAGATAGATCCTCCGGCAACACCTCCTTGCAGATCACTGACGTCTTGACCGGGTCTGTTGACATCGAACGATCGGATAACAATCAAACGTGGAACACTAGTAAAATCACGAGGGGGAAGTGGAATCTTTCGGACAATGAATTCACAGACCACATCAATGTTGTATTTCAGAACGGCAGAAATAGGAATAATGGGTGCCGAGTCAGCAACAGTTCCGGCCACAAACTTTCGAATCTGTTCCTGTTGAGCCAAGGCAGCGTCTGGCTTGACCAAATCCACCTTATTTTGAAGAATTAGAATTTCTTGAAGACGCATAATCTCCACAGCTGCCAAGTGTTCACTGGTCTGTGGTTGAGGACAGGTTTCATTTCCAGCTACCAGCAAGAAGGCGGCGTCCATCACTGCCGCTCCATTCAACATCGTTGCCATCAGAATATCGTGACCGGGACAATCCACGAAACTAACATGTCGGCGCAAACGGTAAGTCACACCCGAGATTTCATCCACAAACTCATCGGGGTGGGAGGAACCTCTCGATGTGTAGAATCCTCCTTTCGAGTCTTTGCTATCTCCCTTGTAAACTTTTGCATTTGCATAGCCGAGTTTGATAGTAATGTTACGTTCTAATTCGTTCTTGAAACGAACGGTTTGGACACCACTGATGGCTTTCACAACGGTTGATTTTCCGTGGGCGACGTGACCAATAGTACCGATATTGATGGTTGCTTGACGAGAAATCTGTCATCGAAACACACATAAAGCGAAAGTGAGAAAAAATTCCCCAGTAGAGGATTCATATCATTTTCATTTAACACTTACAACTTCAGGCGTCAATGCTGTCAATTTTGATGCATCCACAGCGGAGGCATCCTGCGGCTTTAGGTGAGTTTGCTTTTTACCTTCTTTTACCATGATATTCGTTGCTTGGTAATAAAGCTTTTTTGCAAGCAGTAGAGATAGTTCACTTTCAAGTTTCACTCCTTTGCAATCACAACCTCCAAACGTAGTGCTTGGTGTGCAGCTATGAAGGCGGGAGACGGAAAGGCAGCCGAAGTCAGACCGCACATATTGTGGCACCAATGATGTCAACTCGGATGAGTCGAAAACACAACATCCTCCATCTTGCAACTCCACATATTCAATATTATAGAAAAAGGAAAAACGATGACAACCAAAGACTACGAGACATTTTCAGACCCTTGTACAAAAGTGAGATTGACATGCTCTCAATGGATGGAAAAAGAAGGGTGCTCAGTCACGATCCAAACACAGAATCTTAGTCGATTAGCCCATGACATATTGCTACGAAAAAAGGAGAATCCAACTTGGATCCAGTGGGATGAAGAAAAGTGGCACTATACTGGGGCTGGATACAATGGATCTGAGCGGCGGCGGAAGGAAAGGGTGGCGCTCTATATATTGACTTTGGATGCGATCAATTTTTGCTTTTGGCCAAATAAGAATGCAGCTTCCAAAGATATCAACCCTCTTGAATATGAACATTTGGCTATGTCGCTCAAGCACCTGGCAGAGGCAGACCAAGAGAGTGCCGACTCCACAGAATCGCATACTTGTGAATCCTCTTATGCATTTTCGCCTGAAAATTTGTCCAAGCTTACCCCCGAATCTTTGAACGCGACATTGCAACCTCACTTGAAAGAATTGTACCTTGACAACATCGAGAAAAGGACGCAATTATTGGCAGAAGTTGGGGAAGGCTTGAAAAAGTCCTTCAATGGCTCTGCAATGGAATTGATAGAAGCTGCAAATAAGGACGCTTGTGTCTTAGTGGAGCTCATTCTACAGAACTTTCCTGGTTTTCGCGACATCGTACCATCGAGGGAGGACTTCCCGACCATCTTCTTTCTTAAGCGAGCCCAGATATTTGTTGGAGACATTAATGCCGCTCTAAATCTGAACCTGAAGAATATGGATAAATTGACGACCTTTGCGGACTACCGTGTACCACAAATCCTTCGCCATTTTGATATTTTGAAGTACCAACCGCACCTTGAAACTATTGTTGATGAAGGCAGCGAGATTCCTGTTCGGTCCAAAGATGAATTGTCAATAAGAGCGGCAACTGTTGTGGCTGTGGAAAATCTTGTCGAACATCTTAATGATAGATCCAAAGGCGAGGAGCCCTTTACCGCGGTTACAGTGGATTGGTACTTGTGGCAAGTTGGTGAAAAGATGCACCAAGACGGTTTACTGAAACCGTTCCACAAAGTTCGAACCCAATTCTACTAAAATGATAACTCACTCATGTAAGAGTAAAATATGGAAATAGGAGATGCTGTGCAGCACTACAAAATTCTTGACATTCAAAACTGGCCTTGTGTGTTGTCGATAGGAACTAGCTCGAGTTATTCCTTCTCGCTTCGAATTTGCCACATGTTTTCAGTTGGCTGGAGATTCCGAAGAGACCAGCCTCTTTCTCAATACGCAAGACGCCACCGTTGCCCATTTCAAACGTGCCAGGGTTTCGGCTAGTGGTCAACTCCACGTCTCCATATACAAGTCCTGGTGGGATCGAATAGGTGCTAGAGGTTTGAATAGGCTTCTCTTCTTCGTCGGTCCAGTAGACCTTCTGGATGCTTCCTTTTGTTTGAACTGTTCGAGTATATCCCAAAGAATCCATGCTGAATCGCAAAATCTTTCCGTTCTCGGACAACTTCCATTCACCGTCCATTTCTCCTGATGTGAACCCAGATTCAGATACTCGACATACTCCTTCTTCCAGAAAGGTCACAGTGACGCTAGTTGAAGGAACACCAGGTAAATTCAAACCCGTTTGACGATCTCTCGAAGAAATGTTCACGCGACTTCCATACAAATCATTACTCGGATCTCGCTCTGGAACTCCAGACAAGTACAAGTCCAAAGTCCAGGAGGTTCCAGTGACTATCTCGGGGGTCACGTCATTTCTTTGTTGCGTTTCACGCCACTTTCGTTGCGTTGCTGTTAATTCAGAAAACTGTGCGTTCCTCTCTACAAATTCTTCCCCAGGAGCATCGTATTGGCCCTTCGTTTTGTCTCCAGAGAGAGAACGATCATTTTCGAAGGCTCCATCGATCATGTCTTTGAAAAAGTTGTATCGGCATGTTTCAATCGTTGGTGTGGACCTTGCTACGCCGGACGGGTGCTTTGGGAGAACATTTGGGATCGGAAATGAACAAACAAGGCTGCTCATGGCCATGGTAAGGCCTGATGATAGGACTGCCCGTTTCATTTTTCTTGATGGACTGTAGTATGAATCAATCCTTTGTTGCAAAATGCTTACGTCACCAAAATCATCGTCTTCAACTTCCAAAAGTTCGGGGGACCTTCTTCGTCCCAAAAATCATTTTGTTTCTACCATGATGCAGGAAATTTATTGTTGTTGTGTCCGTTCGTGATAGATTCTGAGAATTTTCAGCGAAGTGAGAAGAGACAGCCTGGTGCCATTTTCTGTCGCTTCTCATCTGTTACCGGTAGGTTGTAATAGCTTGAGTTCTTTTCCAGCTCGTACAACCGTGTAGACTATTACTTATTCCTGTTTGGAACGTTCTTGATGTTTGTTCAAACAGAAGCGAAGTCCAATTTGGAATCTTTTGATTCCTCTACTAGGACTCGTCTCCTCCTGTGTCTGTTGTTTCCCGTCTGTTTTCTGACTCCTTCGATTATTCCTGGATGTACAGTAGAGCGAAACATAGAGATATAACAAATGATATTGTATCGTACCATTACAATACCTGTATGGTTTATTGTCCGAGACCTTTCTTCTTGTTTTTTCCTACAATTGTTACTATTTATACTCTTATATATCTATTTCGGTACAGCGCATTGCTTCGTTACGTAAACCTTTCGTACCATCAGCAACTGCGTCGCTACAGTAGTGATTATGCGAAAGCTTTACCGTATGCTCTTGAGATGGAGGAAGCGTTGTTCTTTGCTTTTGATCTTGCGGATCAGAACTGGGATGAGCTCGCTTGTCTGTGCTGCAAGTCCTTTCGCAATATCCATGTTTCCAACATCGGCGTGTGCGATAGCTGCTCGATAAAGTGTCTTGTTACTAATAACTGATCTCATCCCATCGGTTGCCAAGCAATCTTGGATCAATTCAGTCGCGGTGTTGAGCTCATTTCCCATGCAAAGCAATTCAACATAGTTTCGAACAAAATCTGCTGACGGTTGAACCCCCTCCTCTTCCATTGATGCGAGAAGTGAACTTGCTTTTTCAATGTTCTTGTGCACCAGTGACTTGTCTTTTGATGATTTCCTGCGATGTAAATCCTTCCCCAATACTTCCATCGCAAATGCATAGGAATCCTGATTTGGCTGTAAGTCGATATCTCTTATGGTTTGCATGACGCGCAATACATCGTTTACATCACCCCTCTCTGCATAACTAGACATTACGATATTGAAGTTCTCAAGGCAAATCAAGTCCTCCTGATTGGATTCCGTCAGCAACTCAAATGCATTGGTCACATGCCAGCGTTTTGATCTGTAGAAAGCAGCAAGAGTCAGCTTAACCCTTTATGATACTGAAATGGATCTGTACAAAGCACCCAACTTACCGAATGGCGCGAGAAACACTTCGAATCAAGGCACGAGAAACTTCGAATCCAGCTTCTTTCATTGCTGATACCGCGGCAAAAGCATCAACGAGTGCACTTTCATTGCAAGCAAATGCGACAATCGTGTTCTCAAATAAATGCTCTGTGGGGTTGTAGCCCAGCGTTTCTAGTACTTCCCATACTAGCATTATTAATTCTGGATCGCCCTTTTGTGCTGCACCCGTTGAAATCATCTCTAGTGTCGATCTGTCGATTTTGTAGTGCTCGTACATTGCGGCATTGCTACTTGGGTCAACATCTTCGTCAAAGCTTGCATGGAGGTCCAGCAGTGCTTGCAAAGCCACTCGCATTTGCTGCGTATCCGTGTATGGAAACATATTGTGTACAACTGGTATCGAAGTGAGTGGATGTGGGGGGAAACCTTTGGAAATCAATCGAGCCAAAACGTCGTGGAAAGGAAGATCTTCTTGCCGATTATATTTGGAGCTCGACAATAGCTTGTTCAACCATCCGGGTGTCATCTCCATCTCATTGGATATCATATAATCATACAATGTGTTGGCATATGGGCCAATGCTGACACTGCGTTGCCTGACTAGTGAAACAATCAAGTTTGGCAAAAGCTGCGCCTTTTGATCATTTTCCATCTCTTCCAAGTCACGGAGCAAGCATTCAACGAAATGAACCATTTTCCGTTGGGGATACTGTCGCGGATCTAGTGATGCCACAGAGTTGCATAATCGTCTGTACATATCGATGCTGGTTTCTGACGTATCTGGGTGTAGATGATAATAGCGCATGTTCTCGTATGCTGCTATTGGGTCACTTTTAGAAACAAGAAAGAAGAGCTTTGACACCAGTCCTGGCTCAATCAGTTGATCATTCTCCACTGCCTGTTCGAACAAAGTGACGGACTTTTGGACATTTTTTCTTCTAACAGCACGCGACAAGAGTAGATTGAGCCTATTGACGTTCTTGTTTTGTGATGCAATCTTCGAGTTGGATCCTGTTCTTTCTTCAACTTCTGGTGTCTGATCAAAACTCTCATTTGGGTGTATTCCTATTTTCTTTCCTTCTTTTCCATTGTTCATTGGTGTTCGGATGGTTTCTGCGACGAGCGAATTCGTTGGTAAACCTAATTCAATCTCGGATTGCTGCAGCGACGACGACGATAGAGCAGCATTCAATGAATCTAGAAAGACCTTCATTGCTTCTCTATGGTCATTATCACGAGCTGCGAACTTCTGTTCACGACGGTGTGTCCGGAAAGGATCCAAGGAGGCAAGCCTTTCACTACCAATTCGGTTTTCTCGCGATACGGAAAGGGATGAGGTTGTCACACTACTCTTCAGACTGGATTGTAATCTTCGAAGCAGTGACAGCTTTTCCCTCCTTAAAAATTCTGCTATTCGGAACATGATTTGATTTGAAAAAGTGACGAGCAATGTCCCAGCTAAAGAAGTTACAGTACAAGTATGTTGTCGCTCTTGTTTCTGTCGTTGCGGATTATAGTCGAAAGAATCAAAACAAATAAATTGATGGCTTTGCGCGTGTTTCGCGCATCCCACTCGATCTGATTGATTGGTTTTGCAACGATGTGTTCTACAGAATACCCTGATCTTCCATCTTCCAACCATTCTTCAACATAGTTCGCAGTGTTTGTAGCTGTGGCATTGAAGACACTAAGCTCACTTTAACACCATGATACGTGGAAGCGCAAGTCATCTTGGACGCGAAAGAGCCAATGGGATTCTTAGACGCATTCATCGTCGAACTCTCCCACGACCAGCGATATCGAGAACCAACCACAATTTTGCTGATGAATTCATAATTTGTCATTTTGTGAGACGCCCGGCACATTCACCAATAAGAAACCCTATGAGTCGTCGGTATTCGACAACTATCTCGACCCAGGGCGTGAATTGGTCTTCGCCAGTGAATGTTTTCCAGATGGAACAACGTCGATATCAATCGAATGATGCTGAGAACGGAAATAGAGATGAAATGGAAGCGAAGGACGAGACAAGTCAGCATACAATCACTGGAGAAGGAACGACAGATTCGGGAATCCCTGGTGCTCAGAAAGGTGGGAAGAAATTAGCCATCATCTACACTTGTAATGTCTGCGGGACACGGTCAGCGAAGCAGTTCACAGAAAATGCATACAATAATGGTGTGGTGATTGTACAGTGCCCCGGTTGCAACAATCGTCATCTGATTGCGGATAACTTGGGATACTTCTCAGACGACGATGCGGGCTGGAATATCGAAAAAGCCATGGAGCGCATCGGGGGAAATGTACGAGTAGTGAATAACGACAATGTCTTGGAATTGAGTGTGGAGGATGTGTATGGAGATGAAGCCATTGACAATGCCAAAAAAAGTCCTAAAGATTCACATTGAGTACCACTAGTCGAAGGGAGAGAGATGATCTAATGGGACATGTTACACTGCAAATGATTCGAACTTCTTTCCTTCAACTGCTACCGAGCTGGTGATGGATGGGTCGAGCGCGGAAAGAATTTTTCGTTCTGTTTGGGGGGAGTTCAATGCCTTGACGACAAGGTCGGCAACATCTTCACGGTGGATACTTCCAATTGCGGTGTTGTCTTCAGTCAAAATGGCCTCCCCAGTCATCGGTTCGGATACAAGGCCTCCTGGTCGGATAATTGTCCAGTTCACATTGGTATAGTACTTAATCAAAATGTTTTCAGCCTTATCCTTTGCAGCCAAAACATCCTTTAGAACCTCAAAGACGGCTGGAGGAGCTGCCTCCTTGGAAGAGCCGCATCCAATTGACGTAACGAGAAGGACGCGGGTAACACCGAGAATACCAGCAGATTCAATCACATTATTGTTTCCCTCATAATCAACTCTTCTGTCATCCGTGCTACCGCCGAGTGTTGTAATGGCGGCATCGCATCCCCACATCACATCTTCCACTCGCTTCTGGTCGAATGCATCACCGATTGCAACCGAAACACCGTCAATCTTTTTCAAACTTTCAGCTGCTTCTTCGGTTCGAGCCAAAGCTACGACTTCAATACCATTAGCAGCAAGCTTTTCAACAACTGACAATCCAACTCCTCTGGTCGCTCCAGCAACGAACACTTTCTTGTATCCCATTTCCATCGAGCTTCCATTTCCGACACCATTCAAAGGTTGAGACACGAAAGAGCTCTTTTGTGGAGTAAAAGAGGCAGCGATACCCAAAAATGAGAAAATGCAGAGAAATCGAACAAGTAGCATGATAAAGAAGTTGGAGTCCGCTATTTTTGAGGTTGAGATGATTCTTGTTCTGACATCCCGTGCGCTTTGATGCGTCATGCGTCATACATCACATCTCACATAACATCAATGTTGATGCTGAGGACGACTACTTGGAATTCTACATTCGTCATGCTTTTAAAAAAAAAAAGAACGAATGGACTAAGTGGATTACATGTGCATATCGAAAACCAGGTACCGGGACAGGTGGTCTTGTATGGTGGTCCGGAGACTGGCAACTTATTGCGAACCGGAAGTACACTATTTTTGTTACGTGCGGAACAGTAGCTTTGATGCTGAATAGCTACCACCCTATTGAGCTATCAACTACTATGGAAAGAATGCATAATAACTATAACTACTATGTAGAGAAACTTGTCGTAAATGAAGTTCACTTGAATGGTCCAAGCCTCCCAAAGCCACACAGTATCAGTATCCCGCCACAGTTGGAATGCATAGCCAACATTTCACGAACCACGACATCTTGTAGCGTTGAACATCTGCCTCTGAAAACTTCCGCTGCTTCACCAGTACCTCTGAGTCCTTAAGAGCTACAGGTATTCCTCGTATCCACTGCCTCAAAGTTGATTGCTGACTGCTCCATTGGTCCAAGTCGTACCATACTAGTAATCATAGAATAGAAAAGGGCTCGACGGAGCTCTGCATTTGACGGACATAGCGGAGGAATCCACGTCGCATCATACATCACAATTCTGTCCTCAATGAATGGATGAAAGTAGAAATCTCAGTGTCTGCCGGGAGACTTTGCATCGTCCTCGTAGCTAGCACCATACAGAGGAGGTCCTTTTGAGTTCAAAGCTGAAGTGACCGCACCACGCACAATCACCATCCCATAGGACAGGAGCATTGGCAATCTATGTATTCGGTGCGGTGCATTACTTCAATGGGAGTCAGATGATTTGGCTTCATCCACGAGCGCGCCATCATATGTTCTACCTTGCTCTGAAAGTCCTTCAACTGCTTTTCCTTTATTGTATGAACCATCCATCGGAACTCAAGAATGCATTTGTTGACTGTATTCACAGGGGTTGGAAACCCATTACTACCAGTATGAAGTGGTGTTTGAATGGGGGAATCCGGATGGTTTGTTGGCCCAATTGCTGGCAACCGGCGAGTTGTTGATTTGTTCTTCACCGTCTCAATGCCATTCGAGGGTTTCACGTAACCCAAGATTGCATATATACTTCTGGTTTCAGAAGGCTTTTTGCAGAACACACCTAGATGCTAACGACATTGCATTTCGCTTGAATCGACGAATGCACCCATTGTCTAGCATGGATGATACAGTGGATGGCTCCCTTCTGCAACATGGGCATGCATCTTGAGCTGCGAATGTGATGATGCTTCCACCACTGCATCCTTCAGTAAGTGACTCCCCCCAGAAATCAATATGAGATCTGGTTGTACCTTCCTACTTGACCCTCGTGTATCAAAGCGATGCATTGCAACCAAAGGCGAGCGCAAACAGGGCATGAGCACGAACTGAACCACCCAGCCATCAGCGATTTATTCGAAACAGCCGAGTGATTCTTTTGAAAGATGGATTCTTCTTGGACCTTTGGTTGTAGAATATCATAGATATTATTCACAACCTTCTTCTGGCCAGTCCAAATCTCAAGAGACTGCAATTCTGTTTTAAGTTTCTGCCTTGATCGCAAAATTTGGGATTCCGGAGCATATTTAATATGGGCTCTTTATGAATCGAGCACCATGCCAAATGAATGAATCAATCGGACCGTCGGCATCCAGATCACATCCACTCCTTTGTCTACAAAGCATTTTACAATGAAACCGAGCGGGC